CACAGGATCGAGAGTACCGATAGGAATGGCAATGACGCGCCTGGACACGACGCCCCCGCCAACGCAGATGCCCAACCCAATCCCTGCGGCTGCCTCTGCATCGACATCACCATTCACGCCAAACTTGACCAGCTTCCAGACTCCTCCTGAAGCTGTGTTTGTTCAGAACGGTGCTCCACCACCCATGCCTCAAGCATACGCTACTGGCCCGCCTACGCCTAACAGCAACGACCAGACGCTGTTCACTAATGCCAATCGCTCAGCCAGCATGGACAACGTCGCCATGCCGATGTTCTCTGCGCCCGCATCAGCACACCAGAGCCGCGCTGCAAGCCCCAATGGATTGCGTAACGGTGTGAACGTGGTGTCGCAGAACCAGTTCAACACGATGTCATACATGCCGACGAACGCCGTTGCTCCAGCGCGACCACAGCCAACCATTCACAAGATCATTCCCAACGAGGGTCCGAAGTCTGGTGGCATCGAGGTTACGATCCTCGGGGCCAGCTTCTACCAGGGTCTCGAAGTGCTGTTCGGCGACCAGAAGGCCACCACAACTACTTTCTGGGGCGAATCATCCCTTGTCTGTCTTCTGCCTCCCTCGCCTGTCTCCGGAGCTGTCCTCGTTACTTTCAAGCAGAGTCAAACGCAAGCTGGACCACCGTTCCCCGCTATGTCCAAACAGAACCAAATGTTCAAGTATGTCGACGACGACGAAGAGAAGCTCATTCGCACGGCTCTCTCAATCCTGGGTCATAAGATGTCTGGACAGATGGTTGATGTTAAGGAACTTGCTCAGCGCATTATCGGTCAGGGTGACTCAAGCTGGGGTGCATCTGGTCCCTCAGGTAGTGTCGGCGGCTTTGGCGGAAGCACCTTCAACATGAGCACCGAATCTCAACTTCTGAAGTGCTTGGAGCTCATCGATCTAGATGACAACCCGAGAATGTCGAGACTTGATCTGAGAAGGTCCACTGGTCAAACAATGTTGCACATGGGCTGTGCCTTGGGATACCACCGCTTCATTGCTGGACTATTGGCACGCGGTGCTAACCCAGACTTGCGGGACAAGGGCGGCTTCACTCCCATGCATCTTGCAGCAATGAACGACCATGAGTCAATCGTTCGCAGATTGATGCAGGCGGGTGCCGACCCCACGATCCGCAGTCTTTCGGGACTTCGCCCTGCCGATGTTGCCCGCTCACGCAAGGTCATCGATCACATCCGTCGCTGCGAGCGTCACATCCGCTCCAGGAGCGGTGGCTCGTTGCACAGCAGAGCAAGCAGTGCCGCGTCTCTGAGATCGCTGTGGGATCCTTTGGGCATGTCCAGCGAGTCGGAATCTGCAGACGACGGCGAAGAAAGCCCCGAGTACTCGTCGGGAGATTACGAGGATGACGAACAGGAGGAAGAAGACTCTTGGCTTGACATGCGGCGCCGATCCAGCAGCCATGCGTTTACGCCGCGCCCTGACAGACAGAGCATTCTCCAAAGGGGTCAAGACGAGATTCAGCCAGGACTGGCGTCACCCACAACAGCCATTGCCTCAGCCGTCAGAGACCAGTTCACCGCCCAAATCCAACAGTTCCAGCAAGCCATGACGATGCACTTTCCCAACCTCCCGCAGATGCCTGCTCTACCTAGGATGCCAATGCTCCCCGACTACCATGCATACCTCCAGCAGAATCCTCTCATGGGTAGGGTCACCTCGCTCATGCCGGGCATGTCCGGCTCACGACCGGGATCGGCAGACGAGGAGACACCCAGGCCCATGGACGGAAGATGGTGGGATCTGTCATCGTTCCGGAACACCAACAATAACTCAGCACCGCCGCCGTCCTATGACGAAATTTTCCCGCAAGATGAACTTGACAAGAAACAAGCCGCCGCTCTCGGAGCCGCCGCTGAGGCTGCTGCCGATATCAAATGTGCGACCATTTATGACACGCAGACAACCGAGGTCACGGAGGCATCGTCAAGCACGGCGCCAGTGCCAAGCGTACTCAGAATCGGACGCAAGAGTGCCATTACGAAGGAACAGCAACAGAACTTCCTCCGGGCCCACGAGGCCAAATTCAAGGGCATGCGTAGCGACAAGAACCTGTGGTTCATTTGGGTAAGCTCCACCACGTATGCATTCCAAATTGGCCCGTTAGACTGACTTGAACCAGATTCCCCTTCTTACATGTATTTTGGCTGCTATGTTATACAGCCGTTATCCTCACTACTTTGCCGCGGCCTGGTCCATGGTTGGATCTAAGGTGGACCAGGTTCCGGAGATTGTCAGGAACGTTCAGGACCGTGTTGTTGAGGTCCTGTAGACCATTTCGACTTGCTTCAAACCAATTACGTCACGCATTCGGTCAAATGTATGGCCTTGTTCGGTTCTTGTTTTTCGGATCAAAGGGGAGAAACGGAGTTGAAATTTGCGGGGGACATATGTGGAACAGAGTTTCGCCCCCTACCTACAGCGCCTAGGACTGGGATGAGATGAGCGGCACGGCCAAGGAATGCCGTGTCGGTTTTTTGGGTCTGGGTTAAGGACTTGGACGTTGCGCAGCGCCGGTACGGAAAGAAGTTCCCCACGGAACCAGTAAGCCATTTATCTCACTTGGGCAATTTCAGCCCTTCAAATCTTTCTTGATAGTTCACTTTGTCATTTTTCTTCATTCGTTGGAGTACCGCGAGGAGTCTCGATGCATGTAGCTCTGCTGAGCGAGCAGACACGGTCCAGAGGACCAAAGATGGCTGTGTCGAGTATTATATAGCAAGGGGTGCTTTTCCAACTATTTTACATAGAGGCAGACATTATCGATCTAGGCCGGGGAATAATGTCGACACTGGTACATTTGTCCTGTGCGTTCAGGTCCGTCCACTGAAGTGATGTAATGTGTGACTCTCTCTGGACATGTCGGAAGCTAGGTATCTCGGAGCCTGTAGAGGAGGCAAGAATACTGACCTAACAGCTTCTTTTCTCGATATGGTCTCACTTAATCTCTGACTAGAGAGAATGATCCTTTTCCAGACGCCCAGCCTCCGCCTCGATCTCAACCAATCTCTCCTCTCTCCACCGCCACACACCCGCCAACACGGCCCCCGGCCCGACGACGAACTCCAAGTTGTTGGCCAGGACGTAGTACGCCAGAATCTTTTTGAGGTCGACCTGGCCGTGCCGCTGCTTCTGGACGTCGTAGACGACGAGAGCGCACCACAGCCTCGAGGAGCCGAAGATGAGCCAGAAATCCCACTGGAAGATTTGGAAGAGGCTTGTGCCGACGTCGCCGGTGGAGATGTCGTTGAGCGGGAGGAAGACGTTTGTCAGGGTCAGGAATTTGTTTTGGGAGGCGAAGATTGTGTAGAGGGTGTAGAAGTGGGATGCTGAGGCGACGAGGATGGCGGCGGAGTAGAGGCGGCGGAGGACGAGGGTCGTTTGCTTGCGGGTGGCCATCTTCGTCTTTTCGGTTTCAGGGGTTTGTTTAGGTTTGTAAACAGTGCTTGCTAGGAGCCAAATCCCGGCGTTGACGAGGACGGGCGCGACCTGCCAGAAGGCGATGAGGTTCTGCGCGAGGCGCGGGGATGACCACGGGTAGTACATTGCCGCGGTCGGGAGGGCGAATATGAGGAGGGAGGCCGGGAGGAGGGCCTTTGCGAGGGGGAGGGGCACGTCGCCGCCGGAGACGAGGTAGGTTTTCTGCGTGGTGAGGAGGGTGTAGGCGAGGTGGTAGAGGGGGATTATGACGCCGCCGCCTACTGTTTGGTAGAGGGCTGCCCAGGCGGCGTGACTGTGGTATCGCGTAAGTGTTGCTCGTTTGTGCTCTTGGGCTTTGGTGGGTGGGTTGAGAAAGTTGTAAGGGAGAGGAAGGGAAGGGGGGCTTACAAGCTGAGGAAGCTCCATCGGTTCCTGGATCGATAGGCCTCGACGTTGAACACAACCACGGCCGGGAAGAAGTTGAGGAGGAAGTGGATCTGCTGGATCCTCGCTGGCTCATTGAGACTTAGAGGTCCCTGAGCGAAGGAGGCGACGAGGTATGTAAGACCCAGGTCGAGTGGTTTGAGGCCGGTGTAGGTCGTGTAGAGGCGGGAGCCATCTTGGAGTTTTTCCGTCTCGACGAGGTCGGTAAGGTTTTGGGTAAAGGAGCTGTGGTCTGGTTGGATGCGGATGAAGTAGACACCTGCTGCTGCTAGGAGGACGAAGATCGTTGTGAGGAGGCTTGTTAGAAGGGGGTGTCGTGAGGACGGAGGCGGTGAGGTTGTTGGGTTGGCCATTGTTGGGAGAGGTTCCTGGGGCGTTCGATGGAGAAGGTTTCGAGGGTGCTAGACTTCGGCGACAGACGGGTGAAGTCCCATGATGAAATTGAAGCTTGAGATTCAGTTTCTATTCATTATATATATAAGACGGACTGATCCTTCGAGAAGTTGAATGACCCCACACCGTAAGCAATAACTGGAGTCTGCGGCGTGAGTGGTTGACGGGCTCGGCTGTCGATGCGCCTATGCGGCGTGGGTTTCCGCGTCCGTCACTGTCGGCCGACATCTGACATGTCATTCATCCTACTCCCTTGCTAACCGATCCAGTTTTCTGTGGTTTGAGAGTGTCCCCTGTAACAGTCCTGCATCGTAGTTATCCTCAAGTCTGGGCAGAAACTGTTGTTAGCTTATTAGGAAAATAACTATGCTGGGAGCCACAAGTTGGGTCTCATTTCCACGGAAGTGATTCCCTACTTACCGCGTGCCTCTATTCGTCTATCTATCCTTAGAATCCGAGGTGAAAACCATGAGAAGAAGAGGTATTGCATCACGACGCGATGCTGGCCGAAGACATCAGTTTGAAATTATAAATATGTGAAAAAAGAAGTCTAAGAACTGCCGAAAAGCAAAAGCCAAATTCAAGCTCTCTTCTTCGCACCTCAGCACAGTTGACCAACATCGTGAATGAGACGTTATTAGCTCTTCAAGCTTCTCAACTATCCAGGGGATGACTATAAGTCTGAATCCCACAGCTATTCCTCAATGGACTTCCTCAGATTCGCTGCCTTCTCAGGATAGACTATGCTACTCCATAACTCGATCGCGCTGATTCCCCCATCAACCAGAATGTCAACTCCGTTGACGTAGCCGCATTTCACAACAAACTCAATCGCCTGAGCAATCTCATCCGCCGTAGACGCCCTTTTAAGAGGATGAACCTTTAGCGCAGCAGTAATCATATCACCCACCATATCCACCGACTTTTCCGCCGTCAGCATGTTCGTCTCCGTCATCCCGGGACTAACACAATTAACCCTTACACCTCTGCCGGCATACTCTCTCGACGCCGCCGCTGCCTGGACCCGCAGGAAGTTGGCCTTCTTCGCAACATAATATGCAACTCTGCTCTTCCCACTAATGATATGATCAAGCTCCTCATTCGGCGACAAGAGGGACGAGAGCCGTGCCGTAGCGAGGTGCGTCTCCAGCTCTGGGGACATGGGTGGGCATAAGCCTTGCGCTATACTCCCGGTACAAACAAGCGAAGAACCCGCAGGCATGACGACTTCTTTGCCAAACGCATCAATGACATTCGCGGTGCCCCGGATGTCCACTGTCAGAATCATCTCGACTGACCCGACTACCGCGCTGACGCCGGATGTCAGCACGACGGCCTCGATGACGCCCAGAGCCGCGGCCGCCTTTGCGACGGCTGCCACGGAGTCATAGGAAGAGACGTCGACCTGTTGCGTGGTAACCTCAATGCCCTCCTTTTTGAGGGATTCCGCCCCTGCATCGAGGGTAGAGGGGGAGCGGCTTGCGAGCAGAACTCGTCGTCCGGGGCCCAGGCGGTGGGCTGTGGCAAGACCGATGCCGCCGCCGCCAATGATGACAAGAACTGGGAGTGAATGTGATGCCATAGTCACGAGGTGGGCTGTTGTTGACGAAATATCTGAGTGAGGGTGCGAGAAGTCACTTATTGGCGTTGGTGCTAAGGAAGGAAAGTCGCGATTATTTATATACACACCTAGCGCTTCATGCGCATTTACGTCTAGATCAACAGAATTCAAGACATCTGATACGAAACATGAGAAGCTATCAATGAATTGCCGGCGTCTACGAGGAATGCTTTGAAAGTTAAAAAGCTGGGGATGTAATCGCCGCCTCCGTCGGACATTTAGATCCTATCCCGGAGACTTGCAGTGTCATCAAGGCTTACTGTCAGCTCTACAACGTGCAATTCCCCAAAGCTTAAAAGGCCGGGTGTCTTGCCAAGCTCTCATAATGAAATAGCACTTCAATAAATTAGTTTTGAGATCAAACGTATTACATCATGAGCAGTGTTATTGCACCCGCAGCCAGTCCTCACCTGAGGCTAGGATGGATAGGTAGGCTGAATCTTTCCGTTACAAAGCCTGTTAATTGGGAGCTCACTGACATGCGTAAATGAAAAGGCTTGGGCTCCATGGGGCTGGGCATGGCGACCAACCTACAAAAGCACCTTTCGCAGTCGGGCGCGCCGAGTCTCAGTTTCTACAACCGCACCAAGTCCAGGGGTGCAGCCCTGGAAACCTTGGGTGGTGTTTCTCGCAGCCTCGATGAGCTTACCGCCAAATCTGACATCATCTTCTTGTCTCTAAGCGACGGAAACGCGGTTGAAACAGTGCTGAACACGATGCTGGAATCAAACGGTTCGACGAATCCTTTTGACAAAAAGGTGGTTGTCGATACCTCGAGCATTCATCCCAAGATTTCAGCTCAAGTGAGGTCGAGATTGAGAGAAAAAGGTGCCGAGTACGTCGCGGCTCCCGTCCTTGGTGCTAGCCCCGTAGCCGCGAAGGGACAACTCCTTTGGATATTGGCAGGGGCGGAGGCTGCCATCGACGTCGTCAACCCGTACATTGTCGGGGTGATGGGCAGAGGTATCTTGAGACTCGGGGATGATGTGCGGCTTGCAAGCAGTCTGAAAGCTGTTGCGTGAGTGACTGAACCTCCAGACATTTCTTGTTCTTTGTGAGAGAGAAGGTACTAAGACATATCAAACAGAAACTCACTCGGAATCGGTATGATAGAGGTCATTGCTGAAGCTCACGTCCTTGCGGAGAAGGCTGGATTAGGGGTTGCCGACGTTGAGAATCTGATCCAGCAGCAGCACGGCTTGCCAGGGCTCATGATCTCGCAGCGCCTGACCACCGGGGCGTACATGCCTCCAAGAGGCGAAAGACCGTGGGCGGATGTTGGTCTTGCGGTTCTAGGCGGGCAAGAAATACAGACTGCTGCGACGGATTTGGGAGTGCAACTTGGTGTTTCTTCGCTTGTGATGAAGAATCTGGAGGTGGCGAAAGCGTACGGCGAGTCGGTTGGCCGGCAGCTGGACGTCTCTGCGCTTTATGGTGCGGTGAGGATGTCGAATGGGCTTCCTTTTGAGACGGAGTTCGTGAAGAAGAGAGACGATTCTTCTTGAAGGATATGGTGGGTGGATACGTAACTTCGTAGTCAGATATGATTATTATTCACGCGAACAGCTATAAACTCCAACGAAACATCATCCTAAATGTTCTGATGGGCCATATCCATTGCATTTTTTGACTAGTCGTACACTCAATACAGGAACTCGTGAGAGGAGTATAATGACATAACACAATCTAGTATAATGTTAGTTTCGAGGACTCGATGTCTACTTGTCGCTGGACGTCAGCCGCTTGGAAACATTATGGCACTCACATCACCTGCGGTTGCTGCTAGCTTCAGACTGCCATCTACAAACGGGTCGTATGGACAGCCCTTACATACTGGCAGCGATGAGTGATATATCATTCTATCAAACCCACCTTAGACAGGAAGACAAGGGGTGTAGACACTGTCATAGGCCAAGGCACGGGACTGGACACGGGTCCAATACCTGGCAGACATCATTACTATGGGAATTGACACCTGGGCCTACTTGGTTCATCCGAAGGGAAAGTCAAAGGGAACGACAACGCTTGGAGCAGGGGAGTTTGATCAGCTTGCCGACAAGGTTACTCCTGGGAAATCATCGCTATGAATGGGATTCTAATCGATCAAAAGCAGGGATATTCTAATTGTATGACCTATGTTCGTGGCTGAGAGCCAATAGACTTATCTCGTGGGCATATCCTAACTGAATACACGGTGTCTCAGCAGGACCAGATAGCTAACGCACTTGTCCCTGTGAGACAAGATTGCCTTGCCGCCTTCAAGTTGAAAGGTTTTGGTTTCGCCCCAGCCGCCCCGAAGAACCGTTTATTTCACTTCTTTTTACAACATTCGCACTGGAAATTTCGATTAGCCACGGTGCTTTGTCTGTTGGAAGAGAGATGGCTTACCGTGACGTGACTATTGGTAGCAGATGTTACAGACTGGCAACTTCCTTTGAGACTCACATACTCGTCAGAGGCACATGTTGATTTCAGCTCCAACCCGTAGCAAGTCTGGAAGTTGGTCTGGAACACATTGTCAGTCAAAGTCAGGTCCCCTCAAGTGCCATTGGTCTCTCCAGAAGAACTTACGCATGATTGCGTAACGGACCTGCAAGTGGCGAAAATTGCCGGAACGTTGCAAATGACGAGAAGCAAAGTGGCGGAACGCATTTTTTGAGGAGTAGATTGGAATTGCTATACCAACGCGAGCTTGAAGAGTAAGAGGAGATCTGGTTGATACTGAAGTCTGATAATGATGCCAGAGAAGTTTGTAAGTTGACGTCGCCTATCAGACTATTTATCCTTCCGCTTGTCAAGTTAAGTCTCTGGCTCTCCCCCAACGTTGGATAGATATCGACACAAGAAGAACTGCAACTCGTCTTCGGAGAGTATCATCATCACCGACGGCGTTTGACCATCCGCCGGCCATCGAATTAGGGCCTTGACTCCTGGCAGATTGATACGATTGACTATGACGGCTGGTGGAGACTGTTGGTATAATCTGCGAGTCCACCACTATGAAATGGCTTTCCGAATTTGCCGGGTTGGTGTTGCCGAGTCATGAAGAAACTCTTTTTTAGTAGTAATGCATTCCTCCAATTCAGACGTGACTATATGTGTATCCCACTGCAAAGTTGGTCGTTGACTGACATGTCAATCGGCTCAATATCACTCATATAAAGACCATATCCGTCAATCGCATATCAACAGCAGACGTCTGCGTCTACCAGTGCTTACGTGATTAAGAGATGACGGCATATCAATTGGACACTACCTGCCAAGATAGGAACAGCCATATGGAAGAGCGACGAGGGGAAAAGGAATTAAATCCCAGGATACCTCACATGATAATGAATACGGATGCTGAGCTAGCTCACATGCAAAGTCGTCTGATCCGGGTGAAGAGCTCCAGGGTGTTACAGTAGCTCGGCTTACTTCAATCCAATGTCTTCTTCATACGATGAGAGGTCGAACCACAACCAGAGCCACTGCAGCTCGTGACGTTAATGGCTTGCCATCATAATTGAATCCCAGCTCATGGAAACGGCTCCGAGTGTCTTCATCCGGATCGGAGGAGACGGCGCACGCAATTGGGGCCGTAAGTGCTGAGGGATGGCGGGCGGCTCTTTCCCCGTGCGGAGCATATATGCAGGCCGTTGCCTGGTCGCTCCCCACCAATCAGTGGAGCTCTGGCTGAGAGCTCTCCCAAACCTCAAAATTTCATTCTCCAAACGCGCCTGGCCAGCTGTCTCAAGCGCGTTCATCCATTGACAACACCTTCGAAATCCCCTTCACCGTTGCGCCCAACACCGCCTACGACTGGAAGCGACCACGAAAATTCTACGATATGTCGCTCTTCGGCAACAACCCTCTGGGTGGTCTGGGAACCTCGACCAGCGGAACCCAGCAACAGAGCAGCACAGGAGGTGGTTTGTTTGGACAGCAGAACACGACCAGCACCCAACAGACTAGCTCTACGCCTGCTTCAGGCGGTCTTTTCGGAAACCTCAATCAGGCCAAGCCTGCGACCACCGGCGGTCTCTTCGGCACATCGACGACGGCACAACCGACGACAGGATCCTCGTTGTTCGGTGCGCCCCAGCAACAACAGCAGCAACAAGGTCAGCAGCAACAATCGGGCGGACTCAGCTTGGGAGGCTTGGGTGGGCTCGGAGCATCGACGGCACAGAAGCCATCTCTCTTCGGCGCCATTGGAGGTGGTCAACAAAACCAACCCCAGGCGCAAACGACGGGCTCGACCTTCGGCCAGACTGCTGCAAACAACACTCTCGGCGGCTCACTCTTCCCCTCATCGCAGCAACCGCAACAGAACACAAACAACCAGTCCCAAATCCAGCAGGGCCAACCGTCAGGCGCATACTTTGACAGCCTGTTCGCCAAGAGCAAGAAGCAAGGAGATGGCGAAACTGGCATGGAGGACCTCCCTAGTCTGCAATTGGGCCTGGGCGACCTTCGCCAGCGCTTGAAGAAGCTGGGAACAAAGGCTCAGGAGCGTCCTTCCGATGGTAGAGCGCACTATCTTCTCGCTGCCTCTGGCGTGGATCCTTCCACCGCCGCGAAAGACCTTGGATCCCTCGATTTGCAGACTGGCCGTGTTGAGAGACCCTCTGGCTACTCACCCGCCGAAATCGACGTCGAGACGTACCTCGCGAACCTCCAGACGAAGACGACGATGAGCATGATTGCGGACGGCTTAGAGAGATCGGTCCGCGACTTTGATAACTTTTTGGAGGACAACGTGACGATGGAATGGGATGCCCAGCGCAAGCGCATCTACGAGCACTTTGGCATCAAGGCTCGTGATGAGTCTTCTTTCGGACCCGCTGCATCGACAAGAGAGGCCTCTGGTGGCTTTGGTCGTTCGCGCCGAAGCAAGAGCCAGGCGACTGGAGCTCGTTCTGGCAGAGCAAGCGTCCTGGGCAAGTCGAGCATGCATCGCTCGGTCATCGGCAACGCAAGCAAGATCGGCTCTCACCAGCCAGAGTTTTCAGATGTTGATCGGTCCACGGACAATGGCGGTTCGTTGACCGGCCACATCAATTCTGACGACAGATCTCTACGGGAGAAGCAGAACAAGCTTTCCGAAAAGGTCCGCAACCTCAACCAGGCGCGGCTCATTGCCCATCCCTATCCCATCCTTTCAGAGCTCGCGGATGTCGAGCACCGGTCTCTGGACCCATATGCGCCACACATTGTTGAGGCGTACCATGCTGTTCGCGAGATCGTCGGAGAAGACCCTGAAGCAGAGACCACTATCAATGGTGCCACTGCGAAGGAGCGGCAATTTGCCAAGATGTACTTGGATGAAGCTCCGAACTCTGCCAGCTCGATATCTATGCGAAAGAGGCTGTTGGATGGCGCCAACAGATACCTTGAGAAGCAATTCCTTCAAGAAGTGGAGGCCCTCATTGCAAAACACCCCCACGAAGCCAACCTCGGTGGCCGCCCCGATATTGTCAGCAAGATCAGAGCCTACATCCGTTTACGTTCTGCACGAAAGGATTTGGTGCCTGATAACACAGACCTTCAGCAAACCGGTGGTGAATATGTGTGGGCCATCGTCTTCTACTTGTTGCGCTCTGGTCACGTTAGCGAAGCTGCGACTTATGTGAATGATAACGGCAATCAATTCCGCAGCATCGACCGCACATTCCAAAGCTATCTCAACGGCTATGCCTCTAACGAAGACCGCCGGTTGAAGCGCACATTGCAGGATAGATGCAATGCTGAGTACACACAGCGAGTACGCAACGCTCCCGACAACTCAATCGACCCCTTCCGCATGGCTTGTTACAAGATCATTGGCCGCTGTGACCTGAACAACCGGAGTCTGGATGGCCTCAACACCGACATCAACGACTGGATTTGGCTTCAGTTCAACCTTGCTAGAGAAGGCGACCGTTCGGTTGAGGTGGCTAGCGAGGCTTACGGCCTTTCTGAACTGCAGTCCAGTATCAAGGAAATCGGAGCCAAGCACTTCCCCAAGACCTCTGCCGAAGACAATAGTGGTAGCTTTGGCATGTTCTTCTACCTCCAGGTGCTGTCAGGCATGTTCGAGGAGGCTATCGCGTACCTCTACCCCTTTTCCTATGTCGACGCAGTTCACTTCGCCATCGCGCTCGAATACTACGGCCTTCTCCGACCTTCTGATCCTTTCAGCGCCTCCAACGATCTGCGCAGCTTGAACGTCAAGGATTCTGTTCAGATCAACTTTGGCAGGATGATTGGCTACTACACAAGAGACTTCAGAGCAGCCGACGTTGTGTCCGCTGTTGACTATCTGACTCTCATTTGCCTCAACATGGACTTGTCTGGCGAAGCTGGCCGTCGTCATGCTAACCTCTGCTGGGAGGCCCTGCGCGAGCTCGTGCTCGAGACGCGTGAGTTTAGTAAGCTCATCGGCGATATCCGCCCTGATGGTCAGCGGATACGCGGTATCATCGAGGAGCGCGGTTCTTTGATCGGTCTGACGGAAGAGAACGACTTCATCAACACTGTCACCGTCCAAGCTGCCAGCTTCGCCGACGAGAACGGCCGCACCACTGACTCAGTCCTTCTGTACCACCTGGCTGGCGAGTACGATACCGTCGTCTCGATTGTCAGCCGTGCACTCAGTGAGGCCATCTCCCTCGAGATTGGCGAGGACCCAATGCGCCTCATGCCCGTCAAGCCTCGCGCCGCCGGCCAGGAGGCCGAGACCGGCAGCAGCCTCAGCCTGGCTTCCATCGACGACCCCGTGGAGCTTGCCCGTACGATGATGTCCATGTATGAGCGCGATGCCATGTTCCACCGAAAGATCCAGGAGCAGAACAGAGTCGCCTGCCGCGTCCTGCTCGAGATGAGCACCATCAAGTCCCTCGTCGAGGCCGGCCAATGGGCTCAATGTCTGGACGTAAGTGACACCCCGCATTACTCACTATCCTCCTCCTTCCCCATGCACATAGATGACTAACTTTGGCATTCTAGAAAATCCGTGGTCTCGAGATTCTCCCACTCGACGCCAGTGGCGACCCGAGCATCATCCGCGCCTACGCCGCAAAGTTCTCCGGCCTCTCCCAACCTGTCTCTATCAATGTGCCGAATCTGCTCATGTGGACCATCATCTGCTGCACGCGCCAACGCGACCAGCTCACCGGCGGCCAGTTCAGTGGCAACGAGGGCACTCGTCGCATGATGGTCGAGCAGATGAAGCAGATGACGCTCGACCTCACCACGTACACCTCGCAGCTGCGCTACCGCTTCCCGCCGCACTTGCACGAGGCACTTGCCAGAGCGTCCGCCGAGTAAGAAGAGGACTCGGATCGATTCGTAGCGTTGACACTTCATGTGCGGTCTGAGAAGGAGATTAGGGGTGAAGGGGTGGTGTTGGTAATTTAGCAATTGAGCAGAGTCAAGAAATGACGGAACGTGCGAGGCTCGCACGACTCCAGGATGGGGGCGCAAAAAAATGTGCTTGTTTGAGTAATACGGCAGAAGAGAGAATACTATGAATAGATACCTTCGTGACTAAGCTGTTCCTTCATTGTGTTTATTCCATCCATGGGCTCTATAAGCAACTTGACCTCTGACTACTCTCAGCAGCAGTAAAAGGGACTCTTGCCCAGAAGCTTAAGATGGTTATACCCCTAATCCTGAAGTGCGAAGCTACCGAGCTGTAGCTTGTGAGTTCGAATACCCACAAGCGACCGATGATTTTTTGGTCTTTTTTCCTTACCATGCCATTAGTTGGCGGTGGGCATATTGTCTCTGTACACACAGTAAAAAGCCATCACAAGATTTCATCTCCAGCCAGGATGCGCAAAACTGTCCTTGGTATTTGGTCCTAACTAGAACGTTGTGAGAAAATGCTCGACGAGACAAGCATACGTTCTGGGGTATGGTGTGATGCTACAACAAACAAGTCCAAAAAAAAAGGCCCTCCTTCCCTCCGAAACGCCAACCGTGCCTATTTTCCGCATTCAGATTTACAAGTCTTTAATGACCACGACCCCTTCCACGTCCACGTCCTCTCCCTCTACCACGAGTAGCGCCACCCCGAGTAGACCCGCCTCGCATCCTGCTAGGCTCCGGACCACCGATACCGCTATCCGATTCGGATGACGACGAGATCTCGCTCTCCGATTCTGACTCTGAGCCGATTCTCACGACAGTGAGACCACTCGAAGGCCTACCTCGGCGCGCGGACGGAGGTGGCGGAGGAGAACGATCTCCGGGAATGCCGGAATCAGAGGAAGATGCAGAGGACGGCGACGCGACGGGAGCGTCAAAGTCCGACTCGTCCTCATCCGACTTGCGCCAGCGTCGACCGACGACACCTGGCGGCGGAGGTGTGTGATCAGAGCTGGATTGCCTGTCCCTAGAGGCGCCCGGGGGTGGAGGCGTATGATCCGAGCTTGGCTCTCTCACTCTGGCAGACGCACCAGGAGGTGGAGGAGTGAGATCTACGCTTGGTTCTCTCGAAGGTTCTCTGGTGGTCTCCTTTGCCGGCTCCGTCGCCTCTTCAGTGGAAGGAACAATCTTGGCTGGCTGCTCGCTGCGACTGACTGAAGGTCTCGCCGATGATACTTGGGTTGGAGTGGGAGTTTGCTTAGCGCTCGCATCTCGCGACTTGCGCGAAGTAATCTTGAACCTTCCTCCGCGAGCTGCAACACGAGCCGCCATTGACATCATCTTTGTGGCACCCGGAGGAGGCGGGGGCGGTGATCGATCGACAGGTGCCTTCTCTACCGCGGCAGTCTTGTTCTTGGGCGGGCGACCACGGCGCTTCTTAGGCGGTGCCGCGGTTGCCTCCGCTGTCTCGGTCTCGATGGAGGTGATGGGTGCACTCTGGGATGGACCTTCTCCAGCCAACTCTCGCTCGAGTTGAGCCTCGAGTTCAGCTTCAGTTACATCGTGAGCCGCGTCTTCATCATCTGCATCGTCGTCATCGTCGTCGCTAGCTGTATTGCCCCTAGCTCTCGGGTTGAACGAGCTGGCTCCATCTATAGTCACAACGCGGCTAAGGCCCGAACGTCGCGATGCTCGCTCTTCACGTTTCTTCGCTGCATTTCTTGCTGCAAGTTCAGATGGCTTTGGAACAGCATCGGCTAGAGGGGCCCTCGGCGCCGAACCCGGCGTCGAGTTCGCGCTCCGCGGCGGCCTGCCTCGCCTCCTTGGTACTGTGGGCGTTTCAGCTCCACCAGCGGCGGCGGTGGCGGCTGCAGCATCAGTTCCCTTCTGGATGAGAGCGCGCACAGCGTCAGAAGCCAAGTCTCTAGGGTCATTACTGGCATCACCCGCCTCCGGCTCATCGTTTTGGACCGGCAGCCTTTGCTTGAAAGCCGGCACCATGTCATCGGGGTCGTCGATCATTGGTTCTTCTGGCTCAGCATAAGACGCTCTAGGCCTTGCATGTCGCAATGAAGGAACGTTTGCCGGGAATAGAGGAGCTGGCATCCCACGTCGTGCAGGACCGCCTGCCTGGACTGCCTCTCTTTCAAGCTGGGCCGAGGCTTCATCCTCAGGATCACCGCTCACACCGGCTGGCTCGGCAATATCACCCTCAGCAGCTTCGGGTGCGGCGCCCGCGGCTGCAAGCTGTGCCGAACCGAACAACGCCGGATCCATGGCAGATTCATCAGCACCGTCGTCTTTCTTTGCCTTCTTTCTGTTTTGGGGCCTGGGCCCATGGAAGTCTGGATCCAAATCATTCTCCTGTTTTGCCTTCCGCTTCTGTGTCCGCAACATATTCTTGACGTACTCAGCCTCATCGTCAAACACCATGGCGTCAGTTGAAGGCATTTGGAACGGGTCGAATAGAATCTTATCTGGACCACTTTGTTGGTAGTAACCTATGCCGAACATGGGTTGGCCGTCCATGCCCAAGGGATCCGGGTATGCTGACTGGTCCCATTCGGGGTCTCCATTCATGTTCGCCACTGGAGCAGACTGATCAATGTCCATCTGCGACATGTCTTGAGTTGCGTTGGGATCGCGATCATCAGCATCATGTCCATCCTGTTCACCCAGGACATGGCTCTGATCTCCGTATCCGTTCATTCCACCCTCCGCTGACACGGTAGCACCGTTAGCGCCATTAGCGATGTCTTCGGCAGTAAGAGAGGCACTCTCCTGAGCCTTTGCGGTATCAGCCTTCTCCCGTAGCTCCTTCATACGTTTGCTGTTTGCACTGCGGCCCTCTTCGCCAGCTGTCTTGAGCCAGTTGAGATTGTGTACGCGAAAGTCGACGAGAGCCTCGACACTTCTATCATCAGCAATAGCCCGGGTATCATGACCAAGAAGGGTATTCTTTGGCGTATAGGGGTTGCCGCTCTCGGCACGGCGACATGCGCCGCAGTTGCATATGCCCAGGCACTTTGGGCAAAGCCAATTCTCGTTCTCCTGCACCGTCTGTGGCATCTGATCAAACGCGCGGTAGAGCACACCGTAGCAGTAGCTTTCTTTGCACTCCGGGTTTGAGCATTCTTGCACCTTATAGGCGTAGTCTTTGTGACAGCAAACGTGGCAGCGGCGAAGTTCTCCCTTCTTCTTCTTACGTTTGTACTTTTTCTTCTTGGGCTTGCCGTTGTCATCCAATTCTGGCTCGGGCTCGGACTCGGTGAGTGGCTTGTCCTCGTCAAGCCTCGAAATATCTTTGAAAGGTCGCCTGTGCAAGCCCTCCTGGCAAATTTCGGCCAGTGCCTTCTTACCTCGCCGTGTGCGAGCGATCTCAAGGGGCTGAGGTGATAGCTCTATATCAACGAAGCCGTCATTCTTGATGATCATCGCCCGCCAGAGTTCGTAGTCCTCCGTCAGTTGTTCCCACGACCATTGCTCGCACCATTGAAGTTTGGATATGCAGACACAGGATCGTCCCATGGCGTAGCATTCCATACAGACGTCGTATGCATCCTCATCCCCGTTGACCAGAGTCCGCACACAGTGCTTGCAGGTCAAGAATCTGTTGAAAATGTTTGATCTGCAGTACGAGCAGGTGACGCAAGAATCGTACTCGACATATTCAACGTTCTTCTCCTTAGTCGCAAACATCTCGTCAACAAGGATCTCGGTGTAGAGTGAGAAAAGATGGCGGAAATCCTTGGCGAGCTGCTTATACCGTGAGGATGACCGGAAAAGCTCCGAGCTTAGACCGGCAATGCCCATCTCGCTGTCCTGCTCGGCCTTTACCATCTGCGCGAAGTATTTCTTAAGCGTATAGTAGATGATGGCCTTGTTTTTGTACTGCTCATCACGACAGACAAGACGAGCTTTGGGAAGGGCCTCGTGGAGTGCCATGTCCAGGGTCTCGACAGTCGTGCGGTTCCACGCGACCTTCATGGTGCGCGTGCCCCTATTCCAGACCTGGTGAGGGGCCAGAGGGGGAATGAGGATGAAATCGCCGGGTTTCTGCTCGACAATGTAGACCGGAAAGGTTGCCTTTTTCCAGGCGTTGATCTGAGCGAAATGCTTCTCAATTTCGATATCGTGGCCGAGCATAGACAGGAAGTACTCGCGGACGACTTCTCGATCCTTGGTCTCCGTCATGAACCAGATGGAGCTTCCAGGTTTCTCTCCGTTCTCACTCCCCGAAGCCTCAACCATGATGTTTTGTCCGAGACTGGCGCACATTTCACGATGCGCCGGGGTGAATGTTCCTTCGTGTCCGATATAGCACATGAGATTCTGTGCTCGCATCTCCTCGGGCAGGCTTGACATGAGATCTCCCGCAGGTGCCACCTTTGATCTGTCGCCAAAGCCGCGGAAAGGATCACTTTCTCGAGTGTCTGCTCCTCCCTTTTGCGTGACGTTTTCGTTCATGTAAAACAGGTTGGGAGGAATGACTTTCTGCAGGTGTTCTTGCCATTCGGGAGGACAGTCGATGTCCTTCAGATAAAGGCGTTGCCGTCTCTCGTCTCGATAATTGGTCGGGGTCCATTGGTTGGTGAGTTGCTTCATGGCTCTCATATAGTGGCCTGTGGTCATCGGAATCTCGGTCTGGCCGGTAATGTCGCGGACATTTTCCTCTGTCATGGATGTCAGCTGCTGCCGCTATTGGGCAAAAGGTAACGACACTCACGCTTCTTGTCATATGTCTTCTCCATCCACTCTCCACTGAAGAGCCACTTAGGAAGAACCTCGTTCCATTTCTCAATCACCAAGGGCTTCCCGCCCTGAATGACTTGTAGTTGGACCAACTTCTCAAACTCCTGGGGGCCCAATCCTTGAATCTGAGCAGTCGAAATTCGGAGGACCCATTCGAAATTCGGGGTATGATCGACAAGCGTGAAAAGGTCCAAGTCCGGGGGGATCGGATCGAACTTGGCCTGGGGATGCGATGGAGGCGGCATCTTGTGGTTACTTTCGGGCGGGGAATCGCATGAGAATGCTATCTTAGACGCGTCGGTCGGGACATGCGAGACATATGTATCCCCATGCGTAATCAAGACGACCTGCGGCGCGTCGAGCTGGCGAAATTGGTAGGATGATTGGCGAAGAGGCCGACTGGTGATGTTCGCGACAAACGACGATGCGATCCAGAGGCTGGAAAGCGTGTCGCGTAAACGGAAAGTGGCGTCGGGCGAGGCTGACCAATTCGAGATTCAAAGGCGATGGGGAGGAACGAAAGTCAAATGCGCAGCCAATCAAGGTCTGCGAATCTACCGGTACCTTGGGCCCCAAGGATCACATAGCACGGACCACACTTAAGCTCTGGACCCTTTGGCGACGGCTCCCAAATTTCGGTTCTCTCGGTGACGGGTGCAAAAAGTTGACGGGGCATATCTGGTTTCTGTCAGAGCTCCGTATCGGTTGTCGGTAAGTCTTAAGGTTTCTTTTCGTTCTTTCCCAGTGAAATTCTCGCTGGTAGTCTTCCACTGGCTTTTGCCTCCGAAGCTAAGGCCTGTCTATGCAATGTGTCTGTCGCGCTATGGTGAACATAGTTGAGGGAGCTGGCACCCTTGCACATCACAGCTGAAGAGCTTCACAGTCTAGATGAATCCGAGGCTCAACGTTGCAATGTTTTCCATATCGCGAATATCACTCCGTTCTAATATCAAAAACTCTTGTACCTTCTCTCTGGAATTACTGCGAATAGCTCGTTCAATTCTTTATATGTACTTAATTCGTAAATAGATCACTTATACTAACATCGTGACAGTGACTCGAAATGAGGCAAGTCAACTTGCTAAGAGGCCCCCTGAGGGCGGCATGCAACCCTTCATCTGGCACAACGAGATGTGTCTCAGCGGCATCGCCATCTCGATTGGGCTTGCAGGCACACCGCAAGCCTAGCACACATCTCACTCTTCGGAGCTCAGCCCATCAGCAGCACACAGCTCTCCACACCACCACGAAACGCCTCACAACTGCCATTGCTCCAGACACCCCCGAACCAGCATCACCCGAAGCTGTGTACTCGCCGCCCACAACCGGTATCATCTCTTACCTGCCCGCATCATGGGTTCCCTATGCAGAACTCACCCGCATCGACAAGCCGGCGGGCACTTACTACCTCTTCTTCCCCTGTCTCTTCTCGACTCTAATGGCCGCGCCGATGGCCATGCCCATGGCATCTCCGGCCTCTGTCATTGGAACTTCGCTCCTGTTCTTCTCGGGAGCCCTCATCATGCGAGGCGCGGGCTGCAGCATCAACGACCTGTGGGACCGTAACCTCGATCCGCATGTCACGAGAACGAAATTCCGGCCCATCGCGCGAGGCGCCATCACTCCTTTCCAGGGTCTCGCGTTCACCGGCGCCCAGCTCCTGGCCGGACTGGGCATCTTGGTCCAGTTCCCCACGTCCTGCCTCTGGTACGGCATCCCGAGTCTACTCTTCGTGGCCTCCTACCCCCTGGCGAAGCGGGTCACCTACTATCCCCAGGCCGTACTGGGCCTCACCTTCTCCTGGGGTGCGATGATGGGCTTCCCAGCTCTCGGAATCGACTTGTTATCCAACAGCGCGGCCTTGACGGCTGCCGGGCTTCTGTACACATCGAATGTCGCCTGGACAATTCTGTACGATATGATCTACGCCCACATGGACATCAAGGATGACGTCAAGGCGGGCATCAAGAGTATCGCCCTCAAGCACGATGCCGAGACCAAGCAGGTTCTTACGGGTCTGGCTGCGGTCCAGCTGAGTCTTTTGGGTGCTGCCGGGTTCGCAGCTGGTGCGGGTCCAGCCTTCTTCGTTGGCAGCGTCGGTGGAGCGGCGGTGACACTCGGTGTCATGATCAAGCGGGTCAACCTGAAGAGCGTTAAGGACTGCTGGTGGTGGTTCATTAACGGTTGTTGGATCACTGGTGGCGTCATCAGCTTGGGTCTCGCGGCCGATTACACTGTAAGATACGTTCAAGGCGGGAACGAGGATGCTGCCGGTCAGAAGCAGCTGGAGTAGGGAACTCTAAAAAAACGGCGTATAGAAAGATGCCAGGAGAAAACTTGTACCAACATCGTCTGTAAATTTCATAGCACGTAGAATCAACGTTTCCCTGATTCTTGATTTTTGTTCTTCACAACCCACCCCCAAATAAACCCCGTTTTGTGTAGTAATGTGTGATGTGAAATGCCGCATGTTCAGGTATTGACTTTCATGATGTTTTATTTCATCGACCAAAGTCTACCCGCAGTATCAGGACCATAACCCATTGATGCCAATGCAAGCGTAAAACTCCGAGTGCCGAATTTTCTTCCACTGTCCTTCCCATGCTTCGCGCAACGAAAAAGCCTCCCGTTTAGGATCTGGGCTTCTCCTTCTTCTCCTTCCACAGAGCGAGCAGACCGACACCAGAGACCTTGACGACCTTGAAACGGACACCGGGAATATCACCCTTGGCCTTGCCCTTGCGACCGAAACCGGCCAGGAGGACCTCGTCGTTCTCGTCGACGAAGTTCAAGCAACCGTCGTTGGGGACTAGAAATCACACAAAATGTCAGCACTTCAGTTCCCTTCGCTACATGGTCTCATTCGGGACCAGGTTTTCTTTTTGCGTTCTCTTGTTCGTCGTTCGAGAATCGTATGTTGGGGGTATTCGGGAGAGGGTGTATCCTACCGAAAGCAGTGACCTTCTTGCCGTTCTTGATCAACTGAACACGAACGCACTTTCGGATAGCGGAGTTGGGCTGCTTGGCCTCGACACCGACCTTCTCGAGGACGATGCCCTTGGCGTGGGAGGAACCACCGAAGGGGGAGGACTTGAAAGCGGTACCGAGGGCACGCTTCTTGTATCCGAGATCGGCCCACTTCTGGTCCTTACGGTTCATGCGCAGCTTGCGCGCCGCATTGAGTCCACGAGGCATGTTGGCTGGATGAGACTATTGTCAGTTGAAAAAGTTCCTAGAGGGGCAGTTGTGTGGTGGTGGTGGCAATCGAGATTTCGTCGTCGAAATTGTTGAAATTTTTTTTGCTCGGGAAATTCGTCGTCGATGGGTTGGAGATTCTGGATGGGACAGCGCAAACGTACCGATGTGTTGGGGGGTATCGCGGGAATTGACTTGGTGGTGGTGATAGTGCCTGACTGCTTCTTCGCGAAAAGTGGTATCCTCAGATTTGTCCGACGACAGCTTTTTCGGCACACAGAGGGTTTGTGCCCTTCGGTGGGAGGAGCGTGATTTTTCGTCACGTGATCCTCACCCGTGCGTTTCCTTCTTTGCTTTAGGAGCGGAAGAAGGCCGGGTCTGGAAGTCGAAAAGTGGGGTCAGGTTCACCCAACCACGGCCGGTTTTGCTTTCAACCACTTTGGTCCTCCCGGAGCTCGAACCCCACGCTGCTGACCGTACCGTCTTAGCCAGGGGTGTCCCCAAGGTCCACAGCTTAAGGTACCTCAACTACCTAAACCCAACCAATCCTATCAGATGCCGTCAAGTTCAAGAGAAGCTGTCTCAGACGCCAAGTCCCGAGCTTGGAATGTTCACGACGACACACAAAATGTAGGCATGTCTCAATCAGCCAAGAGCAAAGGGAAACAGCGCGACCCTCCGCCGTCTCTGTTCCTTCATCCATCTCCGGCCGCCTCTCATGCCTCGTTACCGGGTATACTTGCGCCTGGAGCGCCAGCCACTTCGTCCGCTGGCGTCCCACCTCTCCCTCAGCAGGCCATGAATATCCAACGAAATGGATCCCTTCATACGGGCTCGGTAGTCGCGCCATCCGTTGCACGCCCTGTCCGGAATCTCAAGACCGCCGACAGCGCCCGGAGCAGCGACAGGACCGACGCGCTATGGGCAGAGATGCAGGCGACACTCGAGGAGGTCGAACTCTCGGCGTCAGGTGGAACTCACGTGTTTGGGCCTGATCACGATCGCAAGCTGGAGGAGCTGAGGACGGCGCAGATCGACCTGGCACAGGCGTGGGCACGAAGTGAAGCCGATGAGGCCATCGAGATGACGGGCCAGCGCTCCAACACGTCAGCAGCCGGGGGCGAGGAGGTCCGCAACCTCAAGAGCGCAGTGCTCGGAGAGACGAGCGGCGTGGCGTCAGATGGCAACGAGGGACCGCGGAGCACGGGAAGCAACAATGGGCGACCAGGCAGCAGCGGGGGCACGGAGCGACTCGGTGCGAAACTCGAGCAGGAGACAGAGGTGGACATTTTGCTCGCACGAAAGAGGCGCGAGGCCAACGATCGGTACTTCCAACGAGTCAACAAAGGTGTCCTCGACGTTGTTGCCAAACTCGAACACGTTGCTGTTGCGATGCGGGCTGTTGAGCAGGAGACTAAGGATATCTGGGGCGAGAATGACAGCGCGACGGGCAGTGCGAAGGGGTAGAGACAACCCGGTGATCTTGCTGTGTTTTGTTTGTCCTTTTACCTGAAGCATCACCCGGGGCCTCTGTATTACACTAGCCTTGATTCTTTGCATGCTCGGGAAGGAGTTTCGTTGTTTGGTGGTTTATGGGTCGGCGTTGAGGATCACATGCATTGGGCGGTAGCACCCCACCAACGTCAGGTTGATAGATTGGCACTGGATGCCTATAGTATTAATTGATATCTCTAAGCCAGCTCAACGTTCCTGTTCGGGCTTTGTGAGGCGACCAACGAGGTCCACACAGTCCAGACCAGCAAAGAACGACAAGCTGAAGATCACACCGGAACATCGAGCTCCATCGTCGGAGGAGCCGGATGAAGTCGCACACATAAGTCGGCTGGTGACGTCTGACGGTACAATGGCTTGCCTATCGCTGTCACCCATCGCTAAATTGTTCTGAGTCTGCAGCGGGAGATGCGGGTGCACCAAGCGGTCGATGGAGCCATCGAATGTGGTCGTTACACCTAGAAGTTCTACGCAATATTACACATTGCTACTATGTACGAGGTGGCACGTTGGGACAGGTGAAGTTGGTGAAGGTGTGCGGAGTATCGGAGCCCGAGATTGGTCTATGTCGCTATATTTCCGCTGGTGACCTTCCTCACAGGGAAGGCCGAGTCCTCCATGGCGGGACGACGGAGAGCACCCGTGACCGGAGGCGGAGGAAACAGCAAAGTGGGACTTTTGTTGCATGTCACCGATTTGAATCCGCGCCAAGACCCTTGCCACTCCATACAGTTGATGTGCTGCACGCTGAACGGACGGATAGTTTCTGTTATGTACCCACGTACCTTACCTAACGAAGACTCAAGAGTCGGACGGAAATGCTGGCGAAAAGAGAAAAGAATAGGTTGCACACGTGCATACTGCTTGCTAACGCTACCAGGTTGTCCCATTATTGCCGGTTCCCACACCATTCTAGACGCAGACAACTGACGTATGTTACTGGCTGGAGCCTGGCAAACTGGACGGAAAAGAGTGACAAACAGCAATGGAACACCTCCACTACTTTTGAGAGGGACCACCACGGCTGACGGCGCTCCCTACTGGGCAGGTGGTCAACTAAGGTTCGGCTGGTGATTGCCCATCCCAGGTGTCTTCCGCGCTGTGTCCCCATCCATTCAGCGGTCACTGGTCAGTCACCCTGCCATGACAAAGGGGAACCCAAACGTCCATTCGATATCCATCAAGGCCCAGTACAGTCCGTCCACGTCCAACTTGCTGAACTTCCTCCCTGCATCCACCCGTCCTTCACCAATCCGCGAGTCTCCAGCAACCTTCTCCAGTAGCTCGCAAGCAACGATTAAATAACCGCAAACTCCCCACAAGACCCTTGAGCGCATTCGTCAATCATACTACCTACCCTACAACACTGACACTGACACTACCCTCATCCTCGACTTTGATCAATCGCCGCAAAATCAGACTCTCAATACCGACCCGCATCGACATCCGCGATCGCAAAGAACTTCATTCCACCCCTTTTCGACGACTTCAACCACACTCCGCAATCATGAGACCCTCCACCTTCCTCGTCGCCGCTATGGCTGTTGTTCCCGGTGTTCTCGCCGTCGACCAGATGAAGTCCGTCATCGTCTGGGCCAAAACCGATTCCGTCGGTGACGACATCATTCAGAGGGCGAAGCAATCCATCATCGATGCCGGCGGTCAGATCACCCATACCTACTCTATGATTAGGTGAGGCATTACTTTGGCATCGGCTTGAGGTTTTTGAATCGCGGCTAACAACGATCAGGGGATTTGCCGCCGTCACACCTGCCAAGGTCCTTGAATCTGTTCAAGCCTTTAGCGAGAGCCTCACAATCGAAGAGGACCACACCGTCACCAACTCCGTATAGATGTTAGCCTCATTATCAAACCAAGTTGTTCATCGGTCGGCATAACCGGCGACAGACAATTTGCGAAGCATGCATCTGGTGAAAGATACAACAATGTGCGAAAAGGGACTTTGGCTGGACTAGGTCACGAGGACAATGATATCCGCCGCCTTTCCCGGCGGCCGCGACAGGGACAAGCGAGGGGGCACTCATAATTACCATTGCCGTCATAGACGATTTATCACTACGGAGTCGGGAGTTTTCATCGATGAGAAGTGCCTCGGGGGCATCTTTTTCTGTATGGCTACAGCGAGGCTTGAACCGCACTTGGTTCAATCCTGCTCGACGCCTCAAAAACAAGACCGAAAATCAAAATCACAGCATACCTACTCATGACTTTAGTCCTTGCCTCGATTATTCCGCCACGTGTACGGGGATCCTTTTCAACTGACGGCCGCTTTATTTTGTACAGTGCTGACGTCGTGGCGTTCTACGATGATGTATTCCAGGTTCCGCATGCGGCTGACATCCACACAATAACAGTAGCGAGAGATCTAGGTAAGCCTTGCGTGAACCCTTTCGACCTTCGAGAACCAATCCCTAAGGTGATGTACCTGATGAGTGGGGGATTCATGTGCGGCACGGAAAGCAGATGTGCAGATCAAAAGCGGATTTCTGCGTCCTCTAGCCTCCCCACTGCCGGCCAAGGATGCTGATTCAGCTTTATGCTAGGGATATAACTGTCGCTAAAAGGCACAAGATTTCTTGATATCTCGAGGCATCGTCTAGAGTGTTATACTGCTGCAGGTGCTTGATTGCAGTGACGCAGCATGCTGCAACACACCTCCTATTGCAGGACAAGTCGGCGGTCTCCTCACGGGATGAAAGCCCGGTGTTTCTGATACCTCGCGTAATGCTCCAATTGGGTTGGGCAGAAAAAGCACCTGGCAATCTCAGACTCACAGACGTGTCAAAGCGCAATGTGGGGGGATACTTTTTGGAAAGCCACCAGGCTCTGAAGATGATGCAGTCAGTCTGTCACTAGTCGACGAGAGACCTGAAGGGGGGCTGAAGAGGGAATCCTTCAGTCTGCGTGCCTGCATATCTTGGGTATATCCGTAGGTATAATGGTGCTCTTTAGTTCGGCACAGAACCGTGGAGAAGGGTCCAAAGCGAACTGGTTGCAACCCTACGATGGATGACCAACCTCGTCAAGCTTTCGTGGAGAAGTCCATACCGTATCGACGGGATGGCAAGATCGTCCTTGATTTCGGTAACCGTATCCGTACTGTAGGCTCTGCCGGCCACGAAGGGAGGCATCACCATCAGAAGGGTGGTTGGTTGTCGAGTAATGACACAGGACCATCCGAGAAGATGACCTGGAGTCTGTGCTTATGGCTACAGAAATAGAGCAGTTTGAACCATGTTCGGTCGTGTTTGACAAGAAAAGCACTTTTCGACTGATGTTGACTTTGAACAAGAATCCGAGGTTCTCGGTGACCATGTGCAAACAATGCTATTGTTCTTCAACCTAGCTTTGTGGACTTGGTCTCAAGGAGCCTTTCACCAAAAGAAATCCTCACTCCAGAAAGAAAAGCAAGAAAGAAAGGTGGCTTCTCAGCCATCAGCCCTCCCACGTTGCCGCCAAAGAAAGACCCAACGGTGCTGTCACCAATGGAAGCCTTTGAAGATTGTCGAAGACTCGAATGCATAGGGACTGCCCCACTGTAACATCGGGTCAACCCCTGGCAGTCCGTCCCGCTTCGCGTCACTTGGAGTTTCGGGCTTGAGGGCGGGAGGTACCTTAATAGAAAAACGGACAGGAGGATTGTATCTTTTCGCTGTGCGTTTGTCACCAATGTGCCGGGTCCAAAAGGGATCAATACCTACCTCTAGGCAAGCTCAGGTACCTCTGATAATAAGCTGACGGATGGGCGGTAGTTGCGCAACACGCGCTAAGAATTTCCTAGGGCCTACCTTAGCTGCCTTTGGCAATCGATAAGGAGGCCCAGGGAGCTTACCTACCTTAGTTGATGCAGGTCATGCAAGATTGAGTGTGGGTTCGACAGGAGGGAGCGGACGCCAGACGTGAACAATGCGCCTGTCTTTTTTGGCTTTTTGGGACGACAAGCCAAGCACCCGCGAACAAGAGACACATCCCTCTTTTTTTAATTTTGCTGCTGCTGCTGCCGCCCTTGTCTCATACGACTGTGCGTAAACAAGGCCTCTATTCTCCTTACATTTCCCTTTCCACCGCCCTTCCCTCGGCCGACGAGGCTATTTCCTACCTACTCTGACCTGAACCTTTAATATCCCGTCAACCGCCGCTTCCTCCACCCCTAGCCGGAAAACGCCCCCTTTGCGATGAGAGCTTCCCGGGCCCATGGAACCACATTTCCCCTGCCCGCTTTGACTTGCAACAAGCACGAACACGACTGCAAAACGTTGTGGAACCGCGCGGGAGCCCTTTCGCCTTTTCCCACGTGCTCCAGCTCCAACCCATAAGGTACTTTACCTAGAGATACCTCACTAGCCTAGAAACATCTACGAAACTACGACGAAAGACGACCACGAAGACGACGAACGGTTACGACACGGAAGAACGGGCATCATGCCGTACTCAGGAAGCGCGCAGGCCGCGCTGGTGCAATGGGTAAGTCGCCGTGCTTTGCGCTCCCCTCCATATACATCTTCTCCCCCTTGTGTCCCTCCGATGGGTCACTTCCCTTTCCCCAGTGTTGTCACTGACCGCTTCGTTTACGCCGTTCCAACATTATGCTGACTTAATGCTCGTTGCACAGGCAAACACATTTCCCCTGGATGGCCAGGCAGACTCAATATCAGATTTCCTCGACGGACACCTGCTGTCCAAGGTCCTTCAAGCCCTCGACCCCTCCTTCGACTCCAATACCACCGAGGGCGAGCTATACGATGTCTACAAGGGCATACAGAGGCTAGTATATCGCGAGTGTCCGGGGCTTATTGGGCAGACCAAGCTTGCCGACATCAGACCCAGGGCGAGAGAAGCGCAGCCGGAGGCCATCAGTAAGGTATGCAACTATCCGTGTCCAGCCCAGATACCCTTGTTCCGGCGCCGGGAACGCAAGTTCAAGCTAACGCAATGTTCTACTCAGCTCCTTGCCGTGCTATTTGCTGTTGCAATGCTTGGTAGCAACAACGAGCGATGGGTCACCCGTATCACCCAGGATATATCCGACAAGACGGTCCTCATGCAGCTTCAGCGGGTCACCCAAGACATGAGTACAGCTATCAACGATGCCGAGGCGGCGGACGTAGAAGAAATCTCCGAGATTACCGAAAGCCACGATGTCGATCTTGCAATGGAAGCCGACAACATACGCCTCCGCTCTGACCTGGACAAGAAGGGAAAGTTGCTCGCAGATATGGAAACGCGCTTGGGCCACCTGCAGGAAAGTTACGACGATCTGAAAGAGGAGGTTGTTCGCAAGGGCAGGGAGCTTGAGGCGTTCCACGATGCCCAAGACGGTGCTGGCAAGGAGGTCATCAGGTCGCTCGAGCTGAAGCTGCGTGAGCAGGACGAGCTTATTGCCAACCAGGAGGCGCAGGCTGAAGATGATCGTATAGCCAAGGAGCGGCTAACGAGCGAAGTCTCGGCACTCAAAGCCAAGACGCAGAAGCTTGAGACGCTTGACGATGAGGTCAAGGAGCTACGCTTCAAGAATGAAGAATTGTCCCGTAAGGCCAACATGGTTGAGCGGTACAAGCAGAAGCTTGAGGCGCAGTCCACGTTGTCAAAAGAGATGGACAATTTACTTTACGAAAAGGAGCAGATGCAGCGCGATCTCATTGAGTACGAGAAAGTTCTGAAGAGAAATCAGGCCTTGGAGCAGACCAACGAGCAGTACGCTTCAAAGCTCAGAGATTACGAGCTGCAGTACGTTGAGTTGGATGCTCAGCGACGGGCTCTTCACGATGACACTATGCAGTTGAGAGCTCGACTCGCAACGCTCGATGCGCAGCGTCTCTCCGATGAGCACCTCATCTCCGAGCTGCAGGAGCAGATCAACTCGGGGTCCCCGGGTGCTCTGTCTCCCGACGCTGGCACTGCGGGCTTCAGTCTCGAGCAGGAGCTTGAGGGTGTTAGCAGCGCCGCCCCACCCAACCTCAGCCTCGAGGTCTCTCGTCTCAAGGCAGAGAACAACTTGCTGCGGAACGGTATGGGATCTGGGCCAGAAAACACTCGATTGCGTCAGGAGCTCGAGGAGGAGCGTAGGCAACGTGAACGTATCCAGGGGACTTACAACGACACCTTCGAGAAGCACCAGATTGCGGAGGCCCAAATCAGCGCTCTGATCGAGAGCAGTGGCGAAAAGTTAGTTGAAATCGTTGACACAGCTATGCGACTAGGCGTGGGCAAAGTGCTAACTCAAGAATTCCACCACAGCGAGGTGCTAGCCAACCTGAGAATCCAACTTGCTCAAAAGGCCCATGAACTTGAGAGTGAGAGAAGGAAGAACAGCGAGATTCAAGCTCAGCTCTCTGACAAGGATCGCGAGCTCCTCAGCGCAAGGACCGATCTCTCAGCCGTCGCAAAGGATAGCGTTGATGCCCTTGAGGAACTCAAGTCTACTGACCAACTCATTTCCGGTTCAATCCGCGAAGAACTCGAGGCAGCGCGCCAACAGCTCAAAAACCTCGGTACTGACCTCGAAGAACAGCGGAGCTCACTTATCAACGCCCTGCTTGAGAAAGACAAGCTCCGAAAAGACCTCGACGAGGCCAAGGATGGCACGAGTGCCGAGCCGACAGAGGCCGCCCAGAAGCTCCAGGAGAAGGTTGATAAATTGCGTGTTAGACTCAAGGAGCGCCAATCGGTGAGTTCCCTCAGATCTCTTGCAAACGCCCTAGCCCTACAAAATCGAAATGCCGAAGGCGGTATGCCCCAGATTCCCGGTACCCCGTCCGGAGCTGTCTTGTATGATAGCCGCCCGAATGCTCGAATTTTAGTCCCTACGTGTCATCCCCATCTTAGCCTGCCTGCCCAAGCACCAAAATCTCCTTTGATTCTAAGACCGAGAGTGAGCTGGTGGAGGAAGGTCTTCAGGCGGTCAAAGTCGTCCACTTGATAGCCCTTTGAATCGGGAATCATGAGATGAGGGGTTCATGGCTGACGGTTTTTTTGTTTTTCAGCAACTGGAGAAATCCGAGCAGGATAAATACGACTTGCAGCGGAAGCTCAAGGCAGCCGAAGGCGGAGAAGCTGCCGCGGCCCAGAAGGTACGTTTCTATCATGCTATAACGGTCCCAATTACTCTACACTGGGCTTGAACATGATCACGAGGGTGAACCGGGTCGGCTGACAGAGGCGGCGTTCAACAGGCTGCAAGCGATCAAATTATCAAGAACCTCCAGCGCGAGAACGCACTTATTGCGACGGCGTGGTACGATCTTACTAGCCGTATTCAGAGCAACCACGTCGTCTTGCAAAGGCGGACTGAAGCCCCCAAGAGCTGGCTGGGCAAACAAAGGCAGATGGTCAATGGTTAGTGTTATGTCTTTTTGATGCCGGGACACGAGTATTTGAAGACTGACTGTCTACACCCATAGCCACTCCTAGGAGATGAGGCAACCTTCAGCTCCCCGAATCCATAGCCTTGCATTGTCCTGCGCACCGCATGATGACTTGGCTCCTCTTCACTTAACATATCCACGTTCACATTACAGCCCTTGGCGAGAAATAGCAACCTACCCTTACCTCGACCTTACCTCATCTTGCGCTGGAGTGAGAGAACATCTCGGCGTCGGTTTCCCACTGTATTCTTTTTCTACTTCCTCCTTCCGTGTCTTAGCGAGATAAAGGGGATGGCTTGGCTGGCCTGCATCTCGGGTACCATTGCATTGCACTGCGCCGGTGGCTGGGCGGTATTCTGTCTCCTCTTCTTCATCTTCCCCATTTATACTTTTATCAAGTCCGTTTTCTTCCTGCAGCCTTATCATACTCTTCAACTTTTGTGTATAGCTTTTTCTAGCGCGCGAGAGGTTTGCAAGCCTGTGGTCTTCCCGTTTTCGTGGCAACGCAGGTACTCTTTCTGGTGACTTGGGAATAGAATCGAATCTTCATTAACACCAAATTCTACTCTTCGGGACCATGATATCGGTGCATGATTGTATGTCGCCTGTGTCATTTAACAAAGTGACATGACCATCTCGCGCTCAACGTCGTTGCACGCTCCGTTCTACCGGCTTCTGTGTGAACCGACTCGTCAGCGGAGTACTCACCATCCGAAGATTCCGGATCTGCGTAACGAAGTGAGTAAGTGAGTCGGCATTGAACGTGAGCAACTGCAGACCCCCCCTTTCTCAGGACTCGAGAAGCCAAGACCCCATGATCATACACCGTCATCGGTACTTCGCTGTTCCGACTTGAAAATATATTGGCCGCTCAGTCGGGTTCATCGGATGTCGCTGACAGAAGAATCGGATGTGGTACCTCGGGGTATGAGACCTTTGTCAGTCCGGGGGTTCGCTGTGGTCCGGGTCGGCATCGGGGGGGCGCCCCGCGGCCCCACTCATTTCGCTTCTTTGAGAAGCGCCGACGAAGCCCGAATCCGGCCAGCGTGTTCCCTTTTTCCCAACTACGCGTTTCCAGTCGTCTGCGTCGCGATTTAGGGAAATAGAGGCATGACATCACGGCGTCAATGTGTCAAACATTATGAGCAAAACAGACATGGAGAGCACATGGACTAATGGAGACCATAGGACCAAAAAGTGCGAGGCCATCCAACTGCTAACCGCCGGTTTTGGTTATTAGTGAGACAATAAAGTTGTTGTTTTACATACAAGCGTGCGACGGAAGGGGTTTTCTACACGGTACAACTAATCCTAGCCACGTTGACGCAAAAAAAAGACATAAACCAGCCCAGTCCTGTTGATTTCAACAGCTTCGGGGGGCGGACGAGGACGAGTCCTTTCCAGTCCATTTCATGATCCATAAAAGAGTCCCATAAAAAAGTTCCTCCGATCCACGCCCTCCTTTCTTCTGGTCATATCGTTGATACAGAAGATAGAGGGCTAAAGTAAGAGACGCTGTTAATGAAGACCTTTTTCTCCGTTCCCTCCTGATCGGCTTGTGGTGCGCAGCGGCCGGGGGGCTGTGGACGGGGCGACGCGCTGGCGGGAGCAAAGGCTGGGAAGCCTGTGCCCGCTTAGTTCTTTCCGGCGATGCGGCTCAGAATGCCGGAGGCATGACCACCCTTGCGCTGCTCGTCAAAGACCTCAAGCATGTTCTTCCATACCTGGCCGGGCTGCTGCGACGCGTCGAGACCCTTCCAGATACCGTTCTGCTTGTAGTAGTTGACGACGGGGGCGGTCTGGGCGTGGTAGGTGGCAAGACGCTTCTTCAGGGCCTCGGCGTTGTCGTCGCTGCGCTGGATGAGGGGCTCGCCGGTGATGTCGTCCTTCATGTACTCCTTGGGAGGGTTGAAGGTGCTGTGGTAGCTGCGACCGCTGGCGGGGTGGACGAGGCGGCCAGTGATACGAGCGACGAGCAATGAGTCGTCGATCTGGAGCTCAACGGCGTGCTGAAGCGTCTGGTTGCGAGCCTTGAGCATGGTGTCGAGGCCCTCGGCTTGGGGGACGGTACGAGGGAAACCGTCGAGGATGAAGCTACGTCGTTCTAGTTAGCAATGCTTACTCAGTTGTGGCTAGTTGACCGTCAGGCCGGTTCTCTGGCAGAACAAAGATGTGCCATACCCTCCCTTGCACTCCTTGTTGTTGTCGAGCTCCTCCTTGATCATGCCAATGACGATGTCATCGCTGACCAGACCGCCCTGGTCCATGATCTTCTTAGCTTCCCGGCCGAGCGGAGTCTTCTTGGCGACCTGGGATCGCAGCATGTCGCCAGTGGCCTGCGAGTGTGATGGACGATTAGAAATGATCTAGAGCATAGCAGCAGGCACAGACAATGTCAATTGACTTACCAAGTGGCAGCAGTTGAACTTCTCCTTGATCTTGGGGGCTTGAGTGCCCTTGCCTGCGCGGAATACCATCATCAGTACGACTGTCGCGACACAAATAGCACGTGCGAAAATGCTCAATTGGAGCTACATACCGGCACCGGGGGGGCCGATGAGGATCATGCGAACCTCCTCGGTAGAGAGCTTGCCGGAACCGCCAGCTGCGCGGTCCTCCAGAGACTTGATTCTGGACTCGAGGCTCTCGACCGTGTTGGTCAGCTTCTTGACTGCTTCCTCAACGAGACTGCTCATTTTGACGGTTGGTGAAGGTATTGATATGGCCGGACCGAGGCTAACGATAGGAGGGAGGAGCAGCAAAGAGATGCACGAGTGTGGCTACGAGGGAGAAAGGAGGAAGAGAGGAGAGGAGAGGATGATGGAGTCGAGGTCGAAAGTTGGACTGGGGGGAGCAGTGCGAACTAAAGCTTTTGCGGGAAAAATGATTGCGAGAGAGGTTGAGAAATCGCTGCAAGGTCCTGACAGGCCAAGTCGTCCAGGTTCCGCCTCCAGTTTGTGCCAGGTACCGCCTACATCGTACCGAGCTTTGCGCTTTCCACGGCCCCGTTGAGTGCAGGTGACAGGCCACTGAGCGGCCCCAGTGCAGGAATGGGGGCTGGTCATTGGCCAGAGTGGTCCTCCGAGGGACTGCTGGACTTTCTGCTGGGGAACAGGGTGGCAGGCGTTCGTTCGGCTGTTTCGCAGCGTAACAGCGCCCTCCATATTTCCGCCTTGGTGCCACTGCGTGCGCTTCCGTTACAGCGCTCCGGCTGCTATTGGCTCGTCCTCGCCGTTGCCTCTCCGCCGAGGTCCAGCGCGGATACGTACTGTCTACATCGGGGGATAGTACCGCGAGCCATTGGGGCCTGCTCAGTGTTCGCGGCCCGGCTAGGTAGCTTGCGGATAAGGCACGGCATCAGAAGCTCTCGAGAATGGTCCCCCGGCGCACCGGATGGGAAGCCATGTATGAGGTCACTGGGTCAAGATTTTTTGTTTTCCAAGTGTTTTTTGGTGCATTTGGTGCCTTTTGATGCGGCATGTGAGTCTCTTGGGGTCATCCCAGTCACCCGCAATTCTCCGAACGCCTCACTTGACTTCGTGTCCATCTGTTACTTGTCACCTTAAGGTTGGCTATTCCTGACGGAAATAAGTCCGTCGTCGAGTTCCTCAGTCAGCGAGTTACTGTGTTACTGAGCACGGAATGAAGAGAATATCGCAGGCCGATTGCGGACTCGACCGGCTGGGTCCTTTTTCAGAGATCTTGTCCAATGAACAAATTTCGGACGTGCGCTTCCATTCCCTGCGCGCTGTCGCACGGCCCGAGCTGTGGCTGGTCGCTGCTTGCGGCTCAATACTTGTGGCTAGGATCTTGCTGATTCAGACAGAACTTTCCCACGTGACCAGGCGAGGCTCGAGCTTCCAATTGCTTGCGCCTAGGCCCGATTCGTAGCTTAGCTGGGCGGGAAGGCAGCCTTAGCAGTTACGACACCACCACCACCATCACATACCCTGCCTCTACTACACCCACCACAACCCAAAACCACCACCGATTCAGCAACCCTCTATCTTCCCCCGAACCCGAACCAATCGACCTAACGAAGCTACGAAATCCCTCTATCATGCCTGCCACCACCGCGGAGACTCTGTCTCTCGTTCAGCGGAATGTCTCCGTTGCCCCTCTCGTGCTTCTTTCCGTCGTCGACCACTACAATCGCGCGGTAGCCAAGGGATCGAAACGGAGAGTGGTGGGCGTTCTGCTAGGCTCAAATGACGGAAACAATGTCCGCGTATCCAACAGTTTCGCAGGTAAGGACTACTCTAGCGGAAGCTATCCATCTAGGTCATCCCCGCGGTACTAATCCATGCTCGCAGTGCCGTTCGAGGAAGATGACAAGGACCCCTCAGTGTGGTTCTTGGACCACAACTACGTCGAGGGAATGAACGATATGTTCAAGAAGGTCAACGCAAGAGAAAAGCTGATCGGCTGGTACCACTCCGGCCCCAAGCTGCGGGCGTCCGATCTCGAGATCAACGAGCTGTTCAAGCGCTACACCCCCAACCCTCTCCTAGTCATCATTGACGTCCAGCCGAAGGAGGCAGGTGTGCCGACGGACGCATACTTCGCCGTCGAAGAGATCAAGGATGTGAGTGGCGTTAGGTTGTGTCGTACGAAGCCACTGCTAACACAAATGACTATAGGACGGTACCACCACATCAAGAACCTTCGTCCATACCCCGTCGATCATCGAGGCCGAGGAAGCAGAGGAGATTGGTGTCGAGCACCTCCTTCGTGACATCCGCGATGTCGCTGTTGGAACCCTCTCGACGAGAATAACAAACCAGCTTCAGTCACTCCAAGGGCTGCACCTTCGCCTCCGCGATATCGGTGCCTACCTCCAGAAGGTTCTCGACGGCCAGCTACCCGTGAACCACGCCATCCTGGGCAACCTGCAGGATGTCTTCAACCTCCTTCCCAACCTGTCCACGCCAAAGGCCGATGGCAAGTCGAGCGGCGGCGAGCTCTCTCACGCCATGAGCATCAAGACCAACGACCAGCTCATGGCCATCTACCTCAGCAGTTTGATCCGCGCCATCACTGCCTTCCACGACCTTATCGAAAACAAGATCCAGAACCGACAGCAGGCAGAGGAGAAGGAGGCCAAGAAGGAGGAGGAGGCGAACGGCAAGGACGGAAAGAAGGACGACAAGGCGAACGGCGTAAACGGTGAGAGCAAGGAGGCCTCTGACAAGGAGAAGGAGGCAAAGAAGGAGAAGAAATAGAGGACTGCGCGACGACGCAGTGGACGGAGAAACCACACGCATTCAAAACACGGGAACTGATACCCGCGATAGACACTGGGGCGTGGGCATGTCATAATATCTCGGCGTCCTGGGGGGCAAGGCCGGGGAGGGAACAGGCAAATTCACAAGAAAAGAGTATGCCTTGTACAATGATAGCATGTTTTGACTGATGCTCTGAGACTTCCCCCGTGTTACTTTTCATTCAAGTGCTACACTGTCGGGTGACTACACATCCGCAACTAACCCCGCCATCTCCTCCCTGCTCACTCTCCTCTCGGTGACATATTTCCCCAAAGTATCCGCCCACTGCTCGGAGAGAAGACAGGCGAGCAGGTGTTTGCAGCAAGGCACACCGCCATCATCCATGCCGTCCAAACTCAGGCCTCCAAACTGCCAGTCACTCGCCTCGCTGTTGTCGCCATCCACGTTGTCCTCGGCTTCATCTGCGCCCATGATGACCAGGTCCGGATCTACATCACGCCCGCCGCCGCTGACGACTGCCGGAAATGCTTCATACGCAAAGTTGGCGCAGGAGCAGTTCCAGGCGTCGAGGTGGACGAGGTATGTCGTCGACGCGGAGGCTGACGTCGCGACGGCGTGGTGTCTGCGGGTCATTGTCGAGGCTACGGAGCGGACGAGGTGGAATGCTGCGGCGGCGGCTGCTGGAGGTTGGGTTGTTGCTGGTTGGAGGCGGGGTGGTGGTGGTGAGGACCCCTGTCCATCGGCGACCGCTTCGGACGCGGTGTCGTTGGGATTGGTACTGGGTTGATGTTGGAGGGCGGCGGGTGCGGGGTTGGTGGGGTTGTTTCGTTCCCGGTGGCCGTGGCCGTGGCCGAGGCCGGCGGAGGGAGGGGTGGTAGTCTCCGGGACTACGCGCGTGACGAGGTTCCGGTCTAGGAGGTCTAGGGCCGGGAGGACGAGGGAGGGGAAGAGGACGTGGAGGGTTACCAGGAGCGGACGGTGGGATTTTGGGAGGGTTTTGAGGGGGTTTGCTGCATCGGCTGCGTTGTTGTTGCTGGTGCCGGCGGTGTTCGCTGACGGTGGTGGTAGAGGGGCCGAGGTGAGGGAGTTGATGAGGTTCGTGATGACAACTCGGGGTGTTGGCAGAGTGTCTGGCTGCGTTGATGCCGGTGAGAAAGAAGACATGGCATAGCCCGCCTGCCCTACTTCTGGGCTCAGACAGTTGAACGATGAGAGTATTGAGAGATGAAAGTTTCGGTTGACCGATCGAGGTTTGTAATGTGCTGCCTGGTTCACAGGTGTAAGGCTCATCAGCCAGAACGCGTAGTCACCGAATTTGGCTCCGGATTGTACGCCCCAAATGAGATGGAAGTCTGCATTCCCCAGCTTTGCCACAAATGAGGTTTTTATTAGTCAAATATTTGTCCGAAGCTGGAATACCAAAACTCCGAAGCAATCAAGACGCAAGGTGATGAACAGAAGAAAATGTCTCTTTTGAGTTTTGCCGCCTTACAGCTTTTGTCTAATAATCACATTATGTCCGCCGCAAAATTTGGCATAATCTTACAGCAAATATCGCTCGCATCCGGTGCTCCGTAACCAGGTTCCCTCTTCTCCCCCTTCCCCCATTTCTTCAGCACTTCCTCTAAACCCACTCCTTGGGCGCTCTGAGGACATCCACGAGGCGTTGCTCGCGGCTCTTGGGCTCGGGCTCATGCATGTACTTCCAGCTGGCCGTCAGGGGCAGACTCATGAGGATACTCTCGACTCTGGAGCCGGGGGTGTTGAGGCCAAAGGCGGTGCCGCGGTCGTGGACCAGGTTGAACTCGACGTACTTGCCTCTGCGGATCTGCTGCCAGTCCTTCTCGGCCTCGTTGAAGGGCATGTCCTTTCTCTTCTCGAGGATGGGGAGGTAGCCGGGCAGGAAGGACTTGAGGCAGTCCTGGATGAAGGCGAAAGTGTTCTCGCGGTCCTTTTCGGTCTCGTCGAGGTCGTCAAAGAAGATGCCGCCGACGCCGCGGCACTCGCCGCGGTGCTTGTTGTAAAAGTACTCGTCGCACCACTTCTTGAAGCGCGGGTAGTAGCTCTTGTCGTGCGAGTCGCACGTCTCCTTGAGCGTCTTGTGGAAGTGCACGGCGTCCTCGTCAAAGAGGTAGGACGGGGTCAGGTCGCTGCCGCCGCCGAACCACCAGGCCTGGGAGGTGCCGTCGGGGTTCGACGTCTCAAAGTAGCGGTAGTTGAGGTGAACCGTCGGGGCCATGGGGTTCTTGGGGTGCAGGACCATGCTGAGGCCGGCGGCGAAGAAGGGGAGGGAGTCGACGTTGTCGTCGAGGTTCTTGTGGTTCACGCGCATCTTGGCGATGGCGGGCTTGGGGAGGGTGCCGTAGACGACGGACACGCCGACGCCGCCCTTCTCAAAGACGTTGCCGTCCTGGAGCACGCAGGTGATGCCGCCGCCGCCCTCTTTGCGGTTCCATTCGTCCTTGCGGAACTTGGTGCCGTCGACCTTTTCGAGCTCCTTGACGATGATCTGTTGCTGTTCCTTGATGAACTTTTCCATGCGCAGGCGCATGGGCGAGTCGACGGTGACTTCGGACTCCCGCTTGGTCAGGGCATCGCGCTCGGCCAGGGTCGGCGGATCGAGTTGGAAGGGTTCTTGGACGGCCTGGATCGGAGAGTGATGTTAGCGACGGGCGAGCTTTGATGCATCGATGGGAAAGGCGGAAGCTCCGGCATTGGGGGAGGTAATTTGGGTTCGTGGTGGTGAAGGGTATATGTTGCAGTACCATCTTGTAGGCGATGGGAGCTGCAGCAGCAAGACCAATTGCGCCAATGAGGAAGCGGCTATAAGCGGCACCGGACTGTTGACCCTTGAAATGGGACTTTGAAGAGGAGGAGACGAGTCTGCGACTGAATTGAAGCTGTTGCGGCTTGGTGGTGATGGCGACTCTAGTTCGAGAACTGGCGAATTGTGCAAGCAACCTCTGTGATTGCTTTGTGGATGCCATGATGGGCGAAAGGAATATAAATACAAACTCTATAATGGGAACGAACAACGAAGAAAAGAGCGACTTGGGTTGTTACAGGGAGGGAAAATCGGATGATTCGTTCTCAAGTGAGAGGCATAAGACCACTGGGTTGCAATCATGGACTGACTGGAACGTCGTTCGAGGATTGAGCCAGTCAGGCCAGCTGTAAAAGTAAATTGCGAAATCGTTCCACGTTGGTTAGGTGCGGGACCCCTGTCGCCCTTGCGCCGACCCAACGGAGCAGCACTGCACCTCAGCACTGGAGCTGTCCATCCAGCGCATCCACAGCCTGGACCGGGCCCTATGCCGGCTCTGGGCCGCTGGAGAGGTGGGGTGAGGGCCAGTGAGTCCGAGAATCGTGCATCTGCCGCCGAACGCCGGACATGCTTCAACGGACCAAGACGCGGTGAGGAATCGCCCCTGTATTGCTGCATGCTTATTTGTAGCTGTCATAGACCTGCAAAGTGATGGCCTTCGTCCAACCGTACAGCAGCTTGGCTTTCTAATCTATTAGAATTCTTATATGCTCTTGATAAGGTAGGTAGGAAGGGTAGCTCGCGTTCGCTCTCCTTCTGCAAGGTAAGCGGAAATGCAACCTTGGGTGCGCGGGGTGGAATCCCGGAATCTTCCTTTCCATTCACAGAACCAAATTAAATCTTGAAATACCTAAGTGTCACTTTTAGAGTCATCTCATCATGTTTGTATTCGCACTTTTTCGTGGCTCTTGACTTAGGTCGTCAAGTATTCGTACATATATAATGAGAAGCAGCACAAGGATGAGAGCTGCCCAGCTGCCAGCATGACGGGAAAGGTACTCCGTAGAAGCGCTTGCATTCGCTTCCAATCTCTCAAGGAACCTGAGGTCGGTTATCGGAGGTCCAGAGTGGGGTCGCTTAAGTAAGATCGGCAGATAAGAGCACTTGGGCCGTGTGGGTTAAAGTCCAGTGACAGTTCCTTTCTGCTGCTGTCCACCTGGAACCTGAAGGGTCGAATCTGTTCCCGTGGTCGCTCAAAGTCCCATTGTGAGTGGGCTTTCGCAAACTGCTTCCCTCTCACCTCTTACTGGGGACAAATGACGTCAAGACGAGGATAGGTAGTCTGCAAAGGCATTGTACAAACTCCCCTATCCAAGGCTCTGAGTGACAATGCACTTCAAGCGGCTTTGAAGACAACAAACAGCCTTTGCATGCACAGACAAGGCCGGCTTGCGTGCACGTATCAGGAGGTTGCGACTACGGTGATCCCGTGAGAGCTTTCAGCGGCTTACAGTCCCGTCTGAAAAGGGAACCAACCTCAGGTAGGCCCCTACTTTTTGGACCTAAGCAACTAAGGCAAGGTAAAGGTACTCGTACTCCAATAGAATGGGACAGTGTGCCAGGACCTTCTCCTGTGACTCAAATCGGATCCAGAAAGGCGTGACAGGCTGCCAGGCTGTGTCAAGTGGCTGCGTGGACGGTCAGCTGCCTGCCTGTGGTCAATCTTTGCCCCAGCACCCGGAGCACCTGCGCTGGCCTCACAGTCTCACAGCGCCGCTGATTGCTGGGATTGCTGGGATTGGCATCGGTGTCTTGCCCCGCTCCGATAATCCGATAAGGATAAGGACGGGAGGGCTGATGCAATGAGGATGAGAATGAGGATGAGGAGGGGAAGGGGGGCGTGGGGTTGAGTTGAGTGAGCACCTCTCTCACCGGCTTAGTCATTCCGCGGCCATCAATGGATGTCACCCACCAGCCAATACACCGCGGAAAGGTACCTGGCTGGGCTTAGGTTCCTGCCTTTCTGGGGTGCTCTGCTTTACCAACCAGCCGCCTGAGCCACCCAGACACTTCCAGTCAGTGACCGCCCATTCCCGTCCCCGTGTCTGACCCCAAGGCACCCCAAAGCAGGCGGCAACCGACCGTCCATCCTTCTTCTGCCTTTCGCAAACGGCCCCTCGTTACCTCAACTCTCCCTTCTACATACTCCGACGCATCAGGCACCACCGGTCGACAAACATCGAGCCATCTATATCTTGACCCTCGCCCAACTCCCCACGACCAGCCCATCTGCAAACCCACAACCCACTTCCACTTCACCCACCACATACCCGTCATCATGCGATCCAAGTTCAAGGACGAGCACCCCTTTGAGAAGCGTAAGGCTGAGGCCGAGCGTATCCGCCAGAAGTATTCTGACCGTATTCCCGTACGTCGTAACTCTCCTTTTCTTCGGCCTCACTTCGTGGTTATTCCTCTGTAGTTTCCGTACAGAGATACAGCTCCGCCTTTTCGCCGTAACTGCATTCGTCAGCTTCGCGCGTTACTGTTGGCTGCCCCACGTTCCCCGACCGTCACCGCCGATCTGCCTATCTACCTCTAGAAGTCCAAAAACTGACAGGGTCCTCACAAACACAGGTTATCTGCGAGAAGGTCGAGAAGTCTGATATCGCTACTATTGATAAGAAGAAGTACCTCGTCCCCGCCGACTTGACGGTTGGTCAGTTCGTCTACGTCATCCGCAAGCGCATCAAGCTCTCCCCGGAGAAGGCCATCTTCATCTTCGTCGATGAGGTGCTGCCGCCTACCGCAGCTCTCATGAGCAGCATTTACGAGGAGCACAAGGACGAGGACGGGTACGTTTCCGACCACTCTACTACTTTGTGACAAGCTCTTTGTTGCTGACCTATTGTGTTCAGCTTCCTTTACATCACCTACTCCGGCGAGAACACCTTTGGCGACTTTGAGATGGCTTAAGCCCCCGACTTTCTGACGGTCTAGTCACCTCACGGCTTCAGAATGTTCCCGGCGTTTCGGTCTGCTATGTAACGGTTCAGCACTTTTGGAATGGGTTTTCACACGGTTATCGGTCTCCCCCGACGAAGCAGGGGTTTATGAAGATACGCAGTCACGTTATCGCTTGGAGTCACAGGATCAGGTGCAGCCTCCTGACCTGGTCACAGAGAAACTCCTGCGATGCTTGGGTACAATCCAAGAATTGAAGGCTAGCGGAGGACTATGCATGGAAATTGGCTTCACGGATACTAGGTGGAAACGTTTCCTTAGATCGCATATTCAGTCGCCTTCCATCACCTCTTACTTTCCTCCCCCTATTTCTCTCCACCTATAACTGTCGTGTGGGCTATGGTGACAATATTCTTGGCATTCTGTATAGCACTTCATTCGTTAGCGCGCCGTGCCAATCCTTGACCTGACCGTTCTTCAAATTTCTTCTGTATGAAACCAAACCGTTGCGATGATGCCACCCAAAGCTCAGTCAGTATCAGTATCGTGAGTGCCAGAGTACAGTTCACACGCTGAACAGTCCATACGCAGAGAGGAAGGAAAAAGTGAAGCGACACAAAACGTGTCGAAGCTATGCCATGCGAGAGAGGAGCCCCTGAATGAGACGGTCAAAGAGCCGCAAATTTTGACATGGAGAAAGGCATGCGGGATACACGAGCTCTCCGAGACCCCGACATTGTTTTTTTCTCTTCGGCTCGCCCCGGCTATTTCATGCATTAAACGCATCTTCTTTTTTCGTGTTGTTGAGCTTGGATGCTCGGGCGAACAGATGGCACGTCTGAGGGTGAGATGACACGAGCGAGACATCAGATTGTTGGAGCTGCATAGGGGGAGGGAAGAAGGCAACGGACAAAATACAAAGGCTGTGTGTGATCTGTATGGGGCTGAGGTACGTCGTATTGTGTTCACTCCTTTGTTTGTTTGATATGTGGTGCAAAAAAAAAAAATTGAACTTTGTTTTTGATATTTCACCCATTCCTATCTATGAACTCCTAACTGATGATGATGATGATGACTTTGCGAGGGGGGCAGAAAATTCCAAAATGAGCCCGCCCTCAAAGGGGATAGGGACTTGATATTACACTTTTTAAAAAGATTGAGAAAATATGGAACCATGTAACGGAATAGAAAAATCACAGACTTCTTGTCCCCGGATGTCCTCTGCCTAGTGACCCAGCATCTGCTGCATGGCGTTGAGGCGGTAACTCTCGCTCTTCTCCATGAGCTCCTCGTGCCTGCCCTTGGCCGCGACGGCGCCGGCCTCGACGACGAAGATGACGTCGGCCTTGCGGACCGTGTGCAGCCTGTGAGCGATGGCGATGACGGTGATGCCGCGCGCGGCGCGCTCGAGGCCTTCCTGCAGCGCCTTCTCGCTCTCGGCGTCGAGGGCGGAGGTGCTCTCGTCGAGGAGGAGGAGGCGGGGCTTGCGGACGAGGGCGCGGGCGATGGCGACGCGCTGGCGCTGGCCGCCGGAGAGCTGGGAGCCGTTGGGGCCGCACTCGGTGTCGTACCCTTGCGGGAGGGCGACGATGGTCTCGTGGATGTTGGCGAGGCGGCAGGCCTCTTCGATCTCCTCGTCGGTGGCGTCCTGGCCGGGGCGGGCGCCGAGGCCGACGTTGAACTTGACGCTGCCGTCGAAGAGGGCGCTGTCCTGGGGCACGACGGCGATGTCGTCGCGGAAGTCGGTGCCGTCGAACTTGGAGATGTCCATGCCGTCGATCTCGATCGTGCCCGTGCTGGCGGAGTACATGCGCTGGACGATGGCCATGACGGTGGACTTTCCGGCGCCCGAGGGGCCGACGAGACCGCAGAACTGGCCGGGCTGGATGGTGAAGGACATGTTGTCGAGGATCTGGACCTCGGGGCGGGCGGGGTAGGAGAAGGAGACGTTCTTGAAGGAGACGGCGACGCCGCCGCGACCCGGGGAAGGGCGCGGGTTGGGGTTGGCGAGGGCCTCGACGTCCTTCTCCTTCTCCTTGCCCTTGGAGGACTCTGACGCCGCGTCGGCGGCGTCGGCGGCCCTGCCTGCCGGGTCGGCGTCGGACTTGCTGAGGTCGAGGAGACTGAAGATTCTGGAGGCGGCCATGCGGGCGCGGGTGACCTCGGGGGCGAGGGTGAACATTTGACCCCACAGCTGGGCGCCCACGAGCATGGCGACGTTGATGATGAGGAACTGCGTCTGCGTGGCGTTGCCGGCGACGATCTGCTTGGAACCCCACCAGTAGGCGAAGGCGTAGATGATGTTACCCGTGACGTTGGCGACGGCGAGCCAAATGTTGGCGAAAGTGACGGCCGAGATGATTTCCTTCTTGGGGTCCTTGAGGGCGCGCTTGTACTGGCCAAAGACCTCGTGCTCCAGGGAGAGGGTGGCCACTGTCTTGATGGAGTTGACGGACTCGACGGTGATGCCGACGGCGGTGGCGTAGGCGCCGGCGTGCTTCTCCTCGAACCGAGACAGGACGCGGATCTGCATGATGCCGGAGCCCAGGAGCATGGGCACGATGACCAGGCAGACGATGGCGATTCTCCAGTTCAGAATGTGAGAGTAGATGATGGCGACAAACAAGTTGACAATGACGGCGAAGATGGTTCCCATGATGGAACCGCTGAAGCCACCGATGGACGCCGCATCCTTGGTGATGAGAGACAGGAGCGAGGAGGGGTTACGGGCTCCAGACTGGTGCCACTCGAGCTCCTGCTGGAAGAGGGCGCGGAACGAGTCGACGCGGATCTTGTACAGGAGCTTCTCGGCAATGTAACCAAAGGCGGACCAACTGCACAAGTTGGCGACGAGTTCGACGCAGGCGAGCATGAAGAAGAGGCCGGCGAAGAAGGCACCTCTGCTCTGGATGTAGCTGGGCTCGTTGCAAGGGCTGGCGACGCCAATGGCGAAACCGAAAATGGTACCAGATGCGCTGAAAGTGCAGCCGACAATGAAGGCGGACACCATGGCGAGGAGGAGGTACAGAATGTGAGGGCGGACCATGACGCCAGCCTTCTTGGTGATCCACCAGGTGGACCTGTCGTTGTCGAGACCGCTGTTCTCGGTCTCCAGGGCGGCGTTCTTCTTCTTTTTCTTCAGCTCCTTGGCCTCCTTCTTGAGTTGCTTCTTGGTCTTCTCGGTCACGACTGCATCCGTGCCCGCCTCCGTTTCGATGGCCCTGGCAAGATCCTTGGGGTCGACGCCGGGCGTCTCGGCATCCACAGAGGCTGCAGACGACTCGACGGCGGTGCTTGCGCGAGAGGGAGCCTTCTCCTCCTCGGAGCCGTTGATGTTTTGCAGGTTGACCAAGTTGGCGTAGGCGCCGTTGCGGGCGATGAGATCAGCGTGGGTTCCCTGTTCCATGATATCACCAGCGCTCATGACAATGATGTTGTCGGCGTTCTTGATGGTGGAGAGACGGTGAGCAATGGAGATGAGGGTTCTGCCCTTGGAGACGTTCTCGACGGCCTTTTGAATACGGGCTTCACTGGCAGAGTCCAAGGCGGCGGTGGCCTCGTCGAGAATCAAAATCTTGGGGTCGCGGATGAGAGCACGGGCGAGGGCCACACGCTGTCTCTGACCACCACTGACGAGCTTACCACCACTGCCGACGGCGGTTCCGAATCCATGCTTGAGGCGGTCGATGAAGGAAGTGGCGTCGGCCAGGTCAGTCGCGTTCTGAACGAGCTTGACAATCTCGACAACCTCGGGTCCGTACTTCTGGGCGGCGGTGTTGAGGTCCTCACCGGCCATGAGGTCTTCGGCAAGCTGGGCGAGCTGGGGTCCGTAGAGCGTTTCCTTGAGTCTCTGATGCTCCTCCTTGGGCGAGTTGACGAGACCGAGCGCAATGTTTTCGATGACGGAGCGGTCGAGCAGGGAAGGTTCCTGCTGGACGAGACTGATGTAACTGCGGACGTTTCTGACGTTGAGGTTGCGGATATCCTGGCCGTCGATGAGGACTGTGCCCTCCTTGGGGTCGTAGATTCTCGTGGCAAGGCCGGCAATGGTCGACTTTCCGCTACCGGAAAGACCGACGATGGCAGTGTACTTTCCACCGGGGCAGACGAGAGAGATGTTCTTGAGCACGTCCGTATCGGGGCGCGAGGGGTAAGAGAAGGTAACTCCACGAAGTTCAACCTCGCCGTGGACATTGGCGGGCAGTCTGTCACCATCCTCGGTGACGGAGTCAATAGTGGAGTGCTTGTCGATGTCCTCCCGGAGCTTGACAAAGGCAGCGGCTGCTGATCCGAAAAGGGGCAGCAGAGGTGCGATGGTACCGAGCATGATACAGGCTAGTCGTAGTTAGCAAAGTTGCCCAAGTAGTATAGAAACGAAATACGTACCGTCGACAATGAGGAACACAACGGTGTAAATGTCACCAACTGAAGTGCCGTCGCCAGTTCCAGCAACGGATCTTGAGATGGCCTTGCTACCTTGCCAGTAGGCGAGGGCGTTCGCAGCGTAGGCGATGAAGTACAAGAGTCCGGCGTTGGAGGCAGCAGCAATGGCCTTCTTGATACCCTCCTTCTGAGCGACCATGACATGGCCGGCGAACTTGTTCTCGAGGCGAGGTCCGGCGCCAAAGGCCTGGACGACGGCGACGTGAGACAGCGCCTCTGAAGCGATGGACGAAGCCTTGGCCATACCCTCCGACATGGCTCCGCTCCATTTCTGGATGTAGGATCCGCAAATCATGGACGCGAGCAAGTAGGCGGGAATGAGCGAAACCAGCATGCCGGCCAGGGGCGCGTACTTGATGAAGCCGATAACGTACGCGGTGACGAAGAAGGAGATTGTGCCGATGAAGTGACTGACTTTCTCGGACGTTCCGGACTGAATGGTTTGGATATCGGAGTTGAGGCGGGACGAGACCTCACCGGCCTGTCTGCTCTCGAAGAAGCCGACATCCTGTCTCAGCAAGCTCTGGAAGTACTTCTCGCGGAGGCGGGAGGCGAGTCTCTGGCTGATGATTCCCCAGCAGGTGGTGTGCGTGTAGATGAGGCAGAAGGCGACGCAGGTGATCCAGACGAGCTTGATGACTTTGTCGTTGACGGCGTCCTGGTAGGCGCCCACATCCCCGATTCCGTCGGCGCAGGTGGCGCCGTTCATGTCGTCAATCAGCTGTCCGAAGAGAATACCCATCAGAGGGAACGGGACACCCGAGCCGATGGCGGCAATGGTGCCCACGCAGACCAGCGTGTAATCGAGCCATGTTGGGTTGGCATAGAAAAGCAGCTTGAAGAAGCTGAAGACAGTCTCGAAGCGCTGGGAGACGATGGTCAGTTTCTCTTCGCACACACGTACACGTACTCAAGGAAAGGAAGAGACTGAGGCCAAGAGAGCAAAAAAAAAAAATCCTGAAAATGTGATTCAGATTCAGCCCAGGCCAGACGTGCAAGACTCACCTTTCCCTTTGGTTTCGCGACTTCGGCAGTCTCTGTTGATGTTGTCTGTACTTGTTGTTGCTCTGGTGATGTCGAGAGAGCAGTATCAGCCTTCTCGGCCGCAGCCGATCGTGAGTCTTGGTCAGGCATGGTGATCCGACCTTGAACTGACGAACAGGTATCAGGGAGAGTTTGACCGCTTTTCGCAATTGAAGCAGATGGTTAAGAAAGGAGCTCTCTCTCTCATCGCCAGCCCCCAGAAACACAGAGACTTGGCGTGCAGCTGGTGGCAAGGAAGAGCTCAGCGAAAGCGTCGAGCGAGGTCCAACCGTACAGGGCAACCTTGCCGTCCTTTGCACCATGCCAGAACAAGAACCCAGAAGTGGAGGTGGTGGGTTTTTTTGTGTGTTCATTGGCATCCGCAGCATTAGCGGGTAATTAGGGGAGCCATTCCCAAGGCCAGCCAACAGTAGCGAGCATTTGCTTGGCTTCACGGGCTTTGATGACAGCACATTTCACAGAAGCGACTCGAGTCTCCGCTGGGGGCAATTGTGACTTGCCCACGTACCTTGTCAGGCTAGCAACAAATGGAAGCAGCATGGACGGGACGTTAGGGAGGGTAGGTATCCGTTCCCCGTAGGTGAGGTGGGTGGTAATGCAAAGTACCCTGCCGTGGAGTAGCCGAGTTAGGGAGCTGAGAGGGCCACGAGGGGGGCATGCCGTAACGAGGGGGGGAGAAGAACGGCGACCGACGCCCAACGCCGACTGTGACCCCCCCTGCGGAATGGTATACTACGTAGTGTACACAGTACAGCACTGCTTTCTTGTGGCATTTCATAGGTGGTCCTGGAGGGCGGTTCGGGGATCGTTAAGCGGCGAGAGACCAGTGACCACAGCAGCCACGGTAGACGATCACGCTACTGCGGGAGTTGACGGTTGTAGCGGGATGTGCAATGTGCTACGGCACGTGAAGGGTACCGGCGGCATCCCTGAGGGAGTGTGTAGTGTTTGTGGGCGAGGCCACATGTACAGATGTACATTGGCGCATTCGCGATAGCATCTGATAGCGATTCGGGAGGGTCAAAGGGGGTGAAAGAATCAGACAAGCAGAGGAGAAAAAGCGAAGACGACTGGAGCAAATGGAGCGAGTGGATGTGGGGCCGAGGACCGGACTGTGGGTTCGGATCAGATAATTTGTCTTGGCGGAGACGGGTCATCCCTTCCGGATTAAGTAAGGCTGGAGACGCCGACCCGAACGGTACAAGATACCTACTATACCTGCCCAGGTGGTCCACCTCAGTGTACGAAGTACATCGGTACCGACACCCATGTTTCTTTCTTGCTCCTTGCTCCTGGCTCTCTACCTACCTTACTCCATTCTGTACGCAGTATATTTTTTGCGGATCTGCCAAACATGTGGTCCATTCGGAAAGCTTTACGGAATACTTCTTGAAATTTCCTGATCCTCCCATGTCGCGAATGAAAAATTTCAGAGAAGCCACTGCGACGGCCCCGGCCATGGCTGCTCCTGGGGAAAATGGCGCATCTCTTCTGGCGCTGGGCACCCACACACACCATTTCCCATTGAGGGTACATTCCACCGCCACACCCACTCATCCACTTCGTCTCGAATTTGCAAAAGAAGGCGTCATTGGGTACACACAACTCGCTGGTGTGTAGCAGTGAGGAGCAAGGCCAATTGCGACTCCCGTGTCTTTTGCTGTGTGCTGCAGTAAGAACCTTTGGCGGCATTAGCTGCAACGGCCGATCCATCCAGCATCTCTACTCCGTTGCTTCATTACCAAGGTACTCGGTAGAAGCAACGGAAAGCAAAGGAACCCGAGATGCCCTGGAAAGAAGAAAGAGAGGAGAATTACAGTTTTTTTTTTTTCTATCCTTGAATTCCGAACAGTGCTGCTGCCCACCGAAAACGAGGCGCAGTTCCCCCAACGCGTACAGAGTACCTTGGTTTTCCTTCATCTTGTTGGTCTTTTTTAGGCTTGTCAACTTGTTCATGCTTGTGTTTTGTTAGGTAATGCTGATTAGATCCCAGCCCAGCCAGTCCGCTTCTTAGACCCGGCGCTGGGAGTGGCTTGCATGTCTCTGAACGGATCTGATAACTTTAACTCCTCCACCATCTGATAATTCTCAGACCCCTCCCAACAACACCCCTCCAACCACAAAAAAAAAAAAAAAAAAATCTCCAACAAAACGCCGTTCTACGAAGTCATCCCCGAACAACCGAACCGAGCGAGCAAAAATGCCCCCCCTTGAACTTCTACAAGCCGCAGGTTTACGACGACGGCAATTTCAAGGTCCGCGCAACTTTACCCATAGTATTCTAATCCTTCCAAGAAAGTCACAATGTAGCAATACCTACAATACATACATTAGGGGGGGATTGCCCTTTTACAAATTCTCCCAAACTCCCCGGCGGCTCCAAAACCCACCCAGCCATGCCGTCATCTCCGCTGTCGCTTTCCCATTCCCCCCTCCCTACTGACTTGACAGTGACGCCGCCGGTGTGAGAGTGTCACTCAAGTCCCGTCCGTCGGCCCCTTGACCTCGTCTTCCCTCTCCTTTTTTTTTTCTGCTGTTCCCCTTCCTTGCGATCGCCGCCATGGCCAAGCGGATCCTTCGCCCAGCACTCTCGGCTGCAAGGCGTCTCATTCTCCGAGCCAGCCCTCGGCTCGACCTGCCCCTTTCCTCGTGTTCCTCGCCGCCCTCCTGCTTCTACTCCTCCTTGGTCTTGGCCCAGCCTTGGAGGGGTGAATCTGGAATTGGGTCCTCCTTGTTGGGAAAAGCATTCGTCGGTGTCGGTGCTGGTGGGATCCAACAACGGGCAACTTTAACCAGTCTGAGCAGCGTCACCCGCAGAGTACAAGCACCACCACCAGCTCCAGCACGCCAACGACAGCTCCGGTCCGATGCAGGCCCTCCGCTCGGCTTCCGGCGGACGCTATCTTTATGTTTGCTCCTGTCCATGCGAATGTTCTCGTCCGCAACTGCCACTGCCACTGCCTCTGCATCTGCATCTTCACTCCCTTCCCTCGCCTCTACTTGCCTCCCTCTTCATCAAGCCTCGCCGCTAGAGTCCTATAGCTCCAACCGGTCTTATTCTTCCTCTTCCTCTCCCTCCTCCTCCTTCTCTCGTTCAGACGTAGTTGTAGATTCCAACGACACCTCTACATTTCCGACTACAGCAGACAAGATGGGCTCTCTTCCTGGTGCTATTCCCCCCTTCAAGGTCTTCGTCATCGGAGGTCTTTCCTACGCCGGTGTCTCTACCACCTTGAACCTGCTCGACCTGAGCAGCGGCAAGTCGCCTCGTCTCGCTCACATTCCCTACGAGCACCACCCAGACTTCAAGAACGTCCCCGTCGAGATCACCCTCGTCGACGAGCGTGATGGCTTCTGTAGGATATCCTAAAATCCTCCTGACCATATTACAAACACCCCGCTAACATGAACCCCTCCAAAGTCCACCTAATCGGCTCCCCCCTCGCCTTCGCCGACTCCAAATACGCAGCAAAGTCCTGGGTAAAGTTCGAGGACATCGCCTCCCTCCAGCGCCCCAACGTCCGCTTCGTCCAGGGCTCCGTCTCCAAGGTCGACCCGGCCACGAAGACGGCCACCGTCCTCGACCACGCCACCAAGCAGCCCCAGGACTTCTCCTACGACTTCCTCGTCGCCGCCTCCGGCCTCCGCCGCGTCTTCCCCGTCGTGCCCCAGTCCCTCACCCGCAAGCAGTACCTCCTCGAGGCCGAGGAACAGATCAACGCCGTCCGCGACGCCCCCGACGGCGTCGTCGTCGTCGGCGGCGGCGCCGTGGGCATCGAGATGGCCGCCGAGCTCAAGCTCGTCGAGCCGGACTCCAAGGTCACCTTGGTGCACTCCCGCGACAAGCTCCTCTCCTCCGAGGGTCTTTCGGACGAGTGCAAGGACAAGGCTCTCGAGCTCACGCGCGAGGCGGGCGTCAACGTCCTCCTGAACCACCGCGTGAAGGAGACGCGCAAGCTCGACCCCTTGCCCAACGGCCGCGCCCGCCACGAGATCGAGTTCACAAACGGCGACAAGCTCGTCGCCTCCGAGGTCGTCATGGCCATCTCCCGCAGCGTCCCCTCAACAGACTACCTCCCCGCCGCCGCCAAGGACGAGGAGGGCTACGTCAAGATCCACCCCAACATGGTCCTCAAGGGCGACGGTAACGTGCCCAACGCCGAGGACCACATCATCGTGGGCGACATCTGCCTCTGGCCCGGCATCAAGCGGTGCGGCACGGCGATGCACATGGGCCACTACGCCGCCATCAACGCGCACCAGCTCATGCTGGCCAAGCTCACGTCGGGGGCGCACAAGCCCACGTTCTCGGAGCTCGGCCCCGTCGAGCCCATGATCGGGCTGGCGATTGGGAAGAAGGCCGTCGCGAGCGGGCCCGTTGTGGGGACTACGTGGGGTGAGGATGTCATGCACGCGTACTTTAGAGACGACCTCGGCTTTACCAGTGAGTTACTTTTTTTTTTTGTCTTTTCATTTTTTTGGTTGTGTTTTCCTGGACTTCTTAGATCCCACCGGCGCCGACCGGCCTTCCCTGTCTACTACCCTCTCTGTGTTCCCTCTCCTTTTCACACGCCCCCCTACTCCTCCTACCCCATCATCAGTGAGAGATTGATTGATCGCTAACCGTTGCGTGCGTGTTCTCCCACAATAGTCTGCTGGAACCACCTCGGTCTCGGAAGGGCCCCCGACTCTTGACTCTTGAGTTGTTTATGAATTTTAAAAAAAATACATAAAATGGATTTTAAGGGTTTTTTCTTGGGTTTCAAAGGTGTTCTTGGGAGTACAATGATGACGACGAATACGACGACGCAATAAAGTTACCGTACCGTCTCTTGGGTTAGTTTAGACTAAATTGGCTAGACTTTGAAATGCAAATGATGTTTCTTATGAGTTGTCTACTGTCTAGACCTTTTTTCCCTTCTTTTTGGTGTGTCGCTGTCTAAATTCAAAGCCAAAGTATCAGTAGTCAAATGTCACTGAGGCATAATCAATCAGATCAGATAAGATTGCACCCGAAAAAAAAAGTAGTGACACAAAATTCTTCACCAAAATGACACCTTCCTAAGTTTGTCTGCATATCTTCCATGTACATTATTCCCACGCCCACATACCGCAGCACTTTTTAGATCTCAAACCAAAATAATCCACACATACGTAATACTAGTCCTCTACAAAGTCCTCTTACAACTTGGGCACAAGCTGGATCCTCATACCGCCCACAACCTTCTCGTTATCACCCAGCGGGCAGAGCTGGAAGAACCTCTCGCGCGAGCACCGCACAAAGGCACTCCTCTTATGCGGCAGGTCGACAAACTTGTCGAGCCCGAACCCGTGCATGAAGTCGTACATGAGCACCGTGTCGTTGGTCTTCTTGGGCTCGCCCACGACCCAGGTCGTGCGCGGGTCGTCGAGGTAGAGGAAGTGCATCAGCGAGGACCACCACGCCGTCACGCGGTGGGGGCCGCGGAAGCGCACGTCGCCGACCAAAGAGTGGCGGCCGCGGTCCCAGTCTTGGGCGTCGTAGTAGCCGCCCAGCTTGTCCTCCTGTTGATGGTGTTAGTGATCATGGACTTTAAATAAAGAGATACAGAGACGCAACGCACCTTGGCCCAGTAGACCTCAAAGTAGGCGAAGAACGTATCCTCCCACGCGGCGAGGATGGCAAACTGGTGCGGGTCCTCGTCAATCTTGCGCAGGTACTCGCGGTGCTGGTCGAGCGTGCCCGTCTCGTTCCAACCCTGCGACACGCGCGGGTCGTTCTGCCACTCGTGGAACAGGCGGAGGTGCTCCGCGTTGCGGTAGTCGAGCGCCACCATGCTGAACGTCTCCTTGAGGTGCGGGATCCAGCGGCTGTACACCGTCGCGCCCGGCGCGGGCTTGGCCGGGCGGATCGGGTGCCACGCCTGCTGGTAGAGGTTCGGGTTGGACGGGTCCGAGGCCGGGACCGCCGTCATGGTGTGCTGCAGAGGGGTGAGGGGGTACGACGACAGAGGGTTGTCGAGGGCCGCGGGGGACTCCTGCGGCAGCCAGACGGGACGGGGACCGAACGGCGATCCGGCGCCCTGCCAGAAGGCGGAGCGGAGGAGGACGACGGTGGACTGCTCCGCGGAGGCGGCGGGCTTCTGGGCCTCCGTCTGGGTCGGGTGCTCGATGGCGAGGAGGACATCGCGGAGCTGCTGGCCGAGGACGTCGGCGCTGGCGCCGCGGAGCTCGAGGCGGACGAGCTCCTCGTTGGGGCGGAGGACGAAGATGACGTAGACGAGGAGCCAGGCCTGGGCGAGCGTGGGCTTGGTCTTGCCGTCCCACGAGAAGACGGTGCTCGGGGAGCGGCGGGCGCGGGCCCAGGCGCTGTTGTTGGAGTCGGCCGGGAGCTCGCTCGACTTGAGGTCCGCGGGCTCGGAGAAGTAGAGGTTCTCGCTGTGAAGACGCTCGGGGAGGGGAGTCGTCTGCTTCTTGGTGTTGCTCTCCTGGGCGGCGAGGGGTGTCAGACGGTAGAAGTGAAGGCCGCCCTCTGACGTCTTGCCGGCGAAGGTGTCGTGGTTGAAGGCGCGCTGGACGGCGTACTCGGCGTGGTACGGGTGAGGGAGCTTGATGATGCTCTCGCTGGAGGAGACAGCGGACAGAGAGATTGGTGCCGACATGGTTGCGGTTGATGTGTGAAGTCTACCCCCAAAATGACTGATTACAGTTGAAAACGAATTGGGGATAGGAACAAGGCTTCTCGAGGAGGGTATCAAAAACGTGAAAAGAGGTTCCTCAATGCTTGACTCCGAGGTTCTGTGAAGAGACAGATAGGAAAGCAATGGTTCACGGAGAAAGTTGCCAGAGGTTGAGCTTCGAGTTCGGAGCTTCGCGGGCTTTCATGTCACCACCGCCTACTCCTTTGGAAGACATACCGAGTTAACGCCATTGGATCCCTGGTCTCCAAGAGTCCAATGCCATTACATGATGACCCTGGTCCATTGGCAAACGGAAGCCCGCCGCTCACTTGTCTCTGGTTGTCTGCCGCCATGCCACGCCATGCCTTGCCATGGCTCACAATTTTTTTTTTCTTCAATGGGCTGCAGGGCGCGCGACGCAAGAGAGCTTCAAGCGAGGAAGCGAAGCGACTGGTAGCTCCAGCCTCCAGGACCGGCCCATGACATCGTCTCCAGCACACCATCCATCACAACTTCTGGGGCACGGGGTGGTGGTCAGAGTGAAGTTCAACGGCGGGGCACACTTGTACCTCGACTCCACGGTAGCTAAGGGGCGTGTCTCTATACACGAAGAAAAGGGTACAAATGGGTACAAGGAGGATCAGGGTACGCGGGTATGGTCGATGTTGAAGGGGGGCCTCACTCTTCACCCCTCCATCACTGAGGTGGCCTGCGGCGAAACGCCGAGACCTCGGGCCAGAAGGGTTCCTAGGCGTGCCAGGCCAGGGTAGGCGACGAAATGCTCCGAAGAAAATTTGAGTTTCACAGCCTGTGCCACCCTTCAGAATAGATCTGATAACCAAGAGGGCGTTGGGAGTTGATGGAAACGGGGTTCGTGGAGGTCGTCCCTCGTAGTTGATGTGTTGCCGTCAATTGCGTGCGTGGCGCCTACTAGGTAGGTACCTATAAAAGTACCGGCTTTTTCCCCTTCTTTTTTTTCCTCCTCCAAGGAAGGTGGCTGCACCGACCTGGTCTTAGCGGATCTGATAACTTTATTAGAACCAAGTTCGGCCATAGCTCCGGCCTCGGAGCTTAGAGGACCCACTCAAAGCCGACCGGTGGCCGCCGCAAGCTGGATGATGGATCTGATAAGATCAAGGCAAATTTTTTCTCACTGGCGGGGCAGCGGGAGTGGACTTACGGATACGCTAAGGCTGGTTTTGATACTTGCAGCATGATTCACTGCTTCAACATCCCGAACCTACCCGTGGATCCCATCATCTCATCGTTCAAGAGGGCGTGTATGTAGAAACAGGTAGCTCGCGTGGGGTCGCCTTCGGTCCAAGTGGCCTGTTTGGGCAGATCCTTGGTAAAAAAGGCGCACCTCTTCAGATCAGGGTACGTGACTCTCTTCGTCTCCACTGCCTCCCATCCCCTGCCACACCTGCTTGGGAATCGGAACGCCAGTGACGCCTTCAGCTCACTCGCAAGTTGTGAGGACTCATCCGTGTGCCTCGATGCTTCTTCTTTTCGTCGGATCTTGAGCCGTTCCTCGATCGGAGTCTCCCCCGCCTGCCAAGTCACATCTGCCGCCCGTCAACCGCGCCGTTCCCGCTCTGACGCGAGCTGCGCCGCCGGCTCTGGACTTGCTTTGAATGTTCGTGATGCTCTTCGAGAGTTCAGACGGTCGTGGTATTCGTGAACACGCCTGCACAATACGGGCTTGCTCCGACCGGTTGTTCACCCACGTTCCACAGGTAGCTGCACCTGTTGTCCACAGCAGCTCCACGCCTACAATCCACTATCCGACAGCTCAACTCCACAGAGATTGATAACTTGGTCTGCCGCCACGCGATTCAGAATGTGGCATCGTACTCGTTTCTCGGCCAAGGCGCTTTCGTAATGGGGTTCGAGTGGGCTAGGTAATAGCGCCGTTGATCTCAAGCCATCGAGCGGTACTTTGGCAAGCTTGGGCAAGCCTTCGTACCAGATCGACGAAAGCCGGTTCGTCTTCCTGCACGTCGATGGCTGAGACTTTCTGCAGCTCTTGCACTGGACCTGCAACAAGTCCCTTGCGGCAATTGACGCTCCGGACCGATGTGCGCCACCCAGATCATCGTTAACACCGACCGTCAGATTCCGTCAACGCCTGCAAGAGTCCCCTGTTTATGTTAGGCAATGCTGATTGTTCCACGTCGAATGGCATTCATTCCGAAAAGTCTTCCCTCGGGTCTTCGGGACACGCCGTCGTATCCTGTGTCCAGTTGTCCACACAGTGCCATAGAGAATGTCGTATTGCATTCTGTCAAGTCGATGCATTGTGTCGTCTCGTTCGTCTGATATCATCATGGCCCCCGCCGATGGTCCCAGACGATGATGTGTCTGTGTGTCTGGCTCTGGGGCATTTCCGAGTAGATGGATACTTGCGCATCCTCTTCAAGGTTAAAAGTGTCCTCGGGATCCGGATCCCGGAGTCCGGCCGGATAGTCGCACCGAGACGACCACGCGGTGGGAGAGCCCCATTGATCAGATCTGCAGACATGTCGTCAATTGCAATGGCAGCCTTGTGGATTCTTGGCGGATGTCCAGGAAGATGAATAACGTTGAGCCCTTTTCTTGAAATGAAGAGAGGCGGCCAAAGAGTCAAGTAGGCGGCTCATCAATAAGTTCTGTTGGAATAGAAAGAAGGTACGAAACGTACAGGCTGGAACCTGCCTTGCCTTGCTTGAAATTCGGTGGTGCACTGAGAAAGCACCTGCCTTCCTTGCCTTACATTGGTTGTGGGCGTTACGAGCAGGAACGACACTCAAGGTAGGAACAAACTGCCTCAAAGTGAGCAAATGGTAAAATGCTGTGTCTTTTTGTGCTCTGCTGCTATACGTCCTGGAAACTTCTTCAGTGTAATATCGTCATTAAGAGAAGGATCGGATATAGGCGATTCCGGGGGGTATAGGTCGCTCTCACGATAGCTGCACATGATCCTACGCCAATACTGCATGCCTCCCTCCCCTTTAAGGTAACGGCCGCCAGTAACTGTATTGTTGTGATAATTGCCTCCACGATATTATGGCATCTATCTGACCTTACCACTGGCATATTGTCTAGCGAGCCTCTGCCAATCCATTATAATTCTCATGATAGGCATCCCCTTTACAAACCCTGGTAGACGTTTGGACACTCACCAGGTTCTCTCGGAATACATCATGTAATACTTATTCAGAACCTGACTTTGAGCGTCTCATCTCTGTAGATGTCAAGCAGACCGAAGGTAATCTAGCTTAAAGACCATTGTCGATACAACGGAATTTCATTATCCGGGACGAACATGACGGCCAGGCGTGTTCGACGTCGATACTTAGTATCGTCTCTTGGGATCGTTGCCTGATATTGTACGAAACACTCTGAGCGCGTATTCACTCTTCGCATTGGATATGATTTCTCCAATATTGCGTCACGTTTGATCGAAAAACACGTTCAACGCTCCAGAACAACCCAAACAGCATCCATCGTCTCAACCCTCCCACCACTCCCCTTCACCTCCTCCACCGCCTCCCGAATCTCCCTCACATACCCCAACAACTCTTCCTCCGCACCCACCCCTAACCCCTCGGCGACAACCTCCTCAGTCCAAGAAGCATCAACCACAGCCCCGACCTCCCACGCCCCATCCAGCAACCCAGGCGTATCAACAATACCCCTCTCCCTCACCTTCCACCCAGCCCCCTCCGCCAACTTCACAATCTCCTCGGGCGCAAGCGCGCCGCGGACGTTCCCCTGGTCCAGACTAAACCCCTTCTCCGCGCCAGCCCGCAGCGCATAAAACCGCTTCTGCGCCGCGACGGCCAGTTCGTGCGGTTTCTGCGCGGGAGTCCGAGCTTCGAGGGCGTATTCTGCGAAACAGAGCCTGGAGACGTTGGACGTGTAGAGGGCCTCGAAGAGGGAGGAGATTGCGGCACCGGAGGGGAAGTACCACAGCGAATGACAGAGCGTGGCGGCATCAAAGGTCGAAGAAGGGTGCGATGCGAGGTAGGTCGGCGCGTCGGACTGGTGGAAGGTGATTGCTGCGCCGTAAGGGGAGGAGGAGATGTGGGATTGGGATTGGGCGAGGGTGTAGGGGCTGCCGTAGTCGCCGGGGGCCGGGTCTAGGGCCGTGATGTGGCCGGCCGGGCCCGGGCCCGGACTGACGTCGGTCTCACCATCAGCGGTGATGGAGAGCGAGGCTACGGCGTGGGAGAGGACGAGAGCGGAGTCCCCTTGGCCGCAGCCGATGTCCAGGACGCGGGCTCCGGGCGCGATGGACCAGAGGGAGGCGAGGCGGAGGCGGTGGGTTAGTTGCGGGAGGAGGACTTTGTGTAAGTGGGCTGGATCGTGGGGGTAGGATTTTGCGAGGGAGAGGAGGAGAGGGGAGGGGGATGGCGGTTGAGAGTTTGGTTCGTGGTTGGATTGAGACATTGTAGTGAGGTGATTGTGTTTGTTCCCTCTTCTTGTTGACCGAAGTTTGATGAATGTTAGCTTAGGTGCAATATTGGATGGGAATATGTTGGGCAAATTGAGGAATTGGCTATTATTGTGTTGGTGGTGTTCTAATCGTGGCTTCAATCGAGTCTGGGTTCCCGTCACTTATATTGAGCATTCAGATCCGTCCCTTTGTGCACATATACACGTCGAAATAGTCCGACTACACCATTGAGATCACTAATTTGACCCGAATGAGTCTTACAATAAAACCAGATGAATAATCTACGGCAATATGAAAATTTCCGACCTTCCTGAACGAGATGGAAAAAAGAGGGTTGAAAATGAGTCACAGTCTCTCGGACGATTGTAGTCGAATTTGGCCTCAATTGAAGGATTCGATTTTTGGCCTCACTTGGGTGGGTTCACCCAAACCATCGGGTTTCTCATCACGCAATCGCGATTATCGACGCCAAGCCTTGATCGGGGTAAGCATCCTCCCAGTAAACGCGATCTCTGAAGGGGGCCGAATGTGACAGAAGGGATAGTCGGAAAACAATTAGCCTTTGAGGATACAGATAAAAAAACAAAGTTTGAGCCTGTGAGGATGACTTGCACAAGCTAAATCCACATGGGAGTGTGACGAGAAGGAAAGTCAATTCAACGACACGTTCAGTAATCCTGTAGGTCTAAACAAAAAATCTAAGCGAAATTCCAAAACCCAAAAAAACAGAAGTCATCGCCTGACATGAAATAGTAACAACGAAAATGGTCAAAAGACAACTTTTGTGTGGTATCACTCATTGAACACACTCCACGCCGTCCTCGGCAAGATATCCTACGAGGACCGCAATCTTACAACTTGGCAGAGACGGTTCTGCTCTTCTTGAGAATCTCGTCGCCCACCTTGGCAATCTCAAACTTGCGCACCTTGCCGCTGCCCGTGAGGGGCACGTTGGCCGGCACGCCGTCCTCACCGAGCCAGAAAATGTGCGCAGGGCTCTTGTGGCCGCCGAGGCGCTGGCGGACCCAGTCCTTGAGCTCCTGGAACGAAGGCTTGTCCGCGTTCTCGGCGCGCTGCACAAAGGCACCGACGACTTCGCCGTAGTGCTCGTCCTTGAGGCCGACGACGATGGCCTGGGAGATGGACGGGTGGGCCATAAGGCGCTCTTCAATCTCGAGCGGGTAGATGTTCTCGCCACCTGAAGGGAGGAAGTTGTGTTAGTACATTATGCTGTTGTTGCGCAACGAACATTTATGGCTTACCTCGGATGATGATGTCCTTGAAGCGGCCGGTAATTGAGCAGTATCCAGCATCGTCAAAGACGGCCTCGTCACCAGTGTGCAGCCACAAGACACCTGCAGAGTCACGGACCATGACCTCGTTGGTCTTCTCCGAGTTGTTCCAGTAGCCAGCCTGCAGCTGGTACCCGGCCATGCAAAGCTCTCCGCGCTGGCCCATGGGCACAACGTTGCCGTCTCTGTCGACAATCTTGGCCGAGGCATGGGGCATGAGCGTACCGACGGTGGTCAGTCTCTTACCCAAGGCATCGTCGGTGAAGGCGTTGAAGCAGGTAGGCGATGCCTCGGTCAGACCGTAACTGCTGGTGAACTCTCTCATACCGAGACGGTTGACCATCAACTCCATCAGATATCTGGGGACAGGAGCGCCGGCCACGATTCCGGTGCGGATCTTGGATGACTTGAAGTCATCAGGTGCCGCCTGGAACAGGGAGTCGAACATGGCAGGCACGCCGTGGAGTGCTGTGCAGTCCTCCTCGAGGATGGCCTTGAGCGTCGCCTTGGTGTCGAAAACCTCCGCAGGGTAGACAATCTTGGCACCGTGTGTGATGACAGACAGGAGACCGAGGACGAGACCGAAGCAGTGGAACAGAGGGGGAGGGCAGCAAAGCACGTCGTCCGGGGTGAGGCGCATGCGATCACCAATGAAACGAGCGTTGTTAACGACGTTGCTGAATCCAAAGTTAGCCTCTTCGACCATCTCTATCAGCTTGATCGAACTTACTGGTGGGTAAGCATGGCGGCCTTGGGACGGCCAGTGGTACCACTGGTGAACTGGAGGTTGCATACTTGATGCGGCACCACCTTGCTCATGGCCAGGTGAAGCTCTCTCGGGCTCTGCCTTGAGCTCGACTTGATGAGGTCGTCGTATGTCTGGTATCCGCTCGTGTCGCCCCGGATCATGATAATCTTGGGCCCATTGATCTTGTTCGCTATTTGGCTCAAGAACTTGGTGTTGTCGAGTCTGCCAATCTGCTTGGTGGTGAAGAGAATCTTGCATTCTGAACAACGGAGTTAGCTCGGAATCAGCAACTATTAGACTGGTAACTAACCTGAGAACTCAACAGCGTACATGGCCTCGCTGGGAGTATACGTGTTGTTCAGGATGACAAGAATAGCACCGATTCTAGAGACTGCAAAGAAGATGGCGGCGTATTGCTCGCAGTTGCCTGCCATAACACCGACTCTGTCACCGGCCTTGATGCCCATCTCGAGCAGGGCCTGCGCGAGCAGCAAGCTCTGCTGGTTGAGCTCATTGTAGGTCCATCGTGCACCGGTCCAAGGAATCACCAAACACTCCTTGGTGCCGTGTTGGTATGTCTGAAGCTCCAGCAGCTCGCCGAGACTGAGGTCAACCAGAGGAGGATCGCGGGGTCCGTGGAGGATAGACAGCTTCTGGGCGGGAGCCAAAGGCTCGGATACCGGGGCTGTTGATGGTTCTGCGGCCATTGTGTCGATAAAGAATTACTGAATAAATGCTTCAATTCCTTAATGAAATTACTACGGAAGACAAATCGAACGTCTTGGTCTTGGTCGAAATGTTTGTCTATGGCAGGTCCAAAAAAGTGTCACCGCGATCTTGGTGCAACGCCGGCCATCCTCTCGGGTCGCATGGCAGAAATAACTGGCCTGGGTCCAGATGGCAGAGACGACCCATGTCCAAAGGGCCCTGCATCTGCGTCACCGAGGAACGGCTTTCGGGGATCATCTGGATCCAGCAAGGAGGCAAGCCGCAAGCGAGGTCTCTTCACACCCCGCTGCCGCTGGGCTGGGCTTTAGCCCGTTAAGGTGTTGGCCGTGCTGCTTTGCCGGCCACCAAGACGGGGCGCCACACAGCGGGACGTTGCGAACTTGCACGCAAGTATCCGTACGGCGCAGAACCTTAGCTGGGATTGCTTCTTTTCTTCCTTGGGGGTTTGCACCTTGCCCAGCGTATGTAGTCAGCGACGGGCTAGACCGAACGGGCAATCGTTTCACGACAAGTACCTGGAGTATTCTCGAGTATACCTAAGGTAGTGTTGAGGGGCGTATACGAACGGTCGAAAAGGCTACTCGCGTCATGACAGGGCGACTCGATTGGCGATGCGAGGACACACACATAGTGACACACCAAAACGAGCAGATGGGTTCGATGGAGCCACGAGACTTGTTAGGAAATGTGTGCTTGCCAGCGAGCGGACTTTGTCACTTTGTCACGTATTCTTGTGTATTCGGAGGGCTGACAGCGAGTCCAGAGCGTGGGAGGAGTGGGATCGCGATGGATCGTACGTCTGAGTGTGTCAGAGTAAGGTCCAAGGTCCCAGGATGCTCTCTCGAGTCTTGAAAAAGTTGACATGTGTGATTGCATTGAATGTGGAGGAACTTAGGGTCGTGTCTCAAATTGGTCAATGGCGTTTGCAGCTCCTTCCCCTCCATCGCCAGTTGCGCCGGGACTTCAGCGGTGCAGCCACTCAGAAAATAGTGAGACCCCACATGGCAGCCAAAGGGACCCCGCTGTACCCGCCACCATCCCCTGTCACCACCTCGGATAGGTTCAGTGCTCGATCTAATCAATCAAATCTTGGATCAGATAAGATTAGGGAAGGAGCATTTCACTCACGTTCTTCAGCGTGCAAAATTTTCTTTCGCTTCCATCCACCACTCCTTCCTCAGCTTCCCACATCGTCCGAGGTACCTTCCCAAGCTTCCCTTACTGGTCACCCGTGGTCCAGAGTCACTGGACCCCTCCTTCCACATTTTCTCCAGTAGCGCACCAAGAAAAGGTACGGATTCTCCGTACCGACGTACGTAGGTATCATGTACCTTCGTTCCCCCGAAAATGTCCCGCTGCATTTCTTTCCCTCACACCCTCCCAGTCACCCCTTCTCCGACTTCGGGACAATTCTTCAGATTCCATCATCCTTGAAGATTAACTCCACGCCAATCCACCGATCGCCGTTCACTCGCCTCGCCAAAGACGTCAGGTTGCATTTGCCCACCCCCCTTCTTCGCCCACCTTCTTACCTTGGGACCGATGTGGGCAGATGGGCAGGAAACAAGTCGCCAGTATCGGTACCTCTGTCTCTAGCGCCTCTGTCTCTCTCGCGCCATGATTCCATCTGATACTGGACCATCGCGGCATCGTCCATCACCCTTCACCTTCACCCATCAGCCCCCTCCCTTACCCGACCCCGTGAACCACGGTACCACCCCCTCATCCCGTTTCCTCCCACTTGCAGTCGTCGGGTGCGGTGTGGCGCGTCCCTCGGCCACGCAGGGTGAAAGGCCAAGCGACTTCTATTTTTTCCATGCGAGCAAGGGCACGGTTAATATTTCGTCAAATACAATACAAAGCCAAGCCAAGCCATGCACCATCGCACAATAATCCAGGTACAGACAACTTTCCTTTCTTTCAGATTGACTTGCAGATTTGCCTCGTCTTGGCTTCGTCTTGGCACTCTGTTTCCTGGGCGCTTCTTGTCTTGGCACTTCCAGAACATCCAACGTCTACCTTTAGTCTATGACACTCATTGAGTCGTTACACAGGATCCATCCTCCAAGACTCCCAAAAGGTAATATCTGATAATCCTGCTGACATCGCAGACTCCACGTCCAAAAGCGTACGGATACTGCGTCCAGCCAGCCAACACAGCCACACGAAAGAAAAATATGCTTATTGGAAAGACGGGTATCCTTGAGCACGCCACTCTTCGAAAGTCAAACCCTTGGCGGCAGACGGCATCTTCACCATCAGAGGAACTTCAACGTCCTTATCCTTGCCCACCAGCCCTCCGCGGTGCACGATTTTGTCTTGGAGCACTTCAAAACCCAGGCGTTTGTAGAGGCCGAATCCCTCTTCAGACGACTCGAGGTAAACGGGAAGTCCCGCCAGCTCGGCCATGTCGAGGCCCCATTTCGTCAAAAGGGCGCCTACGCCTTTTCTTTGGTGTTCAGGCTTCACAGCAATAATATGACAGTCTGTTCCCGGGGAAAACGCAAAAGCGTGTGTCATCAGCAACTGGGGTTCACATGGTATGTCTCGAGAAGCCTGAAAAAAATAAAAAAGGCGCGAACCGGGTGCAAGGGGAAGGGATCGGGAAAACGAGGACGTGGGAGTTCACGGCGGGTCCCACTCACAAACGTATTTTCGGCCAGCCCAAAGCTTTTCTTTGGCTGCGCTGAGCGGGTTGATTAACTCATCGGCACGAGCTCTCTGCTCGCCTTGGAGCCAAACGGCGCCAGGACTCCTGTACTCCTCTGGTGTGCGCTCCTTGAGAAATGCATCCCAAAGGGCCATGCCGACGACCTCGCCAGTCTCGACATTAACGCACTTGATGGTGTACTGGGTGCTGGTCTTGTGCCAGTACTCGACAGTGTGTTTCGTATGACCCTCACGGAAAGCCTCGTCAATCCCCGTCGGAAACAGGATGTCGAGGATTACCGACCCCTTGAAGGCCGCAAAATAGGCATCGTACACCTGGGGGATGTCGGGGATTAAAGCGGGTAGAACGGTGAGGCCCATGGCGTCTGAGTGAAAGCCGAGAAAGGGCAAAATAACAGGGCAAGAATTGGCGAGTCTGCTTGTTCGCGAGCAACGGTCTGTCTGACTTGACTGAATTCGCGGTAGTCTGGCTGGTTGGTAATACCGTCTCTCTCTGGTTGTCTTGCGATCCTGAGGTCTCTCTGCGTCTGTCCGCGTTTGTGAAGCTGTTCCGAAGTGGGATAGATGGCGTTCTATGGTTCGTTCGCAACAAGAAAAGTGCGTTCTCTTTTGCTAATTGTGCGTCAACGGCAGCGAAGGCCAAACAAATCAATGACAAACGATAGGTCGGAAATATCGGTGCAAGCAACGCAGCAGGACGGAACTTTTTTGCCGGGCCACCACAGTGCGTTGGTGGTGTGAGTATTTAGGCTGGGGATTCGTCTGAAGACTTTTCCCTCACGGAACTGGAGCAGCTCCGAGCAGGTCGGTCCCGAAGACCGGCTCGATACCCTCAAGGACGCAAGGAGATGACGGATTGACGTGCCAAGCACTGTGATCACACAGAATACCACGGGGGTTGACGCGGCAGTTCTCGGTAATCCCTGAAGGGGATCGTAAGGAAATGCCGCAACCGTTGGGAGCTTCCGCCGTCAGCGGCACCGTAGCGGGAGAGCCCAAGAAGGGAACTAGACAGCGTTGCCCTTCATGGATAATGGGCTTGATGAGCGCTTACTGGATGACGCGGAGCCGTTATACCCATTCTGAGTAGGAACCATCTGCCCATTAACCTCGTGTGTGTGTGGCAGTGTGCGCCTACCTATCTTAGCCAAGGGCCCGATTCCTCTCACACTTCACAGTCGAAGTGTGTTACAAGGCCCAGTTTCCTCCTATACTATACTAGGTAAGTAGAGTAGTAAGTGCTACGTTGGGGCTTGGGTTCGGCTCTCCCCCTCCCCTCCACATGTGAGGCGGGCATCATTTGTCGAGATTGAGGAAAAGGTCACGACATGCATGACACATTATCAATCTGTTCGTCACATCCTGGGAGAGTGGGAGTGGGAGATGGACGCGTTAAAGTTATCAGATCCGCGTTTCTCGAGCCGGCGCTTTTTCTCTTTGCGTATGTCACCGTCAGGCGAGGCCGCGAGACAGCAAAACACCCCCCTGTTTGTGCCAATTAGTGGGCGATTTGAGCATGAGAAGACGGCGGATAATAATTGAAGAGTCTGGAAATTTGAGGGAAAAAATTCTGCTGCAGAAATGAGGGCCGCCGATGTCCTCCCGGCTCTCGCCTCAGGCCTGCCGGCCCACAAGCGGGACACGCCCCCTTGGCGCTCCTAATCAGATCCGTCTTTGAGGCCCCACACCCCCGGTCAGGTACCGGTCTTGTACCTTTGTACCTCGCACCCTCCCAGCTCCCAGCTCCCCCCCAAAGCTCCTGCTCCATTTCTCTTTTTCGTAAGGTCGCATCGGAGGAAGGACCCACGACATCATCACACGCCCCTCCCCTCCCACTTCAACCCCCTTGCCTCTCTCTCTTTTTTCCCTCCTTCACTCCTCCCAGTAGTGTACCTTTTTTCCCTCCCGTCCAGAACCACGAGAACGTATGATGAGATGGCGCCTTAGCTCAAGGGGACCCGTCATGAAACTCTTGCCTCATTGGTGCTGCGAGGGTGTGCTCAACTCGTTCGCATCTGACGTCCCTCACACACTCTCTCTGTGGCTCTTCCAAAGTTCCCAGAACGCTGACTTTGTGGTACAGTCGCAATAGCTCTGCATGCAGCATACCTACCTTATGCTAGGTTCCTTTGGTGGTTCCTAGGTTGTTTAGTCAGGCCCGTTCGTTCGCGCCGAAGTCGAAATGGGCGGAATCAACGACCAGTATTCGTACCAGCGTACCAGATACTCCGTTCTTTCACACACACATACGGGCACAAAGTCACACATTACACAACCCATTTCTGCTATACCCACCCGGACGGCTCCATGGATTAGGCACGTTGCGCCGCTGTGGCTCGCATCTGCCCTTCCCATCAATGAGCATCACAAGAAACTGACTGGTGTGTCTGGTGGTTCCCGGGGCGAGAAACAATATGCACGCCCTTTCTCTTTCACAGGCTTTTTTCCCGCTTTACCCTCCTCCTCCTCCGCTTGCTCTCCGCAGCGGCAGCGCGACCATCCATGATCCAGCTCGGTCTGCGAGGAGACGTAGCTCGGCTGCAGCGCCGCCGCAAGGTACATACCGCAGTACCCAGCCATGGGGTTCGTCGATCTAATCAAGAAAGTCGGGAAGCCATGTATGTTTCTCGGGTAGTCTTCATGCAAGGATACCTGCCGGACAGACCTGCAGAGTCGCACACATAAGAGCCTCTCGCGGTTACTGTGAGTATACAAGACTCCTCCGAGTCTTGGTGCATGTCTACGAAGTACTGCGTATGTGTGAGTGAAAGGGTAGCTCTCCACCCTTGGGCCGGTTGATCGTCCTCGTCAGACAAAAATCCAAACATCTTTCTTCAACAAGTCTCAAACAAGACGTTGTTTTGCAGAAGAAACCAGACGAAGCCATCGTTGTCCAAAGGCTTGTGAAATGCTGCGAGCTCAACCTCGAATTACTTCATAACGCTCGTTAACTTTACCCCTCCATCCTCCTCTTCCTTGTCACCCTCATTTCTCTTCGATACCCCCTCCTCCCCCTCCGGAAGTGAACAGACACCAAACACACGATGCATTTGCGAGACAGCGAAGGCGGCGGAACCGCCTACCAAGAAACAGGCCTCACCGACGGCGCAACAAACGGCTTGACCAACGGCAATAGCACCGTGAACCCCTCTTCAACGAGGACCGTTGTCGTGACATCGCGGGCCGAGTCCACCGCCGGTGTAAGCGACTTTAGACACGAGCTCCTCCTCGCATGGCTGCTCGTCCTCCACCGCAACAACGACGACGGCCTGAGCAAGGTGAACTGGGGATTCAGAACACGGGACGACCAGGAACCGTCGTCGGCGACACACAACAGCCTGAGCCTGAGCGAGGCGCCGTTCAAGAACAGCGACTCGATAGCAGAGGCCTTGGAGGTCATCAAGGAGCTCGGCGAGAGCGGTCTCGAGAGTGAAACGCAGACCATCCCGGTGATATACTTTAACAATGGAGCACCCAGATCTCAGGGTAACTCTGAGAAGGCGCCCTCCAAGAGATCACAAGACGTACGTAGACGGCCCTCTTTCGTGATGCTTCATATCCTATTATACAACATTCGATTCACCATGCTGACTTCGGAACCCAGTGGACATACCAGATCGAGGCGACGCTCAACGAGAACCAGCTGGTGATCAAGGCCCAATGGGACCGCGCCGTCCTCTCCTACCGCCACGCCATCTTCCAGCTCGACTCCTTCATCGAGATCCTCACCACCATCCTCGAGAAGCCCTACCGCCAGGTCTCGGACACCATCGGTCCCACGGCAAAGGACCTTGAGCAGCTCTGGACATGGAACGCCGAGCTGCCCGAGAACATGCAAAAGTGCATGCAGGACATCATCTCCGAGGTCGCGGCCAAGGGACCCGAAAGGCCGGCCGTCGAGTCCTGGGACGGCAACTTCTCCTACGGCGACGTCGACCGTCTCTCCACCCGCCTCGCGCGCCACCTCGTCGCCCGCGGCGTCACCGTCGGCTCCACGGTGCCAATGTGCTTTGAAAAGTCCCGCTGGACCACCGTCGCCCTCCTGGCCGTCATGAAGGCCGGCGCCGCCTTCGCCCTCACGGACCCGTCCCAGCCCGAGGCCCGCCTCCGCACCATCGTCGAGCAGACCGGCGCCACCGTCATCGTCACCTCCCAGAACCAGAGCGACCTCGGCCGGCGCATCGCGCCCGAGCAGACCCTCGTCATCGCCTCGGACGACACCCTCAACAATGATACCCTCGAGCTCGCCGCCGAGCTACCCGTCGTCCCGCCCTCGTCCCCGCTCTACATCCAGTTCACCTCCGGCAGCACGGGCAAGCCAAAGGGCGTCATGATCTCCCACGAGAACTTCACCAGCGGCGCCGTGCCCCGCGGCTGGGAGGTCGGCTACCGCGCCCACTCGCGCTGCTTCGACTTTGCCTCGTACGCCTTTGACGTCAGCATCGACTGCATGCTCTGCACGCTCGCCGCCGGCGGCTGCCTCTGCATCGCCTCGGACGAGGACCGCATGAACGACCTCAGCGGCGCCATCCGCAACTCAAAGTGCAACATGGCGCACATGACCCCCTCCGTCGCCCGCGTCCTCGACGCGGACGTCATTCCTTCCCTCGAGGTCCTCGGTCTCGGAGGCGAAGCCGTTTCTGCGGGCGACGCCTCGACATGGAGCAAGACCACGAGCGTCATCATCGCCTACGGACCTTCAGAGTGCACCGTCGGCTGCACGATCAACGGCAACGTCAGCAGCACCTCCACCAACATCGGCAAGGGCACCGGCGGCCTCACCTGGATCGTCGACCCAGACGACCACGAGCGCCTCATGCCCGTCGGCGCCGTCGGCGAGCTCCTCATCGAGGGTCCCGTCGTCGGCATGGGCTACCTCAACGACAAGGCCAAGACGGACGAGGTCTTCATCGAGGACCCGGCCTGGCTGCTCGCCGGCGGTGGCCCCGCCCGCGGCAGACACGGACGCCTCTATAAGACGGGCGACCTGGTCCGCTACGATCCGGACGGCACGGGCTCCATCGCCTTCGTCGGCCGTAAGGACCAGCAGGTCAAGCTCCGCGGTCAGCGCATCGAGCTGGCCGAGGTCGAGCACCACCTCCGTGGCAAGATGCCCTCGGGCGTCAAGATCGTCGCCGAGGTCATCAAGCCCGGCGGCAGCGAGCCCACGCTCGTCGCCTTCGTCGTCGAGCAGAACCCCGTCGACGGCCCCGTAGACGCTGAGGCCGGCGACGTCACCACCTTCTCCCCCGAGTTCAGCCAGGCCATTGCCGAGATCGATATTGCTCTCGGCGCCGAGATCCCCCGCTACATGGTCCCCTCGGCCTACATCCCCCTCCGCAAGATGCCCTCCCTGGTCTCGGGCAAGATCGACCGCAAGCGCCTGCGCGAGCTCGGAGGCTCCATGTCCCGCGAGCAGGTCGCCCGCCTGCGCGTCGCGCCCACCGAGAAATCGGAGCCCGAGACGGAGATGGAGAAGGCGCTGCAGCAGGTCTGGATCAAGATCCTGGGCAGCGAGTCCGCCGCCGCCATCGGTCTGCACGACAGCTTCTTCGCCCTCGGCGGAGACTCCCTCCGCGCAATGAAGCTCGTCGCCGCCGCTAGAGAGGACGGCATCGCCCTGACTGTGGCAACCATCTTCAACTTCCCCACGCTCAAGGCCATGGCCGAGAACGCGACCAAGGTGTCCAAGGAAGACGACGCCGCCGTCACGCCCTTCTCTCTCCTCGAGGAAGGATGGACTCCCGAGGAGGCCCGCGCCGAGTCCGCCAAGCTCTGCGGCATCGACGAGTCCGCCATCGAGGACATTTACCCCTGCACGCCCCTCCAAGAGGGTCTCATGGCTCTGTCGGCCAAGGTCACCTCGGCCTACGTCGCGCAGAGAGTCGTCGACCTCGCGGACGCGGCAACGGCAGATAAGCTCCGCAACGCATTTGACGTCGCCGCCGCCGACTGCGCCATCCTCCGCACGAGAATCGTCCAGGTGCCGGGCCGCGGCCTCGCACAGGTCGTCGTCAAGGAAGACATTGCCTGGCACATTGGCGACGACCTCCAGGGCTACCTCGTCAAGGACCGCGAGGAGGGCATGGACCTCGGCAGACCTCTCGTTCGCTATGCCCTTGTCACGGACAATGAGTCGGGCAAGGTGCAGTTCGTGCTGACGATGCACCACGCCCTGTACGACGGCTGGTGCATGCCCCTCATCGTCGACAAGGTCAACAAGGCCTTTGACGGACAAAAGGTCCAGCGCCCTGCCGAGTTCAAGGACTTCATCAAGTACCTCGGCAGCATGGACCGCAGCGCCGCTGAGACGTACTGGCGCGAACAGCTCCAGGGTGCCGCTGCCACCACGCAGTTCCCCGCGCTGCCGTACGAGGGCTACCAGACGCAAGCCGACTCTCTTCTGGAAGTCTACGTGCCCCTGAACGGCAGACCTGCCTCCAACACCACCGTTGCCACCGTGATCCGCGGTGCTTGGGCCTACGTGGCATCTCACTACGCCTCATCCAACGACGTCATCTTTGGCGAGACTCTCACCGGCCGTAACGCGCCCATCAGGGGTTCCGACGAGATCGAGGGTCCCATGATCACGACCGTCCCCTTCCGCACCCAGGTCAACGCCGAGACGCTCGTCAGCGACTACCTCCAAGACATTCAGGACCAGACTATCCAGCAGATTCCCTACGAGCACACCGGCCTCCAGCACATCCGCCGTCTAAGCCCGGATGCCCTCGAGGCCTGCGAGCTGAGAACCGGTCTCGTTCTGCACCCGAGCGCCGACGACTTTGACCAGGAAGAGTTCAACAAGTACCCCGCCAACCGCCTCGTCCCCGCCGGCGACGCGGAGGCCGCGGAAGAAGCTCTCAAGTTCAACACCTACGCCCTCATGCTCGTCTGCTCGACGGACCCCAAGGGCTTCTTGGTGATGGCCTCATTCGACTCAAAGACTGTCCAGAAGCCTCTCATGGAGAAGGCACTTGCCCAATTCTCTCAGGTGGCGCAGAAGCTTTGCCAGCTTACCGACACGCCACTTGGCGATATCGCGTACCTGACTGAGGAGGACAAGACCGAGGTCGCTCGCTTGAGCACCGAGAGCGCCAAGAGCGTTCAGCAGGAGTACCCGGAGGCCGAGGCAGTGTACATTGTCAACCCTACCGACTCTGCGCTTTTGGCTCCTCTTGGAGTTGTTGGTGAACTGGTGGTTGTCAGCAAGTCCGACTTGTCTCTCTCCACGCTAGAGAACCCCTCGTGGGCCGAGAACAAGGAGGCTGGCAAGTTCTATAAGACGGAGCGTCTCGCCAAGTTCAACGCGGATGGATCCGTTGAAATCACCGGCAAGACAAGCGATCTGGTCCAAAAGGCCAGCACCGCCACCAAGGCGCCTACTAAGCGCATCTCTGCCACGTCCGCCAAGCAGCGTCGTCTGCGAACTCTCTGGAGCCGTGTACTCAGGCTCCCCGAGAGCGATATCGGCCTCAACGACAGCTTCTTCCGCCTTGGTGGAGATTCCATCGGTGCCATGAAGCTTGTCTCTGAGGCTCGCTTGGCTGGCCTCACACTTACCGTCAACCAGGTCTTCACGAAGAGGACGCTGTACGACATGGCCAGCGTCCTGCAGGACTCTGAGCCCACTCAGGACTCTCAGGAGTCCCTGAAGCCTCTCATTCCCTTTGAGCTGGTTGAGAACCTCGGCGATGCCCCGGCAGAGACCCTCCGCCCCCTGTTGGCCGACCCGACATGGAAGATTGTCGACGCTTTCCCCGCAAGACCGTTGCAGGAGGTCGCCGTCAAGGGCACAATTGAGATTCCTCGCTTCTCTGCTCGTTACGAGGCAATGTACTTTGAGAGCGATGTTGACCGCCCCCGCCTCTTCCAGAGCTGTCAAGAGCTTGTCTCTCTCAACGAGGTGCTGCGATCGGTCTTTGTTAAGCACAACGGCGCTTGCCTGAGTGTCATCCTCGAAGACGTCAAGACTCCTGTCGTGGAGTACGAGATCGACAGTGACGTCGAGACCTTTGTCAAGGACCTCTGCAACATGGACGTCCAGACTCGGATGCCGCTTGGCTCCATCTTCGTCAAGTGGTTCTTCGTTCACAGCAGCAACGGCCAGTCCGCCTTGGTGTTCCGTGTCTCGCACGCTCAGTACGATGAGATTTGCCTGCCCATCATGCTGCACCAGCTTTCGGCCCTGCACGAGGGCAAGCCCGTTCCCAAGGCTCTCCCCTTCTCCTCCTTTGTCGGTCACGTCGTCAAGTCCAACATCCCCCAGAGTGTCGACTACTGGAAGGAGCTCCTCCAGGGATCCTCCGTCAATGTTCTGAAGCCCGATACCCCCGTGACGGAGAGACAGCACTACGCCATCGACAGGACGTTCGACATCTCCACTCGCTCCAAGGACGTCACCATCGCCACCCTCCCCACCGCAGCCTGGGCCCTTACCCTCGCCCGCCTGCAGAGCACGCGCGACGTCACCTTTGGCGAAGTCGTCAGCGGTCGCAACATCGACTTCCCCAACGCCGACATGGTCGTCGGCCCCTGCTGGCAGTACGTGCCCGTGCGCGTCAAGTTCGAGGACGACTGGACGGTCCTCGACCTCCTCAACCTCGTTCAGAACCAGCACATTGCCAGCTCGGCGCACGAGGGCATCGGTCTGCCCGAGATCGCCAAGCTGTGCACCGACTGGCCCGCTTCCGTGGACTGGTTCGACACAGTGGTGCACCAGGACGTCGAGCACGTCGAGAGCCTCGGTTTCGAGACGGCGAGCAGCCGCATGGAGACGATTTACCCGCAGCAGGAGCCGCTTCGCGAGTGGAAGATCCAGGCGTTCCCCCAGGGTGACAAGCTGACGATTGAGATTGTCACGTTTGAATCGTGGAAGGGTCATGCTGCGGAGCTGCTCGATAAGATTGAGGAGACGTTCAAGATTCTGCTTGGTAACCCCAGGTCGCTTTTGTTTGAGCAGCAGTAAGAGGAGGGATATTGTACATACTGTACTAAAGACTGCATAGAAGGGGGGAGTGTTGAGTGTTACCATTTTTGGTCTTTCTAACTGATATCATTTTTGTTTTGTTGATGCTTGTTGAAGATTCTCTGATTGGACGAGGGGCTTTTCAATTGGTTTGGAAAATGCTGTGAACGATTTCATGTTGTTTTGTTACTCTTTGGAGTTTGGTTGTTTCAATACACACATCATACCATATCATACCTTGCGAACCTTTCTCGCTGCTGCTCTGGTTCGCCCAACTTCCTTGTATGCCGCCTGCTTGAGGCAACCCCAGCCCAACCTGCATGTGGCCGCTTCCAGCAGCCTCACTTTCCTTATCTCACAGGAGAAGGGTGTCAGTTTCCTGTTCCTCATACAAATAGGGCGGAAGGTGGCTTGCTTCCCCATCCTATCACATTCTCGTCTCCAGGTTCAAACCTCCACCGCCCTTCAGACTTATTGTCCTCTCGTTAAAGCAGCGAGAGACTGTGAGGAGACTCTTCTGTAGAATGAGATAAGCAGGACACTTTTCCCATCCCCTTCTTCTCCTTGACCAACACTCATCCGCACCTCTTTTGCGACTCTACACCAGCACACAGCTCTCATCACAGCCTGATTTCCCCTCGCCGCTTCAACGCACCCCCTGCAACCTACCAGAATACCAACGTTACAATGTCTGACAACGTCACCTGGACCAGCGACTTCGACAAGTTCCTTGCCGAACTCGACACCGAGAATTACGCCAATGACAACAGCTTCATGGATCTGCTTGATCCTACTGGTTGCTACGACTTCGGCCACGTCGACGATGGCGCTCTTGGCGCTGCGGACCCCCTGGATCCGTGAGACTTTTTTTTTTATCACTTGCTAACAAAAAGGGTGTCAGTGACCACCACGGCACTTCTAACTCCACAATCTGGCTGTGAGTTCCTCACCCTGTTCACCGTGTCTCCTCTCCAAGTAACACAGTCTTAGTGCAAATGAGACCACGCATCAACGCAGTCCAGATGACGGCAATGATTTGACATTTTCAATGGCCAGCGCTCGAGCCCAAAATGATTCGAAGTCCCTGGAGATAGCTTCTGCTACTTCAGTCGAGAGGACTGCGGCAGGAGCGCAATCGGCTTGTGCGCAGTGCGGCGAACATTTCGATAGCGTAGGGTGGCTGCTACATCATGCTCAGATAAAGAATCATCGGATACTGCTATGCCCAGTCCAAGGCTGTGGTAAGTTATTCAGAAGCTTCAACGAGCGCTACGACCATCAACGCCTGCCTCATCTTGAAGGCCACGAGCGCGTTGAAACGGAGCATCCGTTTGCTTGTGTGGAGTGTTCAGTGGAGTTCAAGAACAAGTCTAGACTTCAAGAGCACGCCAACGAAGCACAACACAACCCCTTTGCTTGTTCCTGTGGCAAGAACTTCGCTCGACTTGATGTCCTCGCCCGACATCTTGACTCCATGGGGACCGACCTGCCGAAATACCCCTGTCACTTCTGCAAAAGCCACCGCGGGGAGAATGGCTTTCGAAGAAGAGATCATCTACTGCAACATGTGCGCGGCTACCACAAGTTCGAGGCTGAGGGTAAGATCGAAAATATTATACCTTCCCGCCGAGGCAAATACCAGACGCCTCCAGTCTGCCACTTTGCGGATTGTCTGCACTACCGCGACGACAACTTTGAAACCCTCAGTCGCGAGGAGCAAAATCGCTCCAAGCCATTCGAATCACAGTCAGAATACACCAAACACATGAAGAACGCCCACGACTTCACACATTACCCCTGTACGGTGAGAGGATGTAGCAAGATTGGCGCCAAGGGTTACGCGAGGGAGAAAGATCTCATCAAGCACAGGAAGAAGGACCATCCTGAGGCAGGAACGTATGTCCCGGCAACGCGAGATACTAAGATCACTTGCCCGAAGTGTGATACCAGCCTGGGACAAAACAGCGCTTTTTGGCATAGGTGTTATTGGTAGTGATCATCAGGGGTGGGTCTTGCAGGTGCGCTTGATCACAGCGAAGCTTATCTTCTGAGTGAGGGCTCTATCGAACGATCGTGTAGGCCCGAAGAGTGGCGGACAGAAATCAGAGCGTTGAGGATGCACGCCCAGTGGCGTCACCACAGTTTTGATCTCAGTTATCTTCATAGTGTTTGTTGATTTGAATGTATTCTCTCGCAACTGATCATATGGTGAATACTTATGGCAGAAGACGAACAATAAGGCGCCTTCGGTAGATGTACTATTGGGAGTGTTCTCCTCAAGCTGCAAACCCCCATTTTCAGTTTACATCGGGAACCCTACTCTCAATCAAGTGTGAAATATGGTGTGATCCATGTCGGTTGCGCCTACCACGTGTTCTCAAGCTGATAAGATTCAGACAATAATGCCATTCCCTGTATCCTATGAACCAAGTACGCCAGCTGGGTATTGTAATCGGACATTGGTGGAAATTCTCGCCGTGTCTCTCCATCGATGAACACAGTCCCTAGGATACATCCATATCCTGCACTCCAGAGTCAATCGCCTCTAGCACCCTCTCAGCATACCGCCGCCCTGCGGGGCTGAGCATCATCGGATCATGATGAAAACCGTCCCTCTCCCACGGTAACGTCCTCGGCGCCGGATCCGCGGGGTGCAAATCCCCAACACGCTGCGGCATACCCTTATACCGCTTGCCGTGATCATCGACCCAAGTGAGCAACTCCGTCCGTGGATCCCGCGTCGGAGCATTGTAAAAGTCAATCGGCGACTCCCAGTCCGGATCACCCAGGATCAACCGCGCAATATCAGTACGGTCGTCCAGCAGCAGAGCCAGACGCGGCGTAGCGAGCTGCTCGTACCATCCTTCACCCAGATAGTTCACAATCCCCGCAATCTCACGGTCGCCGATGCCCTCGATCCACCACAAGTTCTGCGTCGCCTTCATGAACATGAGGTAGTGGGCCAAGATAATAAGCGCGCGAGGCCTCTTTTCCCGTCCGAGCTCGACGAAGCCCTTAGGGATGAACGTAAACCACGTCACGACGCGGAGGGTCATGATGGGTCCAAACCCGTTAACGAGCTCGGCGTAGAGGGAACCGAGGTACTTCAGCGTATCGTAGTACGTCGAGATGTCTTCGTAGTCCGGGTCGCCGGGTTGGATGGAGGAGACCATGAAGAGCAGGTTATTGGGGATATGCTTGGCGGCCTCGTCGAGGTTAATAGGCGGACGCATGAAGAGCTCCGCGAGCCCGGAATCCCAGAGGGTCTGCGGCGTAGCCATGTCGATCATGAGGCCGATGCCGCGCCAAACGACCATCCAGTCGATGATGTAGAGGTCCTTCGTCCCCTCTTCGCGGAACATTTGCGACGATAAGGCGGTGAGCAGCAGGGAAGTCGCGATGAGGGCGGGGAAGGTCTCCGGTTTGCCTTCCTCGATGGCCTTGCGGTAGCCCTCGAAGGCGCGGGCGCGATAGCGGAGAGCGCGGGAGGGTGCGATGTCTTGCTTGAGGTGCTGGAGCTGGAGGGCGGAGGTGCCGAGGAGGCAGTCCATGAGGAAGGGGCTCTGGAAGGCGTGGCTTGGGATCTTGACCTTGAGGATGTCGTCGATGCGCTTCACCCTGCCGGCCTGCGTGGCGAAGGAGGTGAAGGTGTTTGTGGTGTAGAACCAGAGGAGCTTCATGTCGATGGCGTCCCTGTCGCCGGCGGGGATGTAGAGCGGTTCTTTGATGACGAGGGCGTTGGCGCCGTCGTCGTCGTCGCCGCCGCCGGCGGCCGCGTGGTGGCTGTTGCGGCGGTGCTGCGGCGGCGTGTGAGACCGCGAGCGGGCCGGGGAGAAGGGTCCGGCGGAGGAGCCTGATGGCGATCCCGGTGGGCGGTGGTCGGAGTGGGAGTGGGACGGTCCGGGGTAGTTGCAATTGGCCTTGCGGAGCACGCAGTTGCGACATGTTGGACGAGCCTCATCGCACTTCACCTTGCGTGTTTTGCAGTTCTTACATCCTGTCCGTGACTTCTTGTGAGGCCGTTTTGAGTGGTACGGTTTATCCTCGATGTGATTTGTTGAGCTTCCTGCGGCGGCGTCCGCTGAGTCTGACTGTCCGGAGGATGAGAGGATGGTCATCGTGTGTGTGTTTGTGTCCTTGACGGGGCCCCCCAAGGCCACCCGACTCTCGTCTCAATGATGGACCTGAATCAAGCAGCTGCCCTTCAGTCTTACGGCGTCCGTCAAGATTCGGGATGAGAGGGAAGGATGGCTACGGGGTGAAGTGAGATGAAGTGGAGGTTGTTGGGGTGAGATGAATGACGAGTGGGGAAGATGGGAGGGAGAGAAAGAGAAGCTTCGCGGTAGTGGCAATGAGGTGAAAGGTACGTCGTTCGGAAATTGTCAAGTGTGTGTGTGAAGTCGGGACGCTAGGTAGAAGGGGTTGAGTTGGTGATGCTCGGACCTCTAGTTTTTTAGGGATGATGTCCAACGGCCGGACGGGGGAAGTAGAGATGTCGTCGGGGTTGAAACAGAGTTCCGTGGGCGGGTGACGCTGCTGACGGAATGAGACGCCTAGTTATCGGATGAAGCTTTAAAACACAGTCCCCCTTCGCACTGATTAGTCGGCCCGCTAGCTTCAAGTTTGTCTCTTTTTTTGCCCCCAGGGGTTAGGTAGGTGGTTGGTTCCGTTGGTTCTAATATGCAAATGCCGACTTGAGTTGTGTCGGGTTAAGTGTGTGTGAGGCCTCACGAACAAACGAATCTCATGCTGCTGCCTTCCCAGGTTGTGTTATTACCTCAGTTATCAAAGCCACAAATGGAGAGATCATTGACCCCACACTGAGCTTACGAGCTCTCTACCTGACTCTCATCTGACGGATGACTAGCGCTTTTCCCCGTTGGGCGGCACGAATCCTTCGGTGGTGGCATGCCGGTTTTAATGAGACGGGCTAATAGAAGCCGGAGAAGCTCAACCTCACAAGTGGGAGAGAAACGAACGAACGAACGCGCCGCAACAGTACATGCCATGGTGTGTGTTCCATGCCGTTGACGTACCCAAACTGCGCCGCCAGGGCCACGAAGCATGTGCAGCGGCAGCAAAATGAGAAAAAGTACGGATAAGAGGCTTGCGCAAGCCTCTTAGAACCCGGCAAAACACACAAGTTTGTTCATTCCAAGGGTCAGAAAGAAGGGTACTGTGTATCCGTAAAAGCACTGCGCCTCCCGCAGTACCCTTCTCCCTGCTGTCAACCCTCCGTGGGTTGCCCTTTTGGGCGTTGGAGTGGGTTTGGATACGGACATGTTTGTTTGACCTTTGGGGAACGTGGACATTTGACACTTGGCGCACAGTTCCGGGGGAGTGAAGGAGGGGGCTGGCCAGAGAGACAGAGAGAGAGAGTTGTGACTTGAGAAGTTACCGGTACTGTAAGCTGCGAGCTGTGAAGCCGCACTGCCGCAGACGAGCTAAAACTGAGTGTGGTCAAGTCTCAAGAAGTGGAGCTGCGCCCGGCACAGGGCGCCTGGGTCCCAACGCACGCGGGCCACTTTGGTCCCCTGCGCCCGCCGTAAGAGGGGCCCGAGATGGGCCGATGCTCCGGTCACCTGACTTCGCGTCTCAGCGGCTCGCAGGTCCTTTCCTTTCCATGTTACTCCGTACCTTCGCACGCGACACGGCGGTCTCTGGTTTCCGGCCCGTTTCCCCGGTTTTCTTCGCCGGGTGACGAACGCTGTTTTCGAGTTGATACTTACCAAAAGGCTCGAACGCCAGAGCAATTGGCCCAATTGACATGGCGTCACTCTTTCAGCTCCCCGAGGAGCTCCTCCTATCCCCCTTATTCGAGCGTTTCCCCTGCCGTGAGCGTCAGATCCGTTCTTTAGCTACCCTTCTCCATGTAAGTCGCCAAGTCTTTGCTTGACTATGTGTGGAAGACCAGACACTGACCTCAAAACTTCAGCCCGCTGCCGCGCCCTGCCGGAACCTCATCGTCTACGGCACCGAAGCCACCGGAAAGTCGGCCATCGTCGAGTCTCTCCTCCAGAGCCTCTCCAAATCCCTCGACGAAGAACCCGAAACCGAACCCAAAACCTCTCTAAGCTTTGCCATCGTCAACTCCATACAATGCATCACGGGCCGGCATCTATTCGAGCGGACAATCGCTGCCGTGGTGGACGCGATACAATGGGAGGCTCCGCCCAAGAAGTGCGAGACATTGGCCCAGTTGATGGTTGAGCTGTGCAAGATGCTAAAGTACACACAACGACCCGACGGCTGGCGCCTCGTGCTCGTCTTTGACGCAATTGACCGTCAGAGAGACGCTCCCGCAACCCTTCTCCCAGCATTAGCACGGCTATCCGAAGTGGTGAGTGATCATACGCCTCCCACGCGCTCAACCATGGCATACTAACAACCTACCGTCTGTAGATACCATGCCTAACCTGCGTCTTCATCGTCACCGCCCCTCCCCCCTCCAGCCTCCGCACCTCCTTCGTACCACACATCCAATTCCCAAACTACACCAAGCAGGAATTCATAAAAATCATCTCGGCGTCCCCGCCGCCGCCGACCCCGACCACGACGCAGGACGACACAAACTTCCTCTGGACCCGCTTCGTCGGCGCCGTCTGCGACGCCCTCACGACGTCGGCGTCCCGCACCCTACCCTCGTGCCGCCACAGCTGCGACGCCCTCTGGCCGCGCTTCACGGCGCCCATCCTGGCGCGCACCCACGGCCCGCGCGAGTTCTCCAAGCTCCTCATCGCTTCGCGCGTGCACTTCCAGGACGAGAGCCTCCTGAACCCGAGCATCGTCTCCATCAAGCTCGGCAATCCTACTTCTACGACGGCGGTGCCGATAACGACGAATGGTCATACACCAGTAGGCACACCCTCGAAGCACGCAGCAGCATCAGCCCAATCGGCACTGATGAGCACTGCCACCGCCGACTTAACAACCCTACTCCCGACAACCACCCGCCTCCTCCTCCTCGCAGCCTACCTCGCCTCACACAACGCCCCCCGCCACGACCTAACGCTCTTCTCAACATACCACCACGGCCGCCGGAAACGCCGCGGCGGCGGGTTCGTAGCCCCCAAACGGGGCCGGCCGAGCAAACACAAAAAGATCTCGCGCAAGCTGCTCGGCGCGCACGCGTTCGTTCTGGAGCGCATGCTCGCCATATTTGCCGCCGTGCGGAGCGAGTGGGCCGAGGCTGACGTGCGTGGCGGGTTCGGTACCGTCGGCGGCAGCAGCAGCGTGGTGGACGGCGACGTCGGTATGGCTATCTCGACGCTTGCGAGTTTGCGGTTGCTGATGAAGGTTGGCACGGGTGGTGATCCGATGGATCGGGGGGGCAAGTGGAGGATTAATGTCGGGTGGGATATCATTCGGGGCGTGGGGCGGAGTGTTGGTATCGAGGTGGAGGAATGGCTCATCGACTGAGGTTGAGTCGTCGGCGTACGTATGACTTAATGTCGAGACAGTGGACGAGAGCTTTTATGATTCGGCTCTCAGTAACAACATGAAAGGAACATCAATGTCCTGCCAATTTTCATGAAATGTTATGGGATCTCAGCTTGAAATGCACGAAGAATGTCACTCAAACGCCGGAGCCTTTCTTGATTCCCGGTGTCTAGTTATCTCATCTCGAAGGGTGAACTTCGTCTTATGCCTCGCTCAAAACCCCTGATTACATCCAAATCTAAGACAAGCTTACAGGAACATGTGTGTGTGCGCGTGTATTTCATCCATACGTTGCCGTCAACCCAGACTGGCGCCTATCATGATAGTACATTGACATTGAACTCCTTGCGACTCATTGGCCTAAAAAAGACATGTTTTTACAACTCCCATCCTGCGTCCTGCCCCCAAAAACACCCCTCTACCGGTCCCCGAACCGCCAGGTATCTTCCTGTTTGGTACCCGGTGCGAGCCAGGCCGCGTTACTCGCCCCGCGGGCTCTACCATTGCTGGGCCCGTCAGACTTCTTGGCATCTTCGCCATGAGGCGAGTGCCCATTGCTAAACGACTGGAATGCTCCAGCAGAGACCATGGGACTCTCGAAGACGGGCGCATTCTGGCTGGCGTTCAGGGCATCCTTTGTGTTCAGGGGCAGCAGGGGCTCCTCCTTGATCTCCATCATCTTTGCCTTGCGGTCCGCCTTGTCCCGGTCGTGGGTGCGGTCGTAGAGGTAGAGGCCGACAAAGGTCAGCAAGATACCGACGCCTTGGAGAGGGGTGGTTTGGTTGCGGAACCAGATGATGGCAATGACGATGACGAACACGCGCTTGATCAGGCTGGCGACCGAGTACGTCACTGGCGAGACGAGGGACAAGAGGACGAAGGCGAGGATGTTTTGTCCAAAGTGGAAGGTGCCGTTGAAGATGAACTCGATGGTGAGGCGGCCGTGGTCAAAGGAGCCCGCCTTTTCGTTGAGGTCGACTGCGCCGTCGTGGAGGACGTCGCCGATGATGCCGGTGCCTTCGCTCCAGAACCAGATTGGGACCGTCAGGATGAAGGCCATGCCGGAGGAGTAACAGAGCAAGTTTAGCTTGTCGAGCTTTTGCGACCGCGCTGATTGGCCTTCGGCCTCGGCCTTAGCAGCTTCGTTGAAGAGACGCTTTGAGAAGATGTTCTGCGTCACGAAGATAATGGTGGCGAGGAGGGCGTATAAGATGCCCAGGAGCTCGCCACTGTAGCTGTTGTGCTTGCCGGAGCAAGCGAGCATGACCCCGAGGGTCAGGGGGACCAAGGATAGGTAGGTGTTGACAGAGTACCGGATGTTGAAGATCAAGCGGTAGGCGAGGACGGTGAAAAGGGGGGAGAGACCCTTGATGGTGTGGACCAGCGAGACGGGGATCTTGGAGGTCGCAGTCGAGCTCAGCAAGTGGCCAAAGATTTGGAATGCGGCAAGGGGCATCGTCGTCGAAATGACATCGCGGGAAGGGTAGCGAATGCCATGTTTGAGGGCTGGTATCGTTGTCTTGAGACTTGGAAAAATATTGGCAAGCCAGGCGAAGAGGATGCAGTAGGTCGCCACGAAGGCGAATTGGATGAGGGTCAGCGTCGCAGGCTTGTCGAAGGCGGTCAGGATGGACTTCGAGGACGTGTTCGTAAGGGCGGACGAGGTGTACCAGAGGACACAGAGCGCCTGCGATGCAAGCCATTAGCGCCTAGCGAGCAGAAAAGAAGGGAGCAGAGCAGCGTTTCTAAACAAGACTCACAATCAACCTAGGAGAGACAGGCGCCTTGAGCGCATCAGCTATCTCGTGAGCATTCTGGCCGACGCTTCCGCCTCTTGTCCGTATATTGTGAATGGCGTCACCCAGACTCTTCTGCCTCCCGTGGCCGTACCGCGTTGGCACCTGCTGGCCCGGCGCACCCCATCTGACGCTGCGACCCTGGAGACTCTCCTTTCTGGGTTGCCAGCGGTCGCCGCCTACGGGCGCTCCTGGAAGCGCATAGCCGTTCGACTTTGCAGGACTCGGCGCCCTCGAACCGTTGGTGAGGTGGGAATCGATGTGGTCGGGGAACTTCTCCATGCCGCCGTTGCCGTTGGCAGAGAGGGAATCGATATCGCCGTACGGTCTTGGTGAGTGCTGCGACCGATTGACCGAGGAGGTTTGTGTTATAGAACCAGAAGTTGTGGAGTGAGGCATGACGCGAGCACTGGGGGAAATTTGGCGGGGACAAAAGTCCTTGGTATCAAGACAAGGTATCCCGTCTCCGTAAGGTAGCTGGTAATGCTGGCAGGGTGGATATGCGATTTTCGTAAATTACCTAGTACCTCTGAGGTCTGGGCACCCCTCTGGAGATATCTCTTGTACTGGTAGAAAAACGAGTGACAGATGCGGCAATCATGCGCGAAGAAAATCGAAAACTTAGACTTGCTTAAGGTCGAGCATTGTCTCTGCCTTTGTAGAAAGTCGATTTTCAGATGGTGACGCTCTGATGGTGGGAGGCCAGACGTTCTCTCTCTTTCGCGTGGGCAAAATAAAAGTCTCGACGACAGGGCGAGATTTACACGTCCATACAAAAGTCAGCTCCCTAAAGTTACTGGGGGAGCTGTCCTCATCTCAATCAATCGGAGATCCCACGGTGCTGCAGCGCGGCTTAGGAATGGCTCGTTGTCAGTGGCTGCTATCCCTGCTGAGCAAGGGGCAGAAACGCATCCCCCCACGGAGCTTCGCCCACCAGTACCACGGCATTCAATAGCCCGTGCCCGGGGCACTAAACCCGCTGGAAGACCGGCGCAACGGGTTGGCACCTGCAGTGTTTGCACGGCGTCGTGGCATTGGCGGGAGGCACCTACGGCGCTGCTGGATGATTAGTAACGCCGCCTACCGACAAGACTTGGCACTCCAAGCACCTCACTGGAAGGCGCCGGCCCAAGCTTCCAGCAGTACCTTGAGGGTACGTACTGTTCTCACTTTTGGCCAGGATCAGGAACGGACCCACTTAATCGTAAAGCAGCCTCCAAAAGTTTGGCGCGGCTGTCACGCATCGCCAGTCGCCTCCAGAAGGCTGTTCAGCATTTGACGCCCATCAACATCTGTTCCATCGCATTGTATTTCTCCAGCCCAATCCTGCGCGCCCGCAGCACTACCGCTGTTTTGCTTTCCCACAAAGCATGCGCCCTCGCATCGATCCGAGAAGATTCACCATAGCCGCAGTGGTTTGCTACGTCGTAACACAAGCTACACCAAAAGCGTTCAGCTCCACGGCGCATCTCGATTCAAGATGGCGGCCCCAAAGATGACCAAGAACCAGATGCGGAGGGCGAAGAAGAAGGAGCAGAAGAAGGCTCAGACAGAGGTGCGTTTCCCGTTCGGTGTTGGTGCGTGCGCGCGTGATACTGACGTGGAGAACAATCAGGTCGCGTCAAACACTCCAGAGGTCAAAGACGACGAGAAGAAGCCCGAGGAGACCGAGGCAACACAAGAAACAAATGGCAACGACCTCGAGGTTAAGAACGAGTCCGAGACCAACGCCAAGGTCGAAGCCGACGGCCCTGCTGATGATGAGTTCAACTTTGACGATGAGAGGTTTGCCGCATTCAAGGATATCTTTTCAAAATTCGGCGTCGCGATAGACGAGGACGAAGTTTCAAAGGAGGCCAACGCGGGCAACACAGGCGAGGTAATATGGGACGAGGATGATATTCCCAGCGAGGACGAGGAGGCATCAGGACAGACGAAGCTCTCCAAGAAGAAGAGAAAGCAACTCAACAAGCTCTCTATTGCGGAACTGAAGGCTTTGGTCAAGATACCCGATGTTGTCGAGTGGCAGGACACCTCATCCACAGATCCCCGCCTTCTGGTGCAGATCAAGGCGCAAAGAAACGTGGTACCCGTCCCTGGCCACTGGGCGCTCAAGAGGGAGTACCTTTCCTCGAAGCGAGGTATCGAGAAGCCGCCATTCCGGTTACCAAAGTTTATCGCCGAGACGGGCATCACGGAAATGCGTGATGCTGTTCTCGAAAAGCAAGAACAGCAATCTCTGAAGCAAAAACAACGTGAGCGTGTCGCTCCCAAGATGGGCAAACTGGACATCGACTACCAGAAGCTCTACGATGCGTTCTTCCGCTTCCAGACCAAGCCGGAGCTCACGCGGTTCGGCGAGGTGTACTACGAGGGCAAGGAGAGCGAAGTTGATTTCCAGCACTTCCGGCCAGGGGACCTGACCGAGGCCACAAAGGAGGCCTTGGGTATGCCGCCAGGCGCACCTCCACCATGGCTCATTAACCAACAACGATTCGGCCCCCCTCCTTCATATCCCACTCTCAAGATCCCAGGACTCAACGCCCCGCCGCCGCCAGGCGGTTCGTGGGGTTTTCATCCTGGTGGCTGGGGCAAGCCCCCCGTCGACGAATTCAACCGCCCCTTGTACGGAGGTGACGTTTTCGGTCTCACAAACCAGGCTGGCGCTCAAATCGCACCACCCGTCGCCGCGCCCCTGGCCACCGGCGAGCCCGTCGAGAAGACTCTCTGGGGTGAGCTACAACCCCGCGACGAGGAGTCTGAAGAGGAAGACTCGGAAGAAGAATCCGACGAGGAGGAGGAGGAAGACGAGGACGGCCCCGGCGGTGGCCTCGCCTCGCCGAGCGGCATCGAGACCTCGGGCGGCATGGTCTCGTCCGTGCCGACGGATTACCCGGGCCACGGCGTCGAGACCTCGGTGGCGGGCGAGATGGACCTCCGCAAGCAGCGCCGCGGCTTCGACACGGAGGAGAGCTCGCACCCGCGCTCGGCGTACCAGGTCATCCCCGAGCGGCAGCAGCGCACCGAGGGCTTCTTTGGCAGCGACAGGGTGTACGACCTCAACCAGCAGCAAAAGGCGAGCAACATGCCCGTGCTGGGCCAGGAGGACGACAGCCGCAAGCGCAAGAAGCCCGGTGACGTGGACGTCGCGCTCGACCCGGACGCGCTGCTCAACAACGACGGCATCAGCAAGGACGAGGTGCGGCGGCGGTTCGAGGAGGGCAAGCGCGAGGAAGGGTTAGGTGCCAAGTGGGCGTACGAGGAGGACCTGTCCGAGATGATTGCGCAGGAGTCGCGCAAGAGGCAAAAGGTGGACGAGAAGCGCAACGACGAGAAGAAGAAGCAGAGCAAGTACAGGTTCTAAGTGACTTGGATGCTTGGTGGCTGGCTGAATTCTCTTGGAGAAGAAAAATGAGAGAGAGAGAGAGAGAGAGAGAGAAATGTAATGGTATCCTTGAATGGTTTTTATGTTGCAATAGGGGCACCGGCGCCGGGTTGGGCATACAGAAATTCTAACCGCTGTTTTTTTTTTGCGATTTGATGATTTCATGCATACCTGTGTTGGTCTTGGTATCTCGAATAGACTGCTCTATAAAAACAGAACAAAGAGAATAACTTCAGTCGTTAGGAGGCCATTTACTCATCATTTCAAAGTGAGATTCGATTAGTATAGTTTTATGCCTGGTGTCTCTAGAATCCCGTCTCTATCGGCCGCCCCAATCATGATGCGACGCCGTTTGCCCCATGCAGGTAGATGCCATCCGCTTTGTTTGTCGAAATGGAAAATGATAAGCTTCTTCTCTCTTGGCTTCTTTGTTTCCCTCATACACTTCTCCGTTCCCCCTCCCTCGAGTTGACGGGTCAACACTTCTTACTATACACTTATGCGTCTTGCCTCCACGGCTGACGGTGGCTGGGCTTCCCTCTCACGTCCGCTCTGCTGCTTGTGTGTCAAAGCACTCATTGCAAACCCAGTCTGGGTCATCGACGCTCATCTTTGCGTTCTCGCTGATGCAATCTGAGTGGTAGAGCCGTTTTGAGCATTTCTGTAGACAAGGTTAGCTGCCGTCGTTTGTGATATACTTAGGGGTCACCACTCACCAGGTTGGTACACAGGAGGAGCCTCGGCCCCAGAACAGTCAGCCCACACACCAAGCAGCCACCGGCGCTCTTGCGGATGTGAGGCCCCTGAGGCGATCCCTTGGGCACCAGCGTCGGATATTCCCCCGTCTTGATGCCAAGTTTCGCCTTGCGCATTGCAATGTGGTCGAGGGCTTCCACGACGGTGCCGTGGTCGAGACTGCTTCGCGCCAACAGGTATGTAAAATGCTTGCCAAACTCGGTCATACGAGAAGGCGAAGAGAGGAGCCATTCCGACTTGAGCCTCACAAAGCTCAGCCAGGCCGCGGGGAAGTATATGCTAGACGACAGGCGCTTGGTGAGCATGAACTTGTCCCACTCCTGCATGTACTCCCTCTCATCCGGTGGGACATCAGAGAAGTCTGCCAAGGCATCACGATGCCATTGGATGAGCCACTTATCGCTAGCCGGCGGCTTCTTGTATTCGGTGCCTGGCTGTAATGTGGCCCTGGTGATGGGGTCGTAGAGCGTCTGTCCAATATCTGGCAGAAGCACTTTCGAGCGTGTCTATACAGAGTCAGTAACGTTCTTGTGAGAGGGTTTGCGAGAGAGCGAACCTGCGCAGGTTTGGCGAGCGGTTGTTTGCTGCCGCGACCTGGTGGTTGGGGCCCAGGTGTGCTCTGGTCTTCGGTACCGAGGCGTGATGTTAAGAATGATATATTGCCATCTGCGAACTGATCCAAGTCGAACGCCTTGGTAGGTCTTCTAAGAGCAAATGGCTCCGGACCAAATGTGTAAGACTCATAGCGGTGTGCTACCTCGAACTCGGCGCCTTTCGCGCGAGACTGCGGCCGGAACTCATACTGGTCATGTTGACTGATGAGATGAACCTGCAGCTGAGGCAGCGAGCTATGCGGCATGCCGCATGTGACGCAGCGGAATGAATCCAGACAGACTTTCTCGCTGGGTAGGTGATAGGTAACGGTCCCCTCTTCAACGACATTCGCGGCGCCGCGTTTCTTCCGCTTCTTGTCCCTGCCTTGAGCCTTGTCACTGAGGACTTTCAGGTTGTAATTCTTGGTGGCGCCACGAACTCTCAGCGACCGGTTAGGGGTGAGTTCTTCTTCGAGATCCTCGTCGACGTGGACATCCCCGTTCACCGCGCCATTTCTGGGAGCCTTCACTGGAGTTCCTGGTGGACTTTCGTATAATGGCTCCTGGCCGTAATCCGTGAGCAGTGAGTCCTGCGCGGCCAGCATGCCGGATACTGTGATGGAGGGCTCTGTGCCCGCTTCCACAGCCCGAATCTGGCCTGCCTCAAAGGCAGTCGTCCACTGCGCATCAATATCGATGACATGCTCTGTCGGGCCAAGGGACTGCGGTGTCTTCTTGACTTTGAGGTTTAGTAGTGCCTTCCTGCGTGTGAATAAATCTGACGACGCGGCAGCGAGGACCCAGTGTATTGCCTCGGTAGGGTTTGCATCATCGGCTGAAGAGTTGATGTTAATCGGAGGCCAAAAGGTTGGGCCGGCAGCTTCGAGCTCGACACAGAGACGGTACGAATCAGCCAAGTCAAAGGAGCCATTATCGTCGCGGTTGATGCGCATGCTGTCTTCTGGGATATAGAACGGGCGTTGCAGGCAAATGCGCGCCATCCGGTTTGGGCCACCAGGGTCCTTGAAAGACCTGATATCGCACAGCTGGCTGTTGCAGTAGAGCAAGACCTCACCAGCTTTGGTGACATGCGACAGCGAAACCTTGCATCGGGCTTTCAGGTTCACGACATCGTCGGAAGGAGCCAGAGATATCCTTTTCGAGGCCCTGTGGAAGATCCTGTTGACCTGAACACGGAGGTTGCGCTGTAGGTCGCCAACATCTCGGGCCTGAAATATTTGGTCGGCGAGCTGGTGATCGGCATCCATGCGACGGCGCTTGTTGGGGCGGACTTCATGATGGCCGTTGGAAACATCTCCGGAAGCAGCGGCCTTGGAAGCCGAAGACTGGGTGTTGCCCATGCCTTGCAAGATGTTCCTCTGGAGAAAAGGGGTACTGCGCTGGCGCCGCGAGTGAAGCGTCATAGCTGGTGAAGGGGGACCATGAGAGGTTTATAGAGATAGTCCCGCTTGGTGCTTCCCAGAAAGGCTAAATGAAGACTGTAAGCCTTCAAATCTACCCTGGGTGTGGTTGCCCCTTACTTCGCAAAGCCCACTTCAACGTGGTGAGCCAGAGTGGGAAAGATGTCTGGTCTCGATGCTCATTGAAGGACTGTGAGTGAGAGGCCGAGTCTCACGGGAAAGGGGCAGTGAGGCGCAACCTCACTGTTGTCTCCTTTCTGACGTCTTGAAGCAGAAAATGCAGAGTGGCGGGCGGGCTGCACAATCCGGATAAGGCGCAAGTCAAGTCCAGAATTTTTGTGCCAGACCTGAGCCAAAGAGGTGTCGTGGTGACTGGTGAGCGATGCGACAGGAGGGCCGAGACAATGAGTGGGACCCAAGGAACGAGACGCGACCGCGACTGCGACTCGGGTCTTGGTCAAGGGAAAAGAAAAAGAAGCCCGGGCGGTAGGCTGCTTGAACAAAAAAAGAGAAAATCCAGCCTAAAATGTGACGGACTGCAAGACTAGAAAACCATGTTCTAGCTTTGTCTGAAGAAAGGCGGCGCGTTCCTGACGGTCAAAAGTGGTGGCGCTGGGCGATGACAATAACAGGAACAGGCTGTGACAGAGTGGGAGTGGAAGCGCGTCGTCGTCGATGGCTCAAAAAAACGTGGATGGCAATCCACCCCCGGAGCAATTGAATTTTGGAGGTGGACCGGGGGGGCTTCCAGCAAACGTGTTTGTCACTGGCCAGTGTTGCCAGGCTCTCACGCCCCCTAACTGCCCGTGAAACTAATTGCCCGGGGCAAGGGGGGACCACAGCACTTGGTCGATGTACCGGTAGGTGTCTTCCACTGTGCTTTGGGCTTGCTCTGGTTGGCTTGAGGATTCTGGCTACAGATGCCAGCAAGAATTGTTCATGATTGGCCAAGACGCACTTCTAGTGGGTCTTTTCTCTCCAGGCGAAGCGGAAAGCACCCGACTGCGCAGAAGCTCGCCCCGACACCCAAATCCAGTTGGTTCTGCTTTCCCGAGTATGGAACCCTGTCTCGAATTTCTCGAACAAATATCTCTGATTCCTTCAGGCCAACTTGCACTTGAACATGACATGATGTTTTCCTCCAGAGCTAGAGCTGCCATCCGCAAGGCAACTCGGCGCACAGCAAATGACAGCCAATCTTTGTCTCGCCGGCTAGGATCTACTTGCTCTTATCCAAATCCCGGTCATTCCGCAGTTTAGCATCCTTTGTGTCGATGCTGTTACGCCAGGGAAACCTGGCACTGCCAGACTGCGAGCAAACTCACTCTCAAAGTTGAGGGATCGAGGTCTTCCACTTGCCTGGCCATTTTTTTTCTTTCTTCTTCTTTCCTTTCTCGTCAGGCGCACAGGCCATGTGTTTGCGGGGGTCCTTGACAAGCGTCTATTCGTACTGCAGCCCACGGCAGCCTTGGGGTGTCCCAAGACGCTAGTGCAAGGCTGACAGCTCTTCCTCGTTGGTGGTTCAGTGAGGTGACTGTTGCGCGCACCTGCCCCACCAACTCCAACTCACTTGCAAAGGTGTGAACCTTCCTCCACGAGTCTCTCCAAATACCTTACCTTACACTTACTTTCTACACAAGTGTGTCATTGTGCGCACTCAATTTTTCCTCCATCTCTTATCGCACGTTGCTTAAGTGAGTCGCTTCTGCAGCGTGCCATCGTACCTGTTGATATCGGACTTCCGGCCGCTGGCGCAAAACCGTCGCAAACGTCATCACTCGACAGCTTCAATAAGCATGCGCTAAGTCTGGTGTGCAACTCGACACTCTTCTAACTGGCTACATCACCGGACTACTCTGCATATAATTCGAGCACAGGTTAGTCATCAAGTTCAAGAAAGTCTTTATCGGAATATTCCCTAAGATGCGACTCCTATCGATGCAGGGCACACCACTACTGCACCATGGCTTCTCAGCGGCACACCACGGCCTCGAGGCCTCGTCGCGACTCAGCGATCGCTACAGGTTCCCAATCTACTGCCAACGATCGAATGCGAGTCACCAAGGCCGGAGCCCGAACGTCCCCGAATAAGCTCGCCGATGGTCTCCGATCTAAAACTCGATCCTCGACTCGCTCCCACATTCAGTCATATGTTGGCATGGAAAGCTCCGATGAGGAAGACTCCATCGCGGATGAATCCGAAGATTTTGAAGAGTCACCACGCACCTCACGCAAGAGTCCCCGAAAGACGCCGACCAAGGCTAGCGATGGAAGAGGGGTTAGCCGGGCCGGCACCAAACGCAAGTCGACCACCACTGCGCGAGACTCTGCCCCTAAGAGAGGTCGAGGTCGACCTCGCAAAGTGGAGGCTTCACCGCGGAAAGCCAAGCACGACTCCTCGGACGAATCCGAAGACAATGGGTTCGAAGACGAACTCTCAGATGCCAAACCTACCCCAAAGACCACGCCGGCTAAGCCGCGAGGGAGGCCCCCAAAGAAAAAGGTGGACATCGACATGAACACTACAAGCCCTGTCATTCCAAACTGGCTCGACCCCCAAATTGCGCATTCAATCTGGGTTCAGATATTTCAATTCGCGGCGATTTCAGGCGATGAGCAGGATACATTAGACGTCAACTGGATCCTCCATACGGCTAGGACGTGCAGGCAATTCGCTGATCCGGCATTGACCGTTCTCTACAAATGTCCACCAGTACGGGACGAGACCAAAGCTTATGGGCTCGCGGAGTTGCTCGAGAAGCCGCCATCGCAGACTACATTCAACTACAGAGCGAAAATCGAGGCCCTTCACATCGACGTCAGACTGGTGTCTTTACGAGGCCTGACATCGCCACTGAAGCTGATGCAGAACTTGCCACGTCTCAAAGAGGTCCTACTCGTGCATGGATATGACCAGGCCCCTTTTCGAAAGTTGAAGGAATCCATCAAGTGGACGTATCCTGACGAGCTCTTCGAGGCATTTGAGGTGTCTCCTACTGCAGCTGCTGAGGCTGGGGAAAAGACTGCAATAACACGGCTCCAAAGCTGGCAATGGAGCTCCAGGCTGATGGACAAGAACTGGGAGGCGAGCCTTGCGAGACTTCAAGAAGTTCACCAGATGCCGAGCTTCGTCTCTTTACGGAAACTCAAGTTCGTGAACTACCAGATGCCCTCCATCAGACTGGACAAAGATCCCGAGACCAATCCCGAATTGCTTGCCGAAGATGAGAAGTCTGTGAGCCTGCTTGCAAACTCTATTCTGGCTCTTCCCAATCTCGACGATCTGGTCTTCGAATCTTCGACAATCATTACTACGTCACTGTTTCCCTTGCTCCCAGCAAGGCTGAGACGCCTAGAGCTAGTGAACTGCGCGGAAGTTATTGCCGACGATTTCAGCTTGTTTCTGGTCACGAAAGGACATCAGTTGCAATCGCTTGTGTTGAATCACAACCGTTCACTGAACCTATCTTTCCTTACAGTGCTGGGAACTGCGTGTCCGCACCTAAAGGAGCTGCGTATGAACCTGCAGTACTTCAGCTTATTGGAATCGAGTAACGATCGACTTCCCTCTTACGACACGCTACTGCTGCCGAATGAGGTTCCTAGCTGGCCAGCATCTTTGCAAGTGGTTCATCTGGAGAATCTTCGTCACTGGAGTTCCGGCGCAGCTGATACTGCGGTTGCGGAGGCCTTTCTTCAATCATTGATTGATAGCGCTAAAGAGTTACCGGATCTCAGACACATCTCCATCAAGGCAATGCTCAGCATTTCCTGGCGGTCACGAGTGGAACTCCGAAAGTCGTGGCAGGAGAAGTTTGAAAAGATCTTCCTTCGACAAAGCCCCGATCCAAAACAACACTTCACCCTGCAGAAACCATTGCCCGTCGAGTCATCTCACCTGGTCGTTTCGAAGCGAAAGTCCAAGAAACCTGCCGCAGAGCCATCCCGGCGGAGCAAACGAGTTGTGTCCTATGCTTCGGGTACCTCTTCTCGCGCTAGCAGCACGTCGAGAGGGCTTCGTGGCCAGCAGCTGCAGCCCAAGTCGTACGCGGAGCCTGACAGCGACGAATTCGACTCTGAAAACGATGTCGATATGGAAGAACCCGAAGAAGATTCCAATCAGGGCGAGACCGACGAAGCCTCTGAAGAAGCAGCGGCAGACACATTTGTACAAGGCATGTGCAACGTTGTCGATATCCACATCGACAACCAAAAGCCCCGGGAGCATCAGTATAGCATGGATGACTTCCTGAACGACGAACGCGACTTTGAGGTCGATGACGAATGGGATAGCGATATGGACTACGCGTAGGATTGACTGTTTCTTTGCTTCCCTTTCTTTGTCGGCGAGAGGTACTCGCATGACCCCTTTTTTTTTTTTGGCTTTCTCAGAGAAACACTGAGGACGACGCAATTTCCCTCAGATATTGTGTAATATTACAACTTGGCCGTCTTCTGTACACGCGAGCTCATGGCTCGATACCATGGAAGATGAGACGACGAGATGGGCTATGGTTTGGCTTCGGAACATAGGGAAGGGCTTGACTGGAACTCGCTTGGTTGGCCAGCATGGGTTTACGGAAACGGGTATGGATTATGGATATGAAATGATGGATTAGGCTGAAGGCCAGAAAAGAGGCAGTCTGGGGGCATCACAGGTGGCCTACTATACCTTGTTATGAGGTCCCTCGGGTCATGGCTTCTTCTATACCATGTAGTACAGAAGAAGAAGCAGTAAACAGTTGCTCAATGGAATAAATGGCTTGCCAACGCCGGCTCACTTCTTCATTGACCTCGGAGGTGCCCCATACGCCGCGCGTCAGCTTCCCTCCTCGCAACTTGAGGCACAGAAGCCCAGATTTCTGGTTCCATCTGATACAGGTTCTCGACGAGAAAGGGTTACTTACCTATTCATCCGTCGAGCTAGACTACCTTAACTCAGGTACACGTACAAGTATTCTGGACCTGCCAAGTACACACGCACACACATACAGAGACATGTATTCAGACGCCCACTTGATTTCTTGTATTCTCCTACACGTAATGAAGCAAAAGCAAGAAAGGGAGGAGGCAAGGGTATGTGCCTCTCCGACTGACAGATAATTGTAGCAGTAGTAGTAGTACATCTTCATCGCCGCTGTAAAAGGGGGAGAAAAAAAAAGAAAACAAGAGTCAATCAACCCTTTCCCCCCGTCTCCGATCCCACCACAAATCGCAACACAAAAGTCACATGCCTTTCCTTCTACATCTCCTCTCAATGTACTCTACCACGTGACGGTGCTCGCTCCCTCCTAGAACGCGGCACCGCCCATGCCTTCACCAGCCAAACTCTTCAAGCTCTGCTCGCTCACGTCCACCCTCGTCTTCCACGCCTTGGACTCCATCTCGAGCTTGTCCCACATCTGGAGGCTCTGCCGCAACTTATCCTGCTTCGCGTCCAGCTCTGTGCGGGCCTTTTCCTCCTCCGCCTTGAGTTTCTTGTAGTGTGGCTCAATGTCCCTCGTGATGCCCGTCGTCGTCGGGAGCAAGGAAGGGTCGATCTTGCCGCCGGGGATGATGGGCGGCAAGGTCGCAAGCATGCTCTGCGCGAGCGTCAGGCGGACGTTTCCGGGGCCCCCGTGCTGCGAGGAGGGGCCGGTAGGAGGGTTGAAGGCTTTGGGTGCTGACGATGTGCTCAACGGTGTTGTGTTGGAGGGGTTGGCGCGCGGACCGGTTGGGATGCTGGAAGGTCCGTTGCCAATGGCAGAGGGGGATGTCGTGGGGGCAGGGGCCTGTCGAGGGGATGGACCGGACCACGAGCCTCGTCCACCGCGGGCGCTGTATCCGCCGCCCCTCGCCGGAGCTACGTAGCCTCGGGGGCCGGCCGGAGGGATTGTCGGGCTAACGGCGTCTACGCGCGAGGGTGGCACGCTCGGGGTCGGCGGGTGTCTAGGTGGCTGGACAGCTGGTGAGCTGGCGGGCGCAGTGAAGTTTCGGGTCGCGGCAGGGCCGGTTGGAGGAGCACGTAAAGCGGCGGGGCCTCGAGGTGGTGTCTTTGCGGCCGGCGGGGCCGGCTCTTGGGGGGCGGCGATCGCGGAGGCGGCGGAAACGGCGGCGTTTGCGGTGGCGTTTGCGGCAGGCTTGGGTGCTTCGCGAATCGTCGTCGTCATCGTGGAGGACGATGATGCGGCAGAAGCACCGGTCTGAAGCGGTGTGGGTTCCCGCTCTCGCTCTCGCTGCTGCTCCCGCTCGACTCGCTCGACACGCTCCCCACGCTCCCTCGATTGCGGCCGCGAACGTGCTCGGGTGGAAGGAGGAGGATGCGGTGACGACTTGCCTGAAGCTGATCGAGACGTGATCGCTGACGAGATGCCAGAATCTCGGGGCGGCGAGGCCCGTCTGTAAGAGGATCCTACGTATCTCTCGCCCCCACCGCCGCGGCGGCTCGTACTACGAGACCGTGGACGGTAGTTGCCACGAGATGCCGGCGCAGGCGACCGCCGGGGTGGACTTCTGTCCCTAGGACCTCTGTCGCGGCCGTATGGCGAACGCGAACGGCGTCTAATAGGTAATGAGACCGTAGTCTGCGCAAAGGGGGGCAACGAACGGTACCTGTCGTCCCGCCGATCAAAGTCCCTGTCTCTGTCCCTCTCACGCTCTCTGTCTCTGTTGTCGCGGCGCGGCGGCGATCTGGCTCGATCGCTTCTTTCATCTCGGATGGCTGGAGATCTTCCAATGGGACTGCGGCGCCTTGACGGGCTACGTCTCGGCGAGGGGCGTCTCACAGGAGGAGGGCTTCGAGTCCTGTCTCGTCTGCGCCATGTGTCGCTCTGAGGGCGCGGGTCTCTATCGCGGGACCGGTCACGTCGGTAACGCTCAGCACTGCGCGAGCGGCGGCGCGCAGGAGACCTTCCGGGGACATAGCTATCCGAGGTCAATGGCGGCGTGCGGGCGCGGTCTCTGTCGCGGTCTCTTGATCTCGGGCGATCTCTGGTGTCTCTGGTGTCTCGATCTCGGTCTCTGTCGCGGTCGCGAGATCTTGGCCGGTCTCTGTCTCTGTCACGGTCACGGTCGCGATCGCGGTCGCGGTCACGATCTCTATCTCGGTCTCGTTCGCGGTCTCTCAGTGGGCTTCGGGCTCGTCGAGGAGAGCGGTCACCGCCACCACCTCCGCCTCTAGGAAAGGGTCTCCAGGACTCGCCAGCGCCATACCTAGTGACCTCGCCGTCCTCGTACCTAGGATGTTTCGTCAGTTGGTTCCATTGATGATGGCTCGACGCAGTCGGAAGGCCGGGCAATGGCATTTCGGTGCAAAAGGGACATCGCTCTCTGCTAGCCTGCGAAGAGGTGTGATCGCCGTACAGCTCCGGCAGTCCGAGAAGGGTCCGAGACAGGTACCAAGCTGGAAAGCAAGCGATACACTGATCATCGGTGCCGCCGAGTTCCCGTTCCCGTGAGCGATACTCCGGTATGAAGTAACCGTGGAATATGCCAAGCTCGACCAGGCAGGCCCTCGATGAGCTCGGGATGAACGGGTGGGAAAGGCAACAGGAGCTGCCAACAGCTAGCACCACTTACCTGCTTCTCCGATCGCGATCCATATCTGTTCGTGTCGTGTAGACCGCAGATAGGCTGAGGGCAACGCTCGTAGTTATGGGGGGTCGTGGATCTTTGCTTTGCGCGCGCGCGCGATAGGTAGTTGGATTGGGAAGGTTGATGGGTCAGCTAAAATGCGCGCCAACGCCAGACGTCAATCGTCCTTGGATGGAGCAGCAGGGTTCCTAAGGATGCAAGCAGCAAAAAGCGCCCGAGGAGTGGGATCGGGCCCCCCTGAAAACCAAAGGGTACCCACAAAACGGAGGCTGAGAGGCAACTGCGAAGCGCGCCCAGACGCGGCGGCTTGGATAAGATAGGGATGCGTCGGCTGTTAAGCCAATCAGAGTGTACTTATGAACGTCAGTGCTGGTCCGCAAGGCGTCCTTTCGTCTGTGGCCAATTAAAGCCAAGAGAATTGACGATGGGCTGGGATCTAAAGTGATTTGCCGGAAAAATTGTAGACGCCCACACGACCAAGCAAGTCTTGAAAGACCAAGAAAAATATTGCGGTAGAAGGATTTCAAGGAGGGGTCCACTAACTAAGTATCTTTTACACCGGGATATCGAAAAGCCAGGTCACTTGCTGCTGTATGCCTTCCTCTCAGCTGCATGTGCCAAAACCTAGTGCAGAACACATCGTCAGCAGTTCAAAAAGCAAAAGATTAACGCGGAGAGTGGCTTTGCCAATCGCGGTGAGGATTTGAGCCTCACGCGGGGGTCGAACCCGCAACCTTGAGATTAAGAGTCTCACGCTCTACCGATTGAGCTAGCAAGGCGGGTTATTGTGTGGATGCTGTGGTCCACTGTTGGAGAGGAAGCCCGAGACTCGTCTCTTGGACCCAGCCGCCCTCCTGGTGACTGATGCTTCCTCACTCCCCTACACAGTATAGAGTAGTAGGGTGGCCAAGTCGACTTCGGCGCAACATGGTTCGCATTGTGGTGGTGTATCAACAGAATTCTCTCGCCAAATACCTAAGGTACGTCGCTGACACCCATCCCGCGCTCGAAGATTCCTCGCTACCAAAAGTGTCTCTTCTCTCTCAAAATCCTCCGCTCTCCCGTAACTAGCGTACTGCGGACCTGGAACATATCTCCATCCTCAACGCCAGCCGCGTAGGCTTCAGTACCCAGTTGTATATGTGCTGCACTGCGCGCGCCTCCCCCCGGTATCTCATCCCAACTTTGAAGCAGGCTCACTCAGCCGGCGCATGTCAAGCCATCTTGTCATCCTCCGTAGTATCACCATTCTGTCGAGCCGCGAGCATATCCAGCATCCAACTCTGGACCTCCTTGGCATGGGCCTGCGCCATCTTCTGGGTACCGTTCTCCGGACTCCGAATCACTGTGCCGAAGCGGCGCTTACTTACTCTGTGCTTTGTGTCTGCACGAGACCAGCACGCGTGATCATGCTCAACGTAGATCTGGGAGTGGTCCTTATACCAGGGTGCAAGCTCGGTGTCGACGTCAGACTTGACGGGTCGCAACATTCCCTTGATGAAGCAGGCGACTCCAGCAATTTTGGCTTTGCAGTCTATCGTGAAATGATTAGCGGGGGAAGAGCACGTTACTGCTATACTGTGAAACACATACCTCGTCCAGTCAGGAGCGCCCTAACTCCACTGTAAGACCGACCTACGCCAAGAAGAAGAATGTCGTCGGCCTCCTCGTAGAGCTGGATGTAGTTGTCCCATAGGTAGTTCGCCAGCTCCTGAAGTTCGCCCAGGAGCTCAATCTCTCCTGTCTGCTGAGTGTAAGGTTCCATATCTTCGTCTCGTAGAACCTTGTTCGGAACGTTGACATCCATGACTGCAATGCCTTGGCCAACCGCCCAATCAATGTACTGTTCGACGCTATCGACTACCCAGGCGTTATGGGCTTCCACGTGGCGGTCAACCACATCAGGTTGAGCCAAGACCTCCGGCGGATCATGAAAGATGATGAGGATACGCCGTGCGGACGGAATGTCTGGTGTTACGAGGACCTGATTCTCGTAGGATTTGAAGAGCATATCTCTTTGTATGAAGAGAGGAATCATCTGATGGCGTTGTGACAAAGCTTGCCTTTGACCGAGCCTGATATGGTCGTTGAGTCTTGTGACATGCAGATCTTGAATATCCGGCATCGGAATGATACCAGGTCTCATGCATTCCCAGTACGGCGCGTGGTAGCTCTGTACTTTGGCGAGGACCCTGGCTGCGTCCTTGTTCAGAGATGGCAAGTTCATCTTCGGTGGCGGTTCTCCCATCAGCGTACGAGCAACTGATACCGCTGACGTTGAGATGGCTTGCAAGTTGTAGCCACCCTCCAAGCACACGACGACCTTGCCTTCTGCCAAGGACATGAGCATGTGGGTCATGTGTGAGTAGCAAGCAGGGCTCACGAAGCAACCACCGAGCTCGTCTCCGTCGGCAGCGTCGAATCCTGCAGAGATGACAACCAAGTCGGGGTTGAACTCCTTGGCAATAGGCATGATGATTTTCTGGAAGGCGGCAATGTACTCGCCATCGCCCATACCCTGGTCATGCCATCCAATATTGATGTTCTTTCCCAGCCCGGGTCCTGTACCACAGTGCTCGAGGCCTCCATCAGGTATTTCTGCGTTCTCGGGTGGTCCAGGGTAAAATTGTCCGTTTTGATAGACGTGAAGAGAAATGTACAGAACATTTGGGTCGTCGTAGAAAATGTTCTGAATACCATTGCCGTGATGAACGTCCCAGTCCAAGATGAGCACCTTTCTGCAGGCCTCTGGATATTCTTGCTGGCAGATCTTGACGGCAACGGGTACGTTGTTGAAGAAGCAGAAGCCGAGGGGTTGGTCGTACTCTGCATGATGACCCGGGGGTCTAATGACAGCAAAGGCATTCTTGACGTTGCCCTCGACGACATGCTTGCAGGTGTCGATGGCGCCACCGCAGGAGAGAAGGGCTGCCGTGAATGTCAGACTGCCAACGTAAAGCGAGGCACGGCCTTGATCATATTGCCGGCTCGTTTCTCGTAGCGTGGGGTAGTCCATCTTCGATAGGCTCTCGACCCAGTGATAGTGCAGCGGAGTGTGTGTGGTAAGAATTTCTTCCTTCGTTGCTTCTCGAGCGCCAATCCTCCACATGTACTTCGACGGGTTGTGACGCATCACTTCCGTGATTTTGCTTTCCGGGCCATTGAAAACTAAGCCATTCCTCTTGAATGCTTTGAAAATTTCCTCTATTCGGCGAGGGTCTTCCGGGTGATGAGGCGTAGTCCCAAAGTCGGCGTTGACGTGAAGCTTCATGCGGTCATCGTAGCAACATGCCGTAGGGAGTAGTCCTCGTCTGCGAATCGAGTCATCATCTAGAATTTCTTCGTAGTCCTCTTCATCCTCCTCATCCTCGTCGTCGGGCGATGTGGTATTCTCGTCTTTTTGTACCCCATCAGCAGGCACTGGAACTCCATTGGTAGTCGTGGTGTCATTTGAAGGCTTATCATCCCCGCCCATGACGACGTCCGGGTCGCCGCCTTCCATGGTCAGAAACCGGCTGTGTCGACACGCCCCAAAACGCGGATGATGCTTATCGCAAGTGATACGAGACGAGGACAGTGTCTGATACTTTGGGCAGCAGAGCAAGATCGCCGTGGCTGACCAACAGAGACTTTCCAAGGTACTGATAGCCGGGATGGTTCGAGCTAGGACGGAAGGCAGTCCTATGTCTCAGGAAGATGAGCAGGTCTGACTGAATGCTCTGCCCTGTTTCCGAAGGCTAATCGATCTTCAACCACGCAGGAAGAGACGACCCAGGTTGCCCAGAATCAGGCAATCTTCTAATGCCAGGTCAGTTATATATTCAGGATTCGTCTAGGTGCCGAACGTTGAGGAACAGCAAGGCAGGCCAAGTGAAAGACAAAGTGTATCTTTTGTGAGTTGTTCTTTCGTAAGCGCATCTCTTCGATAAGTGATAGCATCAAAAACATCTCTCCGAACAAAAATGAGAACTGGGAAAGATCAAATGAAGCTTCTTTGTTGCTCGGTCTTGATAAAAGGCAGACGGCGTTAAGAGAAACACTCAAGATGCGCCATCTCAGCCAGCTCGCTCGATAATGAGACACGAGACTGATCAGACTGTCGCTTGACTGTCATAAATAAAAAAGGCACTTTGTGAAATAGTAACTGACCTTTGTGAGAACGACGGTTCAACTATGGCTGCTGCCCGAGATGAGCTCAACAATGAGTTCGGATAAGGCCGCCGCCAGCTGTAGTAAGGTAGGTCGGTCTGTCGCAAGTCTGATTACAGGTGCGGCGCCTGCAGATGGTGATGGTATATCGGGTGTAAGAGGTGAGTTCGAGAGAAAAGAGATATTAAAAACAGGGTTCCAGCTGCGCAAAGACAATGCGCTGCGCTGATGGGAGACAATGCCGTCGTGTAGGACGGCTATTAAGTGAGTGGCCGGGTGTGAGTGAGGATGGGAGAGGCTTGGGCCACTGACAAGGCGGGAGCTGGCCACAAGCTCGCCGCCTTGCAGGGTGCACCCGCCACACTTACGCCCCTGTAGGTCACAGCCTTGCACTAGCTAAGAGATCAAGTCCGCAATCCACCCATTGCTAGATTCCCGAATAAGGCAAGTTCAGTCTGTTACTGCACTTCCTCCCATCATCGCATTAAGATACTAACGAAATCACAGTGCAAGTGGTGGAATTTTCGATAGCATTGCTGATAAAAATGATAATACACTGCCTAGCATAGATTGGCGAAAGAAGGCGGCATTGCTCAAAACACTTATGTCTCATGCGCGAAAGACGCGACATCAACTTGACGAAGACGATATGAGGCCATTGACAGTGACTCTATTAGGATCTGCATCACCCTGACTAGTTTTTATCTCACTCTCAACTGAAATAGACCATCATGGGACATTGGCCTCGACCGTGATTGCCTCCACCCAGAAACTTAGCATGCTTAGTAACGTTACCCGCCATAGGAATGACTTCGCTCGGCGAGAGCTCGGCCATCATCTCCTGGTGGTGCCCAGATCCCTCTCGGCCGCCGGAACGCCCCAGGAGGAGGAATCGAGCCATCATGGCTGCCGTCACGACCAAGATGTTCGTCCAAGTCGTCATCAGAGGTAACGATGCCTCCGATGCTGGTCAAATCAGCAATGTCGAAAAGCCACGGCCGCTCGTCTGCTGCTGACTGAATCGCTGCTACAAAAGATTCCTGGTCCTGGGAGAATGCAGGGTGCTTCAAGTTGACATCCATCACCAGTCTCTTCCGAGGATAGTTGAACAAGTTCTCGAAGTAAAACATCAGGTCTTCCGGATCCAGCTTGGCATACGTGTCCACAATGCGTTCGCGAATGCTGGTCTCGATCATAGTCTCGAGTGGGCTGCTCTCGTCAACCTTTGATAGATGTCAGTATTGATTCGATTTTAATACCACTGCGCCTGCAATATCGAATTGCAAGACGCCAAATACCACTCACAGGTTCGAGGTTCTGCTCTAAGTTCGGGTAGATGTAATGCCGTACAAGATTCTTCATCGACAAAAAGAGATCTCTCATCTCGATCAACTCGCGAGTTGAATGAAGTCTCATATGACTAGTTCGGATATCGTTGACGAATGGCTCCGGCTGACTACTCCGGGGCCGAAGAAGTTCACCGTGGAAGTAAAAGGCGTAGAGCCACCAGCGATAAAGAGCCCGGCGGAGCTTGAACTTCTCTAGCTTGTTAAGTTGACGGCAGTCCTCAGGCGTCGCGAACCAGTGGAGTTGAGGAAATAGATCCTCCCATTGTCGTGTCACCAAGCAATACTTCAGCAAGGGTTTCAAGTCCCTTTCAACAAGCGTAACCGATCGAGGTGACGGCAAAGTAGTTCTTGGTGGTTTATCGCCGTTCAAAGCCCCTGCATTGTGCTGAACACCGCCATGGGATAGGGTGACGCCCGTCATGTCGCCCGGAAATCTCCTGAAAACTACTCGTCGCGGCTGAAAGGTATCTCCGAACTGGGCCATGTCTTGGTCCGATGCTGTGAAGATTTGGAGAAGCTCTGGCAAGGGGCTAAACTCTCGCTGAAGGACTGGCAGCAAAATCGCCGCCTTATTTCTTGTCAGGAGTCCATGGAAAAGAGTGTTCACCTGAGCGAGGGAGAAGATGCTGCGGACATCGAGCTGATGGTAAATATCGAAAATAATCTCAAGGGGAAGCCCTTCGAGGCCGTCCAATTTGCCAAGATCGTCATCCGCCAGGTCTGATTGCAGCTGTTGGCCCACAAATAGTGATGAGTAAGTTGAAGACATCTTGAAAGCACTCAACGGTTGTCTATAGCGGTCTATGTGTAATTAAGGCGATCGTGATCTGAAAGTTGATCAAGTATAAGAAAGGGGTTGGTCCGATAGAGCAATGTAGAGTCAAGTTTCGGGCTGGTTGTGGTGAGAGGGCAGTCTGACTGTAGTTCAGTCTGATGGTGGTTCAAATTGACGATGATTCAGATGAATAAGTCAGAGAAGCAACGGAACGCTTTCGGCGGCAAAGATAGTACGAGTCGAATCTATGAACATCTTAGAGGCTTCATCCTATAGACAATAATGTTGACAAACGCGACACTCACTGGTGTATTGCAGCATGTTGCTTTCAGACAGCTCCTTTGGTTGAATCTCGTGACGATGAGTTCGCTGGCGTCTTTTGATGCTTGCCTGCTGATCAAGGACGGACAGAATGAGCTGGACCCCTTGGTCTAGCTTTGATGTTGGAGGGAAGCTCTGATGTACGCTTCAACAAATTGTCACCGGATAAGGCTCCAGCCACAATCAATGTGCGTGTATTTTGGAGACTAATTCGTCTCGTCTGGCCTCACGGATGAATGAAATCACCAGTGAGGTATCGGATCAATGGGTTTACTTCCTGATAACCCCGACGTTGGGGCTATCAATAAGGGCGATGGTGTAGGTCGGCATTGTTTGCACAGAAGACACGATATTGGTCGAAATGGGTTGGCAGATGTCCCGGTTGGCCATGCTTGCTCACACAAAACGCAGTGCTGAGTTGCTGGAGCAGTGCTGCAGGAAGGGAAACTTCAACGCGAAGGGGGAATCGAGGTCAAGTGAAAGGGTAGACGCGACAGTGACGCAGAGGACATGCACCAAGGTCCCGATTGCTGACCTAATGTTGCTCAAGCTCAGGAGGTCAAGCCGCACAGGTACCACGATTTTCCAGTCCAATATGACGGAGGTTGTCTCCCTACCTTACCTTACCTTACCTCCAGTGGGTTCCTTCCCCGGGGAGTTGGCGTCAGGGGTACCGTATCGCTCGTGATTGTGGCTAGGGTGCTTGCGCCGCATCAGCCAATCATTGAGAGGATGTTGAGGCCGACATTGGGAGTACGTATTTTGAAATCAAAAGCTTCGCATCGCCCGCCCGCACCTATAAATGAACGAATGAATGATGCTAGGTATACACCGTATCTTTCACCTGGCGTATCTCATGCTTCTCTGTCTTCTTCTTGTTCTCCAGAGTTCCTCGGCAATTCAAAAACCCCGAGGAAAAAGAGAAGAAAATAATTGGCACCTTGCCAGTCAATAAACTCAAATATGCCCGAACAGCATGGAATCTCATTATTACGCAAATAGTGCCTTGGTATCCAGCTCGTCCTTCGCCGCGCTCTTTCCACCCTTGCTTCTGAGGCCGAGCTCGCCTCTCTTTGTCGCCCGCTCTACCTCCTGCTCCGTCCGCGAGACGTGGCGAGTAGACTTCTTCTTCCTCAGGTCCGCACGAATCTGGTTCGGGGAGACGAAGCTTCGGCTCTCCCAGATCTTGCTTCCACACATGCTGCCTTCGAGTATGACAATCGGGGTTGCCGTCCACCGCGGACCAATCTCCACCAGGGCGACATCTGTCTTGCCTCCTCTGAGGACTGACTTTCCGGTTTCCTCCTCCGTCTCGGCATCGATCTCCTTGATCTCGAAGTCTGATTGTCGCGGTGTCAGTCCTTGAGACGCAAATGCGGTTGGTAAAGTACCAGTTGGACTTACAGCGGATCCAGATCTTCTCGTCAACCCAGCTGATTCCCATCACGTGGTCCACGAAAGGCTTGGACTTTCTCGCTCCCTCTGGAACACCGAACACCATTGTCATCAAGTTCTTGATGACTTGAAGATGAGGCTCGGTGTCGAATGCGGCATCAAAGGACAGTATAGGACGGCTGCCCTTAAGACAGTTACCCGGGAATCGCAACTCCTCCATGGTCATGATATTCTGAATGTGAAGACGCACACTGGGGCCGTTCGGTGCCTTGTAGATGTCAGTACTGCCCACCATCTTCGAGATCAACTACCGTAGTGGGAAACACTCACGTTTGCCAACCACATGTACAAGTCCTGGTGCTTCCTGGCCTCCAAGTAGCAAATCTGAGGTGTCGAGTTGAGCTCGGCGAGTTCGTTGAGGACGTGGAGTTTTGACTTGGTATCGAACTAGAGCGGTTTGTTAGGATCGAGAATTGTTGACGAGGACAGCCAGTGATGGCGGGGAGAGTACGGACCTTGCTGTCCAACTTTCCGTGGGGCATCATCGAGTGAATATCGGTCATCAGGTGTCGGTGTCTATGGAGGTAAAAGGTCAGCGTGACTGCCATGGCATATGGAGATCTATTGGCGGAGCTTCACCTGTAAGTGACGCCTCTGCTTGAAAGAACCAGAGCGCGCCTCTTCTGGCGCACCTTCTTGACGCCATTGGTCGGCGCCTCAGGCTTGTCGGCCTTCTTAGACAATGACTTGTATACGGAAGCCATCTTGTCGGGTCACGGAGGTGGTGTGGGGTGTGTCGGCGACGTCGAAGGTTGATGTTTGACGCGAAGAAGATATCGCAGCCCACCTGCAGGAAACAGAAGCCGACGGTTTGCGACCAGCCCAAATTTTTTTCTTCCCGCTACAGACGGGACGCCCGATAAGAGAGCTTATCGGCCAGGCGGTGACCCGGTGTAGCGGGGCACACGCCCACTTAAGAGGTTCCCTGTGGTGCCAGTGCACCTCAAACCTTTTTAATGAGTAAGGGAGGTACGTACCTGACTTCCGCGCATTCGTTCCCTCTGCTGCCCTGTCGCCCAGACCGTGTCAGAGTGTGCCACAGAAGGGGACAGGAACTCATGCGCGGGCTAACCCAACTGAAGAGCGAGGGGGACTCGAGGGGCAGGGCCAGGCGTGAGGGGATGGGCACCGCAGCACCTACGAGTACCTAGCGCGGGCTGGGGGGAAAGAAACTTTGTGGATCGCAGCAAGCTTGCATGCCCACCTCAATTTCACCTCGCTGGAGCGCTTCGAGACATCCTGACCAGTGTGATGCCAGGACATGGCTTGAGAAAGACCCCGAAATTTGGGAATGCGGTACTTCAATGTAAATGCATGGCTGGTTTGACCACTAAGGTATTGAGCTGGGCCAGGGGCAGAAGCCACTCTGAGCTCAGAGGAACACCTGTCATGACGGGAAAATACCTAAGGTAGTAATTGCCTACTGTATTGGTGTATCTGAAAGGGTACGTCAGAACTCACGAACACTTCCTGCCGGCCAAAGATGCGACCCATTCATTCGAGGTACCATCGCACACCATGATACTCCTCGCTAAGGGGCATCTTGTCTACGGTGTGTATGTTATATGGCGAGGACAGGTCGCTAGATGGAGTAGCCACAAAATGCTTCGCACATCACCAAATCCCACGTAGAAGACGCTCCCTCAATGCATTAAGATGGATTCATTCAACTACGTAAGCATGTCAGAGCGATCGTCAGAAACGTCAAATCCCAGACAAGCCGCACTGAGCCGTATAAAGGAGAACAAAAGAAAGGCCGAGACTATACTCCGTCCCCTCGGAAATCATAAAAAAGACTCATTGGATTCCTAGTCATTCCTCGATGCAGCAGCCCCCCCTTGACCAAGTGGCGTACAGATTCCGGGGCATGTGTGTGACATGCCATGATATCGACTGTAGCAGCCCTCCCAAAAGGCCGTGAAACAGTTTCGCAGAAGGGGATTCGCTTAACAGCACTTGCCGCTCTTCTCTGCACTGTTGTCCGCAGGTGTGCTGAGCGAAATGCCGGCGCCGGCTCCGATCGAGGCTTGGGGTCCGTCGCCCGAGTCGAGGGCCTTGCTGGATACGATGCGGTAGATCTCTGCGGCGAGGCGGATCAAATTAGCACTTGACTATCACCAGATACCCTTGTTTATGTATGCGAGTTGCAAAATACGGGAGTGGACGCACCGGTCAAGATGTTCTGGAATGCAAGCTCGACGTTGCTGGCATCGAGGGCAGACGTTTCAATGAATGAAAGGTGGTTCTCGCCTAGAGCACCGGTTAGCGAACTCAGGGTCTACGGCACTCCCCCCTGACGCCTTCACCGCAACGTACTGGCGAAAGCCTTTGCCTCCTCTGTAGGCACTGCTCGCAGGTGGCGCAAATCGCTCTTGTTTCCGACGAGCATGATGACGATGTTGGCATCGGCATGGTCTCGCAGTTCCTTCAACCACCGGGTGACGTTCTCGTATGTCTGGTGTTTGCTGATGTCGTAGACGAGGAGGGCACCGACAGCTCCTCTGTAGTAGGCCGAAGTGATGGCGCGGTAGCGTTCCTGGCCGGCGGTATCCCAAATCTGTGCCTTGATCGTCTTGGAGTCGACTTGGATGGATCTAGTGGCGAACTCGACACCAATTGTCGACTTGGAGTCCAGGTTGAACTCATTGCGGGTGAATCGACTGAGAAGGTTGGACTTTCCGACGCCCGAGTCTCCGATCAACACCACTAGAAGATGAAAATGTCAGCTGGCCCTCGCAGAAGCCCTGTGGCCACTATGCGATAACGTCGCCAGGTCGGATCGGTCGTTGGCGCACCTTTGAAGAGGAACTGTGGGAGGCTTCGAGTTAGCGCAAGGAGGGGGGGACTTGAGAGCGCAGTTGGAGAGGGAGAGGGAGAGGGGCGGGAGTAGGGCCAAGGGGTCTGGCAGATGGAAGATGGAGAGACTCACGTCATATTCGTCGTTGGCCATGATGTCGGATTGTGTTGCAAATGCGATGGACAGGTGTCTAGGGAGGTGTAGGTTCGTTGGTGTTGCAAAGCGAGGATACTGCGGCTCGATGGAGGTGGTGCGCGGCCCCGAGAGATAAAGCAGTTGAGTTGAGGCGAGGCAAGGTGTAAGGGTCTGGAACTGAACCAGATTGAGAGAGGTGGTGGACAGTGCAGGTCAAGGCAGCATAGGGTGGTGGGTGAGGCAGCAAAGATTGAGGTGAGGTGGTGGTGTCGGCACCCGGGCAGTTCTAGGCCACAGGGATTCGCTTTGCCCGGAGTGAGGTAAGGTAGGCACTTTAGGTAGGTAAGGTGGTAAGGTCCCAAGAGAGCAAACAGCCACTGGGAAAGGGGAAGTCGGGTGTACCTAAGTGAGGTACCTGGGCGTGTGAGGCACCCGTGGTAAGGTATGGAAGGTGAGGTAAGGGTACTTACTGCTGGGGGTTGTATCCCGTCGCAAGACAGCTGTAAATGGGGCTTGTTCGGTCCTGGGTGCTGGAAGATTGGGAGTATCCAGGTACAGGAAGTAAGGTACCTCGACAGCCAAGGTACTTTGGCCCGTGGTGCAAGTTAATGATATACCTCAGAGCTCTGCTAACGTCTGATACGCATGAGAGACTACCTACTGTACTTTTTTGGACTTTTGAGTAGGCGAGCAAGAGGTGAGCATATTAAAACAGGAGTGACTCTGGGACAGAAAAGGGTGTGTTTGTCATCCAAGGTACAGTTGAAATCAGAAAGTCATTCGTGGTGTTCTTAGAAACCAGCAATTCAGCACCTCCCTGCCGCTAGATCATTCAACTGGTGGGGTTGTCAAGTGACTGGAACATCCATAGTATGCAAAACGGTCAAAGACGTAAGGTAAGGTACTTTGAGAAGAATGCAGATAGACAGACGACACGCTGGCAAGGAAAGTACCAAAGATTGATCAATGCCTTTGCTTCCATTACTTCCATAGCTACCCATTCCCTGCCCGGACACATCAAAGTCGAAGGAGGAGGATGCTGCACGTTCCCGGATGTGCTGAACCCGCTGAGCCACACCACCGCCAGGCATGCACCAACCACGTTCGTCACATCGGCGTCTCCCTTCTTTGCCTCGAAGATTGACAAGACGTGAAGAGGTCAGCAGTTGACTGCAGTGGGCGAGGATCCAGAACGGGATCCCGCCGTCGGTAGCCGGAACTGTCGCGTTTCACCTCAAGCATCACGTGTGCCCAGGCCGCGGTGTTCAGAGAGGACAACCTCAGCATGGCTCAGGTCGCTTCATCCGACCCAGCTCGCCATGTGCCCTGAGTGTCACACACAGCTTGATCTATACTGAAGTACCAAGCTGACGTAGTCCATTTACACGCAGTGCCCCCAAGCAACAGCACTCAATCTTCAACGCCACATGCATTAAACAAACTTCCAGATTGAGTCTTCCATAAGGTGAGCTGAGCTTTATTTACCGCTGAGGTTCCTAATCACAGGCAGATTCTACAATTCGTCTAGATCAAGTGAGGTGTACCTAGGTCTTGAACGATTTCCTTGCCCGTTGAGGTAATCATCTTTAGATCGTCAACACAGACAAAAGAGGTCCGTCCCTGTCTGCGTGTCCACACTTACCCTACCTAGCTAACTCACTGGTTGATCAGAGTGTCCGTAGAGAGTTTTCTTCACAAGTGCCGATTCTCTAAGAATGATCTAATCAGGTCCGTTGAATAACTGCCTTAGTATGATGTAGGTACGTTACCATCTCGTACTTTCAGTACCTAAGTTACAAGAGGTCGTCGGTGGAAAGTTGCTTCTTATCCGAGTGCTTGCAGAATACTGCTCTCTGCACGCTAAGACATTACCCGCTGTCTTCCGCCATCGTTGGACAGGCAGGTCCAATTAGAATAAGTTACCCGTACCTTCATTACCTTCCATGGTTGCAGACCTGTGAACACTGAAGGCACCGTGGGCTGCCTTCCCTGAAATGCCGCACAGACACTGTTCCGTGGCACCTCCCCAAAGACACGACGGGATGCCCTCTGTACCTACCTGGCATGCAAGTAAACGCTCTCCCACCGCTCCGGTCCATCCTCGATATTAAATGGTTACTTTTCGCGCCCAATTTCACGCCAGCAATCCCATAAATACGTGGTTTTACTCTGTACAAAATTTCACATCTCCCGCCCCTCTCGATTTTCAAGGTCTTGATTGCCCTTTGGTACCCGACGAGTAGGGATGCAATCTGTCCCGCCGGTTAGTCCTCATTACCTTGCCCGAATAACCTCATCGCTTACCTTTGATTAGTTCACATAACTACATCAAAATTCATGAACAAGAGCTCCATCCTCTTTGCCTCATCAACCAATTCCGGTCCTGGCCTGATCAGCACTGCGCTTCGAGCATCAGAGGTTCTTCTCCACGCTCCCGTACAACGTGCGGTTGCATTCACTGAGGCCCGCTACCTCGCGTATCAAGAGTCACATCGTCATCTGAGTGTATCGACCTTTGATGCGTTGAAAACCTGTGGCAACAGTTCACACATACGACCACAGCGTATTCCTTCACGCTTGCCTTCTGGATATGCTTTCCAGAGTATAAACGTGCCATGGATGTTTCCGGGCTTTTCGTCGCCGATGATAAGCAACCTGACGATGACAACATCTCCATCAACTCCACTCTCGCGTCTGAACACGATTCCGATGAGGAATGGCTGGTAGAGGGTATCCGCGCTCAGAGTCGCGAAGGCGGGAGAGACAAATTTTTGGTAGAGTGGACCGGTTACCCTATTGAAGAGGCCACATGGGAGCCTGAGGAAAATGTGACGGATGAGCTACTTGGGGAATGGAAAGACACTCAAGCAAAGCAAGCTTGTGGAAAGGAGAAGCCGTTCGACATTGTCGCCTGGCAAGAAAGCGTGGTCAAGCGTCAAGAGGACAAATACCAGCGGCATCACCAGCGCAATGTTGAACGGAAAAAACGAGGTATCCAGCTTAGGCTATGGGAAGGCGAAACCAAAGCGGATTACTATCTCAGCGACGAAGACGTTGGGGAGGATGATTACAACGCCGTGTTTCCCCCTCCAAAGAGTGTGGGGCGAAACGAAGATGCGTTTCATTCTGATACTCAACCCTCCAAGATCACCCCTAAGCAGGAGGTCGCAGAGAAACCAATTCCTCAGAAACGGGCTTCAGCGACAGAGAAACCAAAATCACCAACAAGAAAGGCACAATCCAGCTCCAGCCCTCAGCCACGCTCACATCCACCTTCAGCGCAGGCAGCGGTGACTGGATATCAAGGAACAGCAAAGAAGAAGCCTCTCCCGGGCAGGGTAGTCAACAATGCGACAACCAGCCGGTTGCCGAATAACGCGACAGCAACTGCGCGGACCACTCACAGGGCCAAAAAGACTGCTGTGAGCTCTAGGACAATGGTCAGATCACAGAACAGCGGAACGGGCATCAATGTCTTCGCGGCCGGCAAGCAATCAAAGCAGCGCCGTCAACTCGTACAGAACGTGGCCGATCCTAACAAGGATGCTCGTCTTTTCTCAAATCACCGACTCAGGAGAAAAGCTGAGTTACAAGGTCGTGAGAAAGCGGACGTGGCTCCCGCGGCAGTCCCAACGAAGCTATTCAGCATCAGCCGCGGGCCTCCTCCTGGAACCACTACCGGTACAAACATCAATCCGAGTACCAATACCACCGCTAGCACCCCTCGGTCTGTACTGAAGCGCTCAGTCGATGATCTCTCGACGAGGTCAGCCAGTGAGTCCAGTATGGCAGCGTCGGAGAGGGCGGGGGTGTCACACCCTCAAAATCTCGGTCAGCCCCAGGCTACTCAGCCAACGACCAAGAAAAGGAAGTCCGTTCAGTTTGCAGACGTTCCGCTTGTCGATGAGCCAGAAGAGATGGACGTGGACTACCCGACTGCTCGGCCAAAAAGACTCAAGTCGCCCCCATTGTCTTCGGATCCGTCACAGTCTACTCAACCGCCTGCTAAGCCTCAGTCTATCCTTCGCAAGTTGTCAATAACAGACTACAAGTCGAGCAGCACAGGCCAAAACTACGACAAAACAGTCGTTTTGGGTCCTCAGGGAAGCAAGGACATTGAAATGACATTTGATAACGTTAGAGCCGACTCTGACGCTTGGCATTCTCAATTTGTTGACGAGAAACTGCTGCATTTCGCCAGAAATTTCACAGCCAAAACTTTTGCTTCTCAAAGGGCAATTGTTATTGAAAGGGTACTCGCAAATGGAAGCGTCAGGCCCAAGTCAACCGAAGATCAAGTTGCTGTGGAGAGAGCAGCAGAACGGCTCCGATCAGGGTCGTTTGGGGTTGCGTGCTTCTATGAAGACTTCCTCATCGTCATTTACCCAGCTGAGTGTGAAGATTGGAAGCAAACAATGACTGAAGTCGAATCCAACAGCCCGGCAAACGTCTATCTGAAATATGTCATCTTCAAGCCCCAGCCGGCTGTTAAGAAGCCTTTACCAATCAGACAGATCAACGCTTCAAAGATAACTTCGCGAATTGCCATTTTCCGCGACCTCTTACGCCTCGACTACCATATGATTCTGCCCCCTGGCATTCGAAATTTAAGCCACAATTTCTACCTGGCGTTTCCTCCATCTAGGGTGCTGTTACTCGAGGCCGTGAGCGAGTGGCTTCGCTCAGAGAATCCCGAATGTAGGATATTCTCAACTAAAACGGGTGGCGACTGGGCCGCCTTTATCAACCCGAAGATTGTTACGCAAGGAGTTATCATTGTTCACGAGGCAGCCGCCGATTCGCTCCGACGGTTCCCTGGGTTGCTCAAGCTGCTTTTGCATAAGAGCAGTGCAACTTACGTCTTTTGGTGCATTGGGGAGTCTCTCCAGCTGTCTCCCGCGTACCCATCCATTCGGTCTATGCACAACGAGATGCCAAAGCTGGGCACATTTGAGTTGACGAGATTTTTCCCTCACGGTAACGCAATTTTAGTTACGCCAAGTTTTCTGGTCTCCGAACCACGCCGTGCCTTCCAACTCTTTCAGTGGTACAATAGGACCTATCAAAAGCCTAATAACAACCAAAAGATCGTGGCGGCGGCGGGCTTACGCGAGTATCTGCGGGATCTTGCGCATGAGCGGTCCGCCCGCCGGGACGACTTGATGGCGGATGGTGACCTAACACGCCAGTGGTCAACGTCGAAGCGCGAGGATATAGCACGAATTGCAGGATTGAGCAAAGAAGATTGCACAGCTCGATTCGAGACATGGGCGATAGTGGAAGGCCTCCAGTCGGCTATAGAGACAAGCATTGTGCCGGATGAGCAGGTTGAGGCCATTGTCTTTGCTGATGCATCCATTGATGCCAACGACGAGCAAAGCTTGGTGAATTGGTTCGGCTGTTGGTCCCAAACTCGTTTCGACCAGTTCCGCAAGTTCCACGTTTTAGGAACAGATGGCACTTCCGACAATAGCCACCTGATCAAAGACGGCGATATTCCCATATATCCGCCTGGGGCTGGGCGCGATCGAGGAGCCGAACCAAACCCCGATGTTGCTTGCCCGCGTCAGACCATGTTAGGTTCCGACAATAATCTTGGACCACAAAGTGGAGGTAGTAAACTTCTTGGAGGCTTGTCTGGCCACCACTTCCTGAGCAAGTTGAAGGCAATCGCTACTCGCAACGAACGTCCGAAATTGTGTACATTTGGGAAGCTCTTCGGCTTTGCTGTCTCCTATTACGAAGACGTTGCCAACACAGCTGACTCTTATGGAGACTTCCATCGCGACTTTTCAACTTTCGACAAGTGGATGGAGTGGCCCTGGCCGTTCTTCTCAAACTACCAGGAGCATTTCAAGCAACCTCCGGCACCCTATCATCTGCCGCCGACATTCAACACCTACTTCGCGGTTTTTTACACTCCTGAAGATGACCATCCAAGCAAACCACCACCGCGCCATCCCTGGCTTGCGATTTGGCGGGTTCGTGAGCCTTATGCGGCTTGGAAAGGAACTGAGCTTTTTATTTGGGACATCGCGGCCAAGGACCGATGTTCCACATCGAACGAGGTCTACGAGTCCCAACTCTTGCAGGCGCAGCAGCACCTTATACAGATGGTACGGGGGCGATCTGAAGACAAACATCGGGGCCTTCCTCTGCTAGAGGTCTGGTATGGTGGATTCGAAACAGAGCCTTCGGAGTATACCTTGCCAGTCGACGTCACGTTCCATAACTTGGACGTGATGATGTCGGACTGCAAGCAATATCTTCCAGCGGCTGATACTTTATTACTGCGTAGGGGTTTCCGCAAGGTTTGTCCTGGCGACGCGCCCATTGGGCACGGGCTTCATGCCACAGACTCTTCAATGGATATTGATATGATTGGCGGCCATCGAAACCAGGGCGGCGAGAGCAAGATCATCTTCTACCCGCCCAGAGCCATGAATCCGACAGGACAGAGTAGATGTGAGAATTTGTTCTACACCTGGGTGATGAATATCGACAGACAAAATCCTCGTCCCGCGTGGCCTTATACGTTCAGACCGACCACCGAGTGGTACCAGCAGCAGGTTGCCGAGAACCGGCATTTCGAGCACCTCAACGTTGCTACTTGGCAGCGGGTGTTTGAAGTCCTTAGGTTGCCAGTTGAGAAGAGCAAGGCGGAGTCGCAAGAGAGCGGCAAAAAGTGAAAAGAAAATCGGAAGAAAAGGAGTTGTCTCGTGCGGGCAGATTCAGCCGTACGATGGCGAATCAGAGGGGTCGCATTTCGGAGTATCATGACCAGATACCAGAGGCAAAAGCAACTCCGGACTTGAGGGACTGTGTGTAATTGTTGCATTCTAGCAGGCATAGCACGGGAAGGATACGTTAGATATCAAAAACTGCGTATGGCATGGATGAGATGGGGAACTGAAAAGATCACAACCCCTTTCTGCAGACGATAACTTGACTTGGTCACAATATGAATGCTGCGAGCGAAGTAGGCATGTGAAGCTGTTTTCGCTTCCTTCAGGTATAGGCGTGTTGAGAGCATACACCGCCCGCCATATTGACCACTTTCCAGCGCCAAACATGTTCAGCAATAGTAGACAAAGTCGCTCAGTTCCATTATAAGCCTTTCACTGATATGATACAGATTTCCACATCCTCATAAATAAACCCCCCGGCCCAGTGTCCCAAACGCATCTTCAACAAACAAGATCCATTGATCCACCAAGGCAAGAGAATGAATCATCTCGCGGAAGCAGGGAAGTTCCTCGTGCTGAGCAACACCCCCTTGACCCTCCGAATATTATCCCTCGCCTTCTTGATCTCGTCCTCGGGCTCGTTCTTGCGCGGGCCGCCGTACAGCGAGTAGCTGCTTCCGGCATAGTCGGACGGGCTCGGGTACGCCAGCTGCACGAGGTCGTCCTTGAGCACGTCTATCTTGGACTTGAGGTCCGCCGCGTCGTCGGCGTCGGCGACGACCGTGGTCTTGAGCCAGGCGGCCTGGTTCTTGAACCACGTCAGCTTGTCGGCCTGTCTGTCCGTCGCGGACTTTTCCTTGTCGCTGTCGCTGTTCTTGTTCTCTCCCCAGGTTGTCAAGGAGGGCGTGGAAGGGATCGAGGTCTGCGTGCCGATGTCGCGGTGGAACATTTCGGTCGGGTCGTCGGCGCTGCTCGCATCGTCGTCTGCTGCGTCCTTGTTTGCGCCGTCTGCTGCCCCTGCTGCCGCGGCAGATTTCTTGGGGGCGGGGATTTCGGAAACGGTGCCCTCGAGCTTCTCGATTATTTTTGCGAGGTTCTGGGAGGTTGTCTCGTGGAGATCGTAGCGGGCTTCGGTGAGGTTCTCGACCATGGGCTGGACGAGGTACTTGCTCGTGCCGTAGAGGAGGGTGGAGATGCCGGCGAAGGCGTAGAGGGTGTTGAGGATGCCGTTTGCGGTGACGAGTGGCGGGGGGCGGGTCGGTTTTGTGAGGAATTCGGGGTATGTTATCACGGGAGGTTGGTCTGTTTGGCGGGGGAAGGAGATTTCGTTTTGCGGTGGTGATGGCGAGGGTGAGGGCGTCGAGGATGTCTGTGATGGTGTTGTGTTTGCTGGTGTTGGTGATGATGTTGTTACTTGACTCGAGCTTGGCGGTGACTGTCCTGTTTGAGTGGTCTGTAGTTCATATTGTCAGTCATGAGAAAACCGTGAAACGAGGCAAAAGTGACTGGGAGGCATACCTCTTGCGCCGGCTCAGATGCCGAGCTACCTAACAAGTGCTCTATATCCTCTGGCGAGATGCCTTTGGTCCTGAGAAACGACTCTTTTGCTTCCCTCGGCGCGTCCTTGATCTCGCCATCCTGCAGGAACTTGCGGGCGACTTCGAGGCTGTTTTCGCGGGAGGAGACATCGTCCTGCTTCGCATCCTGCGAGGTGGTGGTCTCCGGCTCGAGTTCGGGTTCTTTCTTTTGGCCGCGCTGCCACGACGGAATACCGGGTGTGCTGCCGCTGTCGTCGGAGTCGCTCATGGTTAGAGAAAAGAGATTGCGCCCTGTTGCAGTAGAAAGTTTGCAACGGTGTGTCTGTGAGAGCTGTCGATGTTGGCGCAATGTTGAATCACGAATGAGCCGGGCGCTGGTCCGGAGGGCGGGTTGTTGATGGGGTCGGCGGTTCGGCACCTATGACCACATGCCTCGGCTGGGGAAGCGGGAAACGGAAGAGGCTGGACGTTCTTTACGGGGGTCACTGTTCCAGCACGTAACGACCATTCGCTGACCTGGAGGTCCTTCAGTTCTACACGGTGCTGGGCCCAATGCACGGTGCCCATGGCGACCACCCCAAAAACGGGGCTTCCGTTTTCGACATCCGGCGCGCTTCAGCGGACTTCAGTGCTCTGGTGAAAGGCTGAACTCAAGGTGAGTAGGAACCAGACCAGCACAAGCAATGCTCATTGAGAATCCGTCTCAACTATAGCAATCGTTATCCATCTCTCGCCCGCCTCGAAAGTCACCCTCAAGGCGTACTCCGTACCAGGTTCACTCCTGTTTCAAGCCAACAGAGGCTCTCAATCGGGATCATCCGATTCGCTCTGCCGCGTGGTCACCGACGATCTCCAACCGTCTCTTCAACTGGGCCGTCCTTCACCGACACACCTCGCCGCGCGACCAGGGATTAAGGTAAGCTCGCACCGGGCCAATTGCTCATGTCACTGTGTACCAGATGAGCAGGAGACAGTTGGGGAGTGGACTCGCTAAGTAAAGGGGGACAGGAACGAAAGCTCACGCGCTAGGGGTTGAGAAACCAAGCGTCACACGAAAGAAACGCAGGAGAGCAAAGAAAAGAGAAGAAGCGACAGCTGCAGCACGCGCGCAGGAGGCGACAAGATCCAATCGATCCCAAAAGTCTCAGTTCCCATTTTCCAGGGGGTTCACTTTTTTTTTTCTGCCTTCTGCGGCTTGGCTTGGCCACAGCCACCAAAACCGTCCCGGCAAGGTTGCTCTGTGCCTGGTATCCAGTTGTGAGGGCGATAGGCCACCAAAAAGGCGATTATCCATCCCACTTGCCGTCCGCCTGTTTGCCCGCGCCCATCTTGCTTGCTGCGGCTAAGCGTCGTCTATCCTCCGTAAGGTATCAATCAATCGGTAAGCTCAAAATCCCATCGCAGATGCGACCTCTTCCTTTTAGCTTTTTCCTTGTCACTCCGTCACATCTCCACGCTGCATTTCCATCAAACTTCACCTCGTACTTGTCTCTCCTCCTTCAAATCACAATATCAACATCGCCGTATTGCTGTGCCAAGTCAAGTGAGGCAAGCGGCAACGACATCAATACGCAATCCAACATCTCTGAGAAGAAAGAGAGATTATATCGGCCGGGGTTGTGCATACTCCTCGAATCCGATTTGGTTCCACGACATAGTTCTTGTTGGGAAAGTGGCCGTGTCGAGACTCGAGAGTCCCCGGGTGGTTTAAGAAGAAACCGAAAAAGGCGCCCCGCGCGTGCGTGTGCGATTCATTAAGAAAAGAAGGCGTTGAAACCTACCCGGGCTAAAGTTGCATCTCGGCCAACTACATTGACTGCCTTACCTCATCTCCCGTATCAAGGGATCAGATTCCCTAGCAGCAGTGCCACCTCACCTTTCCCCTTCCCCTTCCTTGTCTGGACCGGCCCCCCGAGCTTACCTTAATTCAACCTCCCGCGTCCAATCTTGGATAAAAAACTCCCCCACCATCATCCCGAAACCCCCCTAAACCTTTTCACCCCGAGATATCCCATCTTCCTTCCGTACATAAACCGCTCATACGTGGCGTAACCCCCCTTCGCGCGTCATTGTTCTTCTGCCAAGACAACCCACGAGACAGATCAGCCTTCGCATATACGCATATTCCCAGACATGGCTTCGCGACCGCGCCGCTCGGCGGCCAAGAAGGCGCAAGAACAGATTACTGACTGGGCCGATAGCGAGCGAACCAGCAGCATGTCTACCCGTGCTCGCCGCTCAGATGGCCGGACCTCGGGCGTATCCCGCGGCCCGCCCTCGTCACCAGGAAGTGAGCACCTGAACCTCACTGTCAAGGTACCCGCGAACAAGCTTCGCGAGGCCACCAGCAGGGGGCGGAACTCGACGGGAAACAGTATTTCGGTCAACAGTGAGGTCGTTGCCGGCAGACGCAACCGTGGCCCAAAGAAGAGCTACGTTGTAGAATCCGATAGCGACGAGGAGGACGAAGACGAAGACGAGGAAATGGAGGAGCCTGACGCAGATGGCGATGACGACGACATGGAAGTCGACGCCGAGGGCGAGGAGGAAGATGCCGATGGCGACATCGACATGGACACCCCTGCAGCCCCCACCATCAAGATCTCCTTGCCCAAGGCTGGAAAGGTTACTCCTCGACGACCAGCAGCGGCGAGAGTGATTGAGGACGATGACGATGACGAGGAGGAGCTCAGCGAGATTGAAGTCAGTGACCCTGAGAACACGATGAACATGAGCATCGATGTTGGGGGCGCCGGCGACGACGATGATGAGGACGACGAAGACGACGAAGACGAAGAAGAGGATGCTGAAGGTGAAGAGGAAGATGCCGAAGGCGAAGAAGAAGACGCAGAGGGCGAAGAGGAAGAGGAGATTGAAGTCGCGGACGAGACTGTGGGAGCGGATGCCGAAGGCGAGCTCGACAGCGATCTGGGCAGTCGTGAGGGCACACCCGATTTGACCAAGATGACGAGGAGACAGCGGGCTCGCTTCGAGGACGAGCCTCAGCAGTATATGAAACTTTCAGACGGTAAGAATGCGCCGTTTTGCGAGGCATCCTGACAAAAAGCAAAACACTAATATGGAATCACAACAGAGGTCCAAGCAAAGAAGGTCTTCACTGCCGAAGAATTATCGATGAGAAGGGCAGAAATGGCACGTCGACGACGCAACCTGTCTGACAAGCGCAACGAAGAAGTCAAGGCAAGTATTATCATTGTTTGCGGATGACTGGGCTATTTGCAGGCGTATGCTAACCGCTAAACAATAGATGGAAACCATCAACAAGCTTTTGAAGAAACAGGCGCCCAAGACCAAGGGCAAGGGAGCCAATGGCGAGGACACGCCCGGCGGCGACTCATCAAAGCCCGACGTCGCCTTTGTCCGCTGGGTCAACTCCAAGAAGGGCAGCATCGTTGCTGTTCCCGAGGAGATTATCGGAGGACCGACTGGCAAGGTGTTTGGACCTCCAGGTCTGAAATCTGGCAAGATGGTTGAGGAAGTCGCATAGAAAGACCTCGATGCGTTGAACCCCTTTCTTGAGGCTTGGCTGTTATTCTTCGAGGGATATCACAAGCTGTATTCGAGTTACGAGACACCTGGAATGCAGATGGGAGCTCACCTCCACAGTCAAAGGTCGTGTCGTTTGGGGGGGAAGGAGCGGCGCTAGGCGAAAATTGGCATCATTTCACAGTACACATAATCAGGAGTAGCCTAAAACAAAGTAACGGATCTAGACTTTTTTACTTTCAAGGGCATACGGAGTACATGACCGGCACTCAATTGCTTCAGCCTTATCTCCAAAAGCATGCAACATGGGGAATCTTGTGAAGACATCAGCTCACTGATTGCAAATCACGGAATACACACGACCCTTAAGCTTCGGAGCTGGCCGTCCGGTCTGTCGTCAATCCAGCGCTCGACACATGAGCGGTTCGGCTGTGGGGTGATGCGACAAGCGACGATCCTTACCACGCTAAGGTACGGAGCATCCCCGTGGAGCAGTCGCTGGCTTATATAATCAGATTGGTGGGAGATCCTTGCAGAGCGCGAGAAGGCGTCAGTCATGTGGTGTCTCTCCCCCGCCTCAGACCTTGCCTGAAAGAGTTGAAGCAATTGGCAGCTACTTCTCCGCAAAGGCACGGAGCAGCGATGGATACATCCGTAGTGAAGATTCTGGACCGAGGTTTGGGCGAGCGTTGAGTGTTGCCCAAGGGGGTGTTTTCAAGCACCGAGTCAGCTAGGCAGATGGAAGCCAAGTAAGGTAGCGATCTTGGATAAAGCTTGAGTACCTTACCTTAGGTATCCGTAGCTTGATTTCCTCTCTACTTGGTCCGATAGACGGAGTGCGTCGCTTGCTTGTATAGTCATCCCCCGAGCCTCATTGCCGATATGTGCAAGTGGTGCGATGTCCGAAAGAAAAAGGGGCGCGCACGTTGAAGCGGATCTGGGGGAAAGAAAAAAATATGGGGTTGCGGTTTAACCGTCGAACGCTGCCGTTGAATGATTCTGATGGATTAGAAATATCCAACGTCATGATTCACTGGCCGGGGTCTGTTCACTCTCTCGGTTGGAGTTGAACTATGTTTCTCCCAGTCAGCAAGCTTACATCCCTCTGGATAACTGGTATACCGCACAGCCTACAGTAGTACCTACCTCGGTAAATTGCTTTGGTACTGGGTCCAATACTGGCTGACTGATGAGGTGGTGGTGGTGGTGGTTGACTGCAGCTCTCCGCGTCTGGGGTGTTCATGTTTCTTTCGTGGTCCAGGGAGCCAACCACACCCCGGATCTGCACCTGCAAGAAGCCGGGACGGGGGTTCATTGAGACCTACCTACGATATTACTTGTACAGGCTACAACACCGGTCGAGCTTACTGGTCGGTGGGCAGGAGCGAGAATCAAGCAGCGAACCAGCTTGGCAAACTCAAGGAGATTGGCAAGTCAGCAAGCCGCAGGCAAGCTCCGTAAGATATCGAGCAATCAAGCAAACTCACGGGTACGCTGCAGCTCACCAGAAGCTGCTGGCTGGCGCCAGAGGACCCTCCCGTCCTTTTGGCTTGTCATGCCAAGCCAATGACAGTGTCCTAGCTTAGAGACGGCTTCCAGTTGGAGGACCCTCTTTCTCGGACTCTACTGTGTTGGTAGAGGTGTTGGGTAGTGAAAAGAGCGATACCGACGGGGCAAAAAAGCCAGGGCGGATTTGCCAGGCTAGGCCAGCTGACCGACGAGGTTTTCCAAGTGGCATCGTCTTTCTGTGAGGTGAGAGGTGAGCTCGGATCCGATGCCGATGGCGATGTCACTCTGGGAGGGCAAACTTTTGCAGAGCCATGTCGCGTGGACAATCACACCAAAGGTCCTGTCCCTCGTCTCCCCACTTTCCAGGTCCTTACTATCGAAAGCGCAAGGTCAACCTTCAGAGTGACCTGAGTTCGCATGTTGTACCGTCATTGGCAGGCAGGCAGGCCGGCAAGCACCTTGCCAGACTGGCCGGCTCAAGGTGACTTTTTCGTGATATTGGATAATACCGTGGAAGGTGCACATACTTTAGATAGAGGTGGCACTTGCTGACAGGCACAAACTCAGACACGAGGGCAAGTGCAACTAAAGTGGTGACATTGGACTCTGGTTCCCTGATGTTGCTTGGTGGATGTGCTCCGTAAATACTGTACCTACCTAGGTATGATGGATCCCTGCCCACCTTTTCTTAACCTTTGGGAAGGAGGGAAAATTTGGCCCTGGCGGATGTGCTTTCCCCAACTACCTTAGCGTAAGACGCAAGAAATAGAGTCAGAATTGCCTTTCGCTTCTTTTCTGACTTTTTTTTTGCTTGCCCGAACGAACTTCATGCCTTGTTGGACCCTGGAACGCCCCCTCGTCTCGTACACGTGTAGTAGGAGTACGAATACTTGGGCTGGTTGATCCCCTTCTTTCACATATCATGGCGTTACCTTCTTCGCACGCCGAGGCGCCATCCACTGCTACATCTATGCCCAGCCAACAAGATCACCACCACCTTACGTCTGCATCTGCGTCTGCGTCTGATCCTACTACTGCTACTGCACCTGCTACTGCTTCTGCTCCCCGTGGCGAAGAGGTCACCGCTCCTCCTTCGTCAGATCAAGGTGAGTGAATGAGACACAGGGCGCTAAACCGAGATGGTCCTGGCAGCTTCTGCCTCCTCTCCTTGACCTTCTCTTTCACCCGCGCGTGCGCTACTAGGTACACGCACTACACAGTACAGGCATCAACTCCGATTGCCTGGTGTAGCCCGGCCCTTTCTTCACTTGTCCATCCTCCACCTTTATTTTATATCTATTCCCATGTGCCTCCCCCCGAATTGCCCCAATACAGACAGAAATGGAATAGGTGGTAGACAGAGCAAGGGTCTGGACCATCTTGGCTTGCGAGCCGATACTTGACCCCAATACCTACCTATTCATACACGATGCCAAAGAGTGGCACACGCTACTCCAACACAACCCTCCTCCTCCTCCTTCTTGCTTTACCCCGTTTTCATTTTGTCCACAGCACCCTGGATGCGGTGCATGTTGCATGACTTATGAGTGTCGTGTTGCACAAAACCAAAACAGCGTACAGGCCATATACATGACAGGATTGATATAACTGACAGTCCAGCCCCCTTGGAAACCAACATCAGGCCACCCGTGGCCGCGACCACCACCCCAGTCCCAGTCCTAGTCCCGGTCCCAGATCCAGACGTCGGCGCGCCCCAGCTCCATCACCCTCACCCTCACCCGCACCACCAGCCCACCCCGCACGCGACTGCGACGGAGACGGCTGCGGCTGCTGCTGCTACGCCGCCAGCATTAGCTGCTACTGCTACTGCTACGCCCGCGGCCACCCTGCCCGAAGCTTCACTTGCCCTTCATATAAAGCGGACGGCGCCCGCTTCCTCGTCCCTCGACTCGCCTCTCATGCCTCCTGCTTCTCCTTCCTCGTCAGCTGCGCCGTCGGCCAACCCCTCGTCAAAGCCAGACCCACCTCCTTCCTCCTCCTCGAACTCCAAGATGCTCTTCTCAGACATGTACAAGTCTTCACGCTCACCGCTGGCCAAGTTCCGTCTGTCCATGTCACAGCAGCCTCTGGCCTTGGACTTGCCCGACTACGATCCTGATCTGCTTAGCAAGGACAAAGAAAAGCAAAAGGCAGCTGTCAAGAAGTACTTGACCGCCAAAATTCGCAACGATTGGGAATTCGTATGGCCACCAGTCGTACCCCCGCCCCAGAACGGCGATGCTACACCCGATGTTAGTGCAACACCCGAACAGGACACCGCCGAGAAACCGCAACAAGAAACTTCTGAACCAAAGGTCGAAGCTACGGCGACCTCGAATGATGAAGCCATTCACACAACAGACAGCGAAGAAGAAGAAGACGAAGAGGAAGACAGCGACGCTGAGTCCGTCTACAGCACCGTCTCAGAAGATGCCGCGCGTTTCAAACCTCGCCTAGAATGGGTGTCTGACCTGTCCGACGAAGATCCTCCCCTATCTCTCTCTCCATTCCGTTTCGACAGCCCCGATGCAATCGGCGCGACAGTCAAGGCCTCTATAGCAGACAAGCGTGCGCGGAGACGGCGAGCCCTGCGCGAGGAGATGGAATGGAATGAAGGGTTGGCTTGCTTTGAGGCAAGGCGCAATGCCTGGACAGGCGCAAGAACGGTGCGCGTTCGCACCAAGCCCGTTTCTCCTACGCAGACGTTCTCCCCTCTCTCCCCACGCCGCCTCTTCTTCCGCACATCGTTCTCCCATCCTCAACCCGCTCCCGCCTCACCAGCGTCGCCTGCGCATTCCCTGCAACAGCGGGTGAGCAACGAAGCTTCAGCCGCTGTCTCAGACGGCTCTGAGCTCTCCAAGGACCCGTCCAAGGAACTCACCGCGATAAAGTCTAAAGAGTCTCAAAAGTCGACGGCATCTCCCACGTCAACGACATACCCCGTCGAGACACTCATTCCTGTTCCAGCGCCACTGCTCCCACCGGGTAACCCGATGCGCGCATCTATTACTCCCTCCGTATACATTTCCCTATACGAGAAAGTCATTGTCCATGCGCTGACACCCTCCTGTCCCGTCAACTTGTCAGACATGATCCGGGCGTGCGTGGTTGGCTGGAAGCGGGACGGCGAGTGGCCACCGAAGCCCTCGGCCGCGGAACCCGGTATCGTGGCCGTACGACGGCGCAAGAAGTCAGTGACGGATGGGCAGGGCCCAAATCCCACTCGTAGGATGAGCTTTGGATTCTTAGGTAGAGGCGAGAAGGCAGCTGATGGCCAGGACGACGGCACCGGAAAGGGTATTAGGAAGAGCCTTCAAAGAGTGCTCGGTCTTGGGCATCACCATACTGCCTCCACTGGCTCCGCCAACGGGGGCAATAACGGCGCATAGATGGGAGATGCATTGCCACGGTGCAGGCTTCTCCTTTACGAAGGATGATGATTATGATGAAAGAAGATTTAATACGGATGATCTTTTCCTTTGGGTAACAGGCATCTCGAAGGCACAAAAAGGGCTTGAATATGGAGGTTCCATGGGGTGGTGACTTCATGGGACGGGAAAGTTGTTCTCGCGACAGATACCCATACAATTCAGTAGTTGGACAGTCAGTGGCAGCATGCCACGTTAATGAACACGGTTCTCTTGGTGCATAATACGCCTCCAGCATCTCTACTGCCGCTGATGATGCATTATCATGAACCGAGGCTTAGTTGCTGAAAGATGCACTGTTCATGCCTTCAACTGCAAAGGGATGAAATGAATATCTGTAACATGCAAAATCTAGTAGACAGAGCGTTGTGGGAGAAGTGAGAGACGACTATCCTCCTGGCGTCAGCATGCTGGCTATGATGGGGTTGGATGGATGACATGTCGACAAGCCATATCAAGATATACTCGTTCAAATGGAAACTACATGATTTGATGCTTGGTTGCAAATGAGAACCTACTTCGAGTCCCTTACTTCATAAGGAGACAAGCAACATAACAAAAATCATCTGCTTCTTGAAATCCAGCATGTGCAACTTCCGGAGCAGAATTCCCCTCCGTGGAAATCTTTACTTCTAATATTTAAGATGAACATGGCTTTACATATTTCCTCCTTCTATTTTCCCATCTTGTTGAAGCCTTCGTATATGAGTATGTGAAAGCTTGACGGGTGCCCAGCACTCTTTAACCTCAGGATCGCCAGCCTTACTTTACAACGTGTAGCCTCAATAGATCCCGGAAAGGAATAAGACAAATGAGAGGCGGAAGCGCTCCTAGCAAATGTATGCTCACTACCCCCTCTGCGTTCGGCCGGAGCCTCTGCATCAGGTTCGAACTCCGTCTTTGACTATCTAGTTTGTGGTGTTTCCTCTTCTTCTTTTAGGTTGAAAGGCTCCCCTGAGAAAGAGGTCAAGACAAACTCCAGCCCATGGGTATGTGATTACAAACTGCAAGTTGGCCACTTGAAGTAAGTCTAGCTGCCGCGGACTATTCACTTAATCATCTTCTTTCAAGGGACGCAAAGCTTGCAGGGAAATAAAATCACGGTTCCTGAGTCTCGCTTATCATCTTTGGCTAGCTGCCACAGGGTACACTTCGAGCCAAGCCAACGTGAGTGAACGCAAAGCAGCAAGCCATTCACTCCACCAACGACTACATGTACAAAGACTCAACTGTGTTCGGGCTGCGGCACGTGAGTCTTTTCACGGACAAGGCTAACGTGTACATAGAGAAGTGTTTTCCAAGTACACCAATATCAACAGAAACAGAAACGAGAGAAAAGGCCCACCTTCACACCAATGAGAATTATGTGAGCATAAGAATTTTGATAAGGTGCAAAAACGCGAACGCTGACTGACTGAACGTGAGATCCCACGCAAGGGGCAATGGGCCCTCGGAGCAAGTCGTCAACTGCGAGATGTCTAGGAACTGGACTCTGAGTGAGACAGGGCGGATCTTTTGGTCTGGGAATATGACCCAGGATATCTTTCTCATGCAGGCACGGTGAACTACGGCAGCTTTCCTCTTTTCCATCAGGCTCACCCGAGGTACGACGGTATCTGCTCAATCACGTGAGTAAAGGGTCTCAATAGGTATAAAAAAACGCGTGACTGCTACATGACGGAACGGGACACGCATGGACCTGCTGCTGGTGAGCCTTAAGTGGGTAGAGCGATCAAGTTAGGTATAATGAGATAATGACAGGGTGACCTATCACACCTATATCTAGGGAATCGTTAATGATAGTTCTTTTGCTCTCCAGGTATTGTTTCTGAACTTCTTCTCCGTCTGGCTCGCCCGAGTGGATGCAGCGTATCCGTCCTCGAATACGTTAGCACGAGAGTCGACTATAGGTAGGGCTTACTTATCTTTTAGGTATAAGGTATCCGTTCACGAATACGTTCAAAGGCAAAGCTGACGATCTATAAGAGATGGCTGTATAATGATGTTAAGGCTTGCATGAGGATTAGTTGTGAGGCCATCATCATCACTACTATCGTCATTGTCACTAGAGACGGACAGCCGCGTTCGCCTACAACGAGCCAATCCCGCTCTGCCAGATTGGGGATGGCCGGGTACAGAGGCACACTACTCCATGCGTCGAGCTTCCCCTGTTTTATACGGGCTCACTCTAATTGACTACCATCCTCCAGCATCCCTAGTGGTATTTATAACTCAATGAACTCAACCTGCTTAGCTCCTCTGCTCTCAAAGCCCTCCCGCCTACAAGGCAGACATTGAAATTTTATCTCGTATGGTACAATGCTCTGTCGATACTGACAATATGACATTGAGGCCACTGCAATAGCTGGCATTCCTTGATCCTGACATGGTCTTGGGACGCCCAATGTACGCAGGAGGACGAGCTTAACTGGCCGAGCACCTTACACACTGGGCGTCTCCTTGTAATCTTACTCACTCCGCTTCCAATACCTATCTCCCTTTACTGTAAGCCTGTTGGTGGTTTGCTCTTTCTAAGACGCACCAGAGGAATTTGATACCAATTTTCAACTTCGTTGCAACATTGGTCAGTCTCGACCCTCAGAGCTTCGCATCTAGATAGACCCAGGTGCCGACTTACTTCGAAAAAGGTAGACGGCAAGAATGACGAGCTCGGACTGGAGGTATGCCGGCAAGCGTTTTGATGACGTTGGACATTGAAGATTCACTAATTCTCTGAGACAGTCAGCGAGTATCACGAGAGGCTACTCAGCGCAAGACAAGGTGAAGGCGCCCTCGGGATTCTAAAGATCTGAGCCGGACCTTTATATTCTCGCGTCTATGAGTCTATTTTCTCCCGCCTATAAGTGCAAGACCGGACTCGTCAACTAAGTGGAATAGTCTACCAGAGCCATGGTATGCTGCTGAACCCCTCTACGCATGATAACACTCGCGTTATTCGTCTTGTTCTGCAAGTACGTTCAATTATAGAATATCTAGATACTCAAGTGACCTCCGCCTCCCAATCACACCCTATGTTACTCTGCGTATATTCTGGTCGGATTATGCTCAAAAGACTAGATAGCATCAAAGAGCACCATCCATAAATAAAAGAGGATGTGAAATTCCTACCTTACCAGCAGCAGATTGATATGGAACTGACCACCTCGGTCTGCAAGATGCGGGTGTCTGACCGAGCGATTCAAGCGGACAATGCAAAAAGACCCCGACTTTGAACATCAGAAGATCAAGCAAGAGATCTCTGCTTAGATAGCTCTCCATACCAACCGTAGTGTGGCTTTCTCATCGAGTACGACGTAGGATACAGCTCAGCTCGAGCTGTTTATCTTACGCCACAGCTGCTTGAGGAAGCGCGTTGTATCTTGGACAATTCTGTCGAGGGAGAACAGTGAACCTTCAAGCCTCTGGAGTATCCACAACACTTTGTGAGCAATACGCCAATGCCTGGAAAGCAAGACTCGAAGCTGGTAGTGACTTTCCTCCAACATGCTAGCTAGCTCGAGAATTCACTGCTCTCAGTCATGGCGCTGCCATCCGTGTGATTACTTTAGGAGATGCTGGCCAAGTGATGACATAGTGCCGTAGCGTTCGTTGGAACCTTCGGGCAAGGGATATTGTCAATTATATAATGAGACGTCCTCATCTAGGTATAAGGGTGGAACACTTGCTCCCAGTCATAAACCGAATGGGATAATCACGAGCATGTCACCAGTCGGGAAGCATGGCGAGTCACTAGCATGGTGGGAAAACGGCTGAAGAAATAAGGAGATTCTCTCAACTACAAGAGGAATTAAGTAGATTTCTTGGTACACAGCTCACAAAAGAGACTTGGATTGAGCTAAGAAACCTCCCCGTTCCATCGTTCCTCTTCTATACACAGGCTCAACGCCCCAACTCTCGACGTCATTTGGTATTTTCGTCGCGAATCGTTTAGTTCTTCTCCAACTCCGCCAGAATCTTCTCACCCTTCTCCTTGGCCGAGGCGAAGTCACCGACCATGTAGAAGGCACCCTCGGGAAGGTTGTCACCCTCACCAGAGAGAATGGCCTTGAAGGAGGAAATGGTCTCCTTCAGGTCGACCAGCTTACCCTCGATACCAGTGAAAACCTGGGCGACGGTGAAGGGCTGGGACAGGAAACGCTGGATCTTACGGGCACGCTCGACGGTGAGCTTGTCAGCCTCAGAAAGTTCGTCCATACCAAGAATGGCAATGATATCCTGAAGAGACTTGTACTCCTGGAGAATCTGCTGGACGCGGGTGGCGGTGTCGTAGTGGTCCTGGCCGACAATACGGGGGTCCAGCATACGAGACTTGGAGTCAAGAGGGTCGACAGCGGGGTAGATACCCAACTCGGAGATACCACGGGACAAGACAGTGGTGGCGTCCAAGTGAGCGAAGGTGGTGGCGGGGGCGGGATCAGTCAAATCGTCAGCAGGGACGTAGACGGCCTGGACGGAAGTAATGGAACCCTTCTTGGTGGTGGTAATACGCTCCTGCATACCACCCATGTCGATGGCGAGGGTGGGCTGGTAACCGACGGCAGAGGGGATACGACCCAGAAGGGCAGACACCTCGGAACCGGCCTGGGTGAAACGGAAAATGTTGTCAATGAAGAGCAACACTGGGGATTTGTTAGCAATGCGATTCAATATCAAGAAGAGCGAATTCTCAACTCACCATCCTGTCCCTCCTCGTCACGGAAGTACTCGGCAATGGTAAGACCAGTCAGGGCGACACGGGCACGGGCACCTGGGGGCTCGTTCATCTGACCGAACACCAAGGCGACCTTGGACTCGCCATCAAGCTGAATGACGGAAGTCTCCTGCATCTCGTGGTACAGATCGTTACCCTCACGGGTACGCTCACCGACACCAGTGAAGACGGAGTAACCACCGTGGGCCTTGGCGATGTTGTTGATCAACTCCTGAATGAAGACGGTCTTGCCGACACCTGCACCGCCGAAGAGACCAATCTTTCCACCACGAGCGTAGGGAGCGAGAAGATCGACGACCTTGATACCAGTGACGAGAACCTCGGCGGTGGTGGACTGGTCGATGAACTCAGGGGGCTCGGTGTGAATGGGAAGGCGCTTCTCGGTCTTGATGGGGCCACGCTCGTCAATGGGGTCACCAGTGACGTTAATGATACGGCCAAGAGTCGCGGGACCGACGGGAATGGTGATAGGGGCACCAGTGTCGGTGGCAGGGCGGCCACGGACAAGACCTTCGGTACCTAGGGGGACTGTGAGTACGAGCGCGAAAAACTTTTCCAGGGGAGGGAATACGAACCGTCCATGGCAATGCAGCGGACGACATTCTCACCCAAGTGTTGCTGTGCAGACGTGTCAGATGAAACTCGACTTTTGCTAATTTGCAGTGGATATTTTTCCATCCGCCAAAGGTACGTACCGCGACCTCAAGAACCAGCTTCTGGTCGTTGTTTGTCGTCTCGAGGGCGTTCAGAATGGGAGGGAGCTTGGCGGTGTCGAACTTGACTGTATACACGCGTTAGTATTTGATGATTTCGTGATGGTCGAACCCCTTTGAAGGGTTTTCTTCGGATAGTACGAACCGTCGACGACGGCACCAATGACCTGTTGGTTTGTTGTTGTCAGTAACCGACATCGCCCTCGGGTCAACGGAAGGGATGAACGAGGCCATCACTCACCTGGTAGATCTTTCCATCACCGACACCGGCAGTGCTGGCGAATCTGCTGGAGGCAGGGAATCTGAAGGTAGAAGGTCTGATGGCGCGAGGAGCGGTCGCCGCAAAGGAAGGGCGAGCCGCCCGGGCGAAGGAGGAAATGCCGCTGCGAGGGACCGGTTAGCTCAATTGGGGCCAATTGAACGCGATATGGTTCAAAAAGTCGATCAGGTAGTTGGTACCAACCTCTTGAACATCTTCACAGATGATTAAGGGCGACTTCGGATGGGAGTGGAGAGGTGATGGTTGAAAGTTGGAGGAGGACTTAGGAGGAAGTGAGCAGTTTTGCTCGGGATGTACGCTTCGTCGGTTAGAGCTTTGCTCGGGGGCGTCACGTGACCGGAATCTGAGTAGGAAAAATTACCTCGCTGCGCTAGTCTCGATTTGGATGAGCTCCTCTCTCCGGGATACACCGGGTCCACGCTCGGGTTCAATTGGAGCACCGCAGCCTGGCACGCCTTGGGAACTTCGCCCTCAGGAAATGACGGGAAACTTTTTTTTTTCTTTTGGCCTGGCTCCAAGCTGCCAGACTCGCCCATTCAACCTGGAATTGAAGGATCCCACTCGGCGTGGGGACTGCGGGTGAATCTTGCAAATGTTGGGGCCTTGTTGCCTTTCCCAGGCTCTCCAGGCACTGAAGAAGAGAAAGTGCGGGCTCCCAATGCCTACGTGTCCCCGATCCCCCGGGTGACGAGAGCCGTCGCCCCCAGGTGCCAGCTTGCATGCACGCCTCAGTCCCTGACTCCCTTCCTCCTCTCCGAACATCGCCATATCCGTCCGAGCCGAGGTGTCTCCGCCGACAACTTGACATTCGCATTGAATCACTAACAATAGCTGATAACTCCACTCGCCATATGTTCCTACCTGAATTCATCATGGCTTTCGTATTCACACGAGTATTAGGTGCAGCGATAATGTTTTTTCAGAAACAACCAAGTACTTCACGACTGATGAGGAGCAACGTTCATGCATGAGTATTTACATTTCCGTGCATCATGAATCCAGCTCAAGCACCTTGCCAACTCCAAGACTCCGTAACTAGGGAAATGTATATAACATAAGCTCATTGTCTGCGACAGCCTCATGCACCACTCTGGCCAGCCTCGCGATACTGCTCAAAGGTGACATCCTCTGGCCGCGATCCAGGTTCAGCGTCCTCGTCAGCCATACGCCGCTCCAGTTCCAAACGGCCGTCCTTGCCCCAGTATCCGGCTTTCTCAGTGCCCTTGACGCAACCTTCGGTGATCAAGACGTATGACATCGGCGCATCGAAAATCGGCTCTGCCAAAACTCTCTCCATCTCCATTTTGAGGCCTCGAGCTCCGGTCTCGGCCTTCGCAGCACGTTCCGCAATTGCATATAGGGCTTTCTGCGTGAAGCGTAGCTTGGAAGGGTATGTTTCGAACAGAGCAGTGTATTGCGCAACCAGGGAGTTGCGCGGCTCAGTCAGAATTCTGTAAAGATCATTCAAGGATAAAGGACTAAGTGCACAGATGTTGTGCACTCTACCAATTAGTTCAGGGATGAACCCAAATGCCTGCAGGTCTACTGGCGTCGTGAGGTCCAAGGGAGTGTATGCTGAGGCTGGTGCCTCGGGGTCAACATGTGGCAGATGCGAGAATGATTGGCGCGGTAAGTCGTGCTGATTGCCGGCGAGGCCATGTTTTCCTTTCAGTTCTGAGCCGAAGCCCATGGATGGCTTCGATACTCTCCGGACAATAACCTTGTCAAGACCAACGAAAGCACCACAAAAGACGAACAGAATGTTTGTCGTGTCGATTGTGTACTGATCGACCTTGCCCTGAGGTGGAGTCGATTGAGGGGCTGACGTTGAACTCGAAGAAGTATAATTTGTTGTAATAGGAGGTGTCGATCGTGACGAGCGGTTGTCCTTGACGTTGATTGTTACTTTGGAGCCTTCGACGAGCTTGAGTAAAGCTTGTTGAACGCCTTCTCCGCCAACGTCGCGGCCATTCATGCTCTCCCTTTTCGCCAGCTTATCGAATTCGTCTAGGACGATAATTCCCTGCTCTGTAGCCTTGATGTCGTAATTCGATTCGATTAGTAGTCTCTCTACGCATGTCTCGACATCCTGTCCGATATAGCCGGCCTGGGTGAATCCATTACAATCGGATATCGTGAACGGTACGTTGAGCTTCTTGCTTAAAGTTCTGTTGCATGTTAGACTTTTGGCAGACATTGAGGGTATCCATGGCAAGCCTACTCTAGTATGTATGTCTTTCCGACACCGGTAGGACCGATGAGCAGCAAGTTGCTCTTGTCAATCTTGACTGGAGGAGGGGTTGCAGGTTCCTCGGCAAGATAGGAACCGTCGAAACCGGTTGACGACTCATAACCTTCATCCAAGTGTTGCGTAGACTCAGCATGCCCGGGGAACTCATCTTGGGGCCACTCGTCATCAGCAGGAAAGCGCTGGAAGGCAGATTGACGACCTCGCTGACCTTGAACAGGATGAATGTCACGCCTCTCGAGAATGTCTCTATCTCGGGCATAGCGTTGCCTCTCGGCCTTTTCTCTCTGTAGTTTCTCCTCGTGTTCCTGATGCCTTCTCCGTCGCACTCCTTGATAGTGGTTGAAGATGGTGGAGCAGATGGTCTTCTTCGCTCGATGTTGGCCGACAACATAGTCGTCTACACGCTTCTTCAGGTCTCGGGGATAGAACTGCGGAACTCCGAAGTTGTTCTTGTTGAACATGGGCCCGCGTCCAGTATCACTAGTCGGATCATAACTGCTTGTGAAACCAGAGTTGAAGTCTTGTGTACGTCTTGGGGCGGTTCGAGCAGCGGAGGAGGTGGAGAAGGTGCGCTTAGCGCTCGAGAGGAGTAGGCATCGTGCGCATGTATAGGCCTGCGGCCTCGTGGATAGAGCCATTGTTTCGGGTGCCCGGTCAAGGGACCATAATCAGATAGCTGCCGTGATTATTTGATCGTGGTCTTCGTGTTTGGGGGACGTCGGTAATGATGACGGGGAGTCCGGTGACCGGAGGGGATGTCGTGAGAATGTGGCTGGCTCGATAGATAGGCCGGATAAGGGACCTTGCTCAGAGCTGTCGGCGGTCGTGTGGCCCGGATGCGGGGTTGGGGAGCTGGAGCTCCAGCACAGCAGCGCTTAGGAGCGGCTAACACTGGGGAAGACTCCCAGCTATCTGCTTGCTCTTCGAGAATGGTTTCTAGATTGCTCACCTTCCTAAAGTCAATTCCCGTGGCACCAGAGCTTGCGTTAGCTTGATATACCCCGGCCGCGATCACTGACATATCTTGGATTCTGCCCTATTTGGGAGTGGTAATCGAACCAGATAGGACCGATCAAGCTTTTGGTGCGAAGGTACTGTGGCCCATGTCCATGCCTGAGCCTGGGCTGCCCATTGAACATCTAGCAGAATACTGAGAACAACGAGCATTATAGATTACTATGGCTGCCCATTGGAGCTGGGGGACGAGGCTGCACATTGAATATCCGTGAGGGGATGAATTTGTATTGTATTGCAGAGTGAAGGGCGTTTTATTAGTTCTAGAAACAGCCGTCTCTAACGGTTTCCCAATGCGGACCGTGAAATTCAACGTCGGTTTACTTTGGTAGGTAGAAAGTTCTTCTTCGTCCGTATAAGTTGCCATGGCTGTCTATCATTATGCAGAAATATGAAGAGGATTGCGTTGGATGACTGGTGCATCTGGTGTGAATCACCCGAATCTACGAAGTTGCGCCTCTAGCCCACCCCCAGAGTTTATGTTAGCAGAAAAGCTCCACCACTGTGCGTCTGGCATGCAATTCTCAGAGGGCCCACGACGTATCGGTGATGGCATTTGGCGACGATAACGACATATCGGTCCCACCAATGCTGATATTGATAACTCGTACTCGTCTCCCCTGTTCCCCTTTCCTCTTCTTACTGGTCGATGGAGGGCATTACCTATCGACGTTACCCTCTTTTCCTCACCTCGAAGGAGCAAGGTGCAAAAACCGGCAAGCAAGCAACGCCTCCATCAGTCCATCAAGTGAGAAGACGGGGTTGCCGAGCAAATTCAAGTACCAACGCGGAGTTTCAGCCGCTAAAAGAAGTACCTCAACCTTCAGCGTTGCCTTTTCGCCTTGGACTTGGGCTGGATCAACTGGCACACTGGATGAGCGCTGTGGGTGTGCCACCCTTCCGGAGGTGGCGATGAGTCCAATCGGCTGCGCGGCGCCTTGGTCGTCCATCAACCCCGTTTTGATTCGGCCGGTGAATTTTTTTGTTGTTGAGAATTGAGATGCACCAAACAGGCATCCCCAGGGAGGGGTTCTCGAGTGGCGGCAGCATATTTTTTCTCGTTCCTACCTTGCCTTAGCGTCCTGTCACTTCCGATGGAGCAGCAATTCTCGTTGAATTGGTCGCACCAGCCAGGCCAACCATCAGTGAGGTGATGAGAGGAAGGCCTGGACCTTTGCCCCGTGGGTACCACTGGTGGTGCTTCATCCTATCGAGATGTATGGGGTAATACTTTGGGCTACCTTAGCATAGTGTACTGACCGGGCTGCTTTTGCGAGATGCGAGCTCCCAGCTGCGTTGCCCCACGACGTCATATCATGCACAGCGCCAATTGATATACCTTGAGCTCTCCCTTCCCATCTTTAGTTCTGTGGTTTGGAAGGTTAAACCCATCCCAAGCTTATCCCGGCAGTGCGGGGGAATTATCAGGCAATCCAAACAGACTGTCACTGGCATTTGTCCAAGAAAGCATTCATCTGTGTTTATTTCTCTCCCTTGCATCTTCCTCCTCGACACCGTTGGCCGACCTCTTCTCTACACCAAATTCAACGTCCAACGCTTGATCGAGAACCCCAGACTCGCTCAATTCCTGCAGAGATTGCTCCTCATCTGCGCATTCCTTGCTTAGCTCCAGACCCCTACCGACCTACGTTAGGAAAGGCGTGAAATCTCCATCGAGCTCAGGTACTTGCTTGGCTCTGCCGTCACATAACTGTCCTACCTTACCTTACCTCACCTCACCTTACCTCAACATTTTGTGCGGGGAGCTTTCCATTGCTTCCAATCCCACCCCTCGCTGCCTCTTCCTTTCTCACCTTACCCTGCTTCACATTGCCGACCATCTCTGAACGACACCTGACGTGCTTTATCTGCTCTGCTTTAGATCGAGTTCAGCTCAAACAACCGCGGTTCTGCCCCGCACCATCAACTTCGTCTTACCACCGCAAGCTCCATCGCCATCAATCAACATGGCCGCCGTTGCTCAGAACTCTGCCAATACCATCGCTCTGGACGGACTGAGCGGTGCTGCCGATGGCTTCCCAACCGACGGCACTGGTAAGCTTCCTCATCATATCTCCTTGTAGGGCCATTGTCTAAAATATGTCAGGCGTTGTCAAGCTTGACCCCTGGCTGTCGCCTTTTCAGGAATCCTTGAAGAGGCGCTACTCCCGCGCTCAGGACTGGATCAAGAAGATCAATGACACTGAAGGTGGGCTTGAGAAGTTCTCCAAGGTAAGTCAAGTGAGCTCATTATTTCCCTCCAAGAGCTAAGGTGAATGAATAGGGCACCTCACTCTTTGGATTCAATGTCGACCATGACAACAACATTATTTATCGAGAATGGGCACCCAACGCCACTCAGGCTTTCCTGACTGGTGACTTCAGTGAGTTGAGTCGCATCTAGTATACTGGCACACGCTGATTGGGCGTCAACAGACAATTGGGACCGGAACTCTCATGAGATGAAGAAGAATGACTTCGGAGTTTTCGAAATTACTCTTCCCGCAAACAACGGCCAGGCTGCAATCCCTCACAACTCCAAAGTCAAGGTACGCTCATTTCACCGTATTTTTGAGGCGTGGTTGGGCTCACATCATTATAGATTTCCTTGCAACTTCCTAGTGGCGAGCGCGTCGACCGGCTCCCTGCGTGGATCAAGTACGTGACGCAAGATCTGTCCGTATCTCCAGCTTACGATGCTCGTTTCTGGAATCCTCCTGCGGGAGAAAAGTACGAGTTCAAGTACCCGAGGCCGCAAAAGCCTCGCAGCGCACGCGTATACGAGGCCCATGTGGGAATCTCATCACCCGAGTTGCGCGTTGCAACTTACAAGGAGTTCAGGCAAAACATGCTGCCCAGAATCCGAGATCTCGGATACAACGTTATCCAGCTTATGGCAGTTATGGAGCATGCCTACTATGCCAGCTTTGGGTACCAGATCAACAACTTCTTCGCCGCTAGCAGCCGTTACGGACCACCGGAAGACCTCAAGGAATTGGTCGACGTGGCTCACAGCATGGGAATCACTGTGCTTCTCGATGTTGTTCACAGCCATGCCTCCAAGAATGTTTTGGATGGACTGAACGAATTTGACGGCACAGACCATCAATACTTTCACGAGGGAGGACGTGGCCGCCACGAGCTGTGGGACAGCAGGCTGTTCAACTACGGTCATCACGAAGTGATGAGATTCTTGCTCAGCAACCTGCGGTTCTGGATGGATGAGTACCACTTTGATGGTTTCCGTTTTGACGGTGTGACGAGCATGCTCTACCAGCACCACGGTATCGGAACGTAAGTGCTCAACATGTTTGAGACCAGTCCTTGGCCATTCCTCGCTAACAACTACCAAATACAGTGGATTCTCTGGTGGCTACCACGAGTACTTTGGGCCGGACGCTGATGAGGAAGCGATTGCATACCTCATGGTTGCGAACGAACTGCTGCACTCATTGTACCCGGAGGTTATTACCATCGCTGAGGATGTTTCGGGTATGCCGGCTCTTTGCCTGCCGCTCTCTCTCGGTGGCGTTGGCTTCGATTATCGACTCGCCATGGCTGTCCCGGATATGTGGATTAAGATCCTCAAGGAGACAAAGGACGAGAACTGGGACATTGGCAACATCTGCTTCACTCTGACGAACCGGAGACATGGAGAGAAGACTATTGCCTATGCTGAAAGTCACGACCAGGCGTACGTTCACCCTTTGTACTAAACTCATGGTACTTGAAGCTAACTGGGATCAGGCTTGTGGGTGACAAGACCCTCATGTTCCATCTTTGCGATGCCGAGATGTACACAAACATGTCAACCTTGACCCCCTTGACGCCAGTCATTGACCGCGGCATGGCCCTCCACAAGATGATTCGTCTGTTGACCCACGGTCTCGGCGGCGAAGGCTATCTCAACTTTGAGGGCAACGAATTTGGCCATCCTGAGTGGCTTGACTTCCCGCGCGAGGGCAACCAGAACTCGTTCTGGTATGCTAGACGCCAGCTGAACCTCACTGATGATCATTTGCTTCGATACCAATTTTTGAACAACTTTGATCGCGCAATGAACACCACCGAGGGCAAGTACGGCTGGTTGGCTGCGCCTCAGGCGTACATCTCTCTCAAGAACGAGAACGACAAGGTCATTGTTTTCGAGAGGGCTGGCGTAGTCTTCATTTTCAACTTCCATCCCACTGAGAGCTTCGCCGACTACAGAATCGGCATTGATGTGCCCGGCTCTTACAAGGTTATTCTTAACACTGACTCCAAAGACTTTGGAGGTCACGCGCGGGTGGATGAGGGAACTCGATTCTTCACCACTGCCATGGAGTGGAACAACCGCAAGAACTGGACCCACGTCTACATTCCCAGCAGATCTGCTTTGGTAAGGTTTCCGTATACAATAACAGGATTTATGAGACTAACAGTGTATAGGTGCTTGGCTTGGAGTCACCCATCTCCCAGCACTCCTAAACAGTGCTGTTACAGTAAAGAGGAAGAGGGCCATGAATAGTGGAAGACAACTAGAGAAGGGGAAAGAGAAGCAGACTTACTTACCAAGCTAATCACAATTGTCATGAGTTATGCAAAAGCACTGTGTTTCTAGAAACCAAACCCAATAGATTTACTACCTGTTCTTCCAAGCTCCTCGTCATGGTTACCTTACATTGGATCACAAGTGAAGAGGCACCCATTGGCAGCCTGTGAACTGTGATATCTTTCCATACAAGGGAGAATATTACTTACAAGACCAAGAGTTGAAGGTTCGTGAGATAAACGTGAATCACCACATGTCTAGACACGACATTAAGGGGCAGCTTTGTTTAAAGGAACAAATGGAAATTTGCTTGGAATTCAGCTCTTTTAGTACAGTATTTACACCAAGCAGATTGGGTTGTCCTCGAGTCACGTCGCAAAGCCCCCTCAGCCCATGCCAGCCAGCCTTCTACTAGTAGTCATTTAATACATGGGCAAAACTGCCATGGTGTGCGTCGAATTTGTGATTCGTGATTCTAAGAGACGAGATAGGGAAGGGTAACGGGATATCGGGGAGGGAGTTTAAGCCTTGGGAGGAGACTGGACCATGCCCTTGCCGGAGTAGCCCTCGGAGGAGAGACCAGTGAGGGGGTCGGAATTTTGTTTCTGTACGCGAGTGGAAGAGTTGGTTAGCCATCTGATGTATTTTTGTTTTCGACGTCGACGCCGACATGTCCCCCATTCGAGGACGGCAGTGAAAGATTGCCAGCGTGTGTATGCTACATACCTTGAGGAACTCGTTGGAAGCCTCCTGGTACTCCTTGGTCATGGTGTCGGGAGCAGGGCCGGCGAACATGCGGACGGTGGAGAAGATGGCCAAGCTGGCGGCGACGGCGGCCATGACGCCCCAGAAGACGCGGCCGGTCTCGCCGGCGGGGGTACCGGAGCGGGGACCGTGAGGGCCAAAGGCAATCCAGTAGGCTGTTGAGACAATTTGCGTTAGTTTTTTTGTGAGGTTTCTCGATGTGACGCAATGCATATGCACAGGGATGGGGGGGATGGATGTGAGGTTCGTCTGGGGTTCGGGCATCAAAAAAAGCCAATTGAGAGAGAGAGCATCGGATGGCATATATAAGATGCCTCCCTCCTCTCGAGCAATTGATGTTGACGAGCTTCCCTCAATGGCTTTATCTCCCTTTCACCCCTCTCAATCCCCTTTCGGCCGACATCGAACCACGTTTCCTCTCTGTCTCGACGGAATATAATGGAAAATAGTCACGCACCGGCCTTCTTCTCCTGAAGGGTGAGCTCAGCCCAGGGGCCCTTCATGCGGTCCCTCAGGGCCATCCAGAGCTCGGCCTGCTCCTGGAGGGGCATGCCCTCCCATCTCTTCTCGATGTTGGCGAGCGTAGGGTTGGAGATGGCGTGGGTGGAAGCGGCGCGGCGGATGACGGCGGAGTGGGCGCGCAGGCCGGTACGGGCCAGGGAAACGGTCGGGCGCAACATTTTTGTGTCGGGGTTTTATGTGTCGTCGGAAAAATCGCTAAAGGGAGAACGGTCGAGTTCGGAGGAGGGAGCTCAATTGGAGCGATTGAGGTTCGTGGACGTCGCGGGTGGGGGGGTTTCTTGCGAGATTCGTGATGGGCGTCGAGGAGGAAGAAGAGGGTTTTTTTGGTCTACCTAGAAGTTCCGGGCAATCGTATGATTGGAATTTCGATTGCAATACGCCGGCTGCGACTGGGTGATTGGGAGATCACGTGATGCTTTTGTGGCCTGTGCGAGAGCCATCCATCCAATGGAATTGAGTGCTGGGCACAGGGGGGGCGGGCCACGGGGGGTGTTGCCGGTTCCTTCACCTCGGTGTCTGGGCTGACGGGGAGCTTTACGGGTAGCTCTTCAGTGCACCAACGTGCTGTTTGCTGCTTTCTCTGGCAGGCTTGTAGCCCAGTGTTGCAGCAGCGCAGCTCCCATTGCAGGGCTCGGTTGTCGGCTCATTCCGAATACCGCCGTTTGACCGGGATCTCAATTGCTTCGCCTTGTGGTCAATGATTAAAGGTGTAAATGTGCTTCGGGAACTGCCCAGTCACTTGAGCATTACTTGTGAACCTCTTGGACCCGTATTTCACTGGTTTGCGAGCTCAATTGGCTGCTGCATACAAGCCATTCAATTTGTACTTGATCTTGACATCACGGCGCATCTCGGCCGAAGTCGGTGACTTTCCATCAGCCTTTGCGCAACCCAGATAATTCAGCCAATGAGCGAGTTCTATACGCATCTAGTTGCGCACTCTCCTCTCCTGGGGTGCTGTCTGATATTATGCTCTTGATATTGTACAATTGAACTGAACAGACACAGCTTGTGCTTATGTGCTGTCAAGTATCCTACAGCGACTCGATCATCCCGACTCGTATCGTTTCTAGTAGTTCTCTCTTTGGCATAGAGTTGATAAGCTATGCGGAACAACCCATTCTTTGCCTGAACTTGGTTTTTCGTTATGAGTGCCTCTCTTTGAGAGACTTATAATGGTCTCTGAGGTTTGTGATATCCCCCCTAATAGGCCTGGATGTCTTCCGTCGCCAGGATTGAAATTGTTTCAGCTTAAAGCAGGCTGACAGCTCTTTGATTAAATGGTTGTTAAATCCATTGCTGCTCAGAACTTCATGACTTCGGCCTTGAGTTCTCTGGACCTGTGCCGGCTTGAGGTTTTGTTTGGTTCGGAGTCTGTAAATCGGAGGTATTCGGTTCGCTTGACGAGACGGGCTTGGGTAGTTCGAACTGTTTTTGCTCCCGCAGTTTTGCTTGTCTTTCGAGCTCAGGCTTCAATGTGTAGTTAGCTGCTATAGTCAGCGACTTTCGAGTTGGGCCAGGAGTCTCTACTCTGGTATCAAATGGTTGGGAGTGGTGCGTACTGATGGAGATGCCTGCTACTACAGCCACGACGATGGGTATAACGTTTCTGAAGCTCATTTTGGAGGTCTTGAATGGCTTGGAATAGTCGAGTTATGGAACGAATCCTTCGGGCACGGTTATTGTGCCACGATAGGTAGCTCAATCTTGCAATTGACACTAAGGTAGGCGGCGGCTGTGATGTAATCATCGATGATACACCCGGGATAGCTCAAGTAGCGCGAACCCAGAGGTCGCGGTCGGTCACCCAAAATTCGGTACAGGCCGGGGCCTGTGCGCACACTCAATCGACTAAAGTGGTTTCCCGCCCCCGTGCCACCGCGTGCGACAGCGTGTACCCCACCAGACGCGCTCAGCGACCGCCTGAACGCGTCTGCTTCAACAATCGGATTATTTGCACCTCGCCTGGGTACGACTAACTTAGGTAATGAGAGCACTACCGCTTTCCGCATCGAACAAGACGGACCGAAATTTTGGCCACCCAACCTTTCTCAGAAGCCCTTTACTGCTTCATACTTTACGATGTTTACTTCTTTATGATGAACGCTTTATGTCATGGCAAACTGGAAAGAACTGGGCGAGGTCCCAGACTCGGACGACGAACTCGACTTCGATAGCCAGGATCTTGAGTCGCTGCCGAACCCCGAACTACCTTCGAAACCCACCCCCGATACTTTGCAAACGAAGGACGCCCACGCCCGGAAGAGCATATGGGACGTTCCCGAATCGTCACAGGATACGCCAGCAGACGCGATTACAGATCGTGTAGCAACGGACCGCCACCATGAGGTGTCTAAGCCTATTGACGGAGAGCCGCCGTCTTCGCCGCTGTCTTCGGTGCCGGATGTGGACGAGCTGGACGACCCCTTCAACTTGACCTTGGACGAACCAGCAGCCCAAGCAGTGGCACCTACAACAACCAAAACGAGGACTAGGTATCTTCCAAACGACCGCGACGACTCTCCCGATCCCCTGGCTGGCGATGATACCGTTTCGACGAGCTATGTTAGAATCACTGCTCCTGAACCTGAGTTTCCCGCCGAGAACGACACCGAAAGCCTTCCACCTCCTAAGAAGTCTGTGGCGGCCTCTTCACAACCCAGTCAACAGAGCCGGCAGAGACGGTTGGCTGCTCAGCTCTTTGCTAGTTCTAGCCCGGAGGCAGAGGTGGCAGCTCCAGTTGAGCAGTCCAACGATAGCAACACTTCGCCTCCGAAGCCTACATTTGCTTCCTCGGCAGCCTCTTCTGTTGCTTCTCCGGTGCCGACCCAGTCGAGGAAGCAGCCGAGGCCGGTGGCTATTCAGCGGGTGGAAAGCTCCAACAGGGACGAGGAGGTTGCTCGACAAGTTGCTGTGCGGTATGAACGCTCGTTCAGACCAAGGAAACCCATACAGGAACATCCATACCTCATTGAGAATGCCCAGTATAGCAAGACTCTCAAGTCACACGGCATCCGGCCGATCAGAATGCCCACAGAACCAGCCCCGAGACGTCAACGGCCGGAGGAAGATTCCCAGGAAAAGGATTTCGAGGATGACAGCCAAGAACTCGCAGCGGATGCGCCAAACGGAACCACCGACGAGAGCCAGTTCAACGGCCTGGACATCCCGCTGAGCTCTAGTCCTCAGCTGATGTCGTTCCTCTCCGATTCACCTCTCCGAACATCGTCCCCCAAGCACCGCGGCGGACCGAGTAGCCAACCAAGTCAGGGAGATACGGATAATACTAGCTTCTCCGATGTCGATGATTTGCCATCTCTTGACAAGATTCACCGCGACTTGCTGGCAAACCGATCTGCCAGAAAGCGAAAGCGAGGGAAAGGCACTGCGACCAAGGCTGTGGTGACGCAGTCGGCAGCCCCAAATGCGCTTTCGCCCTCGCGTCCGCAGTTTCAGCAGTATGATGAGATTTACGGCATGCTTTCTTCGCCGTCTTCATCGCCTGAAGTACAAACCACTGTGGTCAACCATTTGGTTGATCCTACGCCATTGCCTACAGAGAGCAACGCCGAAACGGCATTTCTTGAAGGCGATGACCTGCCCATCGTGGACAGCAACGTGCTATCTCCTTCTGAGTTCCAGGGGCGGGTTTTAGTCGAAGCTGAACCGCCGGTCTTTGACCTGACCATGGCAGACATTTCTGATATCGGAGAAGAAGATGGATCCGGAGATGTCGACGCCCAGAGCAGTTCAGGAGAGGAGTCGGAGGGTCAGAATGACGGCCGCGAGGAGGCCGGCGCGGCGATTGCAAAGAGAATGCGAGGTGTCCTTCCGGCATCCTGGCTTAGGCTCGACCAACAGGCAAACCGTCCCAAACCTACTCAGTACCAACGCCCCGATGACTCCCCTGAGAAGGGTCCGAGACGAGGCGTGGCTGTCCGACGGATAGGTCGCTCGGCGTCATCTACGGCGGCAGCGTTTCTCTTCGATGACTCAGACGACGATGTGGTCACTACGCAGACGCCTACACGTGCTTCTCACAATATCCAGACTGTCTTGCCTTTCGAGAGATCTGAGGTCATGGAAATCAGTGACGACGACGACGGTGGCTCCGCCGTTGAAGAAAACCAGGTTGACCATATGCTTCCAAGCAGAAAACGTCAATTGACTTTGAAAGACTTTCGACAACCCGCCAAAAGGCAGAAAAAGAACGACCGTCCATCAAGCACCCAACCCAAGAAACGCGGGCGACCGCCGAAAAGCGCACACCGATCTTCTGGAGCTTCTCGCCTTGATCCTTTCTCCAAAAGTCGCAAATCTACTTCGAGCAATACTCGAGCTGTGGCCCGAGCGAAACCTCCTCCAAGATTGAGCATTCTGGATGTCATCGAACCAGATGCGCCGAAGTTTCTGAAGATTGCGGCTCGAGCAGCTCAAAGCAAGCGGCACATGGGACGATCCAGTCCTACAACCAAGAGCATACGCCTAGCCACGCGGAAGGACAATGTAGATGCCGGCAGCGTGCTTCAACAGTGGAAAGGAGGCAAGATTCGACCTCGACCTGGATTGCAGACGAAGAAACCTAAGCCCACAGGGTCAAGTGGAAGACACCCACTGGCTCAACTACCATCAAATGTCTCCTCTCGTGGTGCTGTATCCTCTCCAAAGGCCCGCAGCGCCACGCAGTCTGATGAACTTCGTCGTGAGGGCTCAACGCCTTTGACGCCTTTGCCGGAGGCGCACTCTCGGATAAGGCAAATGTCGAGAAGTAATTCGGTCACAAGTCAGCAGACGCAGGATGCCCGAAATAGGCCGGCTCAGCTTGAAACAGATTTGACCCAGCAACCGGGTAGAGTCGGTTTCCAAGCAAAGAAGCGAGCTCTCGATGCTCTTTTCAAGCGTAATCACTCGCAGTCGCTGTCATCGAGAAGTGCGCACTTGGATTCTTTCTTAGACGACACATCATCAGTAGTGTCAGAGCACAGCCTTGCTGCTAGAGGCTCTCCTGAGCCTGCAGCAGTCAAGAGGCCCATATTGAAGCGCCCGAGAAAGCCTGTACAGCCAATCCAGATCGATGTAACGGCAGCCCATTTCCGCCACGCAGATGACCCCATGCCTACGATAGAGTTGATAACTCCCGTCGAAACGCCCAAAGCCGCGTTCAACGATAATCAGCTTCTTGGACTTGGTCCTTTTGGCACACACTATACACAGCACTTTGACATTTTCCCCCTGGACCGCGGGGTCTTCTTCCACGAGACAACACTCATAGGCAGTGGACGGGTCAGCTCAATAGCATATGGCCAGTTTCCCGAGAAGGTGTGGAATTATCGACCCCGAATTTCTTACAGCCTTGGTGAAATGGTCCTTCGATGGGACTTATGGACCGAGCAAGTCTCGTCCGAGTTCGGCATCGTGATGGACGGGATCCTCGAGCAAATTCTCAGGCCATCGCTATCTGCAGAAGTCACACCCAATGCCAGAGCAGCGGCAAGGTTTGTTCTGGACTACGTCCAAAAAGCGATGAGCTTCACCAACGATGCCGATGCTGCCTCATTCATCGCTCGGGTGTCTGATGTGGTCAAGTCTTTCTTGACGCGCTTCGAATCTGAAGATGTCAGTGACTTGGCTCAACGTCGGGAATTGGCTGACGTGTTGTCGAATGTATTCCTCGTTGTCTCTTACGCCGTCCGCCTCTGTCAAAAAAGTCCGGCGCTGATGACAGAGAGCTTTGCTATGGAGGCGCTTCTCAGAAAAACCGCAGAAACACTAGTCCGATCGCTTCTCGGCATTGGCCTGGACGACGTTACGCAACTCTACGATGATCTTCAGACCTTGAGATACCGCGAGCGTGGCATTCGCTCCGACAAGTTCGTAGCACACGCTTGGGTGCTTCTCATAAAGGTCCTAGAATATCTTCGGATTCCTAGAATGACATTCTGGGACGTCACATACTCGTGCATGATACAACCAAGTGTCATTCGTGGCATGGACTCCCAAGAGTTTGAGAATATTTGGAGGAAGATGTTCACGCTCCTACCCTTGTGCGAATTTGACGATAATGGTGTGATCGTTTCCGATAGGAGACACCTGGTTCCCCTGGAAGGGTGGAACTTGCCCCAGCAAGTCCTCAAACGCGTCTTCCAACTATACCGCGACAATCCCCGCCAGTCTCCGAGCTTCAATGACTACTGCCGGGCACTAGTGTCCAGGTGTCACTATCTGGTCGATCAATGGGGTTGGCAGAAAAGCAGCGGTATCATCGGTACCATCTTCGACTTCTTTGGCTCGCAGAACTTATCTCATCTGCGCAACGAAGAAGCCTTCCGCTCAGCTCGTTTCCTAGACAGCCTTCACCTTGACCCGTCTCTCCATGTCGAGCCTGAGGATAGGTGTTTCCACATATTCCTCAAACTCGTGGCACTAGCCATCAAGAGACTGAGGCAAAATGGGGCAATCAACGACATCCGGAATTTGGTAGCTCGCACACTGCCAAACCACGACCGGCAATATTCTAAGGAACAAAACGTTCACCAGAATGACTTAGCGGCTCTCAGGAACCATCATGATCTCTTATGTACTCTGTTCTGGGCAGCGCCACCTGATCTTCGTCCTGGCATCCACAATCTGGAGAAATTGGTTATTCCCGCTAGCTCTCATAAGGAAGCCTGTCTTATTAACCTGCGGGCCTGGAATCAACTGGCAAGATTCGTCGTCCACGAAGAGTCCGCCGCGTCATTCAATTCGCTGGCTAGCTGGCAGGCCAATGTGTTCAAGCAGCTGTTGGACCAGTACAACTCTGCCGCAGCAGATATCCAACAGCAGTTTTTAGCACTGTCCAAGGATGATAGCCATAATGTCAGCGAAGACCTGATGAACTCCATTGTGGCTACAAACAAAGCTGCAACCATGGAGATTATGCTGTTCTCAGTCAAGTCCTCAATGGAGGTTGTGCAATATGCGAGTAGTTTGGAGTTGGCAAGGCTTGCTTCTAGCCCTTGTAAGATAACTTGCCAGACGTTCAGCGTACTTGAACTAACAACATTCGCAGATCAACTACAGCAAGTCTTCCAGCATTTCTCTACTTTGCCAGCAGACTTCCCGTCCACGCTTCTCCAAGCCTCTCTGACCACGCTCGAACGTCTTCTTGGTCGAATCGAGTCAGTCTTCAACGAAGCAGATGATAGTCAAGACAGTATGGCCTCTCGGACTTTGGAGTCTGAGGATGCTATTCTGGTAAGTCGTGCTCAAAGTATTTCTTCGTTTACGTGTCTGACACCTTTCTAGATGCTGGACCGCGAATTGGCAGCTGCGTTCCTTTCAGCAGCACGCTGTCTCTTGTCAAATCAACCGCGCGGCAAACCTGGCAATTCAAGCGTGTCAACATCCTGTGTTGAACAATCCGTTGTGGTATCTGGCATGATGATTGGTCTTTTCGTACGCTGCGGAATGATGGTGAGTCGACATGAGTTGATTCAAAGAGCCAATCGATCGCTTATTATTCCTAGGCACTCTCGCAGGTTTTTAAACCTACTAAATATGGACTATTCGGGAAAGCGCCAAGCAAGCTTGACTGCGAACAACGCCAATATCTTCCACTCTTCCTTTCCATTGTTGCGCAGAAGGGAGCAACCATTAACCTGGAGGTAAGGACTGCCACTGGTGCGCGATCTATGAATACAACTAACATAACGTAGGATATTGGAGGAAGCCTTTTACTATTGTGGCTCATGGTCATCGTACAGCCGAGTAACTACTTGAGATTTGAGAACCGATTTGGACAGCAGCTCCAGCGACAGGGCTATCCTTTCATTCCGGACAAAGCAGGTCTCGTCGTCAACCCAGGCTACTCGGCCAATCGTGACTTTTTCGAGTGTGAGTACTTGCGCAAGTTGATTCCGTGCTACAGACGACTGACCATGTTCAGACGCGGTATCTTGGATGCGGAAATCTCTACACACAGCCGACGCTGCCTCCAAGAAGAACATGCGGTCCGAGTTCGAGAGAGTGCTCAATGCTGTCATGAACCAAATGCGGGCTGACCTTCAAATCATGGCTGCAGACGAATCACAACACCCGAGCTATGTCAAGTTCGTCCGCAACATCATCTCCCTCATCAAGGCTCATGCTTCAGACATCTGTCCCGTACAAAAATTCTTCTTGGAGGTGAGCAAGGAGTATTCGCCGCCGATGCAAGACCCGCAATTACAAGCAGCGTTGATCCAGTCATACGGATTCAAGCTTGCGGAAGGCGACCCCAGAGTCCCTAGTACACTATTTCACTTCTTGCTCAATAACTTTAAGGGGGCTCTCCAGCGTGGCCGACTACCGCATGAAGTCGTCCTGCTGAAAGGGGCTTTGGAGAACGATGCCATCATGTCATTCATTCTTGGCAAGATGCTTCCCGCGGTGCTGCACGCCACTCTATCCAATGTCGAGGCCTACGCGATGCTCGATGTTTTATGCGATGCGCTTGGACTGGCAATAAAATCGTCACCTGTTCCTCGTCAAGTCAGCGAAGACAATATGGGGTGCATTGCTGCCTTGGTCATCACCACACTGGCTTGGGCAAACGCCCTAGGACGGAGCATGCTTAGTCCTGAGCATGTTCATGTGCTCAGACGAATCACTTGGCTCCTCAACGCTTTTCAGCCTTCCCTCGAAGCGTTCTCATTCATGGCTACAGAACCTCGAGGCTGGGACAACGTCATGTCGATGTTACGTTGGTTCAGCCTGCTTGCCGAAGGGGCGCAAGAGTATCTTGAAAACCAAGAAACCCCTTTCATAGCCTCCTCGGGGCTGTTCCGCCGACTCAGAACTCTCAATGAGATCTTCACGATCCAGGACACCACGGTTCTGACCTGGTCAGAGCATATAGGAAACGACATCAGTAGGAATTGGGTCACGACAGGACCATTGTTAACGGTATCACCCCACAACCGTGGCACACCTTCAACACAGTCTGGGATTGGATCACTACGGCCTAAGTGGGACATGCAAGAATTGACGACGAGTTTGCTAGATCAAATGCGGAACTGGCATGAGTGGTGGACGAGGGTGAAAGAGTTGCCAGCTGATACTGAGGAAGTAGATTTCGGGGAGGACGTCATATTCTGAGAAAGGTATCTGTCGTAGAGCAGTGTCCAATCCTTACCCCCAGAAACAAGTACATAATATTCATGCCCACAACTGTCTACCAAGGATTCAAGAATAATCTTCATGGCCGTATCTTGAAATTCATTGAAGTACCTACGTTGAGTCATATACGGCTGGGTCCAGGATCCATCGTGAATGATCTCATTACGATTTACATACTTCGGTGTGGGACTCTCGGTGAGCGTCGGTGAAGACTCTGCCGAGATTCCGCCGTTCTCACTAAGCATGGTACCGGCTTCGACAGCTCGAAAGCAAACAAGGTCTCTTTTGCCACGCAACGACACCGCCAATTGCTGGCATATTGCTCATTGTCCTTCCGAATGTATGCAATAGGGCCTCGGGCCCTTGCATCAGCCTCACGAGTCTCCGTCACATCGAGGTTAGCGCTTTCGGTCGCTCATCGCAGCCAGTGTCGACATTTCCACCCGTCCTTTAGGTTGCGGAAGAGCCCGTCCGAAGGCGGCGCAGAAGACGGCAAACCACCAGACAAACCAGCCGGCGAGCAAGAGGACGGCAGCAGAAATAAAGATGGCAACACAAGCAAGACTGAGTCGGTCACGGCGGAGTCGGCTTTTCGGAGGTCGAGAGGCGGCGCGTTCGCCTCTGCGAGAGCGCGCCTCTCAAGGCCGCGGGCCGCTGACGAGCTGCCACCCGTGAAGCTGCCGCAGAGCTTCCTCGACAACAGCGTGTCGCTGTATGATCCCGAAAACCGCATCAACACCCTCACAAACGATCTGTGGCACCATCGATACATGGGCGCCCGCTGGCACGATCTGCTCTGGAAAGATTTGGATCTCGTCTTCAGCCATGCGTCTTGGAGCGAAGCGAGGCTGCAAGATGCGCTGCGCCGGGGCAATCTCGAAGCCATTGAGAGGAGGAGCCGACTCCTTGCTGAGGCATCGCAGTGGCTGAGTCTCTCCATTGACGAGATGCGATCTTCGAACAACCTGCAGAGCTCTCGCGAGCCGCTGCCGACCACCGAATTCGCAGACATGCTTCGATACTCGAACAAATTCGTCCTTTCGAACCTTTTGTCGCAACACACCAGAGCAACGACGGACGCCGATCCAACACAAGATCCAGACAGCGTACTGCAATCGCTTGTCGAGCAATACATCGAAGAGGGACGGCCGAAGCTGAGACGTGACGGATTGAGGTTATTCGATCCCAGGATCCGCGGGGAGGTCGTCACGGCTGTGTGCGCGGAGCTTTCCCTGCAGCCGGACGCAAGTGCCGCAGGCAGGGAGCTCAAGAGACCCCTTACTGTCGTCAACATCCCGAACTACACCGGCCGAAGCCATACCAAGAAACTCATGAAGCACGTTGCGTCATGCGCGGAAGCCGATTTGATTCACCTCGATGCGCAGGAGTTGGCGATGCTTGTGGGCGACTACATCGGACAGGACTGTGCCTACTCGCGTGGCTCGATCTCTATACTGGGATACCGATCTGCCGAGATGAACGGACGTCTCGTCAAGAGCGAGGAGCCATCCAAGCCCAACGACGAGGATCTATCAGGCGAGATCGAAGCGGCCTGGGTCAACCTTCGGGATCATGGGGTGGATGGCGGCTACGGCAACCCGATGGACAACGAACTGCAAAAGATCAAAGAAGGCCCCAAGGACTACATCCTTCCCTCTGTAGATCGATGGGAGAACCTAAAGATCAACGCCGTTCTTGAGGAGATTGCTAACTCGGCTACAAAGATGACGTCGAAGCCGGATCGCAACCTGATCATTCACGTGGACGACTTCGTCGAGCTTAACATGACGCTCGAGGGTGCGCTGCTCATCGGTCGACTTCGGACCATCGTAGACACCATGTGGCGCGCTGGAAAGAGAGTCACCCTCGTGGGCACCTCATCCAACGAGAATCCTTCGGAGCAGTACGCATCGACGCTCAAGGAGATTGCGGCAGAGGAGTGTTTGATCCCTTTGCCTCTGAATTTCCAGCGGATCACCGACGCTGCAAATACCAAGAAGATTTACGAGGCCAATGACTTCTTGCAAGAGAACCTGCGAAACATCCAGCATATGCTGAAGAGCATTTCTGGCCAAACGCGAGACACGAGTAAACTGCGCATCGTCGGCGTGTCAAAGTCCTCGCCGCCGCAGTTCCTCTTGGATGACACACATGGCTCTTACATGGAGGTCTCGCTCATCCCCCGCGTTCTCGCAACCTCCATCCTCCCCCTTTCCGACGTATACCACATAACCCGCCTCTTCTACGCCTGCGAGGGCACCGTCCGCCCCGACGAGTCATGGAGGGTTCTCTTTGACGTCGTCGAGTCCAGCAGCTACAGCACCGCGCAGCTGCACCGCACCCAGGACCGGCCGACGCGCTCCAAACCCTCCTCCGGCGGCGCGAGCTCGTCTGCCGACATGCAGAAGCCCGAACCCGAACGCCTCCGCGTGTCCGGTAACTACAACGACTACGAGAAGAAGCTCCTCAGCGGTCTCGTCAACAGCAGCGAGATCAAGACGACGTTTGCCGACGTCCACGCCGACGCGGAGACCAAGAACAACCTCAAGCTCCTGACCTCGCTGTCGCTCGTCCGCCCCGAAGCCTTCACATACGGCGTCCTCGCCACCGACAGGATACCGGGCTGCCTCCTCTACGGCCCGCCCGGCACCGGCAAGACGCTCCTCGCCAAGGCCGTCGCCAAGGAGAGCGGCGCCAACATGCTCGAGGTCAGCGGCGCCAGCATCAACGACATGTACGTCGGCCAGAGCGAGAAGAACGTGCGCGCCCTCTTCTCGCTCGCCAAGAAGCTGAGCCCGCTCGTCATCTTCATCGACGAGGCCGACGCCCTACTCGCCGCCCGCGGGCAGCGCAACCGCGCCGCGCACCGCGAGACCATCAACCAGTTCCTGCGCGAGTGGGACGGCATGAGCGACACGAAGGCCTTCATCATGGTCGCCACCAACCGGCCCTTTGACCTCGACGACGCCGTGCTCCGCCGGCTGCCGCGCAAGATCCTCGTCGACCTGCCCCTCAAGGCTGACCGCGCCTCCATCCTCCGCATCCTCCTCAAGGGCGAGACGCTCGACGCCTCGGTCGACGTCGACGACGTCGCGCGGAAGACGGTGCTCTACTCCGGCTCCGACCTCAAGAACCTCTGCGTCGCGGCCGCCATGACGGCCGTCCAGGAGGAGAGCGAGGTGGCGGCGCGGCACACCGGCCCGGAACCCTACGTGTTCCCGCCGAAACGCACGCTCGCGAAGCATCACTTTGATAAGGCCCTGAAGATGATTGCCGCCAGCGTCAGCGAGGACATGGACAGCTTGAAGAGCATCCGTCGCTTCGACGAGAAGTACGGCGATGTCCGGGCCAAGAATAGCCAGAAGAGGAAGGGTATGGGCTTCGGTGTGCTGCCGACGTCGACGGATGCTGAGGAGGCTAGGGTGCGGCAGGCTGTTGCTTGAAGAACACTGGGTTCGAATCTTGACTGTTATTCTCTCTTCATCTTCTTTGTAATGTCCATTCTGGCTTCGCTGAAAGCAAACCCCCCACCCTTGACTTGGAACCATCATCAGAGAAATGGATGGGGACAGGGGTGGGTTTTAAGGCGAATTTGTACGATTTTTTGTTGCGTGGTGGGAAAAGAGATTCCTTTGAGGACATCCCCATTGTGGACTATAGAAATGGGGGGAAAGGAAGTGAGTGGTGGATTCTGTATTATCATTGAGAGGACACACGCCATCTACGATCAGGTAGTTAGGTAGCATCCCAAAGACTTGCTGAGTAAAAAAGAAGGGATTAGCGAGAGATGGGCTATGAATTACTATCCTCATGAGATGGAATTTTGGAAAAAGAAGTATTTGAGTTGCCCTTTCTTGGTGATTTACGAGACAATAGGAAGCATGACAGGATAAGATCTACAAACATACTGAACATTTGAGAGGAAGCGTATATGGCTTAATGTGGTTTGCTTATTCCTGAATAAAGCTCCTGATGATTTCGCATTTTGATATATCTTATACAACCTGACCCTGATTCTCCGCCACAAGCCAAGAACGTAGTCCCCTAGCATGTCCCTTGCCATCTCAACTCATCTCAAGCCAAATGTAACCTTCAGGCCTCGGTGGAAAGCTGAACCCCCTCAGCAGCAAGAGCCCGCTGATAATCCCCCTGCGCCCTCTTCAGCGCCTCGAGCGTGGGCTGCATAATCGCCAACACGGCCTTCCTCCCGCCCTTCTCATGCTCAGGCCGCCACCCGCGAATCTTCTTCCCCGTCGCCTTGTAGTGATCCATAATCTCCTTCTTCTTGGCCCGGATGATGTCGTCACGCGTCTTCTCCGCCTCGTCGGCGACGGCGTGGATGCGCTCGGCCGAGCGCTTGAGGGACTCGACGAGGTACTGCAGCTCGTTGGCGCGGTCAGGGTCGCCAGACAGGAACGCGTTCCAGAACTGGTGCAGGAATTCCACCGTCGTGGCGTGCGTCAGCTGGCACCGCTCCGCGACCTCGACGGGTAAGCCCATGGGGCGGGACTCGTCCGCCGCCGTGTCGCCGTACTTTTGTGCGCGGCGCTGCCGGATGCCCTTCATGATGTCGTCGCCCGCGGCTTTGCGTGCGGCGCGGGATCCGACGTGGGGCGGGCGCCGCGATCCTCCGTCGTCGCTGTCGCTGTCGTCGACAATGCCGATGCCCGCGCGGAGGTTGAGGCCGCCCGCGCCGTCCGTCTCAATGGTCTCGAGGTCGGTCTGGATGTCAAAGAGGACGTCCGAGGGGTTCTGCTTGGCGAAAGCGAGGGCGTTTGCGGATTTGGCCTCGTCTTTTTTCGCAAAGAAACGGTTCTGCTCCTTGATGTTGAGTATGATTTTGTTCTCCTTTGCGTCGCCGCGCAGGTCGCGGAGGGCAATCTCCGCCCACGTCGAGTCTTCTTCGGCCTCGGCGCCGGTATCGCGGTCCGAGGGGGCCACGTTGGCCAGCATGCGCTCGCTGAGACTGTTGAGGGTATTTACAATGGGCACGTTCTTGCGCGGCCGCATCTCGACGTCCTTTTGGTTCCCGCTCCGGAAGCCGCCCTGGTTCTCCTCGTTGCCGTGGACGTCAATGATGTGCGGCACGCTCTGCGCCATGCTCTTGCGCTGGAACATTGTCGTGTTCTCGCTGGCATCGTGGGCGTCAAACAGCGCGTCGCGTTTGATACCCTCCTTTCTCTCGTCCGTGATCCTGTCTCCCTTCAGCGTGCGGAAGAGCTTGCTGAGGAAGAAGCGGGACCAGAACTCGCTCTCGGGGACCTTGGGCACGTTTTCGTCATAGAGCCGCTTGACGAGCGGGTGCTGCGCCATGATGAGCTGGACCATCTCGACGGTGATGTCGAGCTTGAGCACGTCGTTCTCCAGCCGCGGCTTTATCGCGGGGAGGACGTTGTACGCGCCCTTTTGCTGGTTCACCTCGATGGCGTGGGCACGCAGCAAGTTTGTACGCGTTGACCAGAACTGTGCGTTGAAGGCCGCGTCAGATATCGACTCGGGCTTGGTCGCGCGCGCGTCCATGTAGGTCTGGTGTAGAGTGCGGTCCTTCTTCATAAGGGACTGCTGCAGCTCAATGTCACCCTTGAGCTGGGCGTCATCGAACCAGCGAGCGCTGTTGGGCTTCGTGTTGGCGGAGCTGGCGAACGCCATGGACGAGCCGCCGCCAGCGCCGCCGCCACCACCGCTGGCACCATTTGCGCCGTTGGCCGCGTTCGGCGTTGAGTTGCCGGAGGGTTTGGGGACGTTGGGATCGCCGGAGCGGATATCGGCCAACAGCCGCGAGAGAAGGTCCTTGATGGCGTTGGCCTCGGACCTGGCTTCTGGTGATGTGAAGTGGAAGAGGTAGGGCACTTGTTCTGTTGCATCTGGAGGCTTCTCAAAGATCTTGAGCATAACCTTTGCTGCGCTGTCTGGTGTCTGTTGCAAATCTGTGACCCACGTCAGTCATGCATAGTACTGTCTCGTGTGACGGAAGCTCACTTGAGATATTGGCAATGACCAGGGAGACCGTAGGCGGGCCATTCCCAGGTGCTGGAGTCCAGATGACGGACTGCTGATCCGGCGTCAAGGTCAAGATACCATCCTTCTTCTTGAAGGCCGTACGACCTGACGGTATCGCCATCTTCAGATTTATATGATATGCTTAGAAGCTGCTGCGAAGCATAGCGTTGAGACCTTCACTTCGTCACCACCCTGCCAAGCCACCTCAATGTGAACTGCCTCCTTGCCTCAAATGAACCGGCCTGGGTCTTCGCAGGGATGAGACCCGGTACGTAAGGAGCGGCCCACCAGCCAGATCGACAGTAGATAGTCGCGTATGATCCAATAATTCTGCAACGGTAAGAATTTATCGCTCCAATGCAGAATTAATGTGGTAGCGTGGAATGAGAATCGTTCAATGTCTTTCACCTGGGGTTGAAGGCTCGAGGTTCAAAGCTCCAGCCACAACTGCGTATGCTGCCTGAAGTGGCTGTCGGCTGCCAGCTGGCGCTGTCTTACCAGTCCTTGACGGGCCGGCAGGTGTCATACGTTCAACCTCATCAGATGACAAGCCAGTCACAGGCGCTTTTTTGACATCAACACCTGCAGTCGCCCCAGGGTATGTACACATCACCTGGCACGACATTGTCGACAGGTTACACAAGAGAGCCATGTTTTACAACGATCGTGGTGATTTACTATCAAGCCTGTCTGGCGTACTAACCTGCCAGCCTTTTCCTTATGCGAGCCAAGAGCCAGTCCTGGAAGATCCATGCTATCCTCAAAACGCCAAAATCTCAGAAAGCCAGAGGTTGTTCCCCATGTCTATGGATGCGTGTCCCCGTATCTCGTCCAAGTCTCATAAAAATGTCGTGAACCTTTCGACAATACATTCCGAAGGGCAGAAAAGTTGTTACACAAGAGGCCCGCGAGGCTTAGATGTGGTGTCTAGCGCGGAGGGAGCGGCGACCGTGGGCTCTCTTCTTCTGCCAGACCAGGACCTCGGTTGTGCCAGACTGGCATTTGGTGCCAGGAGCCATACTCATGAGCACCGACCACTGTCCAGAGGCACAACGCTGGAAATGAGTGCCGGAGACGCAGTTCCACTGGCCCTCGGGGGTGCAGGCCTTGCCGGGAGTCATGGAGCCGTCAGTTGCATCACCAGATCCGGCGCCAGGCGAGGGAGCTGCGGATGGAGCGGCAGAGGGGGCAGCCGAGGGGGCGGCTGAGGGAACGACTGCCGAAGTGGGAGCAGGCATGGCGGTGGGTGCCGCAGATCCTTCGGTGCACTCTTCGCTGGGTGAAGCCGGAATGCTGACGGTCGCGAGTGTGGTCGGCCGGGCAGAGGCAACGGCAGAGTTGCTAGAGGCTGGGACAGTGAGGAAGACGCCGCCAGGGCTAGTGGGAGTCAGTACAATTACAGTGACATGGGCGAGATTCACTCACAGTCCAGCAGATGAGGAGGCGCCTCCAGCAGCGCGAGTAGTCGACTGGGAGCTCGGCTGAGAGACTTGAGAAGCGGCCGGAGCGGACGGGGCAGGGGCAACGGCGTTGGCAGAGCTGCTGGGAGAGCTGCTGCTACCACCTCCAGAGCTGCCACCGCCGACTGCGACGTCACAGGTGCCGACAGGGGCAGCGGTCTTGGTGCCGGCGTTGGTGACGTCTCCAGGAGGGCCGGGGTTGGGGAACAGAACGTCGGATCCCTCGACAGTGCTGCAACCGTTGGCGATGTTGGCCTTGAAGATCTGAGGACGGCTGGCGAAGGGAGTGGAAGCGCTGCCGCCTCCGCCGGTGGTGGTGGTGATGACCGCGCAGTTCATGTAGCTATGGAAGGAAAATTAGTATGGCTCATGGCGAGAATCAGAAGGTCAGGATGGACATACAATTCTCGGTTGCCGACATTGTTGAACCAGGTCCAGGCGAACAGGGCGTCCTTGGCAGAGGGTGTGTCGGCAGGCAAGGTGAAGGTGAGAGACGAGGTGCCCGCGACAGGGCAGTTACCGATGTAGCTGTGGATGACGGTGAAGGTCTTGCCGCTGTCGAAGGAGAGGGAAGCCTGGCAACTACCGCCATTGTGGTTGGCACCGCCGGCGATGGTCATGTTGTACTGCTGACCGGCCTGCCAAGTGGCGACGGGAGAGGCCGCGGCGGTTCCGAGGAGGTTCAAGGTGCCCTTGCAGGGGAAGTCGCTGCCAGAAGCACTCAGAGGGCTGGTGATGCTGTAGTCGATGTTCTGGCCGGAGAAGGGGTTCTCCTTGGATCGCAGAGGCGGCGGGTAGGTGATGGCCATGTGAGCCGCGGCTTGGCCGGCAAGCAGCACGATCGTGGAGACGAAGGTGGACTTCATGGTGTCGTCTGGTGTTGGAAGAATCTGATCTAGGATGAGGGTGGTTTTGAGAGGATGAGAAGGCCTTCTTTAGGTGAGCTTCGCTTCCAGATGTTGTTGAAAAAAGCTTGGGTGTGTTGACTGGAAGGATAGATGGAATTTTCTGTAGGGTCAAAGAGTGTAATTGCTCCTCGTCTTGAAATGTGTGTTGGTCTGTTGATTTCTTAGGTCGGGATGGTTGAAGAATTGTTGCAGGTGAATGTAGGTGAGGTGAGTCGGTCAAATCAAGGTGAGTGAGACGGGGTGTCTTCACTTGTCTTTATCTGAATGTGGTCTTGAGAGTCGAGCCGGCTCGAGGAAGGAGAAGGAAAAAAAAGTTGGGTGACTTTTACAATGGAGAAAGGCGGTCGAAGGAATGTGTTCAAACGTCCAAACAATGAGGCTGGTCGGGAGTTGAATAATACCGGCGAATACGTAACCGTTGAAGATTTAAAAGTGGCAGGAAAGGAAGGAACGGCAGTGAGGCTACAAAGTTCTCCACGTGTAAATGGGGACGAAAGTAGGCCAAGTTGGGCTGAGTCTTGTAGCAGTCAAGAGCGTGGATGACGCAACAACACTGGACGAGGTTGAGCAACAGAAAAGAGAAATTTGTAGAGATAGGCGTGAGAAAGGGGAAAAAAGAAGGTTCCCAAGAACTCGGATCGAGCTGCTACGAATGAAGTCAGGTGAAGATGAAATAAGAGGGCTGAAGAAAGGCGGGAGGCCGTCACGGGCTCTTTATTGTCGAACAAACCACACCACTCAGCCGGCGCATCAGTATCTTGGCAAAGGAAAGGGTGCGAACAAGAGGGGGAGAGCCGCTTCGCTTCCAAGGCTTGCCAGGGTCGAAAGGCCTGCTCTCTCTCTCTCTCCGACTTCTCGTCCAGTTGCAGTCCAGAACCTGGGTTCTGATCCATGAAAGTGAGGTAGCCATGCGGCCTGGCTAGCGGTCGCGGGGTGTGCCTCTCTCGCGCCGCAACTCAACCCCTGCCCTGGGCGCATGCACCCTTCTTTTCTTCATCGTCATCCAGCAAGTCTACATTGAGATACCTCGGATGCCCATGTTGGATGCCTCCAGCCAACGAGTATAGCTACTTAGGAAGTGATGGATATGTCAACCTGCAACTCGGATACTAGTAGAAAGCAGAAACCAAAGGGGAACCCTTGAGATATCCCTTCAACGTAGTGTAGGTCCAGCATGGACGGCGTGTGGTTGATATCCTCCCTTTTCCTCTCCCTCTGGATTCTTCCTCGCAACGACCCAAGGTCCTGGCGCAACTCTCGGCTCCTCCGTCCGTCCCCTTCCTTCCTGTCCAACAACGGCTCAGTCCTGAAGAAGAAAACTCGATAAAGAAGAAATCCCCGAGTTGCGCGCCCCAAAGGAGCAGCAGCTGGATTCCTGTCCTGTGCCCCTTGCACCCTTGCTCAACCCGCCTGCTGCCGCCTTGCGGGTCCCTCACGAACCCCCCGGTCTGGTCTCGCGGAAAGCGTTACAACTTCAGAGTCACTCCCTCCCATTTGGCCGAACAGATCGAGGCATGGCAAGGGTAGGGTACCGGGTCACACCGCACCTCATCGCATGTTCTCGGTGCGATGCGGGTTAGTCGGCGAAGTGTACGTGTAAGTTGACCCTCCTTCTCACCGCGGGGCCACTCTTGGGCGACAAGAAGCGCGTTTGTCTTGTCTCTAATGCGCGGATGAAGTGGCCAAGACTTTGGAGAGAGAGAGAGAGAGAGAGAGAGAGAGAGGGTGAGAGAGGTGTGTGGGACGTGGTCCAGAAAAGGTGGGATGAACAGACCCTGGACCGTCCAAAAAGAGACAAAGTCCTGATCCAGGCATGTCATTGGCCCAGGGACGGATGCGCGAATGGCAGGCCACAGCGGTAGCTGTAGCTGCGCGGTAAAGATGTGAAGCGCAAGGGCCGCAAATCGAACCTTGGCTGAGCCGCTGTGCCTCTGAGCTGCTTCCATGTTCGCAAAGTACCTACCATCATACTACCTTACCATGCCAGCATAAGGTACTTGAACTTGGGGGAAGCCATTCAGACTGCGTCCAATCAACCAGCCTGCGTGCCTGACTGTCGCTTCAGTGCCCGGTTCACTGATTGGCGCTGTCCGTTTACAATCATATACCTAGGTAGGCGGGCTACCGCCTTGCTAGCTTGCCTTGCCTTCCAGCTCAAAGACAAACACTACAAGACAAGATACATCCCAAGCTGAGCCATGAGAGAATAGGAACAATACATCTTTCGGCAACTTGAGCCCGAGATAATCAACGCAGCTAGGTAATTCTTACGGTCCTTCACATTGAAGGACCGCGCAAAAGTGCCCCAGTCCCAGTCGTAACCTCACCTTCACCGGTGTCCTGTCCGGTGATATCTGTGGAGCGCAAAAACCACCCAAGGAAAGCAAAGTCGTCGATCCCTACGCAGTAAAGAAAGGCCCAGGCCGCCCAGGTCCACACGGCTTCATTCCAGCCAGTGTTCGGTGATGCGCGGTGTGCCTCCCCGTGCCTCCCCCGCCCTCAGCGCCTCCTCAGCCATTCCCGGGAACCGACTGTGACGTGACTTGGCAGACTTGGAGAAAGAAGCAGAAAAAGTAGAGGAAACTTTTCAAACGTCCAAACCCCCCATGCTCGATCGGGTAAGGAGGGGATAAAAGAAGAAAGCAGGGGGTTCTTGAAACATGCGACATGCGCCGTCAAATGGCATGCATCCTACAACCGCCACGAATGAGAATGGAATGTTTCCTGCCATTCCCTGAGGTACCTTAGGTACCTCATCCTCATACAGCCGCCGCCAGTCGAAAATGCATACCTACCTTACGCATGCTAAGTTCTAACAATGGATCCTGCACTGCATCAAGAGGCGCCGTAGGTTGTCACCCTTTCTAAAAAATCTCCCCACGATGATACCTCAAACTCTTTAATTATCCACCCTCAACCTCACAACTACATTCAAATCCCCCCATCATCAATAAAATAGCCCATGCAAGTATGACTAGACCCTTCTCACGTCATTCATTCTCCATTTTCCCCGTACTGTCCAGAAATAATAGTCTTTCAAAATCTGGGAATAACCGTGAACTACTAGCCCTGTTACCCATGATCAAGGTTTCATCCCGACCTCGCACAATCATGTTCCAATTCCACAACCGCTCTTCTTACCTACTGAGGTAGTTGTGTCATGGTGCCGAATATGCCGTCCCCGAGATATTTCAACAACACTAGGGTTTTCTGGTCTTCTTCTCCCTTTTCTCATGGCCACTCGTGCATCTCTGCTTTGTTCGTCCTTGATCCAAAAGCATTACACAACACTCGCTGCAAGGACTGGCATGATTGACTGCCAGAGAAACCTCCAGAACTCACCTTGTCCAATCAGGTGCAATTCACTTTGACCTTTTGAAGTAATGTTTTGTCATTTGGAGCCACCTATTGATAGATGGCTTTTTGGCCTACACTGTTCAACTCCTATGCTTTTCTTTCTCGTCACTAGCTCTACCTAGCTACCGCGACACACCCGGCCTTCACATATGCGTTTGGATCATGACTGACGTCCTCACATCCCCCTTGACCCTCTGCCGTGATCCGCTTGTGAAGCATGACAGTCCCGCTCATTCAGGCATGCGTCATCTGAACCCTTGGGACTGTCTTCTCCAACCACAAGCTGACCTATACGTGACTTTCCAGTTCAGCAAACGCTACATACAGCAAGTCCGACCCTGCCCTCCAGCTCGGTGACTGATTTCCCCCGAATGCTAGCCCCCTCGGAGATATCTCCTCGACAGCCGCTCCAGAGGTTTCCATGGACTGCTTTATGTATTTGCTGGCACATCCAAGTTGGCAGCATCCATCCCAAGCTTCGCGGATCAAGTGGTTATTCATCAACGCTAAAGGGGCCTAGATACTGAGATGTGTTGGAATAATTTTCCATGGCGTTATCGGTATGCCTCGGTGGTTTCGTCGAGCTCTCATTTGGCTTCTTCGGTAGCTCCAGGAGCGTGTCCAGGACCGTTCGCAGGTGCTGAGGGAACCTGTTGAGGACCCTGGTGCTGCCCATGGTTGTTGTACGGTTTGCCTCCATAGTTGTTGCTTCCACTGCGGTGCTGTGCACCGTATTGATGCATCTGAGAGGGACTCGTTCCAAAGTGTTGAGGTCCGGGACTATTGTACCCACGCACATTGCCAACTAAGCCGACGTGTTAGCAGTTTATTGGTAGCGACCGCCGGGTACCATCTTACCCTGACCGCCGGGTTGCTGCGGAGTGTACGCAGGCTGCTGGTACTGCACATTGGGGCTCATGCCATACACTGGTTGACCCTGCTGCGAGCCTTGATGAACCATCATCGGCGCTGACGGGCGTCCCGGACTGGGATAGCCGTTGGCTCCCGGAATCGGCTGAGGCGGCGCGCCATTTGGAGGCATGAACTGGTGGTTGCCAGCATACATTGGCATTTGGCCGGGTGCCGGCACCATGCCCTGGGGGTTGATGAATTGAGGCATCATAGGTGCTCCCATGGGACCACCAGGCTGCTGCGGCACGTATTGATGATTTTGGGAGAAGTTCCGGTAACCACCCATCTGAGGTGTAGCCGGTCCACCGTAGGGCTGCATCATAGGCTGGTTGTAGGGCACCTGACCCGCCGAGGTCATGGCTGGCGTGTTGTAAGTGATGGGGACCTGTGCCATACGCGGCGAAGCGAAGGACTGGGCCGAGTTGGAATGCATCATCCGGTGGTCATCCATATTCTGGTATGGTGTATGGGGTACATGTCCATGTTGGTTCTGTATAGGCATGGGTGGCATGTGTGGTGACTGACGCGGGCCCATACCGTGCGCAGGTTGCTGCAGATGAAAGGGAAGTTGATGCTGGTGAGCCACGCTGGGCACAACGTGAGTGTGGTTCGGTGTGGCAATTGACGACACAGCGAATGATTGCCGCTCCAAGAACTCCTTGGAAGTCATATTCATCGTGGAATCCGACTTCTCGTTGTCCGAAGGCTGTCTCCAGGTAGGCGGGGTGTCGTATGAGGGTCTCAGACCGTCGTTGTCGTCCCAGTTCCGACCCTGGGGTGGCGTGAATGTCTTGACGTGTGCCAGGATGTAACACTTCTTCACATCAACTGCCTTCGTCTTCCGACGAATCAACTGTCCAGCTGACGCCGGGGTCGATGCTGTCTCTGGGGCGTTGTTGGCAGCAGCAGAGCGAGGACTGGAACCCGCGCTGGGGTGTCCGTTCGGGTTGAAGGACGTCGCAAAGGGGTTCGGTCTGAACTCGTGGCTGTTGGGGTTTAACTTCCCGCCAAGGTGATTCGGGACACCGCCTGCACGCCGGAAAGCCTCAGTGTTGTTCGCAGGGCCGGTTGGCGGCATCCGCATGTCAGGGCCACCAGGGTGCTGGTTGGGAGGCGCCGACATCTTCTGCTGCTCCACGTGGCGCAGGCGCTGGGCCAAGGGCTGACGGTTCTGTTGCGCCATGTGTTGGCCAGATCTTTCGTTCCTGTACGTTTGGGCGTGGTACTGGGGGCTGGCGTAAGACTGGCGAGCGTTGGGATGACGGTTGGGCACATTGGAGGGAGAAATAGTATTAGCTGGCGCCGGACGAGTAGCATTCCTTGTATCAACGGCGGCTTGAGCAGCCGGGGCATCAGCAGGTGGCTTTGTTGCACCCTCCTTTGATGAAGCGTCCTTGCCCTTGAGAGTAGGTGTCGTCTTGGTACGAGCAACATCTTCCGCGTTCTGGAGAGCCTTTGCCTGGATTTCCTTCTGTTTATCGGGGTCCTTGGCGATAATGGAAATCAGGTCAGTAGGAACTGGAGTTGACAGCTTGAAGGTATCGGCGAATTTCTTCAGTTCAGTCAACTTGACTTCCTTGTCGGCCTTGGCCTTGCTGCTCCGAACTTTTTCAGCATTCTGCCGCTGCTGACTGGCAAACGTTCTGAACGACTTCAAGACGTCTTCTTCGACGGTGGCAGTAGCACTCGGAGCTCCGGGGGCGCCTTCTTTGACCTGAGGAGAGATCGTTCGGCTTGCAGTTGCAGAGGGACGAGCTTGAGTAGCCGACTTCTCAGCAGCCTTGGCGTCGCCGGGCTTTGCGGCGACGGTCTGCTTCGTCTCTGCAGGCTTCGTCTCGGCCGGCTTAGTCGGCTCCTGCTTCGGGGCAGTCTTCGTAGCGGGGGCAGCAGGCTTGGGATCAGCGGCTTTCGCCGCCTCGGTACCTTGGGTAACACTGCCCTTGTTGACGAGCTGGCTTAAAAGCTTGGCATCTTCGGGCTTCACTGTGGTCTGCTTCTTTGCGGGGGCTCTCAGTTGCGACGAGATGATCGCGGGGTCAATCGGGGCGCCAACGACAGTCGCATTCGAAGCGGGTGCTCGCTTGGCAGGAGGCGTGTACTTGTTTTCGCGGCTCGACAGAGGAGGGAAGTCCTGACGGCGGACTCCGCTGTATCTGAAAATGGGTGTTAGCTTTGGCTGCTTCAAGATGAAGACATCAAACAGAGAGCCTTACTTGTCTTCCTCATCCCCACCCTTGTCGTCACCACCGCCAGTGACATAATCCATGACACGCTCCTCCGCAACGTGCGCCGTGGTGGCCAAGCTTCGCTCGATCTCGCGAGCCTTGCGCTCGGCAGCAGCCATGCGATCACGGTACTGTGGGTGACTTTTGTCAATGGTGGTTGTGTAGATGTTCTCATCGTAGTCGGTCTTGAGGCCGAAGAGCCGCTCATTTTCGGCGAATTGGTCCCAAGCTCCTCCACTGCCAGATGGCTTCTCCAAGCTGCCATCGATGCCATCGTTGGAGTCGGGGACCCATGGCTGGAGGGTTCGCTCGGTGCCGGGTCTATTGTTGGAGATAGCGGTATCGGTTCTGAACCCAGATCGAGCGCCTGTAGTACAATTAGCATTATGTTTTCGCAGTGGCCAGGTTTAAGAAAAAGGCATGCCGTTTTGGCCCTTGCCGTCAGCCTTACCACCCATGGCCGAATCCCTCTTATTGTAGGACATATTGTTGGACTTGTTTCCGTTGTTGATCTCGCTCTGAGGTTTCTTAGGGGCGACCATCTTGCAGCCGTGGGCTGTCGAGGTAGTACAGGTAGGGTTCTTTCGACAGCAGTGCCACCTTGGCTACCAATAACCTCCAGTCCCCTACGAGGAAGAAGTCAGCCAACGCTTTGGTTATTATTTTTGTGCATCAGAGCAGAGTGGTTCGGGTCGGAATTTCGAGACGCAATCGAAAATGAAGAAACAAATCGACTTCAGACGGTACGCTGATGATCGGAGGTCACTCCGCTGAGTGCGAGGTAAAGAGTCTGTGAATCAGTGGTACTACGCACCTTGCGACGGGAATCGGAGGATATATCGGTTCGTTGGGTTCGAGAATCGAGCAGTCGTCGTTGACCCTTGATTGTCGAGATGTTCAGACAGTGAGGCCGCAGCGGGCCCGACAGTTCTGAGCAGATTCACCTGCAGTAACGACAATATCGGCCACGATTAGCTTCCTAGGGTCAACGGCGGGGGAGAGAAGCAGTGTGAAGGACAGATAGCTTCAAGTCGCAGCTTGACGTGTGGTTGGCGACGACGATCAAAGCAGCGAAGAGGGAACAAGGGGAGGTGCGATGCAGTGGGAAAAGGCAGCGCAAAGGAAGAAAGAGAGAAGGTGGTGTTGCTATGTCCAAGGTGTAGGGCTGAAGGACGATGCGAAGATTGGGAAGGAGGATGATGGCTAAGTGTCTCACCTGGTCGAGAGGGTCTGCGAAGAGGGCTGAATAGGCCCGGCAAAAAGGGGAGAGAAACGAAAGTCTCCCCCAGATATAGTCCTTGTCGAGAAGGAACTGCTCAATTTGCGTCGCAATTGGGCAACTCCGAGAGGAGGGTTGAGAGGGGGGAGAAGCAGGCACAAGAGACCGGCGTCGATCGTGGGCATAAAAAAGGGCGAGGACGTGGAGGGAGTTGGGATTGGGTGTGGAGGTTGAGGTGAGGTGAGGTGAGGCTTTGTTTTCCCTCCACCAGTGTTCAGCAGCAACTGGCACCAGCAGTCCCCTACTGCGTACTGGACCTGTCCGGGTGCTGGGCGTTGTGTGGGATTGGGAGATGCTTAACTTGGGGTACCTTCCTTCGCCCGTGGGCCCTGCCCTCTGGTGTGGTGTACTTCGTACCCTGCGCCTTGCACTTTGGACGGGGGCTAGCGAGGGAAAAAGGCGTGGTGTGGGTGGTGGTGCGGGTACGGATAGTGCTCCCGGGGGATGGCTAGAGATGAGTGGCCCCTGGATCGTTTTAAGCCCCTCGAACCAATCCACCACCATCAGCGCGGTTTATTAAAGGCACGAGACATCTCCTTAGGCTGCCTCATGTCGTCCTATACTGCAGATACACTCCTGAGCTAAGGTCTGAGGTTGCTCTTCCAACTTTGGGGGTTCGCACTCGCACAATTACCTCATTCTTGTTCCATTGCTGCAGCCCCCAACTTCTCACCTGAGCTGCTCTGGAAAGCACGTAGGTAAGGTAGGGTACCTTAGGTATGGATGGACCGTCTGGTTGTCTGGCTGCTCTGCCTTAACATGAGGTACCCAAAACAGGTACCTTGTCGCCCAATGATACCTTACCTTACCTCACCGAGGGGCCGTGCTCTGTGTTGTCCCCTCACCACCATGTCCATGCAGTGTTTCGAGCAACTCTCTGTCAAGATTTGGTGTAGTTAATTATTGCACCTTGTTGCCTCATTCTTTTCTCCCATTGGCTATATGCTTGGCCAAACTTGCCATTGTGATCTTTAACTGCTTCCACGGAGTATCGACCTCTTCCAAGCTACGGTGGTATACCAGCCGCAGGTCCATCTTCCTTGGGCAATACGCTCTTGAAGTTGCGCAGTCTTACCAGTCTACCTGGGTGGACATGGAAGTCTTTTTGGCGAATGCACCCACAGCCAATAAGCTTTTGGTCAGGCCCCAACACCAATGAGCTGTGTCCATGTAGCCTTCGTTGTTGCTCCGGTACCCCAAGACCCCTGATGGACCGGTGGTTGTTGTAACCTTCATGAACGGAGAAACACTATGCGCCATCCTAAGTAGTACTATGTGGCAATGTGCACTCGTTGCAGGGTACATACAGAGCCTCCTTCTTACCTATGTCATATCAATCTCTAGAGGTCAGCCGCGGAGAAGCCAACTGTCAGACCACATGAGAAGGGGGAAGGCAGGTACTACCGTGTCAACCAACAGACTCGTGCGTTTGTAGAGACACATTTTCGTCATCTACCCCGCGGATTAGACATCGCGCTTCTGGAGAATATCTTCGGCCCCTTCTATGTTCCTGTGAGCGGTCCCTCTACCCTCCACATGAGAAACGTTGAGAGACACCGATATCTCTACAGGCTGTTCATTAGAGGAGACAACAATAGCGTGTGATCCTAAGCACAACACGGGCCAGTATATGAACAAAACAATTTCATACGCGGGAATTAGGCAAGCTAGGCAGACACAAGAAAATTCTACTACATATGTTCACAAAGGATACATTTCCCCATTCTACCGCAAATGCTTGACTGTTGATACACGGTTCATTCGGCCGCTATAAGACAGGGCTAAATCCCCATTTATACCCGGAGGCCAAGCTCCTCAGCGTACGGCAGAGCGAACAGGTCACCCACTGCCGCAACACTGGCCTTACCCTCCAGGATCGTCTTCGTCGCCTGTAATATGATGGTCAGCGCCTTGTTCGTGAAAATGTGTTAGAAATCTCAGTTGACTTACCGCCTTGAGCTTCTCAGCCGTAACAGACTCGATAGACTTGATAGCCTCAGTGGCGTCAACGGCCTTGCCGCTGTGGACGAGGCTGGATCCAGCAAGGAGGATGCTACCGCTGCGCTTCTCGGAAGCCTCAAGGGCATCGAACTTGGCCTTGGCAATAGCCTTGGTCAGGTCCTCCTTGCTGACGGTACCCTCGGCGATGCTCTTCAGAGCCTTAGCGGTCTCTTGGGCAGCACCACGGACAGCAGAGGCTGAGCCAGCGAGCTGGATGGTCAGGAGGCCAGCGTCAGAGTAGGACAGGTTGACGGTTGAGGTGGACAAGCCCGGAACAACACCAACAGCCTTGTTGATCAAGCTGAAGCCAGTGGACCACTTGATGTTGGACTTGCCGCCCAGCAGAGCCGCAAGTACGGCCAGCTCAGGAGAAGCCTGGCCAGTCGTGGCACCGGGGAAAGCAATAACATAGGCGTTTCCAGAGGGGCTGTAGGTACGCTGCTCACCACCGAAGTACTTGGTGGCGGCGGTGTTCAGGGCCAGCTTGCCGGAGGAGGCAGAGGGAACCGACTTGAAGAACTGCTCAGCCCACTTGCTGACGTTCGCGGCGGAGGCACCATCGGCGACAAGGGCGATGTTAGACTTGGCGAAGGCGGCCTGGGCGAAGTCGGAAACGGCGTACTCGCTGAGGTAGGGCTGGATAGGGATCGAGGGCGTCAGGTTGGAGGGAGAGCCGAGGCCGGAGTGGAAAGCAACGGAGTGGGCGGAGTCAAGGGCAAGAGCGGCAGCGCTGGTGCCAGACTGCTTCAAGCGGAGAACAGGCTGGACCTCCTCGTGGAACTCGTGGGCTAGATAAACGGTCAACCAACCATGCCACAATCTCACATGTATTTGCGAGTCTCACTGGTGTACTTGGTCTGGGAGACGACCTCGGCGAGGAGTTCCGTGAAGTAGGGAAGGTCATCGCGGAAAAAGCTGGCCTCGAGAACGAGGGCTTCGCGGGTGTGGTATGCGGTCAATTGGCTGCCGAGGAGTTCAGACTCGCGAACGATACGCAGACCAGAGCGTTTTGTCGTGTTCTACTCGTTGAAAATCGTGTCAGCGCAATGTCTACGTAGAAAACATTCCAAGGGTTGGGAACAGGTCGCATCGTACCTTGAAGGCGAAAGACTCGAGGCCAGCGGCCAAACCGGGAAGAGGCTGGTATCTCGTACCGGCCTTCGCCACGATAGCCAACTTGGTCGTAGGGCCCTGAGAGTCTCTGGCGGCAACCTTGACACCACCAACGTCGGCGGTCTCAAAGGCGCCGGAGCCAGCAGCAGCGCTGGCGAACCGGCGACCCGAGATTGTGCGAGCACAGCTCGAGTTGCGGAGGGTCTGCTGCGCAGCCCTCGTGAGGGACGGTCTAGAGATCATTGCGATGATGCGGTTGCCGACAATTGGCAGATCCAGTTTCGTGACGCTCAATTCGTCGGAGCTTCAACAAGAAAGTGCCTCGTTCACATCCCGACCAATTTTCGATCCATCGAACGAGGTTAGCTACGGGTCACTCGTAGCGTCACGTGATAAAAAACTGCCTTATCCCCGAACCTCCAATGAAAGCCCGTCTGATTACCTGGCACAGGGGCCGAACACTCCACTCTGCTTCCTCCATCGCCCGTAGCTTGCCTTAGGTAATCAAAGTGATGAGTCGCAGAATCCGTGAATCCCAGGTTTCCGACATTAGGTGGTGAGGCTGGTGTCAAGCCACAAGCCACATGCCATGGTAAGCACCCGCCATCCCAAGACTCAATTAACGTCTCAATTTCGGGCCCCATTCGAGCATCGCAGATCCATTCTTACCTAAGTTTTTGGTACTGCACCTCAGAGGTTCTAGTCACGCCTTCCATCCACCTGGAGCTTCAGCCTCCATGACTCTGTCGGTGACTCGGCGCTTTCCATCGACTTTGTCCCCCACCCCGCCTTAGGTGGCCCGCCGCTCAGAAAAAAAGTTCCCATACTTTTATTTCAGTCCCTCCACCACTTGAAGACCGCGACCCTCAATACGACAAAATCATTCGTGGCCAAGTGCTTTGTTCAATACCCAGCACACGGCACTGTATTATCTCAATGACTTCTCGGTAGCTTGTGTGGCAGCTCTAGGGATATTGAGAGGATCTCTAGAGTCAATTGATTCCTGAATCCAAGTTTCGCCATGTTGGTGGTAGGTTTCGCATCGCGCTGATCAAGCTGAAGTCATAATCCCTCTAACTCCTCCACCAGACCAAGCATGGCGCTGAGCTATGCGCTCACCTCGTCAACGATATATGCGGCGAGCTACCTGCAGTAAGTATTAAACACTATCTCCATGTCTCACACGGCGCAATATAATCGCAGCCTCTACACATTATGTAGCCTCAACAGGTCATGCTAACAAATGCTCTTCTTCCAGCGAATTCTAGCTGTGCTATTCAGCAAGGGCAGATCTACCATTGCTCAACTTATCCAAACCACTGGTCTTACTCCGCGGCAGCTGCGCCATGGCCTAGCCCTCCTCGTTCAGCAAAGCCTCATTTACCACGAGTCCGACTCCAATAACAAGATCGGCACGTATGAAGCGAATCCCGATGGATGCTACAATATTATCCGCGCTGGAAAAATAATCGAGATGGTTGGCACCGAATTCGGCCCCGCGGAACAGGAGATTGTACAAACTATTATGCAGCTCGGCCACGCTCGGGTGTCGGATCTCTTACAGGCTTTCGAGGGGAGGAACGGGACAGGTCTCAATGGCGACCATGCGACGAATGGCCATGTCAATGGCAACGGCTCTAAGGCAAAGGTCAACGGGCATGGGCCGTCGCATGCGGCTCAGGAGCTCCACGCTGTCTTGAATCGGCTAATTGTGGCGGAAATTGTTGACCAGGTTGGGCCCAAGACGTTCAGAAACCCTGAAGACGTTTACCGCGAAATCGAAGAGGAGGTCACCAAAACGGCCCCTGGCGAGCGAGCGACAGCACGGAACAAAGAACTCATGCAAACAGAAGTTTCAAAGAGACTCCGAGAGGCACGCGACGAGAGCAAAAAGTTGAAGCGACAAGTCGGACGAGGTAACATGTTTTCGACCAAGCGGAGGAAGCTTGCCAATGGCAAAGGAGCAAGAGAATCCGCAGACTGGGATGAGGATGTACCTGAGATCGATGTGAGTCTTCATCTGCACGAAAAACTCTTTTCCTCTTCCCTGGCTAATCACAAAGTTTAGTCGCACATTGTTCTCAGGGTCAACACCGAGAAGTGTCTCGTTGAGCTGCGAAACCAGAAGCTAGCCCAGTACGCAGCCGATGCTTTTGGAGAAGTCACCGGCCTTGTATACCACACGGCTTTACGGCTGTTGACGCAACAGGTGTCCCGTTGTCAGTTGGATCCGAGAATCGACTCTGATAACGACGCAGACGGTCCAGGCTCAAACTCACGCCAAGCCACTGTGACCAGTCTGGAAATACTCGAAAACCTTGATGAATCCGTTGACGTCTCTCATGGAGTTGGAAAGGCTTCTGCGGATCAGATTGACGTTCGCAGTGCTGAGAAGGTTAGAGCCACGCCAGGCCAGCCTATGTACGATTCCGACGACTCTGATTATGAACCTCCGATGGCTCCGAGGGCTTCTGCTCGTCCCAACATGAACGGCGCAGCAGATTCGGGCGATTCCGAAGACGAGGGGCCACGGACAGCTTCTGGATCCCGCGAGGTCAGATTCGAAGATGGGCCCATATTCGGCGCTAGCCGTATCGATCAAATGCGGCAGCATTTGCTACTACTCTCTGAAAGCCGTCAAGGATTTCTGCGGCACTGTGGCAGTCAAGGCCGAGGGCAGTGGACCGTCGATTTCAAGCCATTAATCGAGGGTTTTAAACAGACGGAGGTGGATGCCGTCATCGAGCAGTCATTCGGTCGGCATGGACTGCGTTTGACTCGCATTATGCGAGAGAAGGGCAAGTTGGACGAGAAGATGCTCCCATCTCTCGCTCTCATGAAGAAAGGAGAGGTTCAGGGCAAAATGCTTGCCATGCAGATGGCCGGCTTCGTTGATGTTCAGGAGGTTCCCAGAGATGCCAGTCGAACAGCGACGCGAACAATGTTCTTCTGGTTCTTTGACATTGAAAGGACCGAGGCGCAGCTGGTTGATGACTACTACAAAGCGATGCTTCGATGCCTTCAAAACCTGGAAGTGCATCGCTACCGAGAACGCAATATTCTGTCATTCGTCGAGAGAAGGGACGTAAAGGGCAAGGAGGAAGAGGTCATGACTGCAGAACACTACAACAAGTACAGCAAGTACCTGGAGTTGCAGAGCAAACTTCTTGCTCATGTCATGAGACTGGACGAACTAGTGGGAGTCTTCAGAGACTACTAGATTGAGGCATAGAACCGTACACTACGCCTCAGGTGCCACCATCATTGGCATATGCAATGAGCTATTGGGCGAGTGGCTCAAAATTGGGGAGGGCAAAAGGATGATAGATACCCAAAATCAAAAGGAAGCGCAGTTTTTTCTAGGAACGGCGTATCAGCATTATACACAATCTTCCTTAGCTGAAATAGGGGTGCAACTCTCTATTTCATCCAAGTGGACGTTCTGTTCTGACAGCATGACATGATTTCGAGTGAGAATGTACGTTCAATAGGTCGCGGTCAAGTGAATCCATATCTATAGACCGAGCCGCAATCCAGCCCGATCGGTCGAGAACGGTCGGAGCTAGCGTACCGGTCGGTAGATGGAAGCTGCTTCGGCGCGGCGAACCAATCCCTGCCGTGCTAGGCTCCACTTCCCGGTGCTCGGCGATCCAGGGGGGCCTGTCCCTGCAGGGTCAGCAAAAGTTAAGCTGCGAGTTCGGTCCAAAGTGGTTGAGTAAAAATTTCCCAGCTGTCGACTCCAAAACTTTGAATCACCCTCCTCTTTTGAGCTCCTGATATCCGTGCCCCCACGACCTGACGACAGTCCGAACCTCTGGAACCCGCCTTTTTTGCTCTTGTTCAATTGGGATTTCTATAATTTCCCCTTCGCACTTTATCGCAGATTCCTATCAAGATGTCTCCGACTGCTGGTACTGGACGGGAGAAGGAGTCGAACACCGCGCGACTCCTGGGCTCCGGTATGCTCCCTCTTTCTTGCGCCCGCGCATGAAAGCTCGGCGTGCTGACGTTTTTCAGGCTCCGCTGGTATCGCTGAATTGGCCGTCTTCCACCCCGTGAGTCCCGCGAAGAGCTACGATTAGTTAAAGGGCTGTGGGACGAGAAGCTAATAAGAAGCTCAGGTCGACACCATCGCGAAGCGCTTGATGAGCAACCAGACCAAGGTACGCCGGACCGAGCTCCACCCCCCTCCCTTTCCTGCCTCCCGCAAGCAAAGCTTCAACGACATGGGAAAGCTGACACGTTTCCGCATTTAAGATCTCCGGCGTCGAGCAGCTCAACAAGGTCATCTTCAAGGACACCGCCAACGCGACAGCGGGCCGCAAGTTCGTTTCGCTCTTCCCCGGTCTGGGATACGCCGCCGGCTACAAGGTCCTCCAGAGAATATACAAGTATGGCGGTCAGCCCATCGCCAGGGACTTCTTGGCCAAGAACTACGGCGAGGACTTTGAGCGCGCTTTCGGCAAGAAGACTGGCAAGGCTATCATGCACTCCACCGCCGGCAGGTGAGTGAAATTCTCCCCTCCAGGCGCAAAGCTCGGAGACCGAAGAAATCTGTGGGGACAAGAATCGCTTTCTGACGCCGCGAATTTATCACAGTTTGATCGGTATCGGAGAGATCGTCCTCCTTCCCCTCGACGTCCTCAAGATCAAGAGACAGACAAACCCCGAGGCCTTCCGCGGCCGTGGTGTCTTCAGAATCGTCGCCGACGAGGGCTTCGGCCTGTACAGAGGTTGGGGCTGGACCGCCGCCCGTAACGCTCCTGGTTCCTTCGCTGTAAGCACACTCCCATGTCATTTTCATGTCTATGGCAGTGACTAACCTGTGTTTCTTTCCTATCAACAGCTCTTCGGTGGTTCCGCCTTCACAAAGGAGTACCTTTTCAAGCTCGAGGACTACAACAAGGCCTCGTGGTTCCAGAACTTCATCGCCTCCATCGCCGGTGCCTCCGCCTCCCTCCTCGTCTCCGCTCCCCTCGACGTCATCAAGACCCGTATCCAGAACCGCAACTTTGAGAACCCCGAGAGTGGTTTCAGAATCATTTCCAACATGATGAAGAACGAGGGTGCCACCGCTTTCTTCAAGGGTCTGGTTCCCAAGGTAAGACAAGACTATCCAGCAGCTCCCCCTCAAGTCCTTCCTCTATCGACCACCTGCTGACACTCGATTTTCTTTCTAGCTCCTCATGACTGGACCCAAGCTGGTCTTCTCATTCTGGCTTGCACAGACCCTCATTCCCGCCTTCGACGGCATGATTAAGAAATAAACGAAGAAGAAAAGGAGCCTAGACGGTCACAACAAAAAAGAAAAACAAGCAACGGCGTTGGATGGGTAGAACGTGGAGTCTCGGAGCTGAGCCCGATAGATCGTTGGACATGACGAAGACTCGACGAAAGGGTATAGACAAAGATGAGAAAGCGAGGCCTAGCAGCTACCCAAAAAGAAGGTTGGCTTGCGGCCCGGTTAATGTACAACAAAGTAGGGTTCATCTTGATGAGAAAAATCGCCTCTGTTATTAATAAAGATACATATCAAAGTCAATGCCTCTATCGGGAAACATCAAGGCTCTTGGTCCTTGGAGACGTCACTTTCGAACCTGCAAAAGCCCGCATGCTGCTATTTAAAGCTGTCTGTGGGTTCACCATTGCTAGGCAAAGCTCAGCTTGAGGATTAGTATAAGACACTTAATCAGTAAACATAGGCTCTACAGCTTAGCAATGACATTATCTCCCGCAAGCAACCCCTCAACCTCTCGTCCTACGGTAGTCCCCCTCTCAATTGCCCCGTCAATGAACCCTCGCCATCCATCAGCCCAATCGGCGCTCGCGAAGTGAACCCTTCCTTCTGGTCTTTGGAGCTCCTTAAGCCACTTGCTCATTGAACTAGGTCCCCAGCAACTCCAAGTGCCTTTGGCAAGGCTGTCGTTGGTCCAATCATGGGTGAGGTAAGCTGTTACATCGGCTTCGGGTCTGATGTTATTTTGAAAAGTCGTGATCATCTCAGTAGACGCCTTCGGGTCGATATGACGCGCGCCGTAGCCAAACCCGATGCAAAAGTTGCCAGAGTCTGCTTGGTCAGTAGTGCCGTTGTGGTCTGAGAATGCAAAGCACCACGGTGAAGTCCCGTATCCATTCGCCATGGAGAACCACCCTGGTTCAGGCTTCGCAAGCCGGAAATGAACCTTGCTTCCCTTATTGATGTGGCCGGCCTGTATGGCTTCCATTCTGAGCGGTGAGAGTGGCGGGGAGAAGGTTACGTCTGACAGACAGTTCCTTGGGCATATTGTTAGCATCTTAAGTATCCGAGTTGACGAGGAAGCACTTACAAAGGAATAGTTGAGATGCAATACTTGGCCTCGAACCGACGTTCATTCTTCGTGGACACCACAACAGTCGATCCCTGCTGCTCTACCTTCTCAACCACGGCATTGAACACCACATGCCCGCGGTAGTCATCCAGAATCGCCCGGGCCAGCGAGGTCATCCCGCCTCCACCGAGCTTGTACATCCCAGCAAGCTCAAACGTCCCGGCCATAGAGTGGCCCCCCAGGGCATACCAGCGCAGTACTTCGGTGAAACCGCACTCGCTGCCGGGGACCGCGCCAAAGGAACTGATCATGGCGTCGAAGAGGTCCTTGTTATGCTGACTGACATCGAGTTGATCCAGACGGTCTTTGGCGGAGAGATGATCGTACTTCATCCAGAGCGCAGGGAGGCGGAATGGATCGTGGGGATAAGGCATCAACTCGCGGCTAGAGAGACCATCGATCGAGCAGAAGGCATCCGCGACGATTTGGACGGCTGTATTGGTTGCAAGGGTATCGACCAGCCCAGGCTTCGAGTCTTGTGGTGTGTAGAGTGTGTTCTCCACGGCAGCTGTACCTGAAGACGTCTTCAGGTTGGATTGTAGGCCGTATCGATGGATTTCTGTAAAGACGTGGGGTTGGTGCCTGTTTGTCCTCTAGTTAGTCAGCCTGCACCCTTTGCTTGGTGACAACTTGAAAAGACTTTCCAGTGTACCCATGTCCCGCCCATCTCAAAGTCCTCTCCTAGCGCGTTGGCTGTCCATGTCCTACCTCCGATGCGATCTCGGCCTTCCAAGAGGAGAACTCGAGCGCCGGAGTCACGGCTGAGGTTGCGCGCGGCAATGAGGCCGGCGAAGCCGCTTCCAATCACGACTACGTCGTATGTTTTGGTGATAAAAGACTCTGGGGTAGAGTCTACCACTGCTTTTGTAGATAGACCTGTTGTTTCCCCGGACGGAGTCCACAGGTAGCCGTCCCGAGTCGAAGGCATGGTATGAAAGGTGAACAACGGGGTGTAAAGTAGATGATAACCTGTGACGATGTTCAAGGAGTAATTATTAGAGCAAACTCATAAAGACAAGATGTTCCGAAGCCTGACGCCGACTGGAAAGTCAGAGTCTATTTATGCCCATGTCCACCATTCCCATCTCTGCTATCGACGTTGTCGACTACATCGTGGCGGGTGGGGACACATATTTCCTAATTAGGACAAAAAGTGCGAGGTGCGCCACTACATCATGAAGCGCGTAAACGGATGACATTCATCTGCCGAGACCTCCGAATTCGCTGATAACGCTGGTTCTTATTTGGACCATGAAATTTGCATGATTTCTTACTTGCTCCGCTTCTACTCTTACCAATGCCTGGTAAAGTCTGCGGGTTCTCATGTGAGAGTCTGGGCTGAAGTACCTACGCCATGCTTATCGTACCTTTACCCCAACATTGTCTCCAGCCCTCCTTCTTCCATTACATCGATCCAATGATAATTTCTACTCTTTGGTAAGAGATTACCAGAGAAATCTGCGGTGTTCAAGTTGTCCAAGCGCGCCCAAACTTCCTCCAAGATGAGCAACCCATGCCTCACAGGCTTCAGTCGAATCAACTGGTAAAGCCAACGGGTGCGCATTCTTACAAACTCTCTCCACCTCGCGACCTCTTTCGAACTGCCTAGAAACTCAATACCTTCACCGGCAATATTCTCTCTCGAAACTAGACCCAGAATGCTCCCGGCGATGATGAGCGGTAAAAGCTGCGTCGAGACGGTGCCAGATGTGACGGGTATCCCTTCCATGATCTGGAGGATTCTCAAAGCAAGACTGCAAACTCTTTCTACCGGCAGGTTCTTCTCCTGCTCATCGTCATTCAGCCCGGCTTCGTGGTCCTGAACGGCGTGTGTTCCCACTACTTCGGGAAATGCCCTAATCAACTCAAGTAGAGCCGCCAGCCGGTGACACTGCTCCATGGCGATTAGGTGATCCAGAGGCGTAAATACATCCCCGATTTCCGTGATTGAGCTCACAGTCGGCGCTTCAAGCGCTGAAATGCTCTGTATCAAAGCCGTGGCTTGTCGTAGGAGATCCCAGTAGTAGGATGTATCCTGGGTAATGCCGTCTCTCCTTTGGAACATGCCCGGCGAGCTACGCCGCAGAGCTCTCAGTCTCCTCACCAGCGCCGCCGTTTTAGCGAGGTAGATGAACGTGGCTGTTCCGACACCTGTCCAGGGACATGGGTACCTTTTGAGAGAACATTGGAGGTGGCAGAAGACGTCTAGGTAGGATAGGGCATCTGTATCTTGGTCCACGATGAAGGAGCTCATGGCTTCCCAGTACACCATGGATGAGACCACAAAGTCTTGCGTCGCGCCCAATACTCTTCTGTGGTTGGTGGTGTTGAGATGGCTGGATAACATCCAAGCCTTGAACAGTTCCCTCGATCCGTGGAGATGCACTAACCCCGTGGAAGATACGTCGTGCCAGGCCTGTTTGTAAACTCATTAATCATAGACCGCGTGAGAAACTGAATGAAGCTGAGAGAGCGTTGAGAACATACTGATGTCATCCCTAGTAGAATAGTCCCCAGTAGCACGTCATCTTGAATCTCATCTCCAACTGGTCTCCTTACTGTTGGCTTGCGGTAGGTGGAGACTTCAGACCCATCGCTAGGAGGTGGCGTGGGTAGCTGTCCAGCGAGATACGAAATGGCCTTTGTCTGAAGTTTCAAAGGAACAACAACCTTGGACTCTTCGTTTTGGTAGAGGTGTGCGGCGGACATGCTCAACACGCAGTAGAGCAATAGCGGAGACTGGCTGAATAGTCTAGGTACCTCGGAGCGGAATGGATTGTGCAGGGAATCGAAAGAGGATAAAACGTGACAGACTGTAGAAAAGTAGTAGTGTAACAGTGGTGATATCTCTCCCGAGTAGTCCTGAATTGGTGTTGGTGTGATATTGTATATGCTCTTGAAAGCTGATGGCTCCAGGACTGTATCGGGTTCTTCTGTCTCGGCATGGGGAGGCACATCTTGAAGATGCTCAGGTGCCAGGGTGGTTGAATACTTTTCAACCACCGAGAGCCTGTGGACACTTTGGACCGGTCTTGAAGTCTTGCGGCTGCAAGTCTCGGTCGAAGTGCGATCCCAGATTGTAATCCTCTCATACTTGGTAGACCATCTCGCAGGTCTCTTGTACCCGGGGCACTCGGCCCCAATCTTGATACATCTCTGACAACTCGGCTCCTGCTCGTCGCACTTTACTCGCTTTTTATTTACATCCCGACGTCAGAATTGAGTCCCAAAGCTGTCGATGGAGGTGCCAGCTCAGAATCGACTTACCCGTCGCTTACACACGAGACAGCCACCTTGATTGGAAGACCAGACGTTTGTTAGTGAGAGGAACCACCACGATCGATAATGGAGGCCGCGGGTGTGACGCACTTCGAGACTTTTCATTCTTATTCCGAACGGAATAATTCATCGTCATTTAAACAATCGAGATCCAGAACTCAGCTGTTCTGACTTGTGAAGGTTGATACGGAGTATGATGGTCGTCGGCTTGGTGTTATGGGGTTCCCCGCTCTCTCGGAACTCATACGGAACGGTTCGGTGTTGTAGCGCGGAACCGGCTCCGATCACGATAAGAAAGATAAAGGGCATTTGCCATCTCAATTATGGAAATTTCATACAAATTGAAGAGCTGCATGGTTTCGGATAATTGCGTGTCTCAAAAGGAGGCATCACCTAAATGTAAGATTGAACAGAGGTGGGCTCGATTGTATGGACCTCCCGAGCCTGATGTTGGTATGAGGGTTGAGGGATTGGATGGAAAGTTGAGGCAAATGTCTTATTTCCTACTTAAACACTGAGATCGCTGTGTCTAGTCGTCATTCGTTTTCTTCCTAATGGGACTATTCGTCTATAAAGGATGAGGCATAGTCCTTCTATCCTCGAAGGGCAGCAAACATATCCAAACAGAATATCACGCTCGTCGAGGACCGCAAATCCTACGTTTTCTACCTGTGCCGCCTCACACGAATTACAATAACTCATATATTATTAAAGGCTCATCATTGAATAACTAAAGACTGAATGTCATGCTTTCAATGTCAACGGCTTTGTCGCCTTTGAAGCTATGAGTAAGTGTAAGGTATTGTAGCGCGAGCTTAAGACAATCGCTATATTGTGAAAACGAACTTTACCGGCAAATTCTATGTACTTATTTGATTCATCTCAATTGAGTAGCCCAAGAAGTCTGTAAAAGAACAATTCTGCAAGGATCGTATTCTCTTTTGTCCCTCTTATGCTCTATGGTGGAGTCTAATGAAGGTTCGGGGACTAAGGCGGCAACAGCCAGATATCTAACACAAATCTCATGTTATCAGGAGTTATTCTGACATCTAGTCCCTCAGAATATTTATCTTGAAGTGAAAATAGCCTAACTTCCACGATTCATAGCTACACAAACTTCCTTCCGGACACAGTCCCTCGTCGTCCCATCACGATATGATCATCTTGTCCGCCTTGAACCACCACATACGACCATACCCATTGGAAAATTCGGGATCCCGTCCGCTCTCCCATAGACAAGCCAATGAGGGCCGGATTAGTAGTTGGGTCGGTGACGACCAGCGAATACCTGGTGTTGTATGTTTTTTTGTTGATTTTCGTCGTGTTTTGAGGTTTTTGTGCTCCACCACGGACAATCTCACGATATGTCCCCACTTTGCTGCTCACCCCGGCTTCACGACCCACATGTGATATCTTGCTAAACATGCTTTCAACTTGCGGTGAGAAGATCATTTTGATCTCTTTGGGGGAATTTCCGTATGCTTCGTTGATCTTGTATACGGTAGGGTGTTGATAGGAAGTGGAAAGTGACGGGCGTTTGTTTACCCTAGACATGGCCTACACAGTACTTTAAGGTACGGAGTACACACACAGACTACAATGAATAGCACCGCATGGAGCATAATTCAATTGACATGGTGAATGCTGTTCAGTTATTTTCTGCATTGAATTTGATTATCTTGTCCGCAGACCGCAGCTCTCTGCTGCTATACTTATTGCACAACAAGTTGACTAATAAACGATATTCAACCGTCAACGGTCTTACGGGATGTCACTTCCCCCACGTCGCCCACATTACAAACTTACGCTCTCGGCGGGAATCGAACTGTCATTTCTCCAGTGTCTTAGTCAACGATTCAAGTTGCTTCCCCTCCTCCACGATGTTTAAGGGTCTTGGGGTCTTGACCGGGCGCGACTCGTGATCAACCCAGGCGCGGGGGAATCGACTGGGGTTGTTTAGGTACTCGTATAAGAAAAGGAATCATCCCCGCTCTTCCAATGCAGACTTTCAAGCACGAAGATGGATTAGTGGAAAACGAGGCCCGTTCGTCGTGTCGTGAGCAGCTTTGGTTCTCGAGACTTATGTGGACCACAGCGTTCACCAAGTGGAGGGCCTAAACCTGGAAGTTGTCCTTTTTCAGGGTCTTTCTCGAGACAGTGCCAATATCGTCTGTCGAGCGGTCGTGGGAAGAGACGTGCATTGTTGTCTGCTGTCGCGTGCGCACGTGTCTGCAACTTTTGACTCGTCGATCAGTCCATGCAACAATGTGTCAGGTGGTCACGAAAAGGTTGGATCATGTCCCACTGCAACTCCGAATCTGAATTCTTTTTTGGGGGAAAGAGATTTCTGAGATCCGAGGTTGGCGAGGGTCAGGCTGTCACGCCGTGCACATTGCGCAGAGGGTTTGTGGTTGCATTGTCTGGGGTAAAGGCGGTGGTGGCAGGATGAACCCTCTTGCATCTCGAATGGGTCCTGAAGAAATGACGTCGATGTTTTGATGGGCAACCAAGGGCAGGTGCGACAACAAAGCACCGTTGTGGAGCATCCTTTCCCTCTGACGGTTTTCGGCATCGTCGTCAAAAACGGGGCCGTGTACCCTCACGGAACCGTTGGATGGACGTTGCAAAACGCCTGTGCTGGACACGGCAGCGGGATAGCGCGCCCGGAAACGAAAAAAGACACGACAGTTCCACGAGGGTGTGCGAACCGCACCGGCGGATAGTTCGATCCGGGCCGGGACGATCTTCAACGGCTGAAAAGCCTCGAGGAAAGGAAAGTTCCGATTGATACATTGTAAGGTAGTCTGCACTCTGTGACTGTAGACGGGCCTCAATTCGACGAATGCAACGCCCATCATGGTTGTCTTCTATCGGCATACGGGATTGGTTGCAAAAGGTAAGATTTGGGGGCGGTCTCGTATGGTCCGAAAGCCCGACGACACGCCGATGATCCCTTCCCTCGGGACCAAGGGAATGGCCCACAAATCGAGTCAGCAAACGGTTTCACGTGCGTGGTCACTCCAACGAAGTAGATGATGGATTGGACTCACGTTGAGAATAACAAATAGAAGTGTAAGCGATACGTAAAGCGCCTGTGACTTGAGAGGGCCAAGAGCAGCGTGTCGAGCGTGTATTGTCATAGTATGGGATGGATAACGCGGCCGAGGATGGATTGTGTGAAGTTATGCGGCATCCAGTGCCTGCGAGGCGTGGGGCTGAACGGTGGAATTAGAAATGGAATCTGTGAGGGAAGCTTCGGGTCTGGAGTTGAGTGGTCCCTCAATCTCTCTCTGATCTCTGAGCCTCGCTCCGTTCCCATAGTTTTCAGACGCGTACGACGCAGCAGGTCCATCCATAGATCCATACCGAGTGGGTGAGTAACTTCCTCAGCCGCTGAGAAGTGAGAAGGAGGTAATCTGTGTAATCTGTCCATCTGGCAATCGCATTGGACAGCCCGTCCCGTCCGCAGAGAGTTCCCAGATTCCCTTCCCTTGGCTCCCGGAACCCATGCGCCAGAATCGGATAATCCTCATTTCAGGGGCGCAGGACTGAGGACGGAAATCTGTCCCTTGCTGCTCGTCCAGCCGCAAGAAAAGGAGGTCGTGTGCCCCGTCCTGTCTACGGTATCCTACGCGTTCCCCCAAAGGAGGCTCATAAACTCAACCACCATTCATTCAACCTCCAACCTATTCTCAAGCAACATTCGTAGCCCGGTATTCCGTACAGACACTTCATTCAGACCGACCACCTGACACTCCTTTTGTTCGATACAGGACACCACCTACGACTCGACTGACACTCGGCCGCATGACCGTTTGTTGACCCTCCCGCTTCATGCTTGCCATTTCCATCTGCTCTTTTCACTCTTCTATCCCTGGTTCTTGAGGTACTTTACCATACCTTATCTACTGTATCGCTCCTTGCCGTCCAAGCGGGTAGCCGCCTTAGCAGCAAACCGTTCCACGTTCTTCATCGACTTCGTCATCGGCACTGGTCAGCACATTTCCCAACCCCCTTCAATCATTTCATCGCTCTACCGATACGGAGTGCTGCTGTGTGCTGCGTGCTGTATCGACGGGGCTCTGTGCCAAGGCAAAGGGTCAGGTAGATCTGCGCTACTGGGCATACTGCCTCAAACCCGTTAGGTGCTATCTGTACCCTAGGAGAAGATCGGACAGCGGCGTGGACTTTCAAGAGTTCTCCCTCTACCTGTTGCATCCGTTTTCCCCATCGCGGCATCGTCTTTGCTGCACCGTTGCGTAGAAGCATCATTCAGGTGGATTCGCGCGCTACTACTGCGTACGGCCTATGCTCTTTTCGCCCCCTTGGCCAGCTGCACCCTGTACCGAAAGGATACGGGAAGCCTGAAGGAACAAGGTTGGCTTCCATTTGGCTGGTCATCTGCTTCTCATCGGTACCTACTCATCGCAGGAAGACACTTCCATCGAGCCAGGATTCCTGGACATCATTCTTGCCCTTCCATTGTACCTTGTCCCTTTGCTCAATTCGAAAAGTATTGAGAGACATTGACATTGGAATTGATCGAGAAGAAGAAGAGGAAAAAGCAGAGACTGGAATTTGATCTCTGGAATCCTACTTTCAGGATACCTCAATACCTTCCAGAGTACTTTCCCGTCATCAGCTATTCTTGCACCTGTCGGCGGCGATCCACAATTTGCTGCTCAGCGCACAAGCTACAGTACAGCCGAAGGAAAGTGGGACCCCCAGCAATCGGTTTCCTTGGTCTTTCCCAAGTTCACAGGCTTCCTGGAAAGACCGTGTGTCACTGTGCAGCAGGTTGCATCGACGGCATCCACTCTTGGAAAGCACCAACCAAGCCGGACTCGCGCCGCCTGTCTGCTGCTCCTGCCGCAAGCCTGAGTTGAGCTTTGTCTCTTGCAGTTTCTCAGTCGCTCCCTCCCGTCCCTTCCCGCCTCTTTCCCTCGCCCCGTATCTCTCTTGCCTTGCCCTGCCAGCCTGTCTGCCTGGCACTTGCCTTGGCCTGGCCCCTCCCCCTTCTCCTTCCCTTCCTTTCCAGCCCAATCCCATCCCGCGCCCGTCCTGTTCCAGGCCCCTCTGCCCCAGCAGTAACAGCAGCACCAATAGCAGGCCTCGATTTGCTCCCCAATCCCTTTTCCCAGGTTCCCCAAAATCCAACATTGGGACCAAGCACCTGCACCACCAAGAGCTACCTGCTCAGCGGTCCCACGGCCAGCCCGCCCGTCCGCATAGGTAGCTACCCCTTCCCAGTCCCACCAAAGTCTCTCACTGCAGTGCTGCACCAAGGAGTGGATTGGACTGTCATACAACGCTACCTTACCTCACCTTACAGAGTACCTACATGCCGATTCGGCCTACTCGCCGCAGCCAGTAACACGCACCAAGCACCAAGCACCGTCACTTTTTCGATCCGACTCGACTCGACTCGCTGCCCGCCAGTTGTCGTCTTTTAGACATTCTTTTCACTTCCACCCCCCCAACCTTTTCAATTCCTCTTAGAGCGGAAGGGTGCTGTCGCTAATCAGCCCCATAACCGCCCAAGATTCCCTCTTCAAACGGTAGACGTCTCCCGTCCAACATCCCATTGCGGACCCTGCAGTCCCGGCCACATCCAGACCAGCAAGAACAGGCGACGTCATTGCTAGCATCTGATCGGGACGACAACCACCACAGCGCCCGTGACCGTGATCACAACCACACCTCCTCTTCCACCTCCCACCGTCAACACCACAACTTCGACAACGACAAACACAATCACCACGGCCACCCGTCATCAGAGGACTCTCTCGGTTCCGAGTCCGATTCCTGGACCGACACTGGGGACATCGCCGACCTTATCGACGACGAAGACCCCCTTCGCACCCAGCTTCCCAGCGACGTTGATGACGAGCTGCTAGCCGGCGTTCACAAGAGACACCCCTCCCACAAGTCTTCCAAGAAGAAGCGTGTTCGCATCCAAGAGTCTCCCAGCCGCCGCGATAACTCACAAACCCGTCGTGGAGGTGTTAATAAGGAGGCAATCGAGGTTCCCGACATCGCCCAACCTCGTCCGACCCGCGCGCAGCGAGTCATCGGCGCCATCATGCCGGGCGGTTCCTCTATTCACGGCCTCACTGGCAAGGCCCTGATGTGCGTCCTGCCCTTCCGAAATTACCCTTATCGCGACATCGCTTGACTGACAATTCCTCCAACAGCTACTTCACGAGTATCTTCGTCTCCTTGGGAGTCTTTTTATTCGGCTATGATCAGGGTGTCATGTCAGGCATCATCACGTACGTCCAATGCTCTGCCCGCTGCTCACCTTTTTGATTATTATAGCTAACTGATGGGATCAATAGGGGTGTCTACTTCCGTAACTACTTCCACCAGCCTTCCTCGGCCGAGATTGGTACCATGGTTGCCATCCTGGAGGTTGGTGCCTTTATCTCATCTCTGGTCGTTGGCAAGGTTGGCGATATCATCGGCCGACGCAAGACCATTCTATATGGCTCCATGATTTTCTTTGTCGGTGGTGCCTTGCAGACATTTGCCACTGGTATGCCCATGATGATGTTGGGTAGAATCATTGCTGGTCTGGGCGTTGGTGCTCTGTCTACCATCGTCCCTGTCTACCAGTCTGAGATCTCCCCTCCCCACAACCGTGGAAAGCTGGCCTGCATTGAGTTCTCCGGCAACATCATCGGCTATACCACCTCGGTGTGGGTCGACTACTTCTGCGGATTCATCGAAAGTGACATGTCATGGCGTGTTCCCCTTCTGATGCAGTGCGTGATGGGGGCCCTTCTGGGCATTGGAAGCTTGGTCATTGTAGAGTCTCCAAGGTTGGTCTTCTGCGTGCCGTGAATGTTTGTGTGCCCGATCCTGACTTGTGACCAGATGGCTCCTTGACAACGATCACGACGAAGAAGGTATCGTTGTCATTGCCAACCTCTACGGCAAGGGTGACATCCACAACCAAAAGGCCCGAGACGAGTATCGCGAAATTAAGATGAACGTGCTTCTCCAGCGACAGGAGGGTGAGAGGACATACGCTGAGATGTTCCGCAAGTACAGCACCCGTGTCTTCATTGCCATGTCAGCTCAGGGTCTCGCTCAGCTCAACGGCATCAACGTTATCAGCTACTATGCTCCCTACGTCTTTGAACAGGCAGGCTGGGTTGGTCATGACGCCGTCCTCATGGCTGGCGTGAACGGCATCACCTACCTTCTCTCGACCATTCCCCCATGGTACCTGGTTGACAGATGGGGTCGCCGGCCAATCTTGCTGAGCGGTGCCATTGTCATGTGTGTTTCACTGTCAATGATATCGTACTGGCTCTACCTCGACATCACGTACACACCCACATTGGTCGTCATCTTTGTCATGATCTACAACGCAGCGTTTGGATACTCATGGGGCCCGATTCCTTGGCTCTACCCTCCGGAGATCTTACCCCTGAGCATTCGCTCCAAGGGTGCCAGTCTGTCAACCGCAACCAACTGGGCGTTCAACTGGCTTGTCGGAGAAATGACGCCCCTGCTACAGGAGTGGATCAAGTGGAGGTTGTACCTGGTGCACGCCTTCTTCTGTGCAGTCAGTTTCATTGTTGGTAAGTTGAACACTTCGTACACGGGCTGGACTTTGAATGCTAACACACCCACGTAGTATACTTCATCTACCCCGAGACCTGCGGTGTCCGCTTGGAGGAGATGGATTCGCTCTTTGGCGACGCCAGCACTGTCATTGGAACACCGTCTCTGCATGGTCGCGAAAACGACGCCCTCATGCCCGGATCGCCCATTGGGTCCGAATACCGGGGACGGCCCGGCAACTTTACTGCCAACAGCGCCATTCCAGGCCTGTCTCTCGACCCTCCCGACATTCCCGACGGCAAGGGCCAGGATGGTGAGGCCAGCAGCACCATTAGTGGATGGGTCTCCAGAGTTGTTGGTCGCACGCGAGACCAGAGCAGCAGCGGCAGCGGTAGATACGCTCCCCTGGGTAATCAGGATGATTGAGACGAGACCGGCGCACAAGAGAATCAATACGATTAGACGGTACTTTGCATATAGACGGCGGCAACTTTCTCCTCGGTGTCGCAGGCCTCCCGGACTGGATAGTAAAGAAACGGTTGAGCGCCTGGGTTGATTTTTCCTTTCGACGTTTGAGACAGAGGTGGGAAAAAACGAGGATGCCGTACCGGGTTTAAGAGAAGCGTTGCAGAACAAAGATGAGAGGGTCGCCGAACCTAGCGTCTGTGAGCACTTTTGCGTACTTTTTGAGTTGAACGGGAGCTATTTTCATTGGACTGCGTCTGTACATAAAAATTTTGTGCTTATTACCAGCGACTTCTGCATCATTGAAATCAATTATGCAAAAAGAGTGCGGATCAAATTCGTGGCTCGCTCGCGAGCTTGTGCTCAAATGTGCCAATGTTTTCCCACTCCTTTGGATATCCGTCAGATCTAGTGGTATGAGGATCTTTGCCTCTGTAAGTTGCGCCGTCTTCAGCAAAGGTCATCGCATGATAGTCAAAAAATTGGGAACTAGCTGAGGACGAATACGGGGGTCAAATACTGAGATTTGAGGCTGAAGTCCAGCCAATATTAATCACACATTAGATCAATCGTGTTACCCATCCGTCTGCCCCTGATCGACAGAGATGCAAACCCCGCATTTGTCCTACTTGCTTACCTATTCCCCTCGATTTACCTAGCGAACCAAAGAATGTTTTCCTCGTATCCGTTTGTCTCTCTCATCTCACCTACTACAGAGGCCTGGAGAAAGTGTCGAACTTATTACATGTGACCAACGCTCGTCAACACAACGAACAGCAATCTTTCGACAAGAGAGACAGCAGAAAGTTATAGACGAGAGGAGGGAAAAGGAAAAAGAAAGAAAGGAGAAGAAAGCACAACACAACATGACCGCAAAGAAGGAAAATACCCTCAGACTAGAGGAGGCGACATTAGACGACGTCCCCGCGCTGACGGAGACGTGGTTCGCGGCGTTTGCCGGCGACGAGGTGATATCCCGCCTCTGGCCCGATACCCCCGGCGTGAGGGCGTGGTGGGGCGAGGCGAATGGCGGGGATATGGCGGCGAAGCCGTTTCAGCGGTTCGTCAAGGTCGTTGATGTGAGCGGCGTTGCTACCGTGACCGGGACGGAGGCGGCGGAGGGAACGGACGAGGGAGGGGAAAAAGGAGGCAGACCGAGGATCGCGGCGTGGGCCAAGTGGGATACGAGTGTGCCGGCCGAGAGGGGCCGGCGGTATTCTCCTTGGGCGGGGGATATGCCTTCCGAGGTGTGTGATTTGTTTTTTGCTAGGGAGGAGGCGGAGAGGGGGCGAGTTATGGGTGATGAGAGGCATTATTGTGAGTTATTCTCGTCCGTTCTTGTTTGTTTTCTTCCTTTCTCTCTTTCTCTCTTTCTCTCTTTCTCTCTTTCTCTCTTTCCCCATTTTTTGACTTACACCTCGTGGGCGTCCTGTGATTTTTGAGATACTGCCCTACATATGCAGGTACTCTCGATGAGAGTATCGTGTTGACTGATGGTTACTGACGAATGCCTGGGAGGGATATTTAGATCTCGACACGCTTGTAACGCATCCGGACTACCAGCGGCGGGGCGCGGCGTCCATGTTGCTCGCGTGGGGGTGTGCGCTTGCGGATGAGCATGGGGTCGCGGCGTATGTTGATGCTAGTAAGGCGGGCAAGGGGCTGTATGAGAGGTTTGGTTTTGTGGATGAGAGTTTGGAGGGGGATGGGGACGTTGCGTCTATGGTGAGGCGGAGGCGATGATGGTCTTGAAGGTGGAATCTTGAATTCTTAGGATGTTGTTGTAGACAGGGTAAGTTTTACTGCCTCCTAGCGAGACTTTGGAATCTCACGCCGCATAGATTTGGGTATCGTTGTGCAGTACCGGTCAAGGTACCACTCTATTTGTCATTCGTAAAGTTGAAAGACGGCAGAAGCTGGCGTGTACACGCCGTCCACATCACCACTACAGCTGTGAAAGGGCGCTGATTGGCAGGGCCCAAACACCAACTCATGCATCACTCACGATACGTACAAACACCGAGAGAACTTACAGAATGTGTGATTCACTCAACCGGATTCCGACGATGCCTCAAGACAGTGTCACCCGGGATGCCTCAGGTAGAGCTTCCGCAATCACCGCCCAGGACCCTTATGAGGAGTAAATCATGCTCAGTCCTCAACAACAAGTCCTGGGCCGTATGGTCGAGGGGCGAAGGCCGTGAAGTGCTGACTGGGATGGTGATGCTCCTATCCCTTTCAGGACTCCTGCATTCAACCCTCGGTCGGTCCATCTTTTTTTCTTTTTCTTTAATTTTTAAAAATGCCTGTGTTGAGACCGACATCTCTGAGAACTGGTTGTTGACCTATGTCGATGCCGCCACCGGCTCTAAGGTCCAGGGGTTGCAGGAGCGAGCGCAGACTCGCAGGCAGAGCTATACCCGCTGATTTACCAAGACGTGAACATCGAGAGTCTCCTCAGAAACATATGAGAACGTATAAATTATGATATCTGTAGGGTTTAATTAAGTAGTCGCTATATGGAGATCTAGCCATATACAATGTGTTTGGGACCGGCCAATAGCTAATTTGGTCCAGATATACTGGTGTGAACAGAACCGGGAAACGATGAAAGAATGGCAAGATGACTTGAACTACAAAAGGTTATCAGATAATTGAAAGGTATGGAGCTCCTTCTGGTCCACGTAAGATGTGAATTCATGGTAGTCGTAGGTGAGCCCGACCCAGTTTTCACCCGCCTGATAAGACGAGGAAACAGCACGAACGGCCGGGTATTCCATTCCACACATTCAAAGCGTTTAATCATCAACATAAAGAAATAATTCCTATGAACTGAAACCACCTATCTTGGTAAAAACTTTCTTCACCAACGGCGCCGCAACGGACCTCGACGTCCAGCGGAGGTGGGCTTAGAGCCAATCACGGACCCGGCGCCGGAACCTTCTAGCTCGAAGTGGGGCCGTTTGTTCACTGCACTCCATCATCCGCAGCATCATTAAGCAAACGTAGAACGACTCATCTTCATCACTTCTTCATTTCGCATCCTTGATACCCAAACGGTCTTTGCGCAACGAGAGATCACCACAGAGGGAAGGTCTTACCTAGCTACCACGCATTATAATATCCATCACCCAAACTACCCACCGGAAAGGAGGAACCCCTCACCAGTGCCAAACGACCCCTCCAAAACACCCCCACCATCGTCACCACCAGTCTCATCAGCAAACCACTAAAACACTTAAGAGACACAAACGAGAACAAGATAGTAAAGACCGCACACAATGTCCCACTGCCACGACGAACACCACGACCACAGCCACGGCGGCCACGGTCACGACGAGCACGACCACTCGGACGACATCACGCCCGCGCTGCAGCACTCGCTCTACGGTCACATCAACTTTGACGAGGTGACGGCCCTCAACGAGGCGGCCATCGGCAGCGCGCGGGCCGTCGTCAAGAAGACGTGGGCCGAGAGGCTGGACGCCGAGCCCGAGGTCGTGAGCGACTGTGATGAGCAGTTGCTGGTTAACGTTCCGTGAGTGAAAGGCTGTTTTATTCATGTATTCGACTCCCATCTGGTCTTGTCTCATCGAATGTGTTTGGGTCTATCATGAACATGAGAGAATGTGATATGTCATGCTTTACATTTCATATCTCACTCTTTCCATCCATATTATTCGTTACGTATACATACACACACATGAAACCCATCACCAACACCTCATCCGCCAAACACAACTAACAAACCCAAGCTTCACCGGCCAAGTAAAACTCCACGCCCTCCTCCTCCGCACCTCCGACTCCCCCTCCGCCCCGCGCACCCTCAAACTCTTCATCAACCGCGACGACCTCGATTTCGCCTCCGCCGAAGACGCCCACCCCGCGCAGGAATTCGAGCTCTCGCGCACGGGGCAGGTCCAGGAGATCCCCGTCAAGCGGAGCCTCTTCGGGCGCGTCCAGCGCCTGACGCTCTTCTTCGAGGACAACTTTGGCGACGGCGACGAGGACGAGACGAGGGTGTCGTATCTGGGGTTCAAGGGCGAGTGGATGCAGCTGGGGCGGGCGCCGGCGAATATCCTGTACGAGGCGGCGGCGAATCCTAGCGATCACAAGGTCAAGGGCACGGGGGTGAACGATGTTGGGAGCGGGATTGGGGGGCGGCAGTAAGCTGTTTCCCTCTTGGGGCAGGACCACGGGTTGCGAGATGAAGCCAAAAAGTGAGAGGGCTCAAACGGGGTTTATTGATAGTAATTTGCATCGAGCTGAGGAACAGCTCATCATCTCAAAAAAAAAAAAAAGGGGGGTATTATGGTATATCTCCGACACGACCGTAGCATGTATGAAAGACACAGGCGAAAATCTCCAATACAGTGATCCAAGGTGGATCATTTGTTCCCATATCACAGGTCCCCTTAGAAACCAGATTTTCTCTTCTTCTTCTTCCCCGGCGACCGCATCCCGTGCCTCCCAGCCATGGGCTGCGACATGACGAGCGGCATCTGCGACGAGAAGATAGCCTGCGAAGACGGCACGGGCGGAAGCTGGCTCGAGCCGATAATGGGCGGTGCCAGCTTGGGAAGAGGCTGCGTTGCCGGCGGCAGCGCAGGCGCAAACTCCAACCCGGTGTTCGTCGCCGTCTGCATCTTCGTCTTCGTCGCGGGCCCGGGCCCAGGCCCGAATGACTCGAAGACGTCGTCCATCTCGCTCGTTCCCCACCCGTGCTGCGACGACGCGCCGAGGAACTGCGACTTGCGCTTGCGGCGGCGCGATTCGGCGCGGTGACGGCGCTCGTTGAGGACGTCCATGTGCTTTGTGGAGGAGGCGAGGACGGAGGAGACGTAGCCTTCTGTGCTGACGCCGCGGGCTGTGGGCCAGTAGGCGAGGACTTTGTGTTGGCGGGCGGGGGGTTCTGCGGTGTTGATATCTTCGGCGAGCATACTCAGGCGCTGGAGAGCCGTGGTTGCGATTGTGGTGGGTGCGGGTGTTGTTGGTGTTGGTGGTGCGGCGTCGGGGAAGCTCGAGGAGGGGGCAGCGTCGGAGGACTGGGAGAATAGGGGCCCCGAGGAGGGAAAGGGGAATGATGAGGGGGGAACGTTGTCAAACGGCTGGGAGCGGGCGCCTTTGGAAGGGGAGAAGGATAGGCGGTGGCCGAGGGCTTGGACGCGTTTGGTTGGCGATAGAGAGATTCTCTGGCTGAGGGGCTGGCTTAGTTTGGTAGGGGAGAGCGAGAGTCGCTGGCTGGACGATAGTTGGCTTCGCTTGGCAGGCGACGATGAGAAGCGCTGACTCGACCGCTGGCTCGGCTGCCGGACTGGTAGTGGTGGAGGTTCGGGAACCCAGGTAGGGGACTCGTCTTCTCTGGTCGGGAGGTTCGCGTCGAGTACGGCCACACCGAAGAGGGATCTGGCGATGGCTTCGGCCGTCTCTGCTAGCACGACATTCCGTGATTGCTGTGCTCTAGGCGGGAGGCCCACTGGACTCCACGTCTCCTCGAGCTGGTCGCGGATGTCTGCGAGGGGTGACAAAGTTTCCAAGCCGTGCAAAAATTGCGTTGTGAGAGGTTGTGCAATGACACGATCGGTCTGCGCGTTCATCATCTCCTGGAAGCGAGAGTCCCATGCTGCTACCGCCTCGTGGGATACAGGAGGTGCCTCAAAGGTATTTTCGTATTCGTGCCTGACACTGATGAGTGCATGGAAGACGTGATGGGAAGATCCAAACTTACAAGGTGTGCAACGGGATGTACCCGCCCTCGGTCTCGAGACAGTTGACGGCTGCTTCCCGTATGGCCTCGAATACAGACAGAGGCCCCTCAATGGTAGCTTGCTCCGATGCCATGATGACCGACTCGATCGAAACATTGACGCGAGATATGAGCTGGTCCAGGTTCAGACCCCTGGGCCACCGCTGCTTAAGCTGTGCTTCCTCTCCTGCCTGCCCACTCTCCATGAGCTCCTGGTACCGATTGGCGCGGCGCTGCACCAGCTCATCCATATCACCCAGGCCATCGGGAACGACAAAAGTGCCTTCAAAATGCTGCAGGAACTGTCGTCGCCTCTTGTTATGCGCCTGTCTGCGCCCGTCTCTCGACCACTCGCGACTGCTATCGGGAGCCACCACATCGAGATCAGGGCCGGCCGAGATCGCAAAGAGGCTCTGGTTCAAGCTGAGGTCCCTGCCAAGAACGAATAACTGCTGAAATCGTATGTCATGATTGAGGTACTCCAAGCCTGGGCCCTTTGCCACTGTAGGAGAGGGGTTTCTCAGAAAAGCCGGCACTGGACAAAGAGTCTGAAGCTTCGTCGTATCGCCCGTGAGCTTCATAATATGGTGCTCAAACTGTGGCAATCCCGTGTCTTCAGGCGCGTAGAACCAGTATACATCTACCTCTGGTGATCTGTCAGAGTAAATAAAAACTGTGCATTTCTCGTTTCCTGCCTCAGAACCGCCGTGATGCACGGTGAGCCTGAGAGCGTCGGCATCTGAGCTCCTGAGGTGTGCAAAGGATTGCAGAATGGAGAGTCCGCCTGTCTTGTTGGCTGTCGTCCCTGAAGACGACGTCTCGATCCAAAAGAAACCCGAGCTCGTGAGGATGAAGATCTGACTCCTGTTCAACGGGTTTGGTTTCACGTCGAGAATGTAGTCTGGCTCGTCCGTTTTGAGTATGACCAAGCTCTTTCGAAATGTCGAATCTTTGATATCAACAACCTCGAATTTTGCGCGATTCCAGATGACGAGCTTCTTGGACCTCGACGTCAGGGCAGCTAGGTCGTTTCCTGCGTCGACATCCTGCCCTTCGGGCACATCCCAAAGATCAACACCCGGGCCGGCCGCGCCAATCCACATCACGCCATGCGGCTCTGCGCGGAAAGCCGGCGAGTCCTCGTCGGGGAGCTGCTCCGTAACACCCAAGTGAATGTGGCCACAATAGCGGAGCTTTGGACGCAAGCCGCTGGATCCCACCATGTCTCTCCCCTTGACATCCCAGACACTGTAGTAACCGCACTCGTCTATAATGGCCAGCTGAGGCGGCTTTTTCTGCGAGCCATAGCTGAAAGACACATCAGAATGCGCAAACCCTCCAGTCTGCTCCGAGGAGATGGTGAGGACGGGTCTCGGATTGATTCGAGATGGGCGCTCGATAGCCTGGTCAATCCCCGACGGGCGTTCCGAAACAGGAATCTTGTGGTAATCCGGCTGAAGGATGGTAGTCGAAGTCCGTTTCTGCACCAACAGCCACCTCGTGGGCTCGAACCGTACCAAGCTCAGCGCAGGCTTGATCTGCAGAATCGGGGCTCCATCGCTCGACCACAAGACAGATTCTTCCTTGTCGTGGTGGTCGATGCTCAACATGCGAAGCGTTGGGCTCTCGTTCTCGCCCCATTGCCAGTTTGTCTCCTCAATCTTGGACAGACGGAGGAGCTCACCCGATTCGCCGGCAGCCGTGGCCAGTACGGGGACGGGCACGACCCGCGTGTGGTTGGTGACATCTGCCATCTGACTGATTGTCATAAGTGGCTGAGTCGTCGGCGCGGCATCAGGGCGCATGAGCTGAGCGAGTCCTTCGTACAGAAAGCTGGCAGCCTCGGAGCTGCCCGCGAAAGCCTCTGGGTGAGCGTTGAAGAGCCATCGTCTTTGCACTCGCTGGGAATCCCAAAGTGTTGTAGAAGGCGCCAGCTCCGTAGAGCGAGAGGCAGGGTAAAGGGTCTCAGGAGCCTGTATGATCCGAAGGGCTTGGGCTATTCTAAGGTCAGCAAATGTGAGAAGCTATATCCGGCCCGATGCACCCGCTCACCTTGACCTGGCACCCGGCTCAAATGCAGTTGAGGTGGTCCATCTTCAATTCCTTCATGAGGAATAATAGTGATTTTTGGGGGGCCATATAAACGGCTGGTCTCTTCCCGTGGGTCAGCCATTAGACCCGTTCGTTTCCCGTAAGTCTAAGTAGTGTATTCGTGGGAAACTGGGCATATCGTGAGAGAGCGGTGGGGTGTGCTTCATCATGCGAAGAGAGATGGAAAAGCCTGGCGGGCTATGAACGATTCGTGGTCATGCGTGGAGAGGTGCCTAGATAGTAGTATGGAAACAACAACAATGAGGTACGCAGCCGTCAGAAAACATGAGCTGACTGTTGCAGCAAATTCGAGGTCATGACGATAAAGCAAAGAGTGAGACAACCTAGCGACGGAAGAATAAGACTGAGCGGACTAAGAAGGTGAAAAAGTTCGGTCAGTCGCGGCTTCACACAAAAAAAGATGGGCCCCATTTCCGGTAGTTGCCCACTTTAGCCCAGTCAACCCCTGCCATTAGTTCGCCCGGCGCGTCGGGGCCACTCTTCAGACGCGTTTTCCTAATGGGCAACTTCGGCCCCTGCCGACTCTCTACCTTACTCTGTACGGAGTCCAACTAAGACACCCACCTCAAGCACCTCAGAGGCTGTCGTTACTCACTGAAGTTGATTGGCCCCGCTCCCGTTAAACAAAGCGACGTCCATTCAATGACCTTCATCTCACTCATACAACCTCGCAATCAGCAATAAGAATTATACGAAAATGCCCGCCGACGACCGAAGCGGGAAGCAAGCCGCGGCCCAGCAGGCTGTTGACATCTTGCATGAGATCTCTACCATCCTCGTCAGTTGCGACGCCCGCCTGCCACCACCCTCTCAAAATCGCACTCCATGCTAACATGACCATGTGAAAAGAACTGCCACCTGGACCGCCGCACGCTGTCGATCTGCATTTCCATGATCGAGAATGGCGTTAACCCAGAGGCCCTTGCCGTAAGGATAATACACCTGACCCATCGAACCCGAAGTAGATGTGACACTAACTTCTTGACAGACCGTCGTGAAGGAGCTCAGAAAGGAATCCCAGGAGGTCGACGCCCAAATTGCATCGCGGAGGCGTCAATAAGCGTGTTGTATTGAGATGGGAGAGTCTGCTATGAAAGTTACGACAATGGGCAAGGAGGAGGATGATTCATGGACAGGAGGCGTTTCAGGCATTTTGCATAGCTTATCATTTTCAAGTTTTGTCTATTATGGAAACGTAAATAAGGCCCAGTTTCCGAGGGCTATAAGAAACAACCCAGCAGTGCCATCCGAGGCTGACAAACTCTGCTATCCTAAGAACGCCGACTAACCCTTACCCAACCAGCTAGTAATATGCCCACGATGACCTTGACGACCCATATGTCCAAACCATGCAATCATCGCAAAAACCCAGTACGCCAATCTTATATCCGTCTCTTGCAGATGCGCCTCATCGTTTAAATCATGATTGCATCGTAGCCGAGGTTACCGATGTCCGATGAGCATGATCTCGTTCTCATAGTCATCATCATCGTCATCATCCTCTCCCTCCGAGTCTTCTTCGTCCATGTCTGTCGACATGGTATCGCTGTCCGAGTCACCATGGCCTCGTCCCCATAAATTGAGAATGTCATTCTCTGATTCGTCTTCTTCTTCCTCAATGGCAGCATTTGGTGCGTTTGATGGTGGCATACCAGGTGTGACTGCTGGCGAGGCTGACCTGGCAAAGCGATCCAACATTAGATGACGTGCCTCGGGACCAGCATGAGACGAATGTCGTCGCCTGCCGACCTGCGGTATGTCCATTCCTGCCGGAGCAGCCGCTGCTTGTGTCGTTACGGGGGTAGGAAGCGCAGGAGATAAAAGAGCCGGCGTGACTGCTGCCGGCGTGACGGGCACGTGATTGGCGTGTGTCGCGTGCGTCTCTTCTCTTCCGCCGCTGATCTGAATTTCTACCGTGTTGTAAGAAGTGCAAATCGCGCACTTGAGACCGAGCCAGTGGTAAGGGACGGAACTCTTCCCGCTACAGTCGTTACACAAGATTGTGGCGCGGGTGTCCCTGAATTCAGGGGGCATTGGCTGGGCAAGTATAGCCAGCTCTAATTGGCGGAATTGGCTCTGCATGTTGAGCAAACTCTTGTTGCAGATGGGACATTTGTATGATCTCAGCATGTGCTCGTCGTAGCACTTCTGGTGAATGCTGTGACCACACCCCATAAACACGACTGGCTTGGGAGATGTAAACATGTACTCTCCGCAAATAGGACAGTCACAGTCCGTTGAGCGCTCGATACATTTGTGTGACTGTTGAATAGATATCGAGATGCATGCGCAACATTTCTAAAGCACATGTTAGCGGACGTCAAAGAAACGCTCTAGCTTCAGATTATTCAATTACCTTGCAATGGAAGAAGTCTTTCCCGATGCCTCTTCCTCGTCGGCAAATACCGCAGTCGTTACAATGGTAAATGGGATTGGATGGATGGTCATCCCACAATTTGCACATGTTGCAGTAGTAACGGGCTGCAGTCTCCCCGCAGTTCACGCAAACGTCTGATGCTTTCTGAGGCGTGGCGCAGAGCATGCAGAGCATGTTCTTGGTTTCCTTCCTGACAAGAGTGTGATCCTCGACTGCGTCATGGCAAAAACGACAAGTATACCACTTGGCGCAAGTCGAGCACTGCAGCTTGACATTGCGGCGGTAATGTTGGCAGCCAAGAATCACAGCACCCTCGGGCTCTTCTCTTGTAGCAAGCTTTGCAGCCGCGTACGTCGGCCGAACATCATCGGCGGTAAGAATAAACTTTTCTGGCGAGGACGGCTCTCCTATCGCATGTTGCCAGAACTTTAACGACTCGAGAGGTGCAATCGGGACTGACTGTTCCCATGCTTCCCCTGCTGCTATCACGCTGGCTGCCGGCGCATTACCTTGGCGGGGAGTGTCTCGAGATTTGCGGTAACCCTCCATCAGAGCCTCATGCATAAGTCGGGCCTTGTCGTCTGCTGCGATATCTTGTGACTGGATGTCGAGTAGACGCTTTCGCATCGCACCCATGCCATCGTCGGCGGGCAGAGATTCCCGTGTTGTAGGTGGCATCGCGGCCATCGTGTATGATGGGGGGCTCTGAACTAGGGGAGCCGGAGACTGAGGTTGCTCGTCGTCGACGGTCGGCGGTAGTGTCGCAATGTCGAGTGATCGTGCCGGAGTGGGTTCGGGTGGCGCAACAATCGCATGCCGAGTTGCGGGACTATTCACGTCGCTCGGGACGGCGACAGGGTCGGACGAAGAGTCTCGTTCGGAGACAAAGGTTGATCTCGAGATCTCTGAAAAGCGTCGAGCTTGTCGGAGGACCGGGTTGATGAGGAAGTCGGACACCAGAGACGACATTGAGAGGTAGGAGGTATCGGCGGAGATGTGAGTCGGGGGACCGAGCCGGATTTGTAGAAGGTGACGCGCAGCAGGGGAGGTCTGCTACATCCAGGGCGACAAGATCGAGGGGAGGGGAGGCGAGGATTGGATGGTCGGGGCACCGCGGGAAGGATATTTGAAGTAGCGGTGGTAATGGTGGTCGGAGTGGTGGTGGTGGTGGTGGTTGTAGTAGTGTGGTGGTGGTCGGTGGTGCTAGATGTGGTACGGGACCGGACGATTGGATGCAGGAGCGATGACATAAGACGGGCGAGACCCCTAATGCAATCCGCTCTTTCTCGTCGGCGGCGTCGGCGGAGACGGTTCAGATCCAGAATGGTGGACGCAGTGGGGGTTTTCTTTTGGAAAGAGAAACCTGAGGCTTGCTCTGAGTCCAAATCAGGTGTCAGAGAGTATCTGGGACATGTACATTTGCACCGCAATGGGGCGATTGTTAGCAACGATTGTCTGTGCCGACAATGTGTTATGGATCAGACCGGGACCAGCCAAGGAGGGGGGTAACCGTACGGAGTGAACGAGAGAGTAGGGACGAAAAAAGACATGTGATGCAGCTGTCTGGCGTTTCCGCATGCGGGCTTCAGCATGCTGCAGAGTGAGAGAGAGGCTTGACTCGGCGGGGCATATGGGCCGCGCCCAGGCGATGGTGAGTTAGATTGGTGACTGGTCCAGTGTCTGAGGTGAACCGTGAGAGAGAGGTGGGCAGAAGCAGTGACCCCCTTTTCTTTTTTCCCCTTCTCTGAAGAAACACCGCGATGGCGGACTCCCGGCGACAAATCAGGTCTTCCCGGCCTTTACTTCTTTGGGTGAGAAGTATGTAGGCAAGCAGGTAACTGATGCCAGTAAAGGCTTTGCGCTCCGTCATACAAGACAGAAGAAGGTAACTGATGCCAGTAAAGGCTTTGCGCTCCGTCATACAAGACAGAAGAAGTAACAAGCACTTTCTCATTCGGTTTTGGCAGCCGGTGAGAGTACTCCTTCGTCCCGTGCAACTATGCTCTCCGGAGGCTGTTCTACCTCGCTGGAGAACCACCGCATCTGCGGGCAATCTGCACGGCGCAGGCCTCCACCACCGTCGACTCCCCGAATCGCCGAGATCGAGTCCACACGGCGGCCGATGGTCTCTACCTTAAGGTACGTCTATCCGTAGGCCGATGGGATTGAATGGAAGATGCGCACTGGCATTTCCGGTTAGCTCCGAACGCGGGGGCTTATTGCGCGGCCCGGAAGGGTTAGCGCAGTCAGAAACCACGACTGAGCCACAGCTGTCATGAAGACAAGACATTGTGCGGTTTGCATCTTTCGTAGTTGTGGCCTGTGTGTTTGTCCATGGAAAGAAAAAAAGTGGATGAAATGTGTCGTGTCGTCTGGTCTTTGCTATGGCGCTAGCATAGTAGTTGTGGAAGAAACTGAACGCCTCATAAGGTGGCTGCAGGTGCGTCCAAGCTGTATTGCTCCCGATGCTTTGGATGCTAGGCTGAAGATGAGGATGCTGCTCTGTATCCGTATGTAAGGTAAGGTATATATAAGGTATGATCGTGAGTGGTACCTTGCAAGGGAGTTGGGAATAGGTATGATATATTCGTAGTCTTGAATGTCACGATGCCAGAACCGAATATAGCGACACGTACGTAGTAAGGTGAGTGCAAGGAGTGGGATTCCAGGTTCCATCGACATTGACATTGATCGTCGAGAGCGAGAGCCGCGTGGGGATCCCATCCGTAGGACCTCAGGGGTAGGCAGCTAGCTGTAAGGTAAGGTAGCCTGTGGGGGCAGGGGGTAACGGAGGGGCTATTTGGGGTCCTTCCCGGGCCATTCAGACCATTCCATCGAGAGGACCTGCGCGGCCTGCCCAAGGTATGCGGCGTAAGAAATCCGCTTTGAGGCCACTTAAGGCCGCTTGAGGGCAGCTGAGCCAATAGATCACGGCCATTGAACCCAGCTTGCTAGGGACGAGATTCGCGTAAAGTGTGGTCGGAGTGGAAAGGGAGGGATACCGTGTCTGTTGGTGCATAGGTACGAGATTCGCGTAAAGTGTGGTCGGAGTGGAAAGGGAGGGATACCGTGTCTGTTGGTGCATAGGTGGCATTTATTTCGTGTTGCCGCAAGGGGGTTCCAAAGGGTCGAAGGGTGCTCTCTCCTACCCAGGATCCCAGCTCCCAGCTCCTCCCGATTTAGTTCAGACCTCACCAAAAAATTCCCACCTGGCCAAAGGGCACCTCCATATTAATTGCATGATTCCCTGGTAATTCTAGGTAATTTTTCTCAGCTTTCCCTTTCTCTCTCCTTCCTCCCCCCCCAGCTGACTGACCTCACCTTCTTTTTCATGAGCTGGTTTGGTTTGCGGAACACTTGTGCCTCAAGAGAAACCCGCTGATTCTCTTTTTGCGCGGCCTCTCTTCACCTTCTTCAATTCTCCCACTTTTTCTTGCTCCCGGGCATTTTTTTTTGAGTCTTGACTCGTCCGATCACTAACCAGGAGCTCAGAGCTCCTGTTCCTGGAGCTTGACTTCCACTCTTCCTGCGCACACCCCCTTGAAGCCTGCCTTCACCAACGCATTCGGTCATCCCATTTCGAGAGTCAGTCTCTACTCCCGCCCAGCCCATTCCATACGCCGCCTTTCCGTTTGCTGACTGGTCTCACCAACAGCCATGGCTACCGAAAAGCCCATTGTCGCGTCCGGCGCGGACGTGGGCGATGGCGTCAGACGACGAGCCGTCCCCCAGGGCCAGTCCGTCCCCATAACGGCTGCCCCTGAAATCGACGACAAGAAGAAGCTTGTCAAGAAGGTAAGCGCCTCTCTCTCTCTCTACCATACCACTAGCTTTTGTGCTCCTGTTCGGGGACTGATGTTCATGTTTTTCCTCAGCAGAGCTCCTTCCTCGATCAATGGGAGCCGATTATCGCCCCCATCATCTTCACGGCCGTCGCCATCTTCACCCGACTCTGGAGGATTGGCATCAGCGACATCGTTACCTGGGACGAGGCCCACTTTGGAAAGTTCGGATCTCACTACATCAAGCATGAATACTACTTCGACGTTCACCCGCCCTTGGGCAAGATGCTCGTTGGCCTCTCCGGTGTTCTCGCTGGCTACAACGGATCTTTCGAATTCAAGTCTGGAGAAAAATACCCCGAGGATGTCGACTACACCTTCATGAGTCAAGTCTGGAGAAAAATACCCCGAGGATGTCGACTACACCTTCATGAGAGCTTTCAACGCCCTCTTCGGTATTCTCTGCATCCCCATGGCCTACTACACTGCCCGCGAGCTGAACCTCAGACGTCCCGCTGTCTGGCTTGTCACTCTCATGGTTCTCTGCGAGAACTCGTACACCACCATCAGCCGCTTCATTCTCCTCGACTCGATGCTGCTTTTCGGTACTGTCGCCACTGTTCTCTGCTGGGCCAAGTTCCACAACCAGCGCAACGATGCTTTCGAGCCCGAGTGGTTCTTCTGGCTGTTCATGACTGGCCTCAGCATTGGCTGCGTGTGCAGTGTCAAGCTCGTCGGTCTCTTCGTCACCTCCCTCGTCGGCCTGTACACCATTGAGGATCTCTGGACCAAGTTCGGCAACACCAAGATGCCCGTCACCACACTGGGCGCCCACGTTGTCACCCGCGTCGTTGGTCTCATCATCGTCCCGTTCCTGGTCTACATGCTCTCTTTCGCCCTCCACTTTGCCATTCTGGACCACACTGGTCCCGGTGATGCGCAAATGAGCTCTTTGTTCCAGGCAAACTTGAAGGGCACCGAGGTCGGCAAGAACAGCCCCTTGGAAATCGCCTACGGATCGCGCGCGACCATCAAGAACATGGGATACGGTGGTGGCCTGTTGCACTCCCACGTCCAGACCTACCCCGAGGGCTCTGGTCAGCAGCAGGTCACCTGCTACCACCACAAGGACGCCAACAACGACTGGTTCTTCTACCCTAACCGTGCAGACGCGGACTACGACGCCGAAGCCCCTCCCCGATTCATTGGCGACGGCGAGACGATCCGTCTCATCCACGCCCAGACCGGCCGCAACCTTCACTCCCACGAGATCGCTGCTCCTATGACCAAGTCCGATAAGGAAGTTTCCAGCTACGGCAACTTGACTATTGGTGACGACAAGGACCACTGGACTGTCGAGGTCGTTCGTGATGTCGCCTCCCGTGATCGCAGCAGAATCCGCACTCTGACGACGGCATTCCGCTTGAGACACCCGGTCCTTGGCTGCTACCTACGCGCTGGCAACGTGAACCTGCCTCAGTGGGGTTTCAAGCAGATTGAGGCGCTGGCAACGTGAACCTGCCTCAGTGGGGTTTCAAGCAGATTGAGGTGACCTGCACCAAGACCAACAACCCCAGAGACTCGTACACCCACTGGAACGTCGAGGCCCACTGGAACGAGAAGCGTAAGTTGAAGCTATGAACTCTGTCTGTCTTGTTCAGCTTGCTAACTGGCATAGTTCCCCCTGGTGACCCTGGTTCTTACAAGTCCCCCTTCCTCCACGACTTCATCCACCTCAACGTTGCCATGATGACCTCCAACAACGCCCTTGTGCCCGACCCCGATAAACAAGACGACCTGGCCTCGCAATGGTGGCAGTGGCCCATTCTCAATGTCGGTCTGCGCATGTGTGGTTGGGATGACAACATTGTCAAGTACTTCCTCCTCGGCAACCCTCTGGTCTACTGGGGCTCTACCGCCGGCCTGGGTATCTTCGGGCTCGTCGTCGTCTGGTACTTGATCCGCTGGCAACGCGGCTACAACGACCTGAACTCCAAGGAGATTGACCAGATCCACTACGCCGGACTGTACCCCGTAGCTGGCTGGTTCCTTCACTACCTCCCCTTCGTCGTCATGGCCCGTGTCACCTACGTTCACCACTACTACCCTGCGCTGTACTTCGCCATCCTTACTTTTGGCTTCTTGGCCGATTGGTTCCTCCGCAACAAGAACCAGGTCTTCCAGTACGGAGTCTACGGCGTCCTTTACGCGACCATCATTGGTCTCTACATTCTGTTCAGCCCCATTTGCTTCGGCATGACGGGCAACAACAAGCAGTATAGCTACTTGAAGTGGTTCGACAGCTGGAGAATCTCTGACTAAACCTGACAAAGAGTCAAACCAAAGATTGTATTAGAACGATTCCTCCACGGGGAATCATGTACTTGAACGGCCGAGGTTTTTTACGACTCGGCTTTCTACCCAACTCTTTCTCTCTCTGTAAGGATATGGGCGATAAAAACGGTGGCACGATGGGGGCCTTTCGAGCTTTGGGGAAAGCCAAAGTTGACGGGATAACAACTTCCGTACATAATGCAATATGAAATCTGTTCCTTGTTCCTACTATTTCTTTCTCTCATCGTGAGTTGACCAGCCCATTGACCATACATTATAATTACAAAAAAGAGTAGTAGTACAAAGGGGGTTGCTGAATGTAAAAGAAGGAAGAAGAAAAAACTGTTGCTAATGGTCCTCTGGGTATCACTGTCCTTCTCGTGTATGCTTTTTGTTTTTTAGATTCGTTTCGCGGCACATTTAACAACAGCCGCCGGCGGAGCTCTTATTGTTGTCGCCCCCTATCCTCACTTGCTTATTGGCCCCCGCACTCGGCCCCTTGACGCCAGACCTTCTGTCGTTGAGGTCGTATTTCCCGGCCTGGATGTTATTGTATATCCTCTCGGCGACGCGCATAAACGCCTTTTCGACGTTCTCGCCGCTCTTCGCGCTTGTCTCGACGTACTCGAAGACGCCGTTCCTCTTGGCCCACTCCTCGGCCTCGTCCTTGGTGACCTCGCGCTTGTTGTTGCCGTCGCCGTCCTCGCCCTGGGTGAGGTCGGCCTTGTTGCCGACGAGGATGACGACGATGTCGGGCTCGGCGATCTGGCGCAGGTCGTTGAGCCAGTCGGTCACGTGCTGGAAGGTCTGCTTGCGGCTGAGGTCGAAGACGAGGAGGGCGCCGCTGGCGCCGCGGAAGTAGGAGCGCGTGACGGATTTGTAGGTTTCCTGGCCGGCGGTGTCCCAGAGGGAGAGCTTCATGTGCTTCTGGGGGCCTTGGTCTGCGGCGGTGGCCGAAATACGCGGGGGTTCGGGGAGGCCGGCGGAGGATGCGCTGCCGTCCGGGTTCGTCTTTGGTTCCGGGGCCGGGGGAGGGGGAGGGAGGGTGTTGGGGGGGCCGACGGGGACGATGCGGGAGCCGAACTCGACGCCGATTGTCACGTCGTGGTGCGGGGAGAAGCGGCCTTCGCAGAGGCGGATGGTGAGGGAGGATTTGCCGCAGCCCGAGTCGCCGATGCAGACGAGTTTAGCGATGTAGTCCCATGGTGGAGACGACATGGCCCTTTGCGGCCTGTGGCTTCGCGTGAGGTGGGAGGAGGGGGAGGAGGAAGTGCGTGCGTGTGAGCGAGGTTCGATGCAGAGGTCTGTGGTTTTTCGCTTCCAGGCAGATAGATAGCTGTGCCTTTTCTTTTTTCGATTGCCTCTCTCTCGGCTGGCCCGCGAGACTGTTTCTGCTGGTGACGGATGGTTTCGAAGTGGTGGAATGGAAGGGGACCGTGTATGGTTGTGGTTTGGCAGTGCAGTGGTGGTGTTGTTGGTGGTTGTCGGTTGATCTGATGTTGGAAAGCTTCAAACAGCTGTCGGTTATCGGAGCACGTGTTCAGAAGTTCACGTCTGACAAGGGGTGGACACTGGACACTGGGAGGGGGGGTTGCGTCGGCTCCGATTGAGGGAGACGGGCGAGTTGGGTGGGATGTTTGGGAAACGGTTGGCAAGAGAAGGGATGTCGTCTGTTCTCAATGTTCGGTGTCCGCGTGGTTCCCGAGAAATGATGTTTGGACCCAGGGGATGACTTTGATGGCGACCTCTCCCTTATCCAAGTGGAAGATGACGTTTGGGGTTGGGTTGTGCGAACTGCTTTCTAAAGGATCTCTGAGAGGTGGAATCGGAGATGGAAATGTGCTGCTCTGCAAGAAATGGCGAGTTGCATCACGCTGGTCAGTGTTTAAGATGGCGTCCCCTCCCCCTGTCACAGGCTAGACCTGAGAAGACGACAGAGCCCCAGTTTAAACAGGACCGATGACCAGGGAAAGGGCGGCAGGGATTTGGCATGGTGTTATCAGTGACGCAAGTGCTTAGCGATAAGGCGAGCCGCTTGTTTGCGCAGACTCGCAGAGTAAGGTACCAATACCTAGGTACCTTAGGTAAGGTAGCAGTAGCAGCAGCAGCAACAAATAACAGCGGCCAGCTGTGGTGATTGTCAGTTGACGATGGTTGGGGACATGACTGACTTACTCAGGACTGAATGACTCGGGACTGGGGTTAATTCGGGCCAAGTGCCTTCTTAGTTGCTGGTCTTGCGCCAGGACATGTCAGTGCCATGCAGGAAGCAGCTGTTGAAGAGTCTTTGGAATCTTACAGTACACATAGGGTAGGAACAGAATGGAAGACGGCGGGCAGAAGAACCGAGAAGCAGGTGCCAGATAACTTAACTGCATTAGAGGAAGAAGAAACAAGATGCAACAAGTTAAAAGACGTGCTCCAGCTCATGTAGGTTTTCCCTTGGGTTCATGCTGTATGGAGTATGAATACCTATGCGCTTCTCGGAGTTCCTATTTCGAGGCGAACATGGAACTGGGAGGAGCCCGCCAACCCGCCAACCCGCCAACCCGCCAACCCGCAGCCATGCCATCTCAGGCAACCCGGGCCCTCAATGCTGCAATGCTGCAATGCATCCGCCAACTTACCGCCTTATCGCCCACCACGATAAGTCCGATGAGTGCCGGCCGCAGCCCGTGGGTGGCTCCCACGTTCCCCTGCTTTGCCTGCCTCCACGGGTGTCGACGTTGTGAATGGCTGGGTTGTTAGTGAGGTAGGTACCCGGCAGGAAGGGTTCCCAGGTAAAAGGTACCTTGTCATTGTCGTGTGGGCGGTGTCGCGGGTGTCGTGTGCCATCTGTGTGCCACTGCTTAGGCTGCATCAGCGTCCGCGCTGCCTAACAGCAACAGGCGGGTAAAGCCTTGGGTTACCTAAGGTACCTTAGGTGGTGGGATTTCCACGGGCATCCCAGAAGGCAACCCCCCGGCCATCCATGTACTTTCCCACCTACACTAGTTCCCTCACTGGCCCGGTCCACTTCCATCAGTCACTCACCGGCCTAGGCACCTTTCACCTCTTCGTCCGTACCGCATGACCTTTGATTCATATCTTTTCCCAGAACCCGGTGCAGATGCCCTTCTCACGAGCTCTCCGGGCTTGATCAGAATTATTGTCCTTACCTTATCTCAAAGGTGGCTTTTCCTCCGGTCCTAGAATAGGCCATCTGCAGGAACTGCCGTCGACCCGTCTCTTTCCAACGTTCTGTTTGCGTATACCATTAGTGTCCACCGCCGCCGCCGGCACCCAAACATTCCAGCCGTTTGCTCTCTGTCCGGCATCATCATTCATAGGACCTTCACCAGCCCGACACTTATTTGCCCCGTCGTCCCGCGTTCCTGTTCTGCCACCTCCCAAGAGCACGCGAACTCTTTTTTTGAGGGGACAAGGTCCTCGCTATCGGTAGCACCATGTTCTCGGAATGTAAGTCTCATACACCGCTGCAGAACCATCCTCGGCGACGCCCAGCGATGGCGGTCAACCAACTAACTCGCCCCCAGATGCGTCCAGGTTTCTGGCGCAATCACAGTCCCGACTGTCCAACTTTGCGGGCCAAGATCAAGGCAACGAGAACCCACCACGACAACCGAACGACTGGTCATCGCGGGGCCCTCCCCGAAATGGCGGACGCTCTTTCCTAGGTAGAGGCTACGGAGGAAACCCTTACCAGACGGGCGGTTCGCGTTATGGTCAAATGGGCTTTGCTTCCCGCATGTCCGCCGCCCAGGATGCACCGCTATTCCACAGCACGCTCGACGAGTACATGGAGGAGGACGAAGAAGACGAGAGGGATCGCGAGGCTGCGGATATGGCCGCCCTCCACATGTCTCGGCGCGTGGCCGCCGCGAGCAAGATGGCAGAGAGCTCCGAGACGGAACCAGACGCTAGCCGCGGCTCGTTGGAACAGAGCAGCGAAACACCGGGCCGAAGATACCAGGATCGCGGGCTACGGAGAGGTATTCGCAGCAGTTGGAACGGTACGAGGAGCTTCAGTGGACGGAATCGTGGAAGGGATGTCATAGACGAAGAGTCGGAGGATGTCCCGCGAGAAACTTCCGACCGGGAGTCAGATACGAATCCCAAAATGGTCGACATCGGGCTAGATTCCCAGATCATGGACGACGATGACCCATCTGCATCGCTGCTGAACGAGGCGGCTACGGACTCGAGCCCGCCCGCCTTCCAGAAATTCCAATCCAAGTCCGGAGACCGCAAGTTCCCACTGAGGAGGGAAGCTACTCGGGAAGATGACTTTGACGAAGCCCGCCGGACCAGCTCCGACGATGAGGCTCTGCCTGCCACTGTTCCCCTGATCGAAGGAGAACTCTTCAAGTACGACCCGTTCTTTGCCTGGATCTTCCTTATTGCGCTTGCCGGTCTGGTGTCTACATTTGTGCTTGTCTGGCTACACACAGGCACGCCCAAGAAAGGATGGGGTGACACCGTCTATACAACATTACAAGCATCCTTTCACATGCTCGCTGTGGATACTCTCATTTCGATCCTGGTATCCTTTGTGTGGCTCGCGGCGCTTCGATCCTTTGCCAGGCCACTGGCAATGGTGACTCTCGTTGCAGTACCCATCATCATGTTTTCATTCACACTATACCCCTTCATTTCTAGCTATGAAGGCAGATCACATGGGACCAGCTTCCAAGATCGAGCGATGCGGTGGGCTGCTCTTGTCCCTGGCATAGCAGCTTGTGTCTGGGTGTATATGGCTTGGCAGGGCCGCAACGCCATCCGTCAGGCGATTGAGATATTGGAGTTCTCCACGAGAATTCTTGCAGCAAACACGGCACTCCTCATCTTGGGTTTCAGCTGTCTTGCAATCATAGTAACGTGGACCTGGGTCTGGATGTGGATGTTCTCGAGAATCTTCTTGGGAGGATACTTCTCCAGAAGACTTGCCAGGTTCATCATCAGCGTGTCCAGTTGGTGGCTGGGTATCTGGTTCGTGTTGATGTACATGTGGACGATTGGAGTCATCAACGCGGTGCAACGGGCGACTACAGCAGCGACAGTATCCCAATGGTACTTCCACCGCAACGCGGCGCCGGCCCCAACGTCGGCTGAAATTGTCACGGCTGCGCTTAATCACGCGACGACGACCATCTTTGGCAGCATCTGCGAGTCGACGTTGATTGCGCTGCTAATTCGGGCGCCGCTGCTCGTGCTGCCACGCAGGTTGGCTAATATTCTGCAGCATATTGCCGCCATGTGGATTCCGACGCCCATCGCAGCGCTCACGAACCCTCTCACCATCACCTACGGAGCGATTCACTCACAGAACCTTCATACGGCGGCTCGCGGCCTTAGCCAGATGGACTTCTTGTCCCCGCAACGCCCTACGACAACCCTGACACCGCACGTGTTCAGCACACGGCGGTCCAGTCACTCCCCTTTACTTCCTTATCGGCTCGCAAAGATGCTTTTGTATGCGACACGGTTCATCATGGCGACGGGACTCGGTTTTGCAGGATGGGTCATGACGGCGAAGCAGCTCTCTATCGCTCTGCCGGACGGGATGGGAGTACGGGGCTCGGCGTATGCATACGTGGTTGGCATAGTAGCCAGTTTTATTGGATTTTCGGTCATGGGCGCCATGGAAGGTATTCTCAGTGGCATTCTGGATGCGGTCGTCATCTGCTACGGCAGCGAGCGGCGGATGGCTAGCGGAGGTGGCGCCTACTGCATGGAGGCGGCCTACCTCTTTGGAGAGAGAAGACGGGACGAGAGAGGCCTGCCATGAGGTAGGTTTTCTCACGTTACCTGTAGTTGTTGATCTTGCTTGTTACAGCACTTGGAGAAATTGTATACTTGAGAGGAACCAGGAGTTTTGCCTGTGCTAGCGTGCTTATGTCTAGATGGGATAGACGCCCAAAGGAAAGGCCCTTTTTTGATGAAGCTTTTTGATGGCACTTCTCTCTTATGGCACGGAGACTCAGCAAACAACTTCAACTGACCTCTGTGGATTTGTACGTCTGTGAGTTGATGGATTTGCGCCGGGAAGTGACAATGCCAAGAACCCGAGATAAGCTGCGCCACAGGTGTCTTCGCAATCCCCAAAGGTCGACGCCTTCGCCCGGGAGAAGTGGTTCTCTGGAAACGGAGCGGGATGGGGGAAATGGGCTGGCCTTGGCGCAGAGGGCTTGGTTGTTGGCCCTCTCACTTTCGCCCTTTGGTATGTGTGAGCATCACGACCCGAGGGTTGAAGTTGATGTTTAGGTATTGGAGGGCACCGCCACACGGGGGAAGAGATGGGCTAAGTCACCTGGACCTCGCCTGGTAATTCCGTCTATTCAGTTGCCAAGCAGGCAGAGGAATCACTTTGCCACATGATGAATTGAACTACGAGGGCAAGAATGTCAACAGCCACGATTTTTGTGCGTCGTCGATAATTACTTCTTTGCCATCCATTCAAAAATTCATATAAGCACCTTGTTAACAAGGTATGAGAACACTGAGGCGAAGGGTCAAACTACTCTCGGTACCTTGAAGCTCCATCGTTGACGGGCCTGTGCGAGACGTTTCCAGTTGGACCTGAGGTAGCTTTTTTGGAGGGGAATCGGTTTTACTGCAGACGGGGAGGGGTACCGTCGGGGTATAAGAAAGCTTGTTTTACGCTGCAGAGGGACTTGTCAGGTACCTTGCCTTGTGTATCGGCTGTCCGGCATCCCGGGTCGCAGTGGGAAAGCGACAGGCTGGCAGTGGAGAGTGGGCAGAGAGGCACCGGTATGAGAGGGCGGGGGGGCACAGGTGAGGGGCGGCGGCGTGAGGGGCACCTAGGCAAGTCCGCTGGACAAGCATCAGCGGGGAGGGAGGGGCTGTGCTTTGCAGCTCGCAGCAGCTCGCATCATGCTGTTGCAGCATAGCCAAGATGGAACCCGCAGGATGGGACTGGACTCTGAACTGGACTGGAAGAGGCAAGATAGGCACACAATAGCAGTGAGAGCAGCTTCGAGAAACGGGATCGAAGGGGACTAGAGCCCGGCTGTGATCTGACTTTGCCTTACGTAGGTGCTTGTCTAGATATCCGTATCCTTCTTGCCTCTTGTCCTCTATCCGAGCTTGGCACCCTGGCACGTCATGTCATCGACACGACGGACAGCAGCGACTGTTATCTCCATGCCCGCCGTACCGTTCGAGAAGATGCTAGGTTCAGTGAGTGAAAACACGAAGCCTCGGTGAATGCCTTCCTTATTCCACTAATTACCCGCCAAGACGCCTCTGGAAGGCGGGAGCAGCGGAAACGTCGGGGTGTTATTGGGTACGCGGTCTAGGTTCCCTCCGTTTAGTTAAGGTAGAGGAGGGGGGAAGGGAACCGTTCCAAAACTGAAAGACGTAATCCCGGCCCTCCGCGCCCAGCTCCAATCGACCTATTGCGCCTCCCCATTACAACACCTGACACCCCGCGGTAAGAGGTAGGAGGCAATACTTTCCCTCTCTCCTTCCCCCAAAATCCCATCTCATCCCAACCTCGAACTTTGGTACCTTTTTCTCTCTACAAAGATTTCTCGAGTTATCTGAAGTAGCTGTCGAAACTAAGAAACTTTGTTTGTCCATTCGCACAGTTACACACACCTCTTCCGCAACTCATTCACCTACACCAAACAATCTACCCCGAACCACATCGATTGATTGAAAGGTCTCGCACCACCGAGAAGTTCTAATCGTATCTGAACAGCATTACCACTTCTGCGCCTGCCTTGACTATACTACACATGGCCGACGATTTCGCTCCCCCGTCGGGTCCCCCGCCTCCCAAGGCCCCCGAGGTTCCTCCCGGCTGGATCGCTCGATGGAACGACCAGTACAAAGAATGGTAAGCCTAGACATTATTGCTCAGCAACTATCCCCCTTGCTTTCATTGTATCGCCGATGCTAACAACCTCAACTCCAGGTTCTACGTAAACCTCCACACCAAGCAATCCCAATGGGATAAGCCGACAGAGCCTGCCCTCCCTCCCCCTCCCCCACCAGCAGAAGACGGGCACCCGGGTGGCCCCCCTCCGGGTTACGCCCCGCGCCCCGGCGACCACCCGACGCCGCCGGTCGATCAAAAGCACAACCCCTACGACCAGAAGGGCAACCCCTACGAGAACCAGTCCTCGACCCCGCAGCCGCCCGGCGCAGGCGGCTCCAACACAATGTCCGAGGACGAGCGCCTAGCCCGCCAGCTCCAGGCCGAGGAGGAAGCCCGCGCTCGCAGCGGCGGCGGCGGCGGCGGCCACTCCCCCATGCCGCCGGGCTACAACCTCCAGCAGCAGCAACACCAGCAGTCGCAGTCGCCGTTCCCCGACCAGCTCCCGCCCCGCGCGCAAGAGACAAGGGGAAAGAGCTCCGGCGGCTTCTTGGGCAAGCTGCTGGGCAAGGCTAAGACAGGCGGTATGGGCAGCTCGAGCCACGCCCAGCCGCAGTACGGAGGGTACCCCCAGCAGCAAGGATACGGTGGTTACCCCCCGCAGCAGCAGTACGGCGGTTACCCCCCTCAACAGCAATATGGCGGCTATCCGCCTCAGCAGGGTTACGGGGGATACCCTCAGCAGCAGGGCTATGGCGGATATCCCCAGCAGCAAGGCTACGGCCGGGGCATGGGCGGCATGGGTGGAATGGGCGGCGGTCGGAAACCCGGTGGCGGCGGCATGGGTATGGCGGGCGGTCTTGCGCTCGGTGCCGGTGCCGGTCTGCTTGGTGGTGCCCTGATTGCGGATCACATCAATGATGAGCAGCAGGAGGCGTACGCTGAGGGATACAGTAAGTTGCAACCTTTGGGTCTATGGCTTGATGTTTGAATAGTCGCTAACTTTTGGTACAGACGACGGACAGGACAATGATGATTTCGGCGGCGGTGACGACTTTGGAGGTGACTTCTAAGTGGCTGATACTGGATTACGGCCGGCTTATTTTAATGTACCTTACTAAATGGATCATGAGAGAATGGTTGGCAGGTAAAGGAATGGACTAGGGCGGGTTTCAGGGGTCATAAATCTGCGTCTAATATGCGTTCTTCTCATGAGTAAAAAGAGCCCCCATTTGCATTTGAACATAACGTCTCTTTGCCTTTTTCTGCGGGTGTCTTTGATTGTATCAGCCCAAGTCACGATGAGTCTATCATCGCAGATCCAATATTAATACTACTATCAGTAACAAAGCAGAAACATGAAAAATGGTAGGCAATGATGTTACGGACCATTTAACTCACGCTCCTCAGCCGGCACCACCTCGACTTCCTTGGAGTATACGTTTCTATATCCACTCGAGCACTGTAGTCTTACCTGACCTGCCAACCAAAAGGAGCGCCTACTGTGCTGGTGACGAGAGCCGGTGTAGAGAACGCATTCACATATACTTGGGTTGCCCGAGGTATGGTATGATTATCAACCCAATGATATAGAGGGAACTGATAGTATGAACATAGACTCCCGACATCTCTGGTTCACCAAGTCTCGTAAAACTTATTTATAGGGAATTGAGGTCTAAGAAGCGCCGTAGGCTGTGCCCTATATCTCAAAGGAGCCGTAATAACAATCTTGAACAACCGTATAGTTGTACTCTACCTCCCCCGCATTACTTCTCTCTTCCACAACACACTCTCTCACCTCCGCACGCCCTTCTCCTTCTTGCCACCAGCACCGCCGCTCGAGGCACCGGAACCGGAAGATTCTTCCTTCTTACTGCTGGTACCGGTACCAGCGAGGAAGCCCGCCATGTCAAAGTTGGCCATGGGATTCGCGTCGCCGCCTCCGCCGCCGCCGCCGAGGAGGGAGTTCATCGGGTTGCTCTTTTGGCGTTCTTCGAATTCGGCGCGCATTTCGGGGTCCACTAAAACGGTTCGTGTTAGACATGACTTTACTTTCATGGAACGGGGAGAGGTTCGGATTTGAACGTACTATTGTCCATGAGATAGGGCATGCCGAGGAAGATGCCCATGCTGATGAGGCCGAGGAGGATCATTGGGTTCTTTAGGATGGTGAGGATGGAGACTGTGAGGTTTTGTTAGCATTTCTTTGCTCCCCAATCGTTTCTGTATCTCAGCTTCAGAGAGAGGTCCCGTCATGGAAAGGCCAACAGCTCCGGGAGCTTAACTTCTTCGCCACAAACACCACGCAAATCCAACAATACAAACCCACATAGGTCATAGGAACGAGGGGAAAAGATAGAAAGAGAAAATACTCACACTTGCTCCTCTCCACAAAATAATTCTTCTGCCCCAACACCCGCACCTCAAACCCCTTCGCACCGCCCTCAAACTCCTTAGCCGCATACGCCTCGCCCTTGTTATCCCAGTCGTTGCCGCGGTACGTCTCCCACGCGGCCAACCCGCCCTCGGCATCGACGTCGAGCCTCAGGGGCGCGAAGGCGTGGGTCGCGCAGTGGATGTCGACGAGGTAGGAACCTGCACTGGCGCTGCCGCTGCCGCCGCCGGTGAGGTTGTGGAAGACGAACGTGTTTTTTACGGACAGGGGCGCGGAGAAGGTTTCGCCGAGGGAGGAGAGCGTCGCGTGGGTCGACGGCGGGAGGGTGTAGGGGTTCGGGAGGGCCTGGGAGGAGGGGATCGAGAGGGTTAGGGAGGCGGCGGATGCTGATGTCGCCGCGAGGGCGAGGGTTGTGAGGAGGCGCATTGTGATGGTTTCGTTGGTGACTGGCGGTGGGCGGTGGTCTCAGATTCGAGGGTTGATGGTAGACCTCCTGATTATAAACGACAAGCAAGAGGAGAGGGAGTCAACAAAAGAAGAAGAAGAAAGGAGACTTTGTCGAGAGGGCGGGGGAGGATTGCCGTGATGTTCTTCGAGGTGGGATGTCGAGGAATATAGCTAAAATCGGCGGGCCGTGGGATTTGGAGCTTGGATGGGGATGGAGACACACACACACAGTCAGAGAGAGCAAGACAAGAGGCGTCGTTGAATGGAGCGAACCTCTCTCGACCAATCAGAGTCCGTTGGCGGAGTAAACCGGTGGTCGTCTACCGCGCGCCGGGGAGTTGTGGAGACGGCGAACATCCCCCCACCCATTCCAGTTGGGAACTACCTACTTATTCGCACCGGCGCCGGTTTTTGGCCGGGTCGGTTTACAACCACAGACCTTGTTGGGATCCCGCACGTTTCTTCGTCCCCGCGATTCTGAGGGTTTGTTCGTAGGGTCGTATATACGCAGAACAGTTGTCAGTCCGTCCACCTTGTGACTCCATCTCGACTCCTGTATCTATCACAACCCCCCCACGAACATCTGCCGCCCAAATCACTGGGTCTCCATCGCATTGCAACGGCAACATGTGTTTCTTGCATATCCACAGAAAAAGTTGAAAGACTAAAAATGCCGTCGCGCCGCCCACTAGGAATTTGTGGCGTCGGCACGTTTCATTTCGTTGCGTGCTTTGCGAGTTGCCACGGGGGAAGCTAGGCCGGGCTGATCGCACACTCTCTTATCTAGGTTCTAAGTAGGAGGATGGACACCAGGGATCAGGAGGGGTTCACTTTTTACGCGCATCCATTTTCCTTCTGATCTCCGGTACCTGGGTATCTTTCATGGCTTTAGGTTGGGCATGAAATGGACTGGCATGGCAGATGTGTGATGTGCGCCACTCGTCCCTTGCTTATCCTGTCTACAGCGGACGTCGTTCGGACGCGGGAACCCAGGCCTGGGCAACGCTGACTTGGCTGGGTCAGAACTTTGCGAGTGTTTCTGATCATGTTGCACGAGGAACGATCAAGGGGGTATCTCAAGCATGATGGCGTGTCTTCGGCTTTCTCTTTTCTCTCCGTGCAAGCAAAGCCACGTATTAATCAAGACAGGGCGACCAGGTAAGACAAGAATCGTAAGTTGCTTTTTCTACGGGTATTTTATCGTTCTCGTACATTTGGCAATAAAAGACAAGGCAAAATAACAGAAATCATTCATTTCAGGCGCGCGCATGTCTTGTCACCGACCTACGGCGCAAGCGGCGCGTCGTCCTGCTTGGTCTCGGCCGCGGGGGCGGGCTTGCCCGTGGTGGACGCGGAGGAGGCGTTCTTGAAGGACTGCTCAAAGTCGGCAATGATGTCGTCAATGTGCTCCGTGCCGACCGAGATGCGGATGAGGTCCTCGCTGACGCCGGAGCTCGTCTTCTCCTCGTCGGAGAGCTGCTCGTGGGTGGTGGTCCAGGGGCTTTTTGGCCATGGTCAGCAGGTGGAACTAGTGGTCAGAAGAAAGAGAGAGGGAGAGCAAGTGCTTTCTCTGGTCTGCTGTTCTCTCTCACTCCATGGTGAGGGGGTATAAACTCACTGAATTGCCAAGGTCTTAGAGTCACCGACGTTGGCGAGGTTGGAAATGAGCTTGAAGCCATCGACAACCTGGCTACCAGCATCACCACCGCCCTTGACACCAAAGCTGAGAACACCTCCGAATCCGCGCTTGAGGTACTTCTTAGCCGTCTCGTGGTACGGGTGGCTCTCGAGACCGGGGTACGACACCCAGCTCACGTAGTCGCTAGCCTCGAGCCACTTGGCGAGCGCGAGTGCGTTTTGCGCGTGGCGCTCGGCGCGCAGCGACAGGGTCTCGATGCCGATGATGAGCTGCTGGGCGGCAAAGGGGTTCAGGGAGGCGCCCAGGTCGCGGAGGATTTCGACGCGGGCGCGGATGATGAAGGTGATGGGGCCGAAGGTCTCCCAGAACTTGAGGCCGTGGTAACCGTCCGAGGGCTCCGTCATTTGTGGGAAGCGGCCGTTGTCCCACTTGAACTTGCCGCTGTCGACGATGACGCCGCCGATGGTGGTGCCGTGGCCGCCGATCCACTTCGTCGCCGAGTGGACTACGATGTCGGCGCCGTGGTCGATGGGGCGGATGAAGTAGCCGCCTGCGCCAAAGGTGTTGTCGACCTGTGGATTTCAGGTGTCAGCTTGCCGTCTGATGTTTGTGCAACTGACAATGGAGACGGAAGGGAGGGGCTTACAATGACGGGGACGCCCTTCTCGTGCGCAACCTTGGCAATAGCCTCGAGGTCCGGGACGTTGTACTTTGGGTTTCCGATGCTCTCGACGTAGACGGCCTTGGTCTTGTCGTCAATGGCGGCGGCGATATCCTCGACGCGGTCACCGTCGACAAACTTTGTGTGGATGCCGAGGCGGGGGAGGAAGACCTTGAACTGGTTGTAGGTGCCGCCGTACAGCAGCGAGGTGGAGACGATGTTGTCGCCGGCGTGCGCGAGGGCGTTGATGGCGATGAACTGGGCTGCCTGGCCAGAGGAGGTGGCGAGGGCCGCAACACCGCCCTCGAGCGCGGCGATGCGCTTCTCAAAAACGTCGACGGTGGGCTGGAAATAGTGGGAAGAGGGCACGGTGAGTTTTCAAACTTGGTACGCTATGTAACATGAGGCTGTCGAGGAAAGTGTTACTTTGACGTACGTTCATGATACGGCTGTAAATGTTGCCAAACTCCTTGAGGCCAAAGAGCCTCGCGCCGTGAGCCGAGTCATTGAAGGTGAAACTCTACACATGTTGAAATCAGCTGTCAGTCCTACGATGTTTGCGCCCGCGCTCGCGAGAGAAGAGAGCTTGGTTGCTCGTCGTCGTCGGGAAGGTTTTACGAACCGTGGTCGCGTAGATTGGGACGGCGCGCGAGTTTGTGGTCGGATCGGGTTCCTGGCTACAGAGATGCAACGATCCCCACACGTCAGCTTGTTGCCAGGTCTCTAACAGCTCCAAAAGCAACGGAAAGGCTGATTTCCTCCCCCGAAGGCATATCTACTCGGGGTGGTGGTGGTGGTGGGCAGTGTTCGTGAAAGAGGGCGTACATACCCCGCATGGAGCTGGAGAGTCTCAAAGTTCTTGCTCAATTCTTCAGCCATTGTTCAGGTTTGACTTTCTTCTTTAGCAAGGAATGTGTATACAGAAAGAGAGAGGAATTGGAGACACGGAGAAGAGATGAGGAGGGGAAGGAGACAGGTTTTCTCTAAAGGTGTGCGAGCACAAGAGCAACGGGGACGGTGACGCGCTTAAGAGAGAGAGACACACACAAAAGAGACGGGCCGGCAACGGAGTACGCAACGGCGAAGGAAGAGCACGGAAGAGGGGAGGGGAAGGGGGGTCAGTAGGGGTCGTTGTCCAGCAATGGGAAGAGTGAAGTAGTGAAAATGGGCTAGCTACGATGATGCCATTGAGGGGACATCACACCATAGGTCGGACTGTTGTCTGAGTGTGTGTGTATACAATCGACCTCTTGGCCTTGTAAGGAGGGTCACAAGGGACCGAAGAGAAAAAGTTGTCTACCAGTACCAGGCAAGGTAGGTATCTCAAGGAAGCAACTTCTCAAAGGTGTCGTTTCCCGATGGAGGAGGGGACCCCTCCAAATCCCGCGGTCAGCTACCAGGGAGCTTGAATAATAGCCAATTGGATCCGAGGGAAATGTCCAATAGTTTGGTTCCGTCGACAAATGGGAGCTTGTCACATTTTCCATCTTTTTACGATGCTGCAGCAACGGCTGGCTCTCTCGCTCATGTGAGGTGAAGTGCTGATGAGGTGAGAGATCTTGGAGCTTGAGGTGCGAAGAGAGCGCCGATTTAGGCAATTGGGGTGGGGCTTGGCCAGAGCACGCAATCGACGCCGAAATGTCACTTTGCGGGGCAAATGGTACCAAAGGAGGGGCAACGGGAGGCAGAGAAACCCACTAGACCCCCCGCGAGACTTGGAGAAGTTTTTCTGTGTCGGTGTGGTTGCCGGCCGAGGGTTCACCGAGTGCCTGATTGTCGTATTGGACTTGTCTTCGTTAACACAGTGAGATTCTGCCTCTTGCTGACCAAAGATACGAGGCAAGATTGCTGTATGGAGAGTGGAAGCCTGGCTTTTGACCGTGTCGTTGTTCGTGTGTGGGGTGCAAGTTTGGGGGCCAATTGACTTTTCTCTTCAACGCAATCACGGATAGAGTTACCTTTGCAAGACATCGTCTACCGGCCGACTCGAGGGACAGTTCCACCCCCGACAACCTCACCTTGACCGGGTCCCACGGCTCACGATGCCGGCCCGCGGATGTCGGTCGTGGACTCTGGAGAAGTAGACTGTGTGGATCCAAATGCCCATTGAACTGGTGAGCCGTTTCCCGCAAACGGCACCAAGGGGGCTTTGAAGTAGTTTTCGGTTATACATCCCAAGAGACATTATCATCATCCATATCACCACAGTCATCACTTCTTTACAGTCGACACTGATACCCTATGTAATCGTTGTAGTCAGCTCTTGTGCGATTTATCTGAATATGTTTCAAGACTGTCGTATTGGTAAAAGTGGTGTTTAAAAGGTAACGAATGGAAAGCTACCTTGTCACCCGCGTGCGGCCGTCGCCCCAAAGAACAGCCTCCACGGGCTCAGTGTGGAAACAAAAACTGATGAGCCTGTAAAACGGTCTGTATTCGGGAAAATCATAAAATCAACAAGGGCGGTGCAAGTGTTCGCATCCGGACTTCTCCGGTAACACGGGCATAGGCCTTGACAAAGAACAACGTGCTGACAAAAGAGACAAAAATGTGTATTATATGTCCATGCTGTGATATGATGCAAGGTTGTACGGTAGCAAACACAGTCAGTCTACTCGGATGAAGATTTCAAAAAGGAGGCAAGCTCCGTAATCCTATTCATATGCTTCAGGGTGGACATGAAAATGTTAATGAAGCCCAATAACACGCATTGCCGCTCGCCCAACTCAGCCACCCTTCCAAGGCTCAGAGTTGGCAGGCAAGCAGGGACTTCCAGCCGGTGGTTTACAACCCCACCAAAAACCACCTTATCCACTCCGTCACTCTAAGTAGTACAAATGCGCACCCCTATACGTAGTACGAGTGGTCTCGAGCGGCAATGTATCCAATAAGAACCGCCACGTCGTTATAGGCGCTGACCTCCCTGTTTGCCCCTTCCTCTTAAACTATGTTTAGTGGTAGATCATTGTTCGGATTTAAATTAACAAGTGCCTTTTTAAGAACGTAGCATGAAAACGCTGACGTGGGTTCTCTTGGAAAAGCCATGTAAGTGGTGGTATCAACCCCTATCATATGGATTTTTGCTCAACGTCGATGTCAAAGTAGCACGCGGCAGGAGTAGGTGAACCAAGACTATAAGAGATTATGGGTTGGAAAGACTACAGACCGCAGCCTATAGAATAGTAATAATACGGATAGCATCTACGTCCTTATTGAAAATGACCAACCCAAAAAACCAACTGTATCCGATTCACGCACTTTTTTCCGTTGTACCTTGGGTTCAGTGTCAACCGAATGACACCAAACACATCCACTGCTGTTACTTCCCCCATTTCCTGTTTCGTGTGTACCAGTCATCTAGACGAGGTTCACATCACTAAATCCCGGGCCGTAGATGCGTCTCTGGTCGAGTTCCCAGATGGATTTTCGATCACTCTTGCGGTCCCACGACGGCATCCGCTTGGCTCTAATCAGCTCCACAGATGCCTCACGTCTGCGCTCCTCGAGGGCGACGTGGAAAGACTTGAAGGAGTCGGCGTAGCTTACGCAGACTCCTTCATTTGAGGAGGGGGGCCAGCGGCGCTGGGCTTGCGGAACCCCGTCTTGAAAACATCCTTGACCATGAGGAGGGAGGTAGCGGACCAGAGGGCGAACTCGAAGGCGGCCAAGACGGTGTCGGTACGGGCAACAGCGCACACGGTGCCACGGCAGAAGAGAAGCTTGCTGAGGAAGACGGCGAGGGCAATGAAGCCGGCGAAGTAGAAGAGGACGTTGAGGAGCTCAAAGGCAACGGCACCCCAGGGGTGGGAGGCTAAAATGGTGTTAGTTGATTTGTTACACTCCAAACAAATCTCAACGAGGAAGACGGGGCGAGACTCACCTCTAGGAGCGAACTTGGGAACAAGCTCGAGGTAGGCAATGGAAATGAAAGACCAGAGCGGTACGAAGACCAAGAAGTTGACCTGGGACGGGGACGAAGTCATCGTGTCCATGTTGTACCAGTTGGCGACTGCAAGCACACAGTCAGCGCATAATTCTCTTCCATCCTAGCCACCATAGATAAGGTAGTTCCATAGGTTGCTCATCACGTACTGAAGGCCGAGAGACCGAGAATCACCAACGCCAGAACACCCTGGACAATTCTGAGAGGAAGAATGAGACCCATCTTGTCGGATTTTCGTGATCGTTTCGTTAGAGATTCGTGAGATTCGTTTCGACGGGAGAGAAAGGAGACGAAAGTAAGGAGAGAAAAATTGTATGGTAAATAAGTCTAAGCTGCCCCCAGTGCGCTGTTGAGAAGTGAAGAAGGAAGTTTGACAAGAAGAAAAAGGTGGAAACGGTCGAGCGGGAAAAGGTCCAAGAAGAGGCAGCACAGCATGAAAGAGGGGAAATCACTTATGCTTTTGTATGGGCTGGGCAGTCCCATCTCTCCCTGTCTGAGTGTTTGAGAGGCGGGACATGTAGTCGCGGCTCAAGTCATCACTGGACACCCATGGGTCGGTTTGGTGCTGGGCAATGCACGGCCTGAGACCTCTGAAATGCATCTGAAACGGGACTCCCCTGGGCCGTCGCCATGCGCTATCCAGACGAGAAGATGGTGTGTAGCAGGGCCCCAGAAATCCCCATGGACCAATCCCAGCACCAGATCAACAGAGCCTCCTCTTCATGCCGGCTCACGGCTTGGCGCAGGCAGGTAACGCAGTACCTAGTCTTGACTGTCTTGTTGCCTTTAGTTGGACGGCCTGGGGTGTTGGTTGTGTCGTATCTTGGCTGTCGCTGTGCCCTCTCTGGCGCTGGCCTCGTGGCAGGCTTACATCGAAGGGGGGGCTAACGAATACAATGAGTGGTTCTTGATGGAGACGCGCACACGCATTTGTCGGACGACAAGACGTGAACTGGGTTCCGCGGGCGGAGCTTGATCGGCGATACGACGCCAGCGGGCGGCAATGCTCTCCTCAACTCTGAACGTGAGTAAGAGCCCAAGAGAGAGGGAGAGAGAGCCTCGTCATGCAGGAACGGCGATATTGAGCATAGGCTTGGAGAATCTGGAAGCCAAATTAACGTTGCATTGCTGCAGCGATGCGAACTGCCAGCAACGACAAACCATACTGCGTAGCCTTGCCTCACTCCGACCTCATTTAGGTAGGCCAGCCCTGATAGCGACAGGTGTGGGTGGGTGGGTGGGTTTGGCAGACTTGAGGTGAAAGGCTGAAGCGAGATCTTCAGATTGAGAAACACAGCGCGGCGGCACGTACTGTGTCTGCGGGACTACACAAGGTGCCTACCAAGGCCAATGGCAGGCTGGTGCAGTCTTGCAGATGCGCCAGTCTGCAGGCCAGAGGCTCAGGACTCGGAGGGTTTGAGGCTGAAGAGCAGCGAGTCTCAAGATGCCAAGCATGATTCGCCCGGGGCCCAGCATGTGTCACCGAACTTTCGACGACGGACCATCTCGTGTTGTGGGTGTTGAAACAAATTGGGACTAGAGTAGACTGGCAAAACGTAGCAAGAAGAGTAGGTAGGCCGTGGGAATGAACGGAAATGTGGACGGGATTTGGAGCTTGGCTTCGTTGCGACGAGACCACAGACGAGGGTGAGCACGATGAATGGGTTGGAAACCGCAAAAGGGAATGCAGATGGATGGGACTCGTAAACTGTAGAAAGACACTAAGAAGAAAAAAAAATGTCCGAACGTATCTTGTTTCCTCGCTACCAGGTCTACCCCGTTCCTGCCTCCTTCGAGACCCTCACGATTCCCATTTAGCGGGCGGGTTGTGGGTTGCCAAACTCTCCAACGCTCCTCCCCTGTCAAGTCTATCTGTCCGGGCAGGGGAAGAGCCAAGAGCGATGGAAGTCTCTTGCCGCGAAGTACCTACCTACCTAGTGTAAGGTAAGGTACCTTAAAGGTAAGGTAAGTACCTACCCAACTAGAGTCTCCCGTCGGTTGAGGTGTGCTTAGTAAAGACCGGCAGGGCCTCTTTCTCTGAGCACTTGACGCACTCAGGACTCAGGAGAGGGGACATGGACGTTTTGGCAAGCCAAGCGCCATGGAAGATCTACAGCAGAAACAGTACGGCGGACGTTACAACGCCAAGGGTGCCGCCCGAGTTTCTCTCTACCTTAGCTAGTGTCAGGGGATTCCGAAACAGCAGCAACAATGTACCATCCATACCGCTCACTCCGTACGGATACACTACGAATAAGAGACTACGGATACATTGCCTTACGTGCAGGCGCCACCTGGGGGAGGAAATCTTGGCTTCACGTATCATCCGCAGGGGCCTCCCGTCACCTACCGATGCGGGAAACCGGGGACATGCAGGCGAATGCAGGCCTCAAGGGCCCCAAAGTCGTCGTCGCTTCTGTCGTCTCTGTTCCACGTTCCACCACTCCCCAACCACACTTTGCTGTTCTTAAAAAAGCTGCTGAGACGCCGCACAACCTGCTCCCAGACTCAGTCCGATACTCAGATTGCCAAGGATTCTCCCTCGACAGATTCTTCATACTCTTGGCATTCCCATCTTCCTTGCTGCTTCCTGCTGACACATCTTGCCTCTTCTAGACTTCTGCAGGGCCTTTGCGCAGTCAAACTCGCCATTCTGCCCCCTCCACGAGTCCACCCTCCACGGCCCCAACCTGTCTCACGACTCGTTGCAACAGCGGCTGCCTCTGCCGACTTGGCCAGCCTCGAAACTGCTACTCTATCAAAGCTTCGCCTCGCCAGACATCATGTCAGAAAGGCTTGGATTTGCTGGGCATCGAAACCATCCGCTCATCCTCCACCCTTGGTGCCGACTGTATGGGGTTCCCCCATAATATTGGCACTGCATCGGACGCTCTCCAGACTCTTGGCCGCCATCGGAGAGTCCATTTCTGCCACCCGTAGAGCCTCAACGCAGCACCCAACTTCTTGGCAGCCCATATGGAATTCGCCTGATCACTACATCTGCGCCCAAATCACTCTTCGCCGCATGAAAGAACATTCTCAAGTCTGAGCTGCTCAGGACCGAGCCGTATCAGTCCGACTTACAAAAACAACACACTGCCGAATTTCCACACATGGGTTCTGCGGCCGACTCGCCTACTTTATCTGGATGTCTCGTTTCAATATTATTAGTAGCGCAATTGTATGCGAAGAAACGAAAAACTTCCACGGAGATCACACCCCGGCCACTTAGTACGGACCAGCTAACAACACCAGCCTGCCCTCGCTGCTTTCTGGCCACGTCTTCCCCTCTTTATCACGAGACCCTGACTCTCTATGTGTTTCTGAGACTCTCAGAGATGGCAGTCTGAAAAGAACAGCTGGCCTACGTCGTGTCATCCCGAAGCCCATACGAGTCATCCCAGAACTTATGCTGCTGAGGCATGCAATCGGCACCCGAGCACACACTGATCGGACGTGATCCAAAACGAAGACACTTGCTTTGTGTTTCTCTAGTTCCGCCAGAGCCGTTTTCTGTATCATCTGCGTCTTCTTACAATCGACACGTCAAAGCTGTCGTAGGCTTATTCGTACCCGTAGCTGATGTCTGTCATTCAGTTGTCAGCCGGGAATACCATTTCAATGCTGCACTGATCTTGCAAGACACCCTGGGGCAACATCATGACTTTTGAGTGTCGTAATCTTGCTTAGCACCAAGGTACCTTGCGCTTCGTTGCTCTCCCGGCCACACTCGTCTACCTAGGAGGGCCAGCTGAATTGCGTACGAATATAAGGTAGGCAATTACTGTGTACGCCAATTCTAGCAACTCTCCTCTTCTGCCAGAATTTGCATCAGTTTGCATCTCTCCTTCACAGATAGACTCAAGAGAAGTTTTCAACTTTGAGAAAAGGCAAATTGGGATTTGGCCAGCTACACGTTGGCAAGATCTCTGACACTTGGTTGGCGCAACGTGCTCAGCTTGGGGCAAGTCCCTCGGAAAACACCCTTCGCTACCTATCCGCCCAATAGGAACTGGAGGCACCTGAGGCTGGAGAGAAAGCTGGCAGAACTTCGGCACCTGTTCCTGCGGCTTCCACCTGCCGCTGGTGCGGCACTGCGGCTCCAGGCGGGCGGACTTCTTGTAAGGTGGCAGGTGGGACCCGGACTTGTTCGGCCCTTTCGGGTACGGGTGTCCAATGACCTCCGCCCGGAGTAAGACAGGTGTCCAGCGCCCGGACCTGAGACTGAGAGCACAGCTCTGGCATGTGACAAATCCGGCTTGTCAGTCCCGTTCACAGACTGACCATCTCTTCAGTGCGTGCATCAATTTGACAGCATCCTATGAGTTGACGTGGTTGATACTGAGGATCAGCAATATTGTGAGCTTCATATTCGTGATGGAAGACAGCAAGTGAGGTAGTTATTGTTTCCCATTGCATAGCATGGGATTTCGATTAGTATTCGGTGCTCAGGGGAAGTGACGGACGAGAGCTCCGCTGTCGGGGGATCTACCTGTAAAGAGTGGATGAATGACTGATCCCCGTTTGCTGGGAAATTAAGCCTCCCCCATATGCATAACCCCGCTAAGATGTCACTGCCATTGTTGAGCTTCTGAAGTGTGGAATACCCGTACTGCGTACAGACACCGTAGTAGAGGTATCACAACTTGGAGGCTGGCCTGGTGTAACTCACATGTTGATTCGGGTTTCTCCAGGCCAGGTCTCACCACATGGCTGGCAATACTGTGTTACCTGCCCCGTAGATACACCTATAAGGTAAGGTAAGGTAGGTAGTATGCATGGCCACACGGCCAACAGCAGACGCATTCCTCCACGTGGACACTTTGCTGTGAGGTCATGACGGAAACCACGGGGTATCTTTCCCCATTATTTGCGAATCTCCGACCCAGAACCCCCAGCTTCAGCTCCCACTCCCTCCACCGCGGCCACCGCCAGCCCCCCAGCGCCCCCGCAAGCCACTGCATCCAGCGCCCCCTTGGCGGGTCCTCTTGGTGCCAATCAGCGCCCTTCAACAGCTGTAGTGGTCCCCTTAGCGCACTCACCATCTGGGGTTGCCGAGGACCTTGAGACCTTTGAGTGGCACCCTCGCCCTTCTAGGGACTTGTGCCTCGGCCTACGCTCCCAAACTCGGCCTCGCTCATTGGATCGTCTCTCCGTTTCCTGCACCTTCTCACTTGAAGGCCAAGAAACGACAACCGAATCCCCCGTACGGAGTAGCTTCGACGCGCACTTGGCTCGACTCGATCTTCCGTTGTAGACAAAACTTTGAATAGCCTAGACAAGCTCCCCCCCCCCCTCGTTTGTCCCGAAATCCTTCTCGGACGGATTACTTCTGTTTATTCCAACTATTTTTTTTTTCTCCTTTCAAAACCTTTCCGTCCCGACACCTTTCAACGAGCTTCACATCTTTCCCTCCCGCACATCGCCTCCATCTCACCAGGCTCCCAGCATCTAGTCTTACTCCTTTGCGCCATATCCTGCTGCACTGTCGGGCCCCCAACGAATTAGCAGCGAGATCGAGGTAGATCGTTCGTCAGCAACGTAACCAACAGTCGTCGGCTGCAAGCACTCTCCCACAGATTCCCGCTGTCGCTGCGAACATGGCTCCCACAAAAGACACCGCCGCATACATACAGGAGCTGGCCAACCCGCCGCCTCCCGGCTCGCCCTATGGAGTCCCGATTCCAGGCTCCGAGAAGGAAGGCCGCAGTGCCATCTACCGCCATTGGCGCTTCCGCGACGGCCCTCTGCTGTCCACCTTTGATCCCGCTGTCCAGACCGTTCACGACTTGTTTGAGGAGTCCTCCAAGAAGCGTCCCAACGCCAAGTGCTTGGGTCACCGAGCATGGAACCCCGCGACCAAGGACTGGGAGAACAAATACACCTGGGCTACCTATGCCCAGGTGGCCGAGCGTCGCAAGAACTTCGGCGCCGGTCTGATTGAGATTCACCAGAAGATTGGCATCACCAGCGACAACTACGGTGTCGGTTTGTGGTCGCAAAACCGCCCCGAGTGGCACATTGCCGGTAGGTTGACCGTCACATGCCAAGCACGAGGCGCAAACTGCATACTGACTCAAAGTTATCAGATCTCGGTGCTGCATCCCAATCTCTCTTCACCGTCTCTCTCTACGAGACCCTCGGCCCCGACACGACCGAATACATTATCAACCACGCCAACTTGGCTTGCGTAGCTACCTCGTTGCCGCACATCCCCGTCTTGCTGAAGCTTGCCCCGCGCCTCCCATCACTCAAGCTCATTGTTTGCCTTGACTCCCTGGATGATGGCGAGCAGGCTGGCTACTCCAAGCTGTCCGTTCTGAACGGCATTGCTGCTCAGAATGGCATCCAGATTTACTCCATGGCTGGCGTCGAGGAGCTCGGCCTCAAGTCCGGTCGTCCCATGCGCCCCCCACGCTCGACTGACTACGTCACCATCAACTACACCTCTGGAACTACCGGTATGCCCAAGGGTGTTGTCCTGACCCACGGCAACGCCGTTGCAGGCCTCACAGCCGCGAGATCCGCCGGCACCGTTACCTACAAGGACGTGCACATCTCTTACCTTCCCCTCGCTCACATCTACGGAAGAATGGTTGACCAGACCGCTCTGGCCGAAGGCGCTTGCATCGGTTTCTTCCGCGGCGATATCGTTGGGTTGGTAGACGACATGAAGATTCTCGAGCCCACAGGGTTTATGTCTGTTCCCCGCCTGTACAACCGCTTCAACTCGGCCATCCGAACTGCCACCATCGACGCAGACGGTGTCAAGGGATCCCTGTCTCGCCAGGTTGTCAGCACCAAGAAGGCCAACATGAAGCAGCCCGTTGGCAAGGCGAGCAACTCTCACTTCTTGTACGACAGAATCTGGACCCCCAAGGTTCGTGCTGCTGTCGGCCTCAAGAAGGCGCACAGCATGGTCAGCGGTAGCGCTCAGTTGGACCCTGACGTTCACGAGTTCTTGCGCGCGGCTTTCGGCAACCACTTTGTGCAGGGATACGGCCTGACGGAGACGTACGCCGTCTCGACTGTTCAGCTGAAGGGTGACTTCACCCTCGGCAACATCGGACCGCCAGCCTCTTGCAATGAGATCTGCTTGGAGTCGGTTCCCGACTTTGACTACTTCGTCACAGACAAGCCTTACCCCCGTGGTGAGATTCTCCTTCGTGGTCCCAGCATCTTCAAGGAGTACTACAAGAATGAGGAGGAGACGAGCAAGGCCCTCGATGCAGACGGTTGGTTCCACACCGGAGATATTGCCGAGGTCGACAACATGGGTCGCTTCAAGATCGTCGATCGCAAGAAGAACGTTCTCAAGCTGTCGCAAGGAGAGTACATCTCGCCTGAGCGTATCGAAAACGTCTACTTGGGTAGCTGCAGTCTGCTGGCCATGGCATACGTCCACGGTGACCCGTCTCAGTCGTCGCTCGTTGCTGTCTTTGGTGTCGACCCCGAGAACTTTGCACCCTTTGCTAGCAAGATCCTGAAGAAGACCATCGACAAGACCGATCTTGCAGCTATCAAGGCAGCTGGCGCCGACAACAAGGTCAGGAAGGCCCTGCTTGCAGAGCTTGACCGGATTGGCAAAAAGCACAAGTTCAACAGCTACGAGCGTGTGCGCAGCGTTTACCTCACCATCGACCCCTTCAGCATCGAGAACGAGCTGTTGACACCTACGTAAGTGGAAACTACCTTCTTAGCACTAGACATGGACCCCTGCTAACCTAGTACAAACAGTCTTAAGCTCAAGAGACCGCAAACCGCAAAGGCGTTCAGGACGCAGATCGACCAGATGTACGAGGAGGTCAACGCGGAGCCGGCCGCCAAGGCCAAGCTTTAGAAGGTTTTTTTATTTAGAGGATTGGCGTTGGATGATGTCGTGTCACATACAGGCGGGCAATGCTGTACCATATAAGATGATCTATCTGCTTTCTAGAGTTTACAATCACTAAATTTCATAAAGAAACGTAACCTTGTTGCAGTGATGCTAAAGCCATTTGGTTTTTAGTTTATTTTATGCACTACATGCGTAAAAAGGCTTACCCTGTATAATTATATCTCTATATGTGATTTCCCTTTAATGGTGTATACTAGCATATACGTATTTTGTTAAGTTAAAAAGTGTAATAGGACCCTGTACTATGCGCAGAGCTTCTGCTAGAAAAGGCACCTACGTCTAGCCGCACCACTAGCCACTTATCCTGAAAGTTGTGTGGTGTAACACCCGGGCGGGTAGACGGCCTGCGGAAGTCGTCTACTTGGTCACGGCGGCGATGCCGTTAAGGTCGGAGCCGCCCAAGCTTCCGCCGCCGTAGCTTTTGAGCCTTCTGGCCCGCGTCACGCCGGACTACTATATGTTAGAAGCAACGTTGTTCAAGACCGATGTGGGCACCGTGGTAGAACCCTACTTACTCACGGCGTGACTGACGTGCCGTAGATGTCCTCAAAGGATGCTAAAGCCATAAGGCATTGTTTGATACTGATAGAGAACGCTTTAATGCATACTTTCGTTATAGCGCTAGCTGAATAAGTTAGATTTTGATACCTCGCGTACTTACCTATACAAGAGCAATACCTGTCAAGTAGTATGCACCTAAACTGTCTGCAAAATCATTATTAAATTTAGCAGTACATAAAAGTTTAACATGTGCCTTGTCGGACTTTGATGCGCATTGCGCCTGTGATACGGGCGAGCGTGAACTGGCGCATCTGGCTGGCATCTGTGGGGTCGATGGCCTCCGAAGCCAATGGCGCTCCGGTCCGGCATGCGACACGACGGTATTGGACGGGGCTATTCGGTTCAACGTTGTTCTAAAGCCATTCGATTGGACCTTTCAATTATCACCGGCGCATTTTGACTTTGTTACTTGGCGTTGTCCCTCGATGTATGTATGCGACGGCAGAGTGACGCGCCGTATCAGCGCAAGACGGTTCGCGGGGCGCAGAGTATATTCGATATCGAGTTCAATCTTGTTCTATGCCAATTTCCGCGATGATAAAATGTGGAACGAATAGTTGCAAAGCGTGTCTTTGGGGCTTTTAAAGGTTTCTTGAAAGAATTAAATTATTTTTCTAGATGTTCTCGTGGCTTAAAGTGAGTGTGCCGTCCCTCGCGAAGAGCCCAGAAGTGTTGATATGTCACTGGAAGCAACGCAACGCTTTCCATGTCAATGAGCGACAGGACTTGCGCTCAAAGAGTTGTCGCAAATGTCTTAGGTCACATCTTTTTTAATGTTTGCATGGTAATTCCATGTCCGAATACGATGTTTTTGAATGATTGAAATATTTCTTTGATGCTGGACAGTTAATCAATCTCATTAATTACTGTAATAAATTATATTTAAATTTGAGCTATACTGCGTAACCTTAGATTTAGTAAAGTTTAAAATAAAATTATGATATTCTTAGAAGACTCATAGATATAGTTTTACTCTCTTAAATCTTAAAGAAAGAACGTGATTTCTTACGTAAGACTGTTTTAGACCCTTCTAAGTGTCAGGAAGGTGCCTAGGTCCACTTTTCCTTAGCACTTCCACTTGACCCGCCTCTGTTGACCCATTATAGCTACCTTCTTCGCTCTAATTTACTGCGACCTGACGATCTACAATTACGCGTCCGACGACCTTCACTTTACGCGTGTACGCCGGCCGAACCTTAGCTGGACGACGACGACCACGCGTCGATGTCCTTGGGATCGCGACTATGTTTGCGAGTCCGAAGGGCAAGTCGAAAACCAAGACGATCGATCTAACGGCCGCCCCGAAGAAGAAGAAGACCGACATTATCGATCTCACACTCGACGACGACCGCGAAACCAGCTCACGGCCTGCTGGGGCCGAACCGCCTCGAAAGAGGCAACGAACGTACTACGGTCCCGACTTTTCTGTTGGCCCGAATGGCGGTGACTCTGAGAAATTCATGCAGTGCCTGAACGCACAGGTCAGGCCATATATCACCGAAGCGTTGCTCAATGTTCCGCACGATACGTTCAAGATTGCGGATATCGCTCGGCGGGTAAGTAGGACACACACACTCTCTCTCTCTCTCTTACCTTCCTTTCTGCTTTTGTCTCTTTTCCTCGCACTCGGCATATTTCGTTCTCGGAAGCGCATTCTCTAACACGAAGGCTACAGGTGCTTGGAGAGGTGTACCATTCCGCTATAGAAGGCGACGTGATCGACATCAACCAAGGCTTCCTGTCCCAAAATGCAGTCAAGGAGCTGGCCGCGCTCGCGCGTTATCGTATTGCGGACCTTTGCGACAATTTTCCGGTGAGAACCGACCCTTACACTTACCTACATACCGGACCGCTCCAGGACGGCAATACACGAGTATAGTACTGACTTTCTGTTTTAGGAATACAGGAAAAAGCCCCTAAGCTTTGATGGGATTCCGGTGCCCCTCCACCCGGACGGATATCGTGGATCGAGACTTGCTTCCGAACAAGGTCCTTTGACGGCGCCAGCGAGGCCAGTGCCCAGGCCAGCGCCGCGGCCGGCGAAACAACCTCGACCAAAGCCTCCTTCGGAGCGTCGACGAGAGCCTCAGCCGGCGCCTGAGGTGGAGCACCGGCCACAGCCCGAGCAAGAACCGGACCCAGAGGCTCAACCTCCAGCCACAGAACCCCCGATCGTCGCCGTTTCGTCAACGAACTACAGAACAAGGGCGCAAGCCAGATCCTTCAAGTCATGGAAGGCGCACGACTCGCAAGCCAAGGCCGCGGCTACCCCAGGCCACAAGGCCAAAGTAGCCTGGATGACGATGCCGCGGCGGCCGTACACCACAACGGAGGAGCGTGAGACGATTCTTCGTGGCACCTCCAAGCTTGTCCGAAATTTACCGGCGGCGGCAGCGCTGGGCTCACTGCCCTTCCACGTCGACTTCACACCCGACGAGTTGGACGACGTCCGCAGAATAGTGCGGGCCATGTGTGACAAGAAGGTCAAGCACAAGCGGAGGGACAATACGGACAGAGAGCTGGGAAAGATGCTGAGAAAGCGACCTGACTTGCTGACGACTATACCACCCATGATCGAGCTCAAGGGAACGCTTGCGCAGCGAGACCACATTGCGATTCGGAACTTCCTGGACGAGCTAGCGAACCGGCACAAGAGACCGGCCCGGCATCCAAAGGTGCTGACGTTGGAGGTGGACGAGTCCGACAAGCAGGGCGAGGCACAGCGTACCAGTCAGATTTCTGCGCTCTTGTTGGCGCGGGAAGTTGACGGAAACCGAGGTTTCGGCCGGATGCGTCGCCACGTCAACTTCACCAACGAGTTTAGGAAGGCTCACGAAGACGACATGGAGATGCGGGCAGAGTGGGTGGGCTGCGCCGGTGACATTATGACGATTGCCTGGACATCGGACACAAACTTCATCTGCGGTGCCACGGCTCATTCCGATTCGCACAACCAGCAATACAACAAGGCTGGTAATCTTTTGCTTTGCTCGACGACGTTGGGTCAGCTCAGGGCGTATCCGGACCACAGGATACCTCGACCGATTGTCGAGAAGGGCGAGAACTCCACAGAGGCTATGAGGGAAAGTCAGAGCCCGTGGCTGTACTCCTCTGTTGTGTCTTCTGACTATGATCGCATCAACAACCGTGCCTATACGTCAAGTTTCGACAAGACCGTCAAGGTGTGGAAGGTCGACGACAGAGGAGCTAACATGGAGGCTTTAGGCACTTGGGAACACGCGGGCAATGTCAACTTTGTGGCAGTTTCCAAGCATGAATCTGGCATGGTGGCGACAGCCGCTGATGTGCCCACCCAAGCTGTCCGGGTCTACCGCGTTGATAACGACAACGTATCTCGGAGCCCTTACCAGGTATACACCGGCTCGAGAACATGGGATGAAGGAAACGAGGAGACGACAGCAACCCAGAAATGGGCTTACTTTCCAGCAACGATGCAATGGGGCTTAGCCGAAGGTGTGCAACACTTGCTTCTCGTTGGCTACTCCCCTCGCAGTCTCACGGGAGATGATAATGACATTCCTGATGAGAAGTTGAATACCGGCGAGATCTGTCTTTGGAACTGCCTCACGGGCGAAAAGATCAAGGTCTTGACGGCGTCTACGCAGAACGTCTTTGAGGTGGTTTGGCATCCTACCCTACCGAGTTTCATCGTGGCGACATCGCCGGCTGGGTTGATGGTTGACGACGAGACTCTGACGCAGATTCGCATTTTCCGCCCTAGCTTGACACCTGAAGGTGATACAGCCTTCGGCGAGATGCAGTGCCTTGACTGTCCGGCCAAGGATATCAACGAGCTCACCATCAAGCCCAACAGCGTCCTCTGCTCGTACGTGACTGCGGCCTGCACCGATGGAAAAGTGTACGTCTGGGACACCTCGCGAGGCGACAAGCCTATCCACGCTCTCCGGCACAAGAAGCCGATTGACGAATTCGATCCCAATTTGGGAAAGCGAGAAGACCTAGACGTGGGTGTCAAATTCACGGCGTGGGGGACCACAGCGGATCGCTTCTATACAGGCGGATCAGACGGAGTACTCAAGGTGTGGAATGTACGCAACTTGCGGCAGCCCCTGGTCCGGGACCTCTTGGAGGCTCCTGGAGCTATAGCATGCGGAGCTTTCTCTCCTTGCTACTCGAGGCTTGCTATCGGAGACGCGAGCGGCCGAGTGATGCTCCTCTCGCTGAACAAGGAGGACGAGCCTCCGGCCAAGTTCGTGCTACCCCCGATGCCGGCGGGTATGCGACCTCGCCGCCCCGTGCGCCGTCCGATACCCGTCATCGAGCACCCCGATCCCCCGGCACCACACCACAATAATCAGGACCAAGAGCCCAGGACCGGAGTCGAGAGAGGACGAAGAATGCTCTCTTCCGGCCAGCTCATCCGTCACCCGGACGCCACCGTCGGCGTCATCCAGGGGCCGGCGTATTCCACCCTAGGCCTGCACTGCCCGAAATCACACTTTGAAGGCGACGCGTCGCAGCCCTTGCTGGCCAAAGTTGAGGAGATTCAGCAGGAGAACCAAAAGATGTTCCGCCGCAGGTCGCTGCGGGTTACCCGTCTCCGGCCGCTGACCGACGTTGGCTCCGTGGCCCTCGAGCGTCGGCATGCGCGCAACGTGTCGAGGGACTTGGACCTGCGAGAGCTTTGCGAGATGACGAAGCTCGATCTACTCATGGATCAGGTGAATATCGACGATCCTATCTATGATGAGGGGTGGGATTATGAATATGAGGAGGGTGACCTCGATAAGAGCATTTGGGCTGCGTTTTCTGAGTGAAGAAGAAGCGGAAACGCTCTGAAGAAAGAAAGCCTCGATATTAGCCTTTCTGAGATATAAGCTTGTTTAGCTTATGGCCTTTATAAGCCGAGAGGACTAATATTGCCTTTATCGGTTGCAAGCTTGTCTACCTATGTCTAGCTCATGGTCTCTATAGGCCGATAGGGCTGATGTTGCCTCTATTAGACTCGGGCTTCACTAGCTGACGGCCTTTGGAGGCTGAGAGGATGTAAATAATCATATTAGACGAATACCAAGACTTACGACATTAAACCGAGGCTTTAAAAACAGAGTGAAATTTAAAGTAGTCTAAACTATCGTGATAATAAGCTTACTAATAATTTCTCAAGATTTTAATAAAGGAAATAAGTTACTACGATAGAATGCTGTTTTTCTTTTCTTGAAGAAATAATTTGTATGTGTTATTGAGACTACCTAATAGCGAATGGCTTCAGTATATATCGCTCTCAGAGAATTGTTTCATTATGCTGTTATGGCATTTGTAGAAGGACCGAAGAGTAGCACGATCTAAAATCACACACTGAGGTGGGAAATACTGGCATTGTCACCTCGCTCTTTTAGCCTCATTCCCATGTTTACTTGACTACAGGGCTTTTGGATCTTACTTCCGCCGCCAATCGAAGGTTGGGAAGAATTAGTCACTGACCAAATGACTAGCTTCGCCTCTACAGGGACCTTCGATGCAAACCATCCTACCCCCTATAAAATGCCTCCTCCAGGCCCCTTTACTCTAAACCCGACAAGGGTGCCACACGGAACGAGCCGATCTCATAAATCCAAGCATCTACAGCCACGGTATGTGTGTGTTTGTGTTTGTGTGCGTCTAAGCTTTAATATCCCTTTCTCGCCTGAAGGAATGTACTCATACATGCAAGCGCGGTCTCTATTCTTCTCTCGTCCCGCTTTCCCTCGCGCTGTATGTTACATGATGAATATGAAGGAGGTGACGGCACGGTAGGAGAGGACACTGGCTAGATTGAGCTACCGATTCATTATGTGATACTGAAGAGCGTAAGACAATGTATTCTTAGGCCCTGCTTGTATCTCGGGCAATGACTTTCGCTTCAAAGCCGTCCGATTCGTGTTCTGGAACAGAAACACGATACTGCAGAACATACCACCCTCGAAGCAATAGCGTCACTTGAATACCCCCCCGAGATAGGACGGTGGGATTCAAGGCATGCGCAAGGGGCTAGCAGTTTCTGATATAGCTCTTCTAAGCTGGCTAGGAAGAGACAGGAGCCATGACACAGAGGATAAATTTACATCCTACACCCTCTAATAGATATAACCTAAAAAAAGAGTTCACCCCCCGGTGGAGGCTACATCTCTTGGTGCTCATGCTGGGATTCGAACTCGGGGGTAACTCGCTAAGCCTGTCGTCGAGTAGGCTGGTTGGCGTTTTTGATTGTCGGCCATTGACCACTCCACCACCCAGCCAGGTTTGACCTGACCCGTCGACCTAGACGGGCGCCTCCTGGCTGGTGACGGGAATGGAATTTAGGAGGGGTATATACCCTTCTTGCGGTGGCAGTGCGTCACGTGCAGAAGGCAGGTATGGGTGGGAAGGAGGGAAGGTACGGCAGGCACGGCAGGCCCGGTCAGAACTTTCGAAATACAGGCGTCATGGTAGGGAGAAGGAAGACCTGACGAGCTACCTCTACTTCAGTTTCTTCCCAGCTCAAAGACTGATTCAAGGGTTTCATTGTCCCTACGTCCACATGCATGAATAGATTGAACATGAGCCACACGTATTGTGTCTACGAATTCTGATTGTCAAGCTATACTTTCTTCGGTGTCAAATATGACGATCACATTGGTGAGAGAGCACCTTTCTTAATGGCCATTCTCATGGCCGATGGGCGTAAAACGGTGCTCTTTTGCGGACTACTGTCAATATCCAAATCACCAGGGTATCACCAAGGTTCAGGAACCAGATGTAGACTCAAACGGTCCTTTTCTTTTTGCTACGTTACAACGGGAGTTCGAGTGAAAAATCACCCTACAACCAAGAACCAGTTTACCAAACCCTTGAAGCCCAAAAGCCAGCAAGACTACGATACGATAAAGCATCATAGTGCGCGGGGTATCGAAAAAACAAAAGTCCTGATCCACCCCCTTTCCTCTCCAAATGAGCTCAGTTACTTTTGGTGTGGGTATTTCCTTTTCTCTCCTTGATATCCTTGCCCAGCTACCTCCCCCATATGAACGCCGGCCCAATGCACACATCCATGATTATCGCAGGCCAAAGGCCAAAGCTCGCGAGGGTCCAAAAGGACGTCGAAATGCAGAAGCAAATAAAGTATACCCCCTTCCATATACAACGCTCAGCGGATCCGAGAGGCCGCGGAGGATAGAAACACTCAGTTGTCCTTGGCGGCCGGGAACGCGAAGCCGGGAGGGTACGCAGGCATGCCGTTGGGCAAGGTACCGATGCCGTAGGGGAACTGCTGCGGAAGCGGCTGAGAGTTGGCCGAAGAGAACTTCTTGTCGTCACGGCGCTGGTCACGGTCGCGGTCGCGGCCACGGCGCCAGCGACCGAGGTCCTCGCGGCTGTCGTCGCGTCCACCACCACGAGTAGAGCGAGGTCCGTGGTTGCCGCTCTTGTCGGTCTGCATGCGGCGGCTGATGGCCTTGGAGGAAACACCATTGCCGATCTCGATATCGGGCTCCTCCACGACCATACCCTCTTCGATGGGCTTACCGCCACTGCCTCCATACTCGGCAGTCAACATCCACTTGCGATCAGCCTCTGTAAGCTTGCTGATAGGAATGATGCTAACACCCGTACGGTAATCGCTACAGTCGCGCGGACCGAAGCCAACGCCCCAGCGGGTCTAGGTTGTGTCAGTCGAAATACATAGCAATCAGAGATCTTTGGGACCTACTCTCAGCTGCGACTCGTCATCGTTCTGCGGCATGCTGCCATTGGCACGCATCTCCATGCCATCCTTGGCACGAACGGCATCCTCGCGGGAGACCATCTTAACGAAGGCGTGTCGCTTGTCCTTGTTAACGATGCAAGACTGAACCTGGCCAAATCGAGTAAAGATGGCACGAAGCTCGTGCTCAGACTGGCTATGGAGGCTGTCAGTCAATGTCCAAATAAGTGGAAATATTTCCGGCTATACTTACTTGACACCGCCGACGAACAGCGTGCGGCTCAGAACCTTGATGTGTCCAGGCTTCAAGTTACGGTCATACTCAACCCACTTGGCATCCGAACCACGGCGCGAGTCACCATGACCACCTTGAGAAGCACTGTGGCTTCCATGGGGGCTACGCTGGCGGTACTCGCTACCATAGCGACCGTCTCTACTGTCGTGACGGCCTCGATCGGGGGAGCGATGTCCATAGTCGTAGCCATTGTCGCGGTCGTGAGAAGAACCACCCGAGTTCCAACGGCGGCCAGGCGATCTAGACCGGGTTGTACGTTCATATTTGCTTCCATTTCCAGCTCCAGGTAAGGTGCGCATGTAGCCATTTCCCTCGCTGGTGTTACTGGGCTGAACAGGACCGCCCCATCCCTGACCGCTGCCGTAGTAACTCTGGGCCGCGATGGGGAGTGGAGTAGATGTGGTTGAGGGCGTGGGTACAGGCGGTCCCGCAGGAGCAGCGCTGTTTTGGTTGCTGGCAGCCGCAAGTGCTGCGACAATTTGCTCCGCGGTGAATCCCGAATTGGCAAACATCTGCATGAGAGCCATTTGCTGACCATTGACTCCCTGAGGAGGCTGAGAACTAGCTCCTGGGAACGGCAGACCAACAGGAGGAGCCTGGGGCTGGCCTTGAGCGTATGCGTACGGAGTCGCTGGGTTAGGGGGACCACCAGGGAAAGGAGGCATAGAGTACGGAGCCTGGGGGAACTGGTTGACGGCAGGAGCTGGAGGAGGCGGCGGCGGCGGCTGCTGTTGCTGCTGTGGTGTAGAGCTCTGGAGTCTAGAGAGCAAGTCCTGCAAGTTCTGAGGCACTGCGGGGGTCTGAGTCTGAGCCGGGGCGGGAGGCTGGATATGACCATGGGCCTGGCCATAATTGTGACCCTGGTTGAAGTTCTGGCCATGTCCATTACTCTGACTCTGGCTATTCTGCGGCTGGCCGTAGCTCTGGGTCTGAGGCTGGCTCTGGACGGACTGCGTAAGTTTGGCCAGATTGGCGATGATGCTATTGGCATCAGCAGGACGGGGCTGAACAGCCGGGGGAGCCGCGGATTTGGATCTGTAGCCCATGGCCTCGACCAAGCCTGGTGGGGGACTACCCTCAGGCGTGTAGGACTGAACTGAACGGGCAGAGGAGTCAGCAAATTGTGAACCCAGGCTAGCACAAGGGAAGCGATGAAGCTTGTTGATCATCTGGTGGGATGGTGACATACTCGGGTCAGGCGAAGATTCGATCTTCCGCTGGAAATCATCGAGGACATCAGGAGAGAAAGTGGCAACTCTACGCCATATCTCGAGCAGCTTCAGCAATTTCTCCTACAGAAAGGGCAGCAGTGTAAGTAGATTATTCAACCATGTCAACAGAAAGCAAAGAACACATAGACACCAATGAACGTGTCCGAACGAGTCTCAAGCGTTCACTCTCACGTTCTCCAGTGTGAGGTAGATGAAAGGATGAAGGGCGAAAGACATCCCGGTCCATGTCAGAACCATTATGAGATGTGCCAACACGCAAAGTATTGTAATGGAGGGTGCTTCGAAAACTGCAACATTTGATGCGTACCTTTTGGCCTTCGAGGCGCAACTGCACCATGTCACTGATGAGGGTGTGCATGAGACCGGTAATTCGGTGACAACCAGCGCCAAAGGTTCCATCTTTCGCAGAACCATCAACAGGCTGGCCGGACACTCTGGCTTGGTCAAGCCACTTGCGCATCACAGAGTCGATCACGTATAAGACTCCAAGCTTGTAAGGAGCAGAAAACTTCTTGAACGTGGTATACAGTTTCTGGATGAGAACCGACTCATTCTACAGAGAAAGTTTCGAGGTTAGTCTAGGTACTTGGCTAGGCAAGCGAGATGCGACGCTGCGTTCGATATCGTATCGTACCTGAATGTTGTCGACACAGATGGTTGTGATATTAGCAATGCGGTTGGCGGTGACACCAGGAGCCTTGTAATTCTGCATGGGTTCGAGGGCGGCTTCTAGCTCCGCCACAGCAGCGGCGGCAGAAGTCGGGGCAGCCATTCTGCAGGGCGCTCGCTGGCAACTAAGATATGGCGATGGCGATTGTGGTGTTTTTCCTCAGGAGTTTGTCTGCGAGCGAAGTACGATTGGGAAGAAGGTAGATAGTTTGGTTGGATTGTGGTGGGCAGGCTCGAAGCAAAACAGACGAAGTGCCAGTAGCTAGGGCTTCTTTTTTTGCTCTTTGCGGCCTGCAAGAAGGGTTGTTCAAGAAGAGGTTTACTGAGGGCGCGGGGAGGTACGCGACGTCCGGGAAGTGGAAGTAGTCAAGAGTAAAAGAGTGCCACGCTCTTTCCTAGAGTAAAATCAGGCAGGTACGTCCGGTCGCTCCTTCCCTCGATCAACAACTTTTTGTGTGTATTTTGGTTTACAGACCGCGCAGGCAGAAATAAGGTAGATATCCCAAGATGTCGCGCGACGGCAATGTGTCCAGCACTCTAAAGGTACGAATGGATCGAGTTCCTGAATTGGATGACTCTCTACTTTGTACGGACAGAGCGTGCGACGCCTTTTTTGACGAGTCGTCCCAAGGAGGTCACAGAGGAGAATTTTCAAGTGGCAGGAGCCGTCGACGGTCTACTACTTGATTTGATTTCACCCACGGTCGGACTCTTGCGGTCCTCGAAGGCGAAATACGATGTTCGTCAGTGTACGATAATAGTCTCGATGAATACAGTTATCTTATGCTGCCGACGGGATGGGCGTGATGCAGCGTCGCGCTGGAGAGGTTCGTCAGTTTTTCTGAGGGGGAAGGGGGAGTTGTGGTTGGAAAAGAAGAGATTCAGAAGTGGGGATGGAATGGAAGCTGGGACACGTTTGGAGACGGCGCTGGAGGCTTGCCGTGCAGTGGGCGGTGGCACATGGCAGGTAAGGTCGGGTGTGCAGCGTGCCCATGATTACGGCTTTATTCTTGGAGACCAAAGCACCAATCAAAACCATTGGCATCTTTGTCATCAAGTCATCAAGAGCAGGAGCTCACATTGTTTGCTGAGGTCGGGTGCCCAAGCTTCTTTCTGCCTAAGGCTAAAAGGGAAGCTGCTAAGGCACGAACCTTTTTGCTGACTAGCCGACCCTCGAAGCGAGATGATGGTTCCACCGCCGAGGTTCTGCCGCGAGGAAGTACTCCGTCAGGTTGAAGATGGATCGCACCGGAATGCTAAGGTAGATACGCTGGTGATGAGCTGGCATAATAAATAAGTGAGAAAGGCCCATTCGACACAGTCGTCTCAATTGCGCCAATATGGAAATAACAGGAGATGCTTTGGGTCCCGGCGCTTGAATTGGCCCAGATTGGCCAGAGCACCTTTCCACATTGGCGTCGCCGGCCCGGACATCAACGGGAGAGCAAAGGTCTTTGTTGTCACGCTCACCCGCAATTATTTCTGCCAGTCTTCATATTGTTCTCATCCACATCCGTATGCGGACAATACCCACCTACTAAATTATCTGGAGAAGGTGTGCTAGTTCCCCGGCAACATAACTCTTTCGATCAGAGCTGAAGTTGCCGGCAGACAGTTGCGAAAATACATCTTATCAGTAGGATCTTGACTTCGAAGCTTGACAGATTTCTTCGCAATCGCTGCAGCTTGTCAATAATGCCGCACATACGATTGCATCGAGTTTACGTGATAACCGGAATACATGGCCACACCATCTGCCATTGCCGTGGACGAACGGAAGCCTCGTTCTGTTCCATGTTGCACGAATACGTGACCGGTATGAGCTTTCTCGGATGAGGCGGTCGAGCTGTGCCGTGGTTGGAAGTTCGCTCCCAGACAGGCAGGAGGGTCGAAAACGCAGTTTTGATTGGTCGAATGCTGCACCTGCGGCGGGTTACGGAGCCTCGGAGCTGACGGGAGATGCGCGAGACAGGGCTCGGAGGAGAGCAACGACTTGCATCAACAAGTCCTCCATTGACTTTGGCTCCGGGCGGATACTTGCCAATGGCAACAGGAGCGCAAGCGCTTAGTCCGGACATGCTCGTTGGCGAGGGTCAAATCTTAGTAAGAAAGCGTGGACTCGTGGGGGCCGGGCCGCGATCCCAAGTGCCTGGGGAGGTACACAGTCCCTTCTCAAATTCTACCGTCGTCCAGTCTCACCGTGAGGCGCATTGTCCTTGGCCACCTTACCTTACCGCTAGGCTACGCACAAAGTCAAGGCTGCGATATTGTGTTCAACAGATACTTGGAGTTTGGCTTCCGACCTTCGGACGAAGAGCGGATACTCCGAGAGAAGCCGCCCAGATATCCACTTATCTCGGCTTTTCGCGCGCAAGAACGGGGCGTTGTGATACGGGAGGTAAAACTAGAGACTGGAGCAACGACAAACTGGAGTGCGCGATGCAGATTTTCCGGTGGGGCCGACGAGCGACGCTACGTAAAAAGACGGAGACAGGTTCAGGGAGATTGAGATCCCAAGATTGACAGGATAGATTGATTGGAGTCGCCGGTTGGGGGGACCACGGGGGACACGGGGGGCACTGGAGTCTTGGACACTTGTACATTACAGCCGGTACGTATCCTTTTCGCGTCTGCTCGCCTCACCGGCGTTTGTTTCTCCCTCGTTGCTTGAAGGCCGGGAGAGAGAGTCTTGACCTCAGGTATCAACGGTGTAGAGGTCGTCCGCCACCGCAATTGAAACCTGCTCGAGTAAGGCACACCGGTGTCAAGAAGCAAGGTAGGTAGGTGGTAGGTAGCTAGTCTGAAAGGAAGGGATGTCAACGGAGTGCCGGACGGCGGCTGAGCCTCTCAATCAATTCCTGTACGCCATCGCAAATTGAGCGCTATGGCGCGCGTGTGTTGAATACCTCGGAAGACGGGCCTGGGCTCGACCTGCATTGGATCTGAGCAGCTTGAGAGCTCAAGGAAAAATTCCATGGTTGGACCGACGTTGGGGAGCACCTAAGGAAGGTAGGTAGACTGCTACACTGCAGGGCAACCGGCCGGGAGTCTAAGATGGATGACAGATGTACCTGCAGCGCCAAAACACCTAGCGTAGATACCTCATCCTGCCTGAGAGACAACCCGTATGCCCGCTGAGGTACATTGGTATTTCCGGCCACACCTGTGACGTGACCCCCCGAGGGCGGCCCCCCGGTCCAAGTGCGTCTTTGCTTCATATTTTTTTCTATCCCATTACCTGCGGCTTTTTTCTTTCCCTCCTTTCCGACCTTCATCCTTCACCAGTCCCTGAAGCCTCACGATACTCTTACAATGTCTGTAGCGCGTCTTTCCACCTCTGCTCTGAGGACTTCCCTCAGAGCCTCCCCTTTCAAGGTCTCGGCTTTCAACGCTGCTCGTTGCTACTCTTCCAAGAACCAGGTAAGTTGCTGCTGCCGCCGCCGCCGTTGTTTCCCTCCGGCCGTCCGGCCCTTCCTTACCTCGGGTATCGTGAAGCTGACACGTTCGCATCTAGACCTTGAAGGAGCGCTTCGCTGAGCTTCTCCCCGAGAAGATTGAGGAGGTCAAGGCTCTGAGAAAGTGAGTGCATAGCCATTGAGCCCCCTTATCGCAACCTCGACAATCGCTAACCTCGCCGTCGCAGAGAGCATGGCTCCAAGGTCATCGACAAGGTCACTCTTGACCAGGTCTACGGTGGTGCCCGTGGCATCAAGTGCCTCGTCTGGGAGGGTTCCGTCCTCGACGCCGAGGAGGGTATCCGTTTCCGCGGCAAGACCATTCCCGAGTGCCAGGAGCTCCTCCCCAAGGCTCCCGGTGGCAAGGAGCCCCTTCCTGAGGGTAAGTCCATTCTCGCGACTATTTTCGCAATGAATTTCCTTTGCTAACAAAACTTCAAAGGTCTCTTCTGGCTTCTCCTGACTGGCGAGGTCCCTACCGAGCAGCAGGTCCGCGACCTGTCCGCCGAGTGGGCCGCCCGCTCCGACATCCCCAAGTTCGTCGAGGAGTTGATCGACCACTGCCCTACCGACCTTCACCCCATGGCTCAGTTCTCCCTGGCCGTTACCGCCCTCGAGCACACCTCTTCGTTCGCCAAGGCCTACGCCAAGGGTGTCAACAAGAAGGACTACTGGGGATATACCTTCGAGGACTCCATGGACCTGATTGCCAAGCTGCCCACCATTGCCGCTCGCATCTACCAGAACGTCTTCAAGGGCGGCAAGGTCGCCGCTGTTGAGAAGGACAAGGATTACTCCTTCAACTTCGCCAACCAGCTCGGCTTCGGCAGCAACACCGACTTCGTCGAGCTGCTCCGTCTCTACCTCACCATCCACACTGACCACGAGGGTGGCAACGTCTCTGCCCACACCACCCACTTGGTCGGCAGTGCTCTGTCCTCCCCCTTCCTTTCCGTTGCTGCTGGTCTCAACGGTCTGGCCGGTCCTCTCCACGGTCTTGCCAACCAGGAGGTTCTCAACTGGCTCACTGAGATGAAGAAGTCCGTTGGCGACGACCTCAGCGACAAGGCCATCACCGACTACCTCTGGTCCACCCTGAACGCTGGCCGTGTCGTTCCCGGTTACGGCCACGCCGTCCTCCGCAAGACTGACCCCCGTTACTCTGCCCAGCGCAAGTTCGCCCAGGGTACGTATCCACCATGAATGACAATCCAGATTCGACGTAAGAATGAGAATACTGACAACCCTACAGAGAAGATGCCCAACGACCCCATGTTCCAGCTCGTCTCCCAGGTCTACAAGATCGCCCCCGAGGTCCTCACCCAGCACGGCAAGACCAAGAACCCCTACCCCAACGTCGACGCCCACTCCGGTGTCCTCCTCCAGTACTACGGTCTTACCGAGGCCAACTACTACACCGTCCTCTTCGGTGTTTCCCGCGCCATCGGTGTCCTTCCCCAGCTCATCATCGACCGCGCCCTCGGTGCCCCCATCGAGCGCCCCAAGTCCTTCTCCACTGCCAAGTGGGCCGAGCTTGTCAAGAAGATCTAAACGTGTACGCTTAGAAGACGACGATGATGGTGGGAGAGAGAAAAACGGAGACGCGCCTGCGGACGCAAGTAATTTTGCGTGTGCGGGAAAGGCATCAGGGTCGCGTGAGCGATCAACAATAGACATGAAAGGCAGCGTGTTGTTTCAGTCAGGGTGGATAGAAAAGCTTTGGACGATACCATCCACTGCGCTTGTACAATACCGAGAAGGGCTGCTTTTACCGGGAATTACTGGGTTGTTTTAGTTACCTTGGGGCCGAGGCTGGCTTGCGTCCGAATACACATTTACGAATTTGAAGTTATAAAGACGTTCCTTTACTTGCATTGGTCCTTGCTTTACCATTCACTCGGTACGCTGACCATGGTCCATTCCCGAAGCTTGGGGCGCATAAAGATGCGATGGTATTGAACATGAGACGGAGCGGGAAAGGGGTGGATTTGCCGATGTCAGCGCGCCTCTCGACGTGACAGGAGAAGCCCTGCGCGCAGCGTGGCGCCGCGATGCTTGGACAGGCGGCCGGACTCGAGCTATGCAAGTTTTGGAGTCGAGCTTCTGCAGGCACGCGCGCCCACCAGGAGTTCGTGTCACTCTCAAATTTGTGATGTCTTATATAATCTCAAACTACGGTACCACCTTGTACTGCATAATATCCGTAGTCTTACTGTATGTAATCCACACCTCCCCTCGGGTTGGTTATACCCCAATCGATGTCCGGCGTGGGAAAGACAGCTCTCGAGTCTTGAGGGGACAAAAGAGGAACCTGATGCAGCTGCGAGTGGTTCCGGCTCAGGGATGTAGTTCCGGGTTTTGTGCAATGTGACGGAGTCGGGTGGTTTAATTGGATGAGGGTAAGGACT